GTTCGATCACTTGAGGAACAAAGAATCCTGCGCCGTGCAGGAAAGTCGCTTCGCCGACGTTGCGCGCGCCCCGGCGTATGTTTTTGCCGCTTTAGCCTCCTTTTCTTCTCCTTTCCCATTTTCCATGCGCGGCGCCGCTATTCGTCGAATTCAGTCGCGTGACCGGCCGCCAAACGACGGAGCACGACTGCTACACGCGCGAAGAGTGGCTTTACTCGCATAACTTAGGTTTTCAAGATGGTTGCCATCTTGAAATCAGCCATCGGCCATCTTGAAATCCCAAGTTAAGCTTAGGATTTCTTCTGCTTAGTTTTACATGGCCGTATAGCGTCCAGTGCCTATCTTGATAATCCCGTGATGCTCACGCGTCATTGGATTCGTTTAGAATGGCTCGTGGCGTTCTTCCGCGGTTCACCGTCAGGTGAAACGCAGTCGGGCTTCGCATTCGTCGTCGTCAAAATAAAGGATAGAAAGCAGGATCCTTAAGGCCCGTTCACACTCTTGCGACCCAGTAAGACCGAGAGAGACCAGACCGGTTTTTAAGCCTTTTGCGATGTCTTAGGACCAGCTCCGCTGCATCGCATCCGGTCCTAAGAAGTCGCAAAAGGCTTAAAAACCGGTCTGGTCTCTCTCGGTCGAAGTCGGTCGCAAGAGTGTGAACGGGCCTTTAGAGCGAAACCACTGATCCGTAGCTAAACGTTCTCATCGGTTCGTCGGCTGCCGGATGATTTGCTAATGTGACCGGTATTTGCTATGTGACCGTCTACAAGCACGAGAGCTGGAAGTCGCTGGTTCGAAGCGTTCTTCCAAAGAACGGGCGCTCGCGCTTGTAGCTTTGGCCGCAGCCTGTGTCTCCTGGGCGGAACGTGTTGAAAATCCTGAAAAACATTCTTTTTTTCTTTTTAAATTTGGCGTACCGGAGGAGAAGCAAAGGAAAAGAGTTATACACATACCCGCATACGTACGACTAAACATACAAACAAGTGGTTCACACGCGTAGATATACTTGCACATAATGCGTCTTGAACAGCTTGTTTGTTTGTTTGTTTGTTTTTCTCTTTTTTTATATTGATGGCCCCTTTTTGGGGTTCAGCGTACGTCAGTGGTTCTTTTTGGTGTACGCCTTTTAGCGTAGGCTTCGGGTATATCAGTGGTAGTACAGTTTTTGTTTAATAAAAGTACAAAATTATAATAATTTATTTCCGTGTCGCTTTTTTTTTTTTTTTTTTTACCACAGCACGTCAAAACTTGCCAAGGAATAGTTTTCACTAAGAAAAAATAAGAATCAAACCCCGTACCTTCATAACCACCGCCTTTGCACTCCTATAGCTTTAAATAGACCCCCTTTGTTGCGACGTGTAACGTCTGTAGTTCGTTGTCACGGAAATAGAAAGGTTATAAATTCGTTTACGTCGTGAAGCTTAAGCGGGAGGTCACGCTCCGCTCGAAATTTATGGCGACAGCAAATTTATGGTTGTGCTAAAATACCCACTTATGTAAACGACGGTGTGACAAGGTGGAGGCTTGGGGGAAGCCATATGGAGTAGCGAGATGTAAAATTTCAAAAACGACCGAAAAAAAAAAAAAAAAAAGCAAACGCGGATAGAAATGAGAGGCATCTTGATCCGCGAAGCGTTATTCGATCTGGTTAAACGTTATGCAGGTTCGATAATAATATTGCGACAATTTTTTTTCTGATAAATAGAAACGGTTGAACTCTTATTTTATTTGTGTATTTATAACTTAATTTTCAACTTCAGCGAGTCCCGCCACTTGCGAGTGTTACGACTCTGAAGCTATGTATAAACAAGCTTGATTATCGAACAAACCCTGGTAGTGAAGGTAGGAAAAAAATTCTGTCGAGCTGCTGAATAGCATTCATAGTAAACCCAAAACAAAGGAATAAGAAAAAAAAAAAGGAAAGCAGAACTTAACTATACAACAGTGTCAATAAAATCGCGAAAGATAGTTTGCGCACGGGCGAAGGGTTCGGAGTACGCGCTCAATCTCATAAATGCATCATTCATTCTCCAAAATACAAAAAAAAAAAAAAAAAACTGCTATTTTCGTGCAGGTCTAACGTAGTTTCCAAAAAGATTTTTTTTTGCTTTTTGCTTTTTTATTTTTATTTAGTAATTTGTATATTAAACTTTTACGACCATTTTTTTTGTGTTTTTTTTTTTTTTACATTAAATTTGTTGCGTGACAAGCGGACAACCAGGATCTGTCTTCGAGGTAAATTATAGTTTGTTAAGTCTACTCATTTATTTTTACCACCAGTTTTACACCGCACACTTCATTTTGAAAGACACCCATCATAAAGATAGTCGTAAAATCCTTTAAACTCAAGAAACTCTTCAATCCTCCCGTATTTACTGATACAGCTTGCACGTTTTATGAAAAAAAAAAAACATCTGAGCATACAATGAGTGAAAAACTTTATTGCAATAGGACAATTTCTTGCGATCTTTTAAACAAGAAAGTATCACGGAAGAGGTTTTGAATTTAAGGTATTCCGATTTTGTAAACCAAATTCAGTCATTTCCATTATTTAAACATATAGCCTAAAAATAATACGTACCAAACTTTGTTTTCTGCCTAAATATATTATCTTGATATTGTACGTGTATATTCCAACCGCGGGGTTATATAATTAATTATTAATGATCGAATGCCACTCAAAAAGCCTCTGCCCAAACGAAGAACGAACGAATGGTTCGCTCGTCAGTTTTTCAATGATCCAAACTTATTTTTTAACACACACAATGCTAGTAGCTGCCTTAGTAAAAACAAACGCTGTGAAAACACATATAACATATAAACATATAGTGGATGTAATGCTGTGAAAACAGCTTTACGGGAGGCCAGTGGCGACTCCAACCCACACGTCAGAAGAATGTCAACGAACTCTCCACGAAGGTCATGTACCCAACCAACCGACAGTACTCTACGGTCAATTAGCCTTCCAACAACAACGGACAAACAAAAACAAATTAAGTATCAAAAAGTGGACCTCGGCACCGCAATGATCAAAAATAGGGCTTCCTTTTGGGTGCGGTGAAAGAAGAGGGGAGCGGATTGTGGCGGTATTTGTTTTACGGACGTGCGGCTGGCCGCTACGCACGGGATTTCCTCTGGCCTAGTTTTAGCCCGCTCATTCCGGGAGGGGGAGTCCTTACAACCAGTGGTCAGTCAACCGCCCGAGCAGAATGGAAACGACGAAAGCTGCATGATGACACAGTCCGATAGCTTGTACCTGCCGCATAGCTAAAAAAGAAAAAAAAAAGTACGGGTTTGTAAACATGCGAAACCCGCTGCTCTTCATTCGGAACATTTGTATAATCCTAAAAATGGTTGCTAGAAACGCGACGAATAAGTATAATCGTTGTCCTCCGTGGCACTTGTACACAATCATGATCACAAGCGAAGAAATCTAAACATAAAAAAACGTCACGTGTAAGCTCGCGCTCACGCCCATACGAGTAGATAAGCGACCAAACGTTTATGTTACTGAAGGATGTCAAATCGTCGGATGAAGAAGCAAAAATGGCGTTTAGTCTTCCTTGTCAATCGTGGAACGTCGGCTTTGATTAACACGGCTTCGAATGCAGTCGGTTAAAGTTATCAGTAAATAAATTGTCTACTGTATATGTCTTTTCACGGCTGAAGGGATCGGCATTCAAAGTTGAGGGAAGGATGGGCAATTTTCTATAGGGCCATAGTCGCATCTAGGCCCATGACATGCCTTGGGAACCGAACAATGCAATACGCTTCCAGACAGCACACTGAAAAATGCATCTCAATCCTGCGGAGAAGATCGAGTCACTTAGTCCAAGGACGCGTAGTGTTATTTTCTTATAACTCATATTTATCACTATTCACTAACGATCGGCATTTAGCAGCACTTACTAAATTTAACTATATTGAGCGGTCATGTCACGGATTTTCGAGGCACTCTTTTGTAACATTACGTTCATAAGATAGAAACCGGACCTAAAACACACTTTGTGATTAAACTGCGGGGTGATTGATTGTTACCGCAGTCTCCAGGAATATATTCGAAAATGCCAGGTATTCTCCCGTAACATTACCTTTTCCCCATCCCCGAAAATAAGGTAAAAAGTGGGCCAAACACGCAACAAACCACCTTCCAAATAGTGGCAACGTAATACAGATACAAACAAAAATATAAAGGACCGATCCAAACAATGCACGGAGAGGGAAAGATCCTCCCGCGGTCAAAGATAGGGCCATTGTTTCACCAGGGCAGCACCGAAACGGCGCCGCTGCGAGAGGAACAACATCATTGAAAGTCAGCGTGGCGTGTAAATGAACAACGAAATCAGCGAGTGTCCAGAGACAGCGAGCGGTAGCGACTACAAAGAGATGTCGTCTGCGTATGAATGATGCCAGTGGTGGGCGCGGGATTGAGCCCCGCCAGTTTCTATTTCGGAGCCCTCACAGGCACTGCCGGCGCCGAAGGCGCAGCGTGAACCGAACAGTCCTCGGGCACGTCATCCATACAAGCCGCTGGGGAGATCGCACCAGGAAGTCTTCGAGGGGGCGGGCTCCGCGAGGAAACTGACGATGGTCCTCGCAGCTCTAAGATATACGTAGGGTTAAACACCGTTGCAACTTGTAATGAATACGGTAATTTAGTGATGAAAACCGAAAACTTATTGAGTTGTTCAAGGTCCGCCAGAAGGGTCCACGGGGTGTACCATAGACGTCTTTAAAAGTCCCGTTAGATAGATATAGTCCCGGTAAGTTCTTGGTCATGCAGCCTTCTCTAGTGTCTCATTTAGCGATCAAGTTTCACCGAAAACATATCAAGACTTGTTCAAGATCTGCCAGAAAAGTTCACATTCTATAGACCATCGCCGTGCTTTAAAGTGCCGATAGATAGTCATGGTAAGTTTTTTGTCATGCAATCTTTCTTAGTGTCTCAGCTTCATCGGATAGTCACCACGTTTCGTTCTCCATCCGCCTCTCACCTTCAGACGGGGGAGATGCGCAGTCCATGGACTGAGCTCGCCCTCCCGATCTGGACCGCGTGGACGTTGTGCCTGGTCATCGACGTCAGGACGGAGGGACAGTCCAGGGAGTTGCCCAGCCTACGCGATGTCCAGTTCTGGGACAAGACACCAGGTAAGCTTGGAAAAAAAGACACCTTCGATTTCAACGAGCACGTCGAGATCTCTTAACTTAATTGGAGTTGCTGAGGAAACTCAAGAACCGGTACATCTTCCGTGCTATATCTCGGGATCGAAGCTTTACGTGATGTGAACGCATTTGACATATATGTTGTCCGACAATGACGTGGGTCTAAATGACATCTTACATTCTTCCGCGCGTCATATACATGGCACGCACACGTGACATCATCGCGTTATGCAGGTGGTCATTCCTACCTGTTAATGCAGCGATATATACACGCTCAGCAACAAGGTCACCACTGCATGGCGGCTGGTGTGACGTCACTGCAAGCCACGCATTAATTTGCCCGTGTGACAATTCCAGCGCCGAACAGAAACGAGCAGTGTCCCCAGGGCGAAGACACGATCACCTTCGAGAAGACGGTAGCCATGAAGCCCAGTTCCCGTCGGCTGTCGCCCATGTTCGCACCGCGAGAGAACTTCCCGTCCCACGGCGGCGTCACCTCGGACTGCCTGCGCCGCTGTCAGGCGTCTCCGAGGTGCCTGGGCGTCGTGGTGAACTACGAGCACAACGCCTGCTTCGCGGCGACGGCCCTGAACGACGACGAAGTGGCGTCGACGCTCGGAGCCGCCGACCAACCGATGGTTCCCGCTTCGGACAGGTCCAACTACTTCGCCAAGATGTGCGTGCACGGTGAGTGATCCGCTCGAGGCACATCCGCCGCTAAGACCAGACACCAACTCATTCCACGAGCATTGCCGAGCCTTTACGGTCACCGGAGCAGTGCGCACTGCGCATGCGTTGCCGTTCTTTAAACTGCAAAGCACAGGGTGTCCCCCAAAACTAGTGCAGCTTTGCTTTTTCTTCTTTTTAACCTAAAAATAAACGACGCGTTGCCAAACTCTCATCATTCGTGTAACGCTAGCGATCAGAACCAGGTGTCTAGGTTTCGGAAATAATAACCCTTTATTTCATTCAAAAGTTCAGATTTTTTCTTAAATTTGCAATGGGAAAATGGTAGCCGACGAAACCCTCGGATACATGGGGCTGAATGGTGCCAGTTACTGAGAGCGGGCCCCGTTTGAGAGATAACGGTATACAACGGTCGTTCTGTAACTTGGGCATCTGGTTCGAGCCACTAAATTGGTGCGGAGGATGAGCGTTCGGCGATGCTTAGTTTATTTTTGCACTAAAAAGAAAAAAACTCGCTGTTTTTGGTGTTTTTTTAGCACCTTGCATATGCGCCTGCCCCTCTCCACTGGAAGTGCCACCGGCGTGACGTGATGTCCGAAATATGAATCTGTGCATACCTGACTACCCTAAGCGAAAAGTCGTTCAAAATCAGTATACTGAAAGTATACTAATAGTGAACTTAGGGTATGTACTGAAATCGTACTAGTTTCACACTTTTATGAAACAAAATAGTATTCCTTTAGTACACCCCAAGTACATATGTAGTATACCATAAGTGCACCTCGAGTGTACTTTTAGCATTCTATAAGTGCACGTTTAGTGCACATCGTGTATGCTTTTAGTGTTCTAAATGTACACTACCAGTACATATATGCGGAGTGTCCCAGATAATTTGCACCAAACTTTAAAAAAAAAAAAAAAATTGAGCGTTCTGCGGGAGTGAAACCAACTGTACACTGTTAGAAAGTCTCTTGCGAAAGTGCACGAAATTGTTTTAGTGCGCCTAGTTATTTAATTAAGAGTAACAAGCTAACTTTTGCAATCTTCGTTTAAAAGCCGAGGTGTGAAATGGAAAGTTGTAGAGCGCATTAAGAAACACCCAATTGAACCATTTTCAACAAGGTGCACTTTGCATGCTCCTTTTCGCTAGCCCTCAAAAAAACGCCCGCGAAATACCAAAAAAAAAAAAAAAATACCCCGTGACAACTCGCTTCACCAATCACGGCGTGCGAGCGCGCCGCGAATGTGCGTTCTTTAAGGCCAGAAAAAAGCGCGAAAACGTATTATGTTTCAAATACTTTAATTGGGTGTTTCTCAATGCGCCCTGCAACTTTACAATTGACATCTTGGCTCTTAAAAGAATATTTGAAAGGTTAGCTCATTAATCTTAGTTATTTACATAACCAGGCGCATTAAAAAAATATGTGCACTTTCTCAAGACACTTGCTAACGACAGTTGATTTCACTCCTGCAGAGCCCTCCGGTGTTTTTTTAAGTACGGTGCAAGTTATCTGGGACGCCGTGTATGTCGGGCGTTCTGAATGGAAAGAACGGTCTCAAATTGAACAGAAAGATCGGCGCCTGGATTTAAAAAGCTGACTTTTCAAAGGTGTTTCTTCGAACGGCTGTATTCCAACCTGTGAAATTTCATCTCATACAGCTCCATTCTCGTGAAATGTTAAGAAACGCCGTTGACAACTCAATTGATGATGATAATGCAGAGGCGCCACCATCGGGAGATGCACTCTTAAAAATGAGTCAGGAAATTAACGAGGAAATCTTTGGCAGCTCTATTCCTCGTGAGAATGACGTACCGGCGTCTTCTGAAACTGTGAGAAAAGCCATAAAGAAGAGGTGCACTGCATTTTTCAACTTAAAGTATGTATGTGTAGCATACAAACATTATGATCAGTGTTCTTCGCGTAATTGTTAAGACAGAAATTGAAATCCTACTTATCACTTTATTCAAGTTTCCGAGCCTGCCTCACTGTACACTCTCCTTTGTGATGATGGTATGCCATTACATCCTGCGTAAAAAGAGAAGAGAAAATTACCCTATGCCACTCTACGATATAACATCACATAATTCGCTCAAAGGACCACTACGTGAGGAAGGCAAGATACTAACAACTTCATCCTGACAAAAGGGCGAGGAAAATCGGACAATATCGTTTCTGAAAACCTGATACCTGAAAGAAGCTCTAACACAGAGCAAACAAAATGATTGGCATTTTCTTAATGCCTCCTTTTCTTTTGCTGTGAACACACATACAAGTCATACGCTATTACACATTCAGTGATGCGGCTTAATTTATGATAAGCACTTTTTTTTATATAACTTCGAGCTTTCAGAGAAAAGATTCAATATAATGGGTCGGACATAAATGGTTGCTATGAACTATCCTATATATTTACACATTATCTGATATCATAAAAGCACTAGAGCAGGGTAGGGCTGTACTGCATCAATTATGAATTTCTAACCAATCAAAAGTTGGCATTTATTTAATTTATTAGTATTGGCTATTATGCTTTGACAAAGAATAACTGGGCGAGTTGGTACGTTGGTAGTCTTTCAACTCCATCGAATATTCAGGTCCTTTTAACATTTTCTCATGCTTTTCCTTTTTTTTAACTGCTCTGCCTTTTGTAGCGGCTTCTGCCGCCACTAAAAAACGTGACATCCATACTCACTTTATTCACAACACACAATCGCAAACTTGGAAAGCGTGCCGCTTCGGCATACGCAAAGAGATCGTCCGTCTCTACGGCACAGGCATCAGCACGGGCAAGAAATCATGCTGCTCGCTCTTGTAACGTTTCTCTCGCTCCCGCTTTATCAAATAAATAGTTGGCGAGAGACTGTTGGGACCACACGTCCAGAACGAGCATGACCTATGATTGCTTGAACTGCCGTTAGACTGTACTTGAACGCTCCGCAATGCGTAGTCGGGCGACCGTCGTAGGGACGGCGCCCAGGACAGGCCCTCGGCTGGCCCTCGGTTCCGCCGCACGCGAATCTTTCTCACTGAGAGTCAAGCATAGCGTAGCAAGCACACGGTACACGACAAAGTTTGAAACAGCGGCGCACTTCGCAGAAACAAAAGGAACTTCCTCACCTTCGCTTGCACCAGTCGGCCATGACTGTCCGCCACTTGCGACGCTGCGTCTCACAGCTCTCAGTAATCGCTTGCTATTATTGAACACGGTATTCGTAAGTAAGCTATCTAAAATATTCGCTAAAACGGCTAAAATGTAAAAAGGAAGCGATGCCCGAAACCTCCAGAACTTCAACGGCGGCCGAACGGAAGCTGATTCCAATAGCGATGGTCTTGCGCAGATTTCAAAAGTCTCTTCTTTTCGTTCTTTTTTTTTTTAAAGACAAAACTAAGCAAATTAATATATTAATAATAATAATGTCACTTTATTATATTCGTAAAAAATTAACACAATGTTTAGTCTATCTTAGGTTTTATCTAAACTTTCGGTTTTCTTTTTCAGTGTAAAACCGAAACTATCTCAAGCCATTTCTCCCTTGTCCCCAAGGCTATTTTGATCCATCAGCGCATGCTTGCACCGCTGGTATTTCGGCTTTTCTGGAAGGATCGGCTCTCACGGCACATAAATAATGAAGGCAACTTCGTGTTTTGAAACAATGAGCGTGCCCGTCTTTTTTGACGAGGGAAAGACATGTTAAATCTACGTCGATTTTTTACAGTGTGGAAATCTCGATCGACGGTGTTGTTCGTTGTTGCAATTGTCAATGTCTTTTCAGGTGAATTGAGATGTCTTAGAGTTTTGCAAGATAAATCTACACCATGAAACCCTTTCGGTGAAAGCTTGAGGTTGTTACATAAAGGCGCCGATTTCTCCAGTCAATTTCAGAGTGAGCTTTCATTCATAACACCACTTCGCTTACGCGGTTTAGAAGTTGATTTGCGCTGCATGCGACCATGCAAGGTGGAGGATCTTATGTCCCCATTATTAGCCGTGGTTTCTTTTGCATCCTGTCCTTTTGATTGCTGTGGATGTAGATATCTGAAACAGCGTATAGTTACGCTGAGACCTGCATTACAAAAATACCGGATTATCCTGCAAACGTAATTTGTCTACTAGCCTATGAGGCAGCACGCAATTGGCGGTGCACTTTGAAAACAAAGTCATGTGCATGCTTTTTCATCAGCAGCATTAAACACTTGGTGCGATTGCCCTCGATCGCCCAGCTTCCGAATAGTGCTAACAGTTTTTTTACAGTACACTTTTATTTTTCAATAAAGGTAACAAATACAGCTCAGGGAAATAAAAGCTATCTTTGCAATAAAAGTAGACTGTTCAATTGATAGATATAGTAGAAATGACTAGCTAAAATAATTATTGACAAGTTAGATAACGCTACTTTCCGTGGCGTACAATGTAGCTAATTTTTCTATTTGCGCTTTTTTTAGGCGTAAGTCCATGTTGCATTTGCGACGTAAGTATGCTATGAAAGTGCCGGTCGTTTCCCTGGGGAACTTTTGGACCACGTGGTATGCATGGAAATGAGAAATAAAGCATCCCTTTGTATGTCAGCTATACCCGCTGATATTTTTAATCAACTGGTTTCAGGAAAACTGGGGATTCATGTCATGTTGATACACTCTTCATGTGTGTCGTGCGACTCGGCGGACATTACATGGGTGAATAACCGTGGCAACATCTTTTTAAGTAATTAAAATCCGTAAATTTACTTTTTTTATTATTGCTGTTTTAGAGGCAGTCGTTGTTGGAGCCTAACACAATTAAAACTATTCACGAAACAGCAAGGGGCTTTAAGATATTTATTTATCAAATTTCGCACTTTTTTCCTCGATTCAAGAACCATGCGCGGCAGGGGCGGGCGAAGTGGAGAGTGAAATTAGCAGTTTTGACATGTCATATCGGTGATGGCATGTTTGTTTGTGTTAGCGAGAACGTCTCATACTGGAGTTCTATGCATTATTTAATTTTCTAGTGAAGTTACAACCCTCATAAAGTGCTGTCGCATTCAGCATGAAGGAAGTTGCACTCTTTGGAAAGCGTGCCTTTGGTGGATGCTCCAGCATCATACTTCCAACGGTTCGACTGAAGGGAATACGTAAGAATAGCATCCTGCGCTCTGTCCAGTGCGCTGTTTTTAATCAGGCGACGAAAGGCAGAGTTTTAGCTTCGAATAACCCAAAACTCGTCACCTTTTCGCAACTTGTTTCAGTTGGGCTAGAGTTTATTCATAGCCCCTTTAAAATTGAAAATTCAACATGGTCAGTTACACTGCCAATTAAAGAAGCTAATTAGACAACGTACTGTGTCGTTTATTTACTCATCTAATGTCCACCGAGCCCCACAAATATTCTGTGAAAACGGCATCGGCCTATCTATCGCGTTTTTTGTGCGTTGCTGTATATATACCCGTTATTATAATTTGAGTACACCGACTGCAAGCGCTGAAAGTAGACCTTTAGTATACTTAAGTGCACTTTCGGTATACTGATTTTGAACTACTTGTTACCGTGGGCACTACGATTCTACTACATGTACTAGTTTTGTACGGACGAGTATACTTTCAGTCCACCGCCATTTTTACTGGAAGTATACTTTAAGTACACTTAAAGTGTGCAATCAGTACAACGGCCGCACTGAAAGTATACTTTTAGTATACTTCAGTACACTTCGAGTGTACTGATTTTGAACGACTTTTCGCTAAGCGATAGCTGGCTAGCGGTAGAGTATATTGCGCCAACTTCATTTCTGCACGCCTAGCATACGTTCAAGTTTTTTGTATGAACATTTATAGAAACGGTGAAAAATCACTGTCAATATTCCGTTGGCCATCACAGCTGCACAGTGGAAATTTGGCTTGTGTGGTACAACTGCTAACCTGCGCTCATTAACGTGTTTCAGACAGCAGGGATCATACGAACATCTAGAGGATACATTCCTGGTATTTAGAGTCTGCAGAGCAAACTTTCGCGCAACCTGTGGCGATTTGTTTTTGTCTCGACAAAAAATAAAATGTTATCTTCTATCCTAATCACACGATAACTTGATAATAATTAAAATAACCTACAAACAAAACATGCGCCCAGGTTATAGAAACGCTTGGCCACCGAACTCCCCCGCATTACAGAGAAGCCACACCTCAAAGTTGGAAAAGCACGCAGCGAAGTGACACTCGGAATTCTGCGTTTTGCCAGCTGAAGCGCAGGATATCTACCCTTCTTGCCGTCTAAACGGCAATACAACACGATCACTACACATAAAATGAATCAAATATAGTCTGCCTTAGGACGGCGTCTGGTAATTCCGCTGTAGATGGGCAATTTTGCAGATGCAGTACAACTTTGTCATGTTCAACTTCTACCTGGGGTCTTGAAGGCGCATCACACAAAAGCAGTGATGGCGGTAACGCGTTATTTTTATCGGTAACAAAGTAATGATGACAAACCTATGTTAGTTGTTTCGAGCAATGGTACTTCTCCTTTCCAAAACTTCAAACAAATTACACTTCAACCATCGTTTTTCTAGACGCCAAATCACCAATTGTGTCAATCACACTACATACCTTCAAAATCGGAACCGAAAAGAATATAAGGTAAACATGTTAAGTTCCTTAAGGACATAATGCTTCTCAAAACATGGCGCTTTTGCAGGCTTTTTTATCTGTAACGTTAACGCGTTCCTTTTATTGGACTGTAACGTAGGTGAGTATCGCGTTCCTTTTATTTGCCACTAATGAGTAGCGTATTTCGTTACTTTTTTTGTGTTTGTGTAACGTCTACAACATTGTGCAGCGGTGCCCTAGGCAACCCGGAGATAATCAGAAGCGGGTCTATGCGTCACCCAGGGCCGACGTGCGACAAGGACTGGGCCATGGAACGCGTGCCGGGCAAGGAGCTGAGGGGCTTCGACGAACGCGTGGTGTCCGGTGTGCCTAGCTGTCAGCGTTGCCAGGAGCTCTGCCTGCACGAGTCCTCGTTCCCGTGCCGGTCCGGGGAGTTCGACGCGAGGGCCCGGGAGTGCCGCCTCAGCGTCCAGGACAGGAGGGCGCAGCCGGCCGCCTTCGGACCCGCGCAGGGGCCGCACGTCCACTACTTCGAGAACCTCTGCTTGCCGCGTGAGCATCCCGACGGGAGCGTTGCAGAGTGGCAGGACTTCACATTGTTCTCGCATGCTTGCAGCACGTGAGCTTTCTTCACTCTACTGGATGACAAGACTGACGGGGAGTGATGGATATCGCACTCCGATTGCCTGTCCACTAATAATCAGAGGATCCGAATGGCTACTCTTTTTTATTCATGAGCTGCGAATTACGATAGCTGTCTAACGCGCTCTGGTATCAATCGTCCTCATTACCACTGATCAACTGATTGAAACTTCTATCAGTGAAAATCGGACAAGACCTTTAATGATTCACCAGACTTTTTTTTTTACACGACTCTTCCAAACTAACCTTTTATATCGTTGGTAAAAAAAAAAAATTTCTCAGTCTATACGTTTGCTTCCCGAACTCACGAAGAGCATCTGGCTCGCCCCATCAAAAAAGTGATTTTTTTTTTTACCACACAGGAATTTTTAGTGTGCAATTAAGAATTTTAGAAGGTGCCTACCCTGACGAGTTTACGCAGGTCATTGCGGGCACTTTGGCAGAGATTAACCTGTCAGCTGGAGATGAGCAGATCAAGCACTCTGCATCGATGCCATCGAATCGGCTTGTCATTACTCTTTCCGCAGGCTGTTGTTGTTTCTCCTATTCTAGAACCATCCTCGATACAATCCCGGCGTACGACGTACCCGAACGACCCGTCAGTGATCATCACCTGTCCACCTTCGCAGAGCCCTCTGGCAGCAACTGTGACTTCGATCTGCACAAGGACGTGGACCTGCGGAGGCCCGACCAAGTGCGTAGTGCGTTCAGCGCCGACCAGTGTCGCTCCATGTGCGAGTCCTGCCAGGAGTTCGCTTGTCGGAGCTTCAGCTTCTCGCCCACCACGGGCCTCTGCTCCATGTCTGGAGACGACACCGTCAGCATCGGGGGCTTCGCGCTACGCGTCACTCCCGGCACGGGATACTACCAGAAACCGTCCTGCCCCGACCGTAAGTGCGCACCTCACTCAAGAAGCACCGCGAGCGAGCAGGGCCAATATTATGTACGCCCTTCCTCAGGGAAAGCAAACAGAGGCGTCCCTCCTCAAAGACAAGAACAGTACATGGTATTGCTAACCTTTCCACGTAGGACAAGTTGATTGAAATTATGGGAAGGCAGACAGATTACCCTTAACCGGTAATCCTAACCGTCTGCTCCAAGTGGGTGACCCAGTGTTGTCCATGTTCTCCGGAGTCAGCAACTGATCCTTCTCATTTTGAGAAGGCAGTGACGCTAAGGCATGTAAATTAAGATAAAGAAGTTAGCCTCGACTGATGCCCCCAACTGGGTTGACCCGCCACAAGAAAGCCCAGAGACAGGACAAGAGTCATCGTTTCTTCTTAACTAGGTAGTCAATGACACGATCGGATGTGAAGGTAGCGAGGTCAGCCTGAGCAAATAGATGGTGCGCTACACTGCACAGGTGAAGGAGTCCGGGGATGAGGGGATAAATTGCGGGATGCCGACATCCACTGTGTCAAGCATTCTGATGATGACCGTTGACGTGGCTTTAACCGAGCGTATCTTTTGTCTTTACTCGGAACCGGCAGCAGTCCAGTTGTCCTGCACGCGGGAGTCCATGGCCCTGACGCTGCGCACCAAGGATCCGTTCGGCGGTCGCATCTATCCTCGGGACGAGACACCCGGCTGTGAGGTTCAGGGCCGCGGTCTGAGAGAGACGACCCTGGTGATGGGACTCCTCGATCGGCGCTGCGGAGTCTCCGAGGACGTAAGTGCCGCCTCGTGACAAGAAGAAAAACAATTAGCAGCCACCTTCATCTTTGAAGTCCTGTAATGCATCAATTGCAGTATTTAAGGCGCCTCGTCAGCCTAAGAATAGTCATCGTAGGCCTTCACGCCTCGGGCAAGTTTACGTACCTTCAAACACGCTTGTAAATTATAAAACCAAAATAACTAAGATTTCATCGGGATATAAATTCGAGAAGCTCAGATTTTGATCCACACATTTTTGTTTCATCACTCAACGAAACCTGTGACGTAACAAGATACTACAGGCACTAGTCGTGACGTCACGCCTTTTTCGGTTCGTCTCGTTACCAACATCGCGCCACTCTCCTTAGATGTATGTCGGACAAACTGGCAGATGTCACAACGATCGGCTGCGAGAGCGTCAAAACAACACAAACAAGACTGACTCTGGCCATCTAGGGATTCACTGCCGAGACTGTTTTTTTGTGATCCCTAGTTCACAAAATGTAATAAATTGGAGCGAAGTGGTGACCCTTTAAATAGAAAAAGCATTATTGAGACCGAGAGGATTGCCACGACTCTATGAGAAGTGTATCAGCGCCCTTCCGTTTCTTTATCCACCAGAGAATTATACCAGGTGTCCAAGTAGTCAATCTGATGAACGCAAATTTCCAAAATATGTTTCGTTTCGTTTCTTTTTTTGTATGGTTTTGTTTCTATTGCGAATTCGGGTGGTCAATCGCCGACGATCCCTTACCGGCGGCACCGGTAACCAAAACCGCGCCAGCGGCATACCACGTGACCCTTTCCACCCGAACACAAGGCGCCGGCAACTGGCGTTTTCTCGTTTGCCTGGGTCGCGCGTGAGCTTTGTTAATTTTATGGTACAGTGGGCACCATGTATGCACCAGCAATATATATATTCGGACTCTGAGTTGTTAGTAAACAAAAGCAACTCCACAATATCTTTTTTTTTTTTTTTTTTTTTTTTTTTAATATCGGCATTACTACACTCCGTACAAGTCCTATACACCCAATGCCTTTTAGGTCATGTTGACGAACATTTTTTCTCTGTAATTATTTGGAATGTTTCTGTCATATATAATCATTTCGTTCGAAAGTATGTGCTTTTCTTACTGAACTAGACTTAATAAAACCAATAAAATTACATTTTATATACGTTTTTTTCTAGTACTTAAATGTTAGCTTTTTTGGTGTATTAAAAAATGTGTAACACAAAAACTGCTAGGCGCGTATTTTTAATATTTTTAGTTCTGGTGCGGTACTTTTCAACACCTATGTGGGTTTTAGGAATAAAAGAATCAATGCTCTATATTGGCAGGTTAAGGAAATAATGGCACCTATGTACTGAAAAACACTGTTTCGAGATAATTGGGTTTAAAGTAAAAAGACGGGTGAATAACAAATTGTTATTGGTACCAACGCACTCAGAGTCATTTCTTCAATAACCACCAATTTGGAAGTCATTGTTAGAGCCATGTCTTTGCTTTTTGGCTTGTAGCCTCGCTTTCCGAGCCGGGCCCCCTCAGGAACCTGTCGTGTCATTCGGTCGGCAAATTATATTCGAGTGAATTCAACTTCCCTCAGCCGCTTGATGGTGTTCCACCCAAAGTTCAATCCACAGGACTTTAAAATATTGTCTCGTGCGATGCTAGCACCATTGGATGAAAGAACAGCATCCAATGTCCCCATTTTGTCATTAAAAAACGCAGGAGCTTAAAAGTACACATGTGAAGAAAAAAAAAAACCGTGCACAGCCTTGGTTAAAAAAACAACAACTTTGCAATGGTTGCAAGATGATTTTTAAGATGTAGATCATTCTGAAGAAGCGTCTAAATGTGGTGTAATATATTTTTTTAATTCTTGATAAATAAAGAGCATATCCCAAAAGGGGCCGTGGTCACTTGCTACTTGTTTCTGGAAAAAAGTGATTTTAAGCCGGAAATATAACTTCTATGAAAAGTGTGACGATGAAAAATGCACCAAAAAGAAATTAACTTCAAATTGCAGAAGAACTAAGTTTTTCTTTTTTTTTTTTTTTTTTTTGCTTTTTACTTTGTGACCCTAAAATTACAGACTTAATAGGATGGCAGATCAATAAATATCTGTGGTGCACCTGCGTCAAGTTTTAATATGCTTTGTTTTGATTTCTGAAGACCTGTAGCCATTTTAAAGGCTCTGAATGGCATACGAGCGTCGCTGTGTATATTCTATTTCTTGTTCTTTTTTCTTTTCTGGAATCCTCAGTTTTTTTAATGCGCGTACCACTTTGAGATTGTGTTGCGCGTTCAAATGTCGAGTAGCAGTATTATGAATACATTTTATTTTTACAGCGGAGTAATAATACGCTGTGTCCTAGAGCAAACTGGCCTTGTGCAAGTTTCCTGTAAAATATTTTATCTTTATCTTCGTTGTTTTTTCTATCTTTTCTTGGAGCACAAAGGGGTGCCGGTCCCAATGGCTTCGTTTTCTACTCGAACATATAAGCGGGCAGTGTTTCGTCTGGTTCCTTTTCCCGATTCGGATATGACGATACCGGATACAGTCTGACAAACAAGCTGCCCGACCTCTTGGAGCTCTGTCTTGCCGGCACACGCCTGAGAAGCGCCACCCGAACGGTGCGAACCCACCCACGACCTACTGTAATCTGAAGTCCCTTTAACGACAGCCAATACAAATGACAAGGCACATTCCTCTGGAACAAAATGGCGGCATTCAGTTCAAACCTCTGCCACCTCTGCTGTGCGCTTCATTCGCTTCCTAAAACCCGCACCGTCACGCAGTCGGCGCTTCAAAGAATGTCGCTACTTGTATACGAAGCTCTTATCTAGGGACTTTACTGTAATCTAGAGTTCCTGTATAGGCTTCCTACGGGAGCCAGAGTTGCGCGTTCATCCCCGTAGAGTCGTCTTTCCTGCACGGCATAGCGGCGCCGCGTGTTCGAGGTGCGCGGCGCGTTCAAAAGCAGGGGAACGTACGGCGGGGCGCGTGCAACGTCTACTTTCCTGCACGGCACTTCATTCGTCTTCTTACGTGATCGTATCTCGGCGAATAGCGGCGCGGCGGCACGTGGAAAACAGACGCGCAACTCTGGCTCCCGTATGGAGCCTATACAGACACTCTACTGTAATCCTTTACCGAGCGCCCCCAATGGCAAAGCGAGGCACCTCATCGGCGACATCGTCTCCCATAGGGAGCCATTCTGTGGGCAGGCGAGGATTACAATAGGTCGTGCAAAGGCCAGCCTTTCACCACGCGAACGCCCTCGTCAAAAAAGCGACAAAATATTTTGCCAGAAAATGACCACCCGAATTAGCCATTACCAAGATGTAGAGGAAACGTGAGTCGGCGCTGTGTTTGTCCTTCTATGTGTCCTCTACTTGTGTCCTCGTTTGTTACGTGCTGTTGTTGCTAATATGAACCGGAAATGGCGTTGAGCGACGCGACGCGGCCGACGCGATGGCAAGACCGAGGAGGAGGAGGGCGGAGGAAGAAGAGCCCTAAAGAGACGGCGTCTTGATTCTGCTACGTCACGGCTCGTTTATCGAGGGAGTTGCAATGCCGGAATTTCCAGAGGCATTTTATACGCTTTATTGTTCAAATCGCGAGGTGAAATTCTGTGGATACTTCCACGACGAGATTCTGATATTTGCCACAAGGTTTTTTGTATAAAACTAACGACCCCCATTTTAGGCTAGAGAAGCCGGAGCGGTCGTTTAAATTTGCTTAGGAAACATTAAACAGTCGTTTCGGGGAGTGAAGAAGAACCTATGCTTTGATCAATTTTGCCGCTAAATTTAGGAGAGAAACTAGGGAATTGTAGTAGACCGTTTTTCTCCTCCGCTACGGTATCCCTGAAGAAAACGACGCAGCTGCGCAGGCGCGCCGCCAGCCTTATCTGCATAGTTCAAGGTCTTGTGGCGGATTACAGAGCGCTATCCGGGTGCTTAGCGGGTTGCGGAAACGGTCTACTACAATTCCCCATTGACGGTGCATAGGTCACGCGAAGTCTTCCCATATGTTCAGTGGAGAAACTTAATTGATGTCTAGGTGAAGTCACGTGACATCAATTTTTCCGCTAAATTTAGTGGGGAAAACTGATTCGATGCATAGCTCAGGTGACGTTTCCCGCTAAATTTGGCGGAAAATGCACGGCCGGACTCACAGACGGCAGGAATTTTGGGATTTGGGAAAAAGAAAAGCGAACAAAACTGATGACTTTCATGATGGTGATAGGTCTGAATCCTTGGAGCCAGAGCGTGTTGTGTTCCTCAAAACGTTCATTAACATCGTCTACAACTACTTGTTCTATCCAGCGGTCAATTAGACGGTACAATTCGCACCTGTCTCGTTTACAGGATCGCGGTCGCTTCACGAGTACCATCGTGATCCAGCATCACCCGGTGATCCAGCAAAAGGGGGACAGGGTCGTGAAGCTCTTCTGCGTCTTCGACACGGCAAATCGCACCGTCACCAACACGTACAAGGTCCTGGTCGGGTACGTTCTTCTTTCGGTCATCCTTGGAACACCTCCTCTTCCTTATCCTTGGAACATCTCCTCTTCCTTATCCTTGGAACATCTCCTCTTCCTTATCCTTGGAACATCTCCTCTTCCTCCGCGGAAAGCAAGTCGTCTGCATCTTGCGCAGGAGTTGTGGTGACGTCAGAACGACACCGAGCTCTGATTGGCTAATTTGATTCAAAAGGATAGTGGGCAGGTGTGTACCCGCTATTTCTTTCCAATCAGCCAATAAGAGATCGGCGTTCTGACATAATGGGAACCCCTGTGTAAGAAGCAGAAGCAAGGATCACGCTGACGAAGGTAGGAGACAGAAACTCACAACTATTTTAACTATAGCCGGCCACCATGCTTTAGTGGCGCCCATCGTACGAACCTTCAGCCTCGTGATAACACGGATCCCAAAAGACTAACGTTGCTTCGTGACCCTGTTCCTTGAGAGTGTCTGAATGCGCGGTCCACGGTCCGGGCTGCAGGGGTGCCGGGTCCTCCGGTCGGTCTCCCGGCGTGGTGAACGCCACGGCCCCTTCGCCCAACGTCCGGCTCCGGATCACAGACCGGAGCGGAGCAGACGTGGCCGGCGCCAGGCTCGGGGACGAGCTCTTCCTCAGAATCGAGATGGACGACGACAGTGAGTATCCCTCCAGACGTGGACTGTACTCATTACAAGCAGATCGAATTACTTGATTACTTTTTGGGGTACTTTTATAATCATTTTAATGCATTCATTAGGACGTAATTACAAGAGTAATCCGGCTACCTATGTAAGCCCTAAGATTACCTGACCGGTACTATTAACCCCTCCTATCTCCCTTTCTTCTCCCTTCGTTCCTACGAGGTACAAATACTTCGAAGGATAAAACATCTAACGTAAACGTCTGGGCTAGTTGGTATTTCATGATCAAAAATTAAAACAGCGCGAGGACACGGACAAGAACAAAAAGGTAGACGAACAAGGCGCCTTGTTCGTCTACCTTCTTGTTTTTGTTCCTGTCCTTGCGCTGTTTTCATTTTTAATGATAAAACATCGAGGACGGTGATGGAAACAGGGCTTCTTTCCGTCCCCGTCCTCGATGTTTTCCTCTTTTCAAGTATTCGTATCCATTCAACAACACGCTCGTATTCAATTGTTCCTATAAGCTTCCTACCAACAAATCCAGAAAACCATTCTCCACCAGGAGGAAGCTTGTTGACAGAAATTGTTGGATTAAGAAGATAAGTTGTTTATAATTCGGTGATTCTAATCCAATAACGGACACTACAAAAAAACCAGTTTTCAAACTGGTAGAAAAAAAAATATGTTGTTTTGAGAATCCAAAGTAATCGAAAATGTAGCGGTTACTTGTCCAAATAACGGCATTTGCTTCTCAAGTGTAATCAAGTAATCTAATTTAATGCTGTTCTTTTTACCAAGAGTAATTGTAATTGTAATAAATTACATCTTTAGAGTATCGTGTATAAGAGGGAGCCCCTCTATCGATATACCTTTTTTCGAAAGTCGCGTGCCGATAGTTAGAAGATAGAGAGAAAATCTTCATCGACGGACAAACACCTTTTCCGGCGCTCCCCGAGCACGCTGTGAAGGTCGACACCGACGAGAAAGCACAGACTGAGGTGAGAGAGCATCACGGGAGAGGTGACTCAGCGAGAGTTGACCCCTTGGTGACCCATTGTTGACTCAAAGAGAGTCGACTCGTTGGGCAATTTTGCAAAAACGTACGCACACGATTGTGGAAAATGGCTCAATGGGTCAACTCTCCTATTCTTCGTTTTGAACTTGACGCAGCAGACGCTACGAGATGGGCTCAATCAAGCAGCGCCAAAAACGCAAATCATTGGGCATTTTCTGTTTGTGATTGGTCCAGCGATAATTTTCTTCTAAGCTACACAGAAACGTATTGTAACCATTGCAAATCATTTTTTTCTTTAACGCCGTAGAGTCAGAGATGTAAATATCGTTTCATGGTCCCTAAAGATTCCACATCTAGTCTGCTCGTCTTTTCAAGTATCACTCATCCCGATCCAGGTGTGTTTGGAATCTTCGCCCGAAACCTGGTAGCCACCAGCGGTCAGAACGACGACTCCATTGTACTCATCGATAGCGCCGGGTGAGTTTACAACATTCAACCTTATTTGTAAGAACTGACAGATGACACAAATGGGCAGATATTCGTTACAGCCGCGCTGCTAACGGGGCACAAGGCGGATCTGGTCATATCTGCCCAATATTTTAATTTCTCGCATCTTGATTACTATGAGCTTAGAGTAGATATTCGAATTTACATTGAAAATGTAAAAAAAAAAAAATTAAAAATCGTGGATTTTTTATGCATTTATTTTTGCACGACACCTCGAATGGTCACATTGTATGTTTCTGTATGAGGATGTTTAAAGACTGCCCGCGAAAACAGAGCTGGGTGATCCTGGAAAAAGAAGTCACTTCCCATTGCTCCGACAAACGCACTAAAAGAAACGCAAAGAAAAAAAAACGGCAAAAGATAATTAAGGCCAAAAAAATCAGAACCATAAAAAAAATAACAGTGGAATTGTGATATATCTCCGTCGGATAAACCTTATTCATCGCGCATACACGATATATATATATATATATATATATATATGTATATTGTCACGGGTGGTGGGTCGTGACCAATAAACAAGAAATAAACAGAAATAAATAAACGTTTAATGTGGCGAACTTGTGCCAAAAATAAAGAAGGAAACAGAAGAAAGCAGAGCGTCGCGGGCGTCGAAGTCGGCGTGTCAGAAGGATCGAGCGCTGGGGCGAGACTGACTCGACAAGGTCGCGGGCGGCCTCTTATCTAGAGTGAGTCAGTATCTCGAAGATTCGGCGGAGAAGGTTCGAGCGTAGCGCGCTCGGGGCGAGAATGAACAAGCACTTTCTAGAACAACAAAAACAGGGATGAACGATAGTTATGTCCGCAGCAAGAGTGAACGAGAACTTTCTACAAGTCCGTGACCCTGCGCGCGGCATTATCCCCCCCTTTAAAAAGTGCATCGTCCCGATGCAGCACAAAACGAAAAACAACAAACAAAAACAAATCCAAAACAAAAAGGCAGCAGAATCGCGAGCCGCAGTTCACAGTTCACTCGTCGACGAGAGTGGAAAGTTCTATCGTTCGTAATACGGCTTCAGCCGGACGACGTGCACCACCTCGGGTCGCGGCTGACGTCTTGCAGATGGGCGCGTTCCGTCGGGGAGGACTTCGTAGTTAAGATCACCTAGGCGACGAAGCACTTTGTAGGGTCCAAAGTATCGTTTCAGCAATTTCTCACTGAGGCCGCGGCGACGGATGGGCGTCCATACCCACACCCTATCTCCGGGCTGGAAGTGGACGTCCCTGCGACGAAGGTTGTAGCGGCCGGCGTCGACGCGTTGCTGGTCTTGAATCAGGAGTCGGGCGAGCTGGCGAACTTCTTCGGCGCTTTGAGCAACCGCCTGGGCGTCGTCGCTCTCGTTGTGAGATGGCTCATGGGGCAGCATGGCGTCCAGCATGGTCGTTACCTTCCGACCATGTACCAGCTGGAAAGGGGTGAATCCAGTGGTCTCTTGAACCGCCGTATTGTAGGCGAACGTGACGTAGGGCAGCACCTCGTCCCACGTCTTGTGCTCTACGTCGACGTACATAGAGATCATATCGGCGATTGTCTTGTTGAGTCGCTCCGTCAGCCCGTTGGTCTGCGGGTGGTACGCAGTTGTACGACGATGGCTGGTGTGACTGAGTCGGAAGATTTCTTGGGTCAGTTGTGCCATGAACGATGATCCGCGATCTGTAATCAGAACTTCTGGAGCGCCGTGCCGGAGGACGATGGACTCAATGAAAAACTTGGCAACTTCCACAGCAGTCCCCGAAGGAAGAGCTTTCGTTTCGGCGTACCGCGTGAGATAATCTGTGGCGACGATGATCCAGCGGTTCCCCGACGTCGAAGGCGGAAAAGGACCAAGTAGATCCATTCCGATCTGCTGGAAGGGTGCAGTTGGAGGAGAAATAGGCTGCAGGAGTCCGGCCGGCCTCGTCGGAGGTTTGTTGCGTCGCTGGCACTCGTGGCATGATCGTGTGTACAGGTGGACGGTCCTGGGGAGCTTGGGCCAGTAATACTTTTCACGAATACGGGCCAGTGTCCGGCTGTATCCAAGGTGTCCGGACGTCGGGTCGTCGTGACATGCTTGAAAGATCTCCCCTCGAAGGTCGGTCGGTATTACCAGCAGCCACGGCGAGTTGTTGTTCCCGAAGTTCTCTTTGTAGAGTACACCTTGTCGAATGGTGAAGGTCGGCACGGCTCGTGAGAAAACACGGGGTACGGTACCGCCGCGCCCTTCCAGGTGCTCGATTAAGGCTCGCAGCTCCGGATCGTCTCGTTGACGTCGTGCCATGTCATCGGTGTTCACTGCCCCTAGAAAGCACTCCTCATCATCGTCGTCGCTGCTGCCGGAAGGTGTTTCGACAGGGGCCCTGGACAGGCAGTCAGCGTCGCTGTGCTTGTGTCCTGACTTGTAAACCACAGTCATGTTGAACTCTTGTAGCCGGAGGCTCCATCGAGCGAGGCGTCCTGGCGGGTCCTTGAGGTTCGCAAGCCAGCAGAGCGAGTGGTGGTCCGTGACTACGCGGAACGGGCTTCCGTACAAGTACGGACGAAACTTCGTGATTGCCCAGACGACCGCAAGGCATTCTTTCTCAGTCGTGGAGTAATTTCTCTCTGCCTTGGACAGTGTCCGATTTGCGTAGGCGATGACTCGTTCGGTGCCTTCTTGTACTTGAACTAGTACCGCGCCAAGTCCTGCGTTACTTGCGTCAGTGTGAATCTCGGCGTCCGCATCCTGATCGAAATGTCCAAGAACCGGAGGCGTCTGGAGTCGTCGCTTCAGCTCGTCGAATGCCTGCTGCTGTTCCTCGGCCCATTCGAACCTCTCGGCGTCCTTCGTGAGGTTTGTGAGCGGTGCGGAAATCCGTGCGAAATCCCGAACGAAGCGACGATAGTAGGCGCAAAGTCCAAGGAATCTTCGCACGGCCTTTTTGTCTGTCGGCACTGGAAATGACGCGACGGCGCGAGTCCTCTCAGGGTCTGGGCGCACGCCTTCGTTGCTAACCACGTGACCTAGAAACTTCAGTTCGTCATAGGCGAACCGACACTTTGACGGCTTGAGGGTGAGTCCAGCGGTCCGTATGGCTTGAAGAACAGCTCGGAGTCGTCGCAAGTGCTCGTCGAAGTCGCTGGAAAACACCACGACGTCATCGAGGTAGACCAGACAGCTCTGCCACTTCAGTCCTGCCAGTACGGTGTCCATAACACGCTGGAAAGTTGCTGGCGCCGTACATAGTCCGAAGGGCATTACCTGGAACTCGTACAGCCCATCCGGCGTGACGAAAGCTGTCCTCTCTCGGTCCCGTTCGTCGACTTCGATCTGCCAGTAGCCGCTCTTCAGGTCCATCGATGAGAAGTATCGAGAGTGGCGCAGCCGGTCTAACGTGTCGTCGATTCGGGGAAGTGGGTAGACGTCTTTCTTCGTCACCGCGTTCAGCTGCCGGTAGTCCACGCAGAACCGAAGCGTTCCGTCCTTCTTCTTAACCAGTACGACTGGAGAGGCCCACGGACTGCTTGATGGCTGGATTATGTCGTCGTTCAGCATCTCTTGAACTTGCTCCTGGATCACCTCCCTTTCTTTAACGGAGACTCTGTACGGTGATCGATGCACAGGGCGCGCGTCGTCCTCGGTAATGATGCGGTGCTTCGCAACGGCTGTTTGGCGTACCTTCGACGACGTCGCAAAGCAGTCACGGTATTCGGCGAAGAGGGTAATCAGCTGCCGTCGTTTTGGGTCCGGAAGCTTAGGGTCGATGTCGAGTTGCGCTGGCGACGTACCGTCTTGCTGAGGTGGCGAAGATTCATCAGTAATGGCGGCGATTTCGGCGGAGTTTCGGAGATCCTCGACGTGGCCAACGGCTGCACCTTTCGTGAGGTGTTGCGTTTCATTCCGGAAGTTCGTCACGAGGACCACAGTGCTGCCATCCTGAAGTTCAGCTACTCCTCGTGCGACGCCTATTCCTCTTCCCAGGAGCAACTGGAGGTTACCTTCCAGAAGAACTTCGCTACGGGTAGCTGCATCGGTCACGACAGGTACGACAACACTTGATCGCGGCGGCAGATTCACGTGGTCGGCAGCGACTCGGACGGCGGCTGACGCAGTTTCGAGTTTCTCTGAAGGCGGAACAGGTGTCCGCAGCGTCAATCTGTTTTCTCCAAGGTCGATGACGGCGCCGTATTCACACAAAAAGTCCATGCCGAGAATGACGTCTCTGGAACAGTCTTGTAGAATGACGCATTTCACAGGACACGTCTCGCCGTGAATTTCGACGCGAGCGGTGCACCTTCCGACAGGCGTGATGAGGTGTCCTCCGGCGGTTCGTATCTGCGGTCCATCCCACGGCGTCGTGACTTTTCGAAGGTGGCGAGAGAGCCTCCCACTCAATACTGAGTAGTCTGCCCCGGTGTCAACGAGTGCCGACGCGTTTTGGCCATCGATAACAACGTTTAGGTTGTTGGACACCGTTGCAGGCGCGTCGGTGCAATGCGGGGCGTCGAGAGAGTGGGAGCGTTCCGGCGTTCTTGGAGGCTGTTTGCTTCCGTCGTTTTCGGCAACGTCACCTCCAGGCGTTGCCGCACTCAGTTTTCCCGACGACGCAGGGGAGACAGGCTCTCTCGGCGGGATCGTGGCGCTGGGGAGGCTGAACGTCGTGGCGATGGGGAGCGGGCTTCACGGCGGAGTGACGACACTGGGGAGGGGGAACGTCGGAGGTACTCCTCGATGTCGTGAGGGCGTTCGCCGTACCTCGGGCGTGGGTCGTTCGGGTGGAACCCACGCAGGCCCATTTGCCGGTAGGGACAACGACGGTAGATATGGTCGGCCTCCCCGCAGTGGTAGCACAACGGGCGTCGATCGGCCGTCCTCCACACGTCGGTCTTTCGTGGAGCAGCTTGTTCTGGGCGGACGTACGCCCGATCTTCATGGCGTCGTGAATACTGCGGCGCTAGAGGTTCACGTCGAGGTGGCGCCGTATACGGGTGAGCAGGGGGCGGTAGTCGTCGGGTAGCTGCGGCGTAGCTCAGCTTCGGTGGTTCAGGATCGGCGCTGGCGAGAACTTCTGGCTGCAGCGCCTGCTGAAGTTCTTCCCGGACAATCTCGGCGACTGAGGGCGTATCCAGGCTTGTGGCAGCAGGTAGCAACTTCTTCAACTCCTCCCGGACGGCTTCACGGATAAGGTCACGGATGTCGGGGAGGGTGGTGCCCAGGTCGGATCTAGATGTCGCTAGAGTAGTTACGCCAGGGTGTCGTTGGTAGTGTCTGGCGCGGGCTAGCAAGGCCCGTTCCATATTTGTCGCCTCCGTGATGAACTCGTCGACTGTTGTTGGGGGATTCCGGATGAGACCGCCGAAAATCTCGCTTTTCACACCCCTCATCAGGTGGTGCAGCTTCTTCTCCTCGGTAGCCTGAGGATCGGCGCGGGCGCTTAGGCGGAGAACATCCTCCACGAAGCCGGTGATGCTCTCGTTGGGGCCTTGAGTCCTGGTACGCAGTAAGTCTTCGGCTCTCTCTCGGCGGTGCTGGTTGACAAATGTCGCCTTCAGCTGGCTCTTGAAAATGTCCCAGGATGTCAATGAAGACTCGTGATTTTCGTACCAGCTTCTGGCAGTCCCCTCGAGCGAGAAATACACGTTTTGCAGCCGTTGCTCGTTGGTCCAGCTATTGTGGCGGGCGACGCGTTCGAATTGGTCGATCCAATCTTCAACGTCTTCGTGGAGTTCGCCGTGGAACGGAGCCGGTGTCCGAGGAGCGACGGGTAGGTAGACGACGGCAGGAGCGGCGGGGGCCTGCGACTGGTTGTCCATCGTCGTCTTCTTCGGCTTGGGTTTCTCCAGGAGCATACCGTACTCCGGATCCTCTCCCTTGGTGCGGCGGCTGGTCCGAGTTTCAGGTTCCGCGCTGAGTGGTCTTCTCAGCGAGCTTGGAGTCGGGCTTGCACTGCGGGTCCTGGGAGGGGAACGCTGCACGGGCATGCGGTACCCCGCACCTCCACCAAAATGTCACGGGTGGTGGGTCGTGACCAATAAACAAGAAATAAACAGAAATAAATAAACGTTTAATGTGGCGAACTTGTGCCAAAAATAAAGAAGGAAACAGAAGAAAGCAGAGCGTCGCGGGCGTCGAAGTCGGCGTGTCAGCAGGATCGAGCGCTGGGGCGAGACTGACTCGACAAGGTCGCGGGCGGCCTCTTATCTAGAGTGAGTCAGTATCTCGAAGATTCGGCGGAGAAGGTTCGAGCGTAGCGCGCTCGGGGCGAGAATGAACAAGCACTTTCTAGAACAACAAAAACAGGGATGAACGATAGTTATGTCCGCAGCAAAAGTGAACGAGAACTTTCTACAAGTCCGTGACCCTGCGCGCGGCAATATATATATATATATATATATATATATTAACTAACTATTAATTAACTGAGAGCATTACCTTTGCTTTGCATGAATCCCCGTCCCAATCTAGCTGCCCAACCGATCGTAACATCTTCCCTGCACTCGAGCCCAACGTGGGCGACAAGTCCAGGGGCTTGCAGAGTCGATTCGAGGCCTTCAAGTTCGCGGACGACGTGGTCGTTCGTTTCCAGGTGAGTGTGGTCAGTCACGTGGCGCCAGAACATGTTTCTTAAACAAAACATTCGGGAAGACAGTCAAACTTTCGCTCGGTATTAAAAACCTCAGGAAAGCTCTTTTCCTAAAAAAAAGAAGTGGGTTCGCGAAATTTCCATTTTTTTTTTTTTTTTTTTTTTTTTTTACGACTGTTGCGATTGCACTTCTGCGTTCCCCGAACGCGGCCGCCGGTCACCATATTAGTTCATAACGTCGGTGAGGTGAAGGGGTCGTTGAGACCTCTCAGTCTACAGATTAAGTTCGTACTCTTTTGTTGTCATTTGTAGAAGATGTTGCCTGAAACCTCGCGTAAACGCTAGGCGCTGCGTCGGAAGATTCGGGAGAAATTGAAATCGCGGAAAGGCAGACACAGATCGCTTCGAAAACGTGTTGCGACCAACAAGCGCGAATTCGACGTCGCCTTGTACAGTGGTGGTGATATGTTCTACACTCTCTTGCACGCTTCAATACGGGTCAAGAACCGACTCACCATTCTCTGAGAAAACCAAAACTTCTACAAAGAATCCTCAGTCAAAGGTGTTGGACCAAGGCAGGCGATTTGGGATGCAAGCCCATTTCGAGCGTGCTATACTTTCTCTATCTGCCCAGTACCAGAGACGCCATACATGTTGATACAAGTTACGCAGTTTCTCTTAGATTTCCCATGGTGCTTACATCATCAAAATAAACATTGCAAAACCCCTAAGGCGTTCGTTCAACACAGAGTGACCGCAACAGAGGGGCTTGGCGTCGCTTCAGCGGTCATTGTACCTTCTGCTGAGCGCCTAACTTCGTACATTTCATGGCCGCCCAATTTCCTTAACTCTGCAAGAACAAGCAGGAATGATAGCCAGCATAGGGCTTAGACTTCCCGCGCAATTGTCGTATGGTGAGCTTAACCGGTGAGCCTAACTGCATACAGTCATGTCTCGTGAATATGGACACCTCCTCCTCCTCCCCCCCCCCCCCCCCATTCCCTGTCCATAATGTGAGTCGCCCGCGTAATAACTAAATAAACATCCATGTATTTATGCAGTTCATCCCCGCAAATTTTGTAGCAGGGTGTCATATAGCAAAGGGGTTTATGTTTACTATGGTCCCAGACAACGTGACGACAGGGTGGTCCTTCCGCGTGCTGTCCCGCCTCCAGCGCGGGCTTGTCCGATAACGCTAAGCCTCGCCGTGCACGCAAAGCCAAAGCAGGACGGAAAGCAACATCCTGGAGGCTGGGTGCTCGAATGAGACGTCCTGCCACCTTGTCGGTGACTCTTGGCGACATTTCGGTGCTATCCCTCTTACGGTTTCTATATATATTCGTCACAACCCGGGACTATCGATTACCAGCGACAATTTCGATACGTAAAAATCACAAGGGAAGCGATTCATCGCGTCCTGAAATCAACATTATCAATGTCTACAGCCTGATGACGATCCTCTAATCTCCAGTAATTAGAGTAGAAGTCACCGTACTCAAGTCGTCCTATTTAGCGTTGGCCAATCATGGAATGCAGACCAGAGCGACGCTTTTGGTGCATGGTTCTGGTTTGTCTTGCTTATATACCGACTATAGCCCAACTCTCGACATTAAAGACTGACGTCAGTTCGCGCTTTCCACTTTTCCCTCGCTTCCTCCTCTCCCCCTTCTACCCTGTCCGCCCTTGCCTGTTTCCTTCTCCCCCATGGTGAGGAGGATCTTCTGCCTTGCAGAATCTTAAGTCTAGTGGTCGGCCTTTAACAGAGGTGGACATCCGAACCGCTTCGCAGGTGACCGTCCAGTTCTGTCTGCACGAGTGCGCGCCAGTCGCGTGCAGCCCGGCCCAGCCGGGCTCGGCGACGTCGTTCGGGAAACGACGACGCCGTCGCATGCACTCACGTCGGCGCTGGCTCGAGACCCGGAGTCGAAGGGCCGCTGCGCCAGTCTCGACCACGACGACGACCAGCACCACAACGAGGAGCCCCCTGAAACAGGCCGGTCAGCCGACCATGCTGCCGGAGTATCCGCTGCAACGGGAGATCATCGTGCAGGGCATTGGTGGAAGGGGGTCCGACTCGGGCATCTACACCAGCCGGGACAGGCGTAAGGAATGATTATGGCCTGGAAATATTGTTACTCCCTTCGGGGCTGCTTTTCGGTGTGTTCCCAAGACGAACACCCTACCGATATCAAGAAAAATATGGAACCCTCAGCGGCAGCAGTCACTTTGTTCGCTGCAGACATATGGTTCTGCGGGCACTGTTCAAGCATGCATGTTCGAAGTATGTTTTTTTGGAACATGTCTGCAAAAAGGTTTTGCATGACCTGTGTCATACGTGGCAGAAACAGCGCAAGTTTGTCTGCTTCTGGAACAGGAGTTGCGGTGTCGTCGGAACGTCGAGCTCTGATTTGTTTCGATTGGAAGGATAGGGGGCAAACCTCATGGCAGCTAGTATTGATGTCTATACCTTTTAATTCAAAACAACTAATCTCCGATTAAATTCGTAATCGATGGAAAAGAGCAAAAGAATCTCATATCGCTGAAGCACAAGCCTTATACCCTTCTCCACGAAACGTCATTGTTCCATCAACTTTTGCCATCAGTTAAACTGTGCTAGGTGATCTCCTCTCTCCCAGCGTCTGTTTTTCGGTCGCTGCCTTTAAAGCCCAAAGCCTTCACTAAATCAGTATCGCTTTGAACAACTGCAGGGTGAAGCCCTTCACAATAAATTATTAAGTGTTCAGCCGTCTCCTTTTTCTCCCCACACACTGTATCTATGTCCTGATATTTCGCTCTGTACACCCCACTCCGTAACGTCCATGTCCTGGCCTCAAACAACAACGAGCTTACCCTGGAATTTTCACAGACGCTTTTCTTAGCAATATCCATTTTAGATTTTCTATACGTCTTCTAAGTCAATTTAGTCTGCATTCCCACTTCCCATGTTTCCCTCTCCGCTGCTTTAACTCTCTTCTTAACTGTAATTTTCCGATCCGCGCCATTATTGCCAAATCTTTTCTACCCGAGTTTTAACGTTCGCTCCCTCTACTTTGTATCCACGCCCTCCGTGTACAAATATAGCCCAAAACTCTCCGTGCCCATCGTGCAGCCCAAAAGTTGACAGTGATGACCCGTGTCCGCAGCCTCCAAGGCTGACTCGAGGATGGTGTGCGCCACACCCAGCGTCCTGACGGCGGCCGTGGTGGCTGCGTTCCTGGTGCAGCTGGCCCTCTTCGCGGCCTGCCTGTCCTGCGTGGCCCTGGCGCGGCGCTGCGGCAGCAAGCGGCACGACATACCGCGCAGCGTCGACGACGACGAAGAGAGCGACACGGTGACCCGCGTCACCGCCACTAGCGTACCCAGACGCGTGTGGACGTCGTCTTTCCGCTGAGGCAACGCCACCTAGGAGACGAGAATTTTCCACGCAACACGTCATCACGAAAGTTGATCCAAGCTTGTTAACACTATAGTTGATCCACTCATCGCCGCCACGGTGCTTGAAACGCGGCGTCTCCGACAGCTGTGTTTATTCCGCCAATGCATCGAAAGTAATCCTTAAAGGGCAACTCCGCTCAATTCCGAAGATTTCGGGATAATGATTGATTTCGAATTAAAAAGCACTAGTAAAACACACTACGTCGTTTGTTTCGCGAAAAATGGGATAAATATTTTTAAATCTGATTTTAAACACGAGCGGAAATCGAAACCGAAACTTCGGCTCCGCCCGGCAACATTGGCCTCGGGTCGCCAAGTACATGGCCATCACGTGGTACGAGATGTCACGTGATCCTCAGCACCAACGACGGGCGGGATTGGGGCGGGCGTGTGGCAGGCGCGAGTGTCGTCTGCACCGCACTCTTCGCCACGTTTTGGTGTCTACGGCATTCGACGACGTCTGCACAACTGCGGCGTAAGTGTGCGCGCAGGTGGTGTCCGTAGTGTGGACGAAACTCCGAGATACAATAATCACAATCGGTGAGACGACGACGGCGGTTGTGACGCGGAAGACGGCGGTAACGGCGGGACCACGGCGGGCGGCCGGACGGCTCCCAAGACACGCGCTGCGCAGGCGCGTTACGCCAATCACGTGGACACTGCTGAGCGCCGAGAGGCAACGTTGCTGACGTCATGCGCTACGCTCACCCGGAGATGTGAAAACAAGCAAAAGGGGGCCATGTAGATGGCGTTTAGCTCAATGTTGGCTCCGCCCATGCCGTAGCCTTGACTGCGCTGTTGGTTGCGCCTGAATTCGCCCGCTCAAGTCAGCCGATTTCGGCAACTTGGCGAGTTGCAAAGTTTGCCGGATTTAAGAAACATTTAGACAGAACTGCGTCGTAAGATTTCACGTGTGGTCTTCCTAGGCGATACTGAAGAGGACTGCATTGTTTTTTCAAAACCAAAAATGAAGCGGAGTTGCCCTTTAAGTGGCAACGAATGATGTCACAGAAGCCAGAGTGTCATGCTGTCGGGTGTCGCGGTTCCAATGGTTGGGGGTACAAGTGCTCGGGTAAAAAGAAAAAATCCGGGGACACCTAAGCGCTTCCCATGAGTTCTGGACGCGAAAACATGAATGCCGTTTTCCGCTCCCTTAGTTTGTCTGCGGCGTACTGGCGTGGACGGCCACGTTTCGTTACTGCCGATGTAGCGGCCGACGGCCGAGCGCGCGCTCTCGTGAAGTGGCCGCGCCGCGCTGAGCTTGGCCGTGCAACCTCTCCGGAGTTCGCCCGTGCGGGTTCCGCGTCCAGCCGCTCCATCTTATCGGCGGCCGGGTCGCGGCGTGCGCCGCGCCGCCATGAAGAGGGCTTTTCTTGTGGCGTTCCTTGGAACTACGCCGCGCGAGAGCCAATGGGAGCCTCGTTCCTTGAAACTAAGACGCGCGCCAGCCAATGGGAGCCTATCCATCAGATTTCTGCTACAGAAGACAGCTTCGCTCCATTCGGACAGGGGAAGGTGCCGTTTGACGCGGTTTCAAAAGCTGATGATGTCGGTTCGCCCCATGGGACAGTTAACGCTTTCGTATTAAAAGCACGAGGGAACGCGAGTGTCGCTGTTGTCACAGCCACCCAACTCGTGGCTGTCGAAACGTCCGTGGACTGCGAAGCTGTAAGACGACCTGCAGCAGAGCAGGCGTCCGCCGCATCCACCTCCGCTGCAGTGACACCGCCAGTTCCACCGACATGACACTTCTATGACGTCACCAGGCGGAGCACTCAGCGACCGCGTTTTAGGACGCGGTAAACACACCATGTCGGAGCAATACCACCTAGAAGGCAGGGTCCCCTCCAACGTCATCGCTAGTGGAGCCACGGAGCGCCGCCCAGCTTGCGTTGGCATCGTGGACAACGCGTCTTGCAGCGTCCCACAACGAGCGCGACGTTAGCAGGCGGCGACGCCAAGACGGACGCTTTTGCCAATATGCGGTGATTGTTTTCCGCATAGACGGATCGGAGATCCACGAACGGTGACGTCATGCGCAGTCCTTGCCTTCCAGGTGATTTTGGCTGAGGGCACCGGCCTTATGTATAGCATATACAAGGTGTTCACAATGGATCCTAGTGTTGTAAAACGAGCTTCAAAAATCGCCGCCTCCACGTAGAAAGCTTAAACTGTCACCGAATGTTGATTTCGGTGGTTTATTTTATCTGGCGAGATTTCGAGGCTTAGCTGCCTTCCTGCGAAACTTTGAGACCAGCAAACTTGCCAGGGTCCACGTAGTCCACGGCGGACCCGGTTGCAGACGATCGAGTTAGCGATGGCTGTGCCTAGATTTCAGAGTGTTTCCAACTGTTCGACAGGGGTCACGTGAGTTACGGGCCGCGTGAGCGATACGAGCTGCGAAGAGAAGCCGGAAGCGTTGATCGCCTGCCAGCGTCTCCAAGATGTGCGTGCAGACCTATCGCCCAGTTCGCTCGGCTCCTCTCATTGGTTGATTCGGGGGGGGCTTTTGCTCTTTTTTTGTTGTTTTGCAAATCTTACGTTGAAAGGAAGGATGGGGGGGGGGGGGGGGGGGGTGTTACGCTTAGTTATTTGTATCGTCTTATGCTTCTGAATCCGTTCAATTATCAGTATGCAGGCTTCCTGCTTCCGAATCGATTTTTGTTCGTCTTCTGCCCCAAGATTGGTGCCATTTCAAGTGAGCCCGACGGACTATTCATTTTCAAGAGATGATTACGCTTTTGTTTGCTTTGGAAAGAAAGCTTTCCCAGCAGAACCTGACACACGAAGCGGTCAGGTGACTGTCTAATGACAACAACAAAAAAGTAACTAAAAAAAAAGATAGAGCGCATGCGTAAAACCCGATACTTGTCATGCTCTATGAACGTGTAGAATTTGTTTTGCGCTTTGTAGCTGTAAGAGAGCTGGAAACCCTCGCCGATGTTTTCACGTGGGACACGGCTGTGACAACCGTTGAATACCAGTTTTTGGTAAACTGTGACACGAACAAAAGCGCAGTATTAACTCAAATCACTACCGCTTCTTTTTTTTCTGTTTTTAAGGGGGTTGGGGGGCGTGGGAAAAAAAAGGGGGGGGGGGTGTTAATTGACCTACACATTCCCCTAATAAAATAATTCGGCAAAACAACGCCTATAATTTATTCTTGTTGCTTTTCAGTTTGTGGAAAATTGTCGAATGTATCAGCAGATGTATTTGGTGCCCCGCACCGCGGATGTTGGTGCATATTCTGGGGATACTGAGCCGTGCATCGACGTGATGTCAAATAAAACTGACATTCTTACCCAATACATATTCCAAATGATGACTCGTTTTTGATTTGTCTCTCCATTTACTGCGCTCACGTATTTTCTCTGCGGTACGGAGGATCTTGGGTAAAACCAGCTGAACAAAGGAAGGAAAGTGACAAGGAGAAAAGATTGGCGAACCGACCGCTGGACTACCAACTGTTTTTTATTAAAACATTCTCTTCTTCTATTAATTCATCTCCGATCATCCTTTTTCTTTTTCTTTCTCATTGCTCTTATTTTTGCTCTTATTTTGCTTATTTTTTTCTCCCGATTTTTATCAATTACCCACGAAGGGTGCCGTGTAGAAAGAGTTTTTCTTTGGCTTGTAAGGTAAGTGAAGGGATGCTCACGCACTTGTCATCTCCTTCGTCGATAGCAAGGGCCTCTAAAACCTCCCTTGCAACCCGGTTTCTATGGTGTCCCATTATGTGAAGATTGTCGAGCTCTGCTGTACACAGGCATGTCCGACAATGGGCAGCTAAATGTCCTGGTCCCGCAAGGTTCCTGAGGTTCGCTGCATGTTCACGTGCTCGGTCGTTAATACATCGACCGGTCTGTCCGATGTAGAAGCGGCCACATGTTAGCGGTATGTGATATATAACTTCCTTTTCACAGGGAGCGTATTGTGTTCGGTGCCTGGTGTTACACTTTTCCTTGGTGTTGATTGGTACCTGATTAATTTTGCGGCACATTGAATAGGCCTTGTTAGGTGCCGAGCAGATGACTTGCACGTTTTGCCGGTTCGCTATCTTTTTTAACTTATGGGTAACCCCGTGAATATATGGTATCACTACAAAGGGTGGTCTGGGTTTTTTTGTTTGTTGACTCGTAGCTTTGTTCGTCTTGATGGTGCGGCATATTTTTTCACAGATGGAGGCCATCATGGGTTTCGGGTATCCCGCGTTATGAAGCCGAGACATTTGGGTGTCAAAACTTTGTTGTACTTGATGTGGACATGATTTCTTTAGACTAGCTGTAAGGGCTGAGATGGCCACAGCTTGTTTTACGTTCTTAGAATGTTCCGATTCAAAAGGAAGAAATGCCTTCCCTGATCGTGCTTGATATTTCCAACAAACATGTCCTGTTTTGAATGTCAAAGCTAAATCCAGAAACCGAATGGAATCGTCCACAGGAGTCTCATAGGTGAAGTTTAGACCCAAACAGTTTTGTTGGAATAGTGTCATGCATGGTGGTGTTGAGGCATCCGTCTTCTTTTTCGTTAATTTTTGTGGTGGATAGAATAAGATAAGAAAATCGTCCACATATCTAAAGATACCCGCTATGCGTGTATCTTTTAGTACCTTCTGGATGGCTCGTCCACACATGGCAAGAAAAATATCACATAGAAGAGGAGCCACTTGTGAGCCGATGCACACTCCACTCTTTTGCACGTACTGGTGTTCTTGATGATCTACTACAGTCGCTGACAGGTAACATTGTAGGATTTCTAAGAAATGACCTACGCTCATCCCTGCATTATTTTGGAAATTAAAAAGGCCACTTTCTTCGATGGTGGTTTGAATGATTTGTAGGAGGCTTGTGTGGGGAATAGAATAGTAAATGTCTTGTACATCTATAGAGAACCCGGAGGCTATGAGGTGTCCCTGTTCTTGAAGGAAGGATATTACGTGCTCTGAATTTTGTATTCGGAAAGGGTCATCGATTTGTACATTGGATAGTTGTTGGGTCAGAAATTTGGACACGCAGGCCTGCCAGGTGGTTCGTTCCGAGACAATGGCCCGAAAGGGAACTCCCTCCTTGTGAGTCTTGGCTGAAAAAAACACTGATAATAAGTCTTTTTTTGCCGCTTTGATCTTGGTGATTAGACCCGCCTGTTGAGTGTCACCGAGCAATCTGAGGATGGCTTGTTTCGCTGCTTTTGTACGGTGATTATCGACTTGAACGAAGTTCTTGGCTATGGCCTGGTGAGCTTTTTCCTTGTATATGTGGGATGGTAGAACGACGAAGCCACCTTGCTTGTCTGAAACACATAAGTTAAGTTGTTTGCTCCTGAGCTCTTCTATAACGGAACCAAAGTTTCCCTTGGCCTGGGCCTGGTGGTTTAGGCTAACAAGAACCTGAAGACCATCTTCAATGATCTGTGGACCTCTGTCTTGTGGGGCTTTTGCGGCTATTTGGCGTAAGAGGACTACCTTATCAACAGCCTCAAGCTTCGGCGCTGAGGCAAATTTTGGTCCTTTTTCCAGCACGTGTCTTGCTCTGGGTGATATTGGTAGGTCTCCAATAACATGGAGTGGAGAAATTTCCAGGTCAATCCTACCTTGACGATGCACATGCAGGTGATGACGCCAAATTGGGAGGTAGTCCCTAACCCACAGAAGTTCCGTGATGTGATTTGTCATGATGAGGTGATTTGAAAACTCGTTGTGGGTTGGACATTTTACTCGTAGGAAGTCGGTTAAGAGGCGTACCTGGCGCCATTTCTCGGAGCGGAGGATTTTTGACACACGTTGTGCGTGTCCCTGTGAAGGTTTCACTGCCCCAAAGAGGTGTTGAACTTGATCCAAGATGAGTTTCTTTTTAATGCTTCGAGAGAGCAACCGTGCTTGACATATGGAGTTGGAAATGAGCGAACTTAAGGCGTACTGGTCAAGGAGGTTAAAATTAACATAGGGTGTGCTCAGGTAACAAGAAAGGTAACTTACTAAGGGTAAAAGCTGAGCTAGTTGGTTCTGAGACATCTTGGGTAAAACCAGCTGAACAAAGGAAGGAAAGTGACAAGGAGAAAAGATTGGCGAACCGACCGCTGGACTACCAACTGTTTTTTATTAAAACTTTCTCTTCTTCTATTAATTCATCTCCGATCATCCTTTTTCTTTTTCTTTCTCATTGCTCTTATTTTTGCTCTTATTTTGCTTATTTTTTTCTCCCGATTTTTATCAATTACCCACGAAGGGTGCCGTGTAGAAAGAGTTTTTCTTTGGCTTGTAAGGTAAGTGAAGGGATGCTCACGCACTTGTCATCTCCTTCGTCGATAGCAAGGGCCTCTAAAACCTCCCTTGCAACCCGGTTTCTATGGTGTCCCATTATGTGAGAAAAAAACTCTTTCTACACGGCACCCTTCGTGGGTAATTGATAAAAATCGGGAGAAAAAAATAAGCAAAATAAGAGCAAAAATAAGAGCAATGAGAAAGAAAAAGAAAAAGGATGATCGGAGATGAATTAATAGAAGAAGAGAAAGTTTTAATAAAAAACAGTTGGTAGTCCAGCGGTCGGTTCGCCAATCTTTTCTCCTTGTCACTTTCCTTCCTTTGTTCAGCTGGTTTTACCCAAGATGTCTCAGAACCAACTAGCTCAGCTTTTACCCTTAGTAAGGTACGGAGGAGAAAGGGACGTCGGTTTTTTCCTTCTTAGTGACGTATGCAATAAGCACCTCGGTGAACCAATTCCACTGCATAGTTCGGCCGTGCAATAAGGATGGACACTGCGCGACACTGTTAGTACGAACACGACTTCGGAGTTTTTTCGCATTTTACTTCGAGAGAGCCCTGGTGGTCCTCAAAATTTACCACGTAGATTAACTTGGTACCTTATCTGAGCACTTTCCACCACTGTAGATCTAATGGCAGTCTTTTAATACTGAGAGAAAAAACCAGCGAGGGCTTGTTCGCGCTAACAGTGTCTTCATTTTTCGGTTGAGGTAAGTGAATTGCTAACTATACCTAAACAATAGCCCCTTCAAAACTTACGTCCTCTACGGTCGATCTGAAAATACTGCAAAGTGGCATGCGTGAATAACACCAACAAGCTGGCAAGTCTATAACTGATCCAATACTCATTTCCAAGAGACTAAAACTAACAGTCTTGCCATTTTTATGGTGTCTTTTGTGCACGCCGCCTTGCAATATTTTAAGATCCACCGTAACAGGGCGTGATTTTTAAGGGGTCTAGGAGATTAGGGTGCCTGCATGTCTGTCTGTCTCAGGGTGAAGACATCCATTGTTGCCCTGAATGTGCCGGCGCGTGACGCTCTCGCGCACTCGGTGCACGAATTGGGCGGTAAAATGGCGTCTATGCATTAACCAAAGCTACGCGCTCGAGCTGAGTGACACCAGATTGCGCGCTCTTCGAAACGCATAAAGAAACGAGTGGGCGGAAAAATGTCTGAGATGGCACCACTCAAGCAAAAGCGCGCGTGTGTATGAAGGCACTCTATAGGAGATCGAACAGTCACGCCTCTAGCGGTACGCTTCAGCCGTGTGGACAACAAACCGAATTCTTTTGTTTGTTTTTGACCAGATAAATTGAAGATGACGATTCGAAGGCCGCTTCCCATGCGACCAAAGCACTGATCAGACGGAATCACTCGTGCCCGGGCCGTATACTAGGAGAGGTTTAATTTCTTTGTTATGCCCGTGTTAGTAAAAACCGGGCTATGTGCACAACAAGATCGATAAAGAGTCCCCTATATAGTTCGATCTCCTGCCCAATAAGGGAAGCTTCTAACAACTTTTCCGAACAAAGAGGATGAAAGAGGAGGTTTAATGGTACTAATAAGGTCTTAGAGTACTAATATGGTCTAACAGAAACAAAAGCAAAACCTGTCATTTTACGAAAAATCTCAACATGGCGACAATCGCGAACTACGAAAAGTTTGGAAAATTTAGAAGGCCTTGACATCTTTTAGAGTATTCCTCATTGCGCCGCCAGCATGCACGTACCGAAACGACCATACACGGTGAGAAATTGAGGAAGAGAAGGAGATCACCGAGAGTGCGGGAACGTAGCGCCGAGTTGGCCGAGCTCTCATTGGAATCCTCAGTGGATAGACATAGAATCACTAAATAAGCTACGCTTCAAAGTACTTCAGCCATCTTGGTGCTTAAAATCATGAAAGCCAGTTATCCGAAGCTTTATCTGAAATCGCAGGAAACACTTTTCTGTCCTTCAAAAATGTTAAAAAGTTCGCGACAGAGCAAAGCGACACCACCTGAGGCTCCTAACACCGTACCTCAAACTCAGGAAGTCGCATTTTTTTAATTGTGACGATCGACAATTACGTCTGCTCTGCGCCAAGCACCAAGATGGCGGCACCATCTTGGTGCTTGGTATTTTCTTCTTTTTTTTTTTTTTTTGTCGTTAGACAGTTTACAAAATACCGCGCACAACAGCTCCTCAGCACTGCTCAGTTCTGGCTTATCATCAACCTACTTTATTGCACTTGACGTTTGAGCGCGGCTCGCCTAATTGTGATTGGTCAACAGACTGCACACTGCCATATATGGGCCGCGCTTAGAAATTTTAATTTTCGCCGTCTTGTAGTTTTATTTTCGAAAACCCTCCTTGGCTCCACAGCGTTGCTCTATTTGTGCTGCCATGTGATCCATTAGAGTAGATTTGTAAGAAAGCCATAGTTAATTGTGCATAAGAGCAACCGTACAGATTGCTTTCCCCCCTTTATTGATGTAGGAACTCGCCGGAACAGCTGGACCATCCAGAACTACGTGGCCGATATTTGATGCAAAGACATCTACGCGCGACGCACATTCAAAACTTTGCCGCGGCGCCGATTTTTGATCGGTATCCAAGCGTGCGAAGCCACAGAGACGCAGCACTTCGGCGTGCCAAAGAAGCTTTGATCACGCCGCGAGACCGGAGTTGTGCCGTTTTCCTGCGGCACTGCGCTTCCGTAAATATTTCCTCGTGTTCTCAACGGCGAGAGTCACGGCTTACGAGGTTTTTAAAGAACTTCTTCGGCGAATGACGACGCAAGAGTAGAAAACGTGTCTTCAGCATGCTGCCGCCAGCCTCCGCAAAGCTCCAGAAACATGATTTTTCAACATGCAAAAATTGCCGTCCAGTGGATTCACTCGCGGGAGCGGGAAGCGCGAGATCAGTGGGTGAACGGGATACCAGTTTATCGCTAGCCCCTCTACCTCGTTGTCGGCACGCGACTTTTTTTCAGTACAAAAATAAGCAAAAAAAAAAAGCGACCAAGCCAAGGCACCAAGTCAGCAAGCCAGTCATAGCCGAACGCTGGCCGAACAACAGAGATCGGTCGAACAAACGCTGTTCTTTTCGCATCACAACAAGATGCTGCGTAAAGGCGATACAAACGAGTGATTCACACGCATTACTCCAAGCTCGACAAAATAAGAGACATCAAGGAACCGATTTCATCTTGCCGGTCTGCTTCGAACATTTCTAACCATGACTGAACGGGCGTTCGAAAACCAAATCCCCGACTACGACGGCAGCTCGGACGTCGATCTGCCGGACGGAGAGGTGCGTAGACATTTCTGCATTCCCTTCAAGCACTCTGCCGAAAAGTCCGAAGTCGAAAATGTCGCGGCCGGTTCGTTTCAGTTCACGAACAAGTTCGACCAGGACGCCAAGAGGCACGTCCTGGAGCTGGCGGGAGTGCTGGAGAAGGACCTTGACAAGCACACTAACAGGGATGACGCTTCAGAGTACACCGGCACCGCAGGTGTGGAAGGCTTATCGAACATTAGTTTACAGTTTCTTGTATTACCAAGATCGGATGCAGGTGCTTCTAGAGAGAGGAAAGGAAAAGAGGGATGGGGAGGAGCGGCGGGGGCTGCGGGGCAGATTATACTCCGTTTCACCTTATGTTGTACCGCAGACAAAGCTAGAAGCGCGAGCTCATAGCGTTGGGAGCTATTCTTAACGCACGAGAGCTTGTGCTGCCGAGATGTGCCCTAGAGCAAGGAGCTCGCGCGTGTAGCCTTTCCTGCAGTACATCATAACGTGAAACAGAGTATAAGAGGTATAGAAATAGATGAGGAAGGCACAAAAAGTCTGGGGAGTGACCATAAGAGAATCAAGATCAGATTTGGCACAGTAAAACCAGAAATGCAAAGTCAAAAACAAGAGGGTAGAAATAACTTAAATGATAAACAATTACAAGAGGTATCTAAGCGTATCGAGAACATAGTATCCGAGCACGCGGGAAGAGAATGGACATATGAAGACTTAGTGTTTTCAAAAGAGAGAGAAATATCGAATCAAACAAGAAGGAAGAAAACTAAAACGCCAGCTCAAAAGCTGGTGGGATAAAGAGGTTAAGGCAGTGATATCAAGACACCAAGCGGCATATAGAGTACACATATGGGCAAAGAAAATGGAGGCCACACCAGCGGAAGGAGCATCAAAATGGGAAGACTTTCAGGAAAGAAAGCGGGAGGCATCAGCATTAATACAGGCCAAAATATAGAGGGCACGGGTCCAGTGGATGATAGAGATAAACCAGAAGGATAGGAATGCGGCAAAAAGGTTCTGGGAACACATCAGTGCACAGAAAAGAAGACCGAGGGGTATTAGCAGACACTAGCCACACACAGACATACAATCGAAGCGGCATTTTCTGCGTTATTTATTTATTTATTTATTTTATTACCCTCAGGGTCCGGGCGTTACAGAGAAGGTGGGTACAATGGGTTTGCTAATTACAATGATTAATTCACAGCACAAAAAATAAAGAACAAAACAGAAGAAAAGGTGATAACCAACAAATTGCAGAGTTATAAAAGTAATCAATTATGGCTGCCTTGAAAGCAGAAATATCTTCAATCGCGGCGATGTGTGTGGGAGAAGGGGGTTCCAGTCTGAACAAGTTTTTGGCAAGAAAGAAGCAAAGAAAGATGTTAGTGGTGCAATGAGGTATGGCAACTTTGCATTGGTGATCAATCCGGGATGAAAGGTATGAGGCTGTAAAAGGAGTTCCTGTTTCAGTACTGGGTTATGAAAAAGAAAGACGCGCAATTTTTCTTCGAAACATTAGTTCAGAAATACCAGCATTAGACTTCATTGGTGACACGCTAGCAAGGCGGTAATAATTAGAGTTAATAAAACGGCTGATCGATTTTGAACAGATTCAATTGCATCAATAAGATAACGTTATGCTGAATCCTATATCACAGAAGAATATTCGAGCTTTTGGGCGGATGAGTGTACGGTAAAAAATAAGCTTCAGAGAAAAAGGGGGCTTGAGCAAAATTTCGACGTAAGAAGCCGAGAATTCGATGAGAATTATTAATAACGTAGGTAACGTGGGTTTGCCATGAGAAGTCATTAGTTATGTGAACTCCAAGGTATTTGTACGAAATGACGTGCTCAAGGGAAATATCGTTAATCTTGTAATCACATGATAGAGAGGGGTTAGGGCGAGGTGAGAATGACATGCTTTTACATTTGGTAATGTTAAAGGTTATCAGCCATTTATTACACCATGAAGAGACGTGGTCCAGATCAGATTGGAGAATAGATTGATCGGATAGGTCATTTATTTGACGGCAAAGAACGCAGTCGTCCGCGAATAAATTTATAAATGACTGAATACCATTAGAAAGGTCATAATATATTAGGAAGAACAAAGGGCCTAAAACGGAACCTTGAGGAACACCGGATTTACCAAAGAAAAGGAGATGAACTACAATCATTCGCTATAACAAATTGTGTGCGGTTAGTCGAAAAACATTCAATCCATTTTAAGATATTAGGGTCAATATTTAAGGCTGCAATTTTGAGAAAAAGAGGGTGATGTGGAACTTTGTCGAATGCTTTTGCAAAATCAAGAAAGATCCAGTCCAAAAACTGACCACGATTCAGGCCCGACGTTATGTCATTTGTAGAAGAGAGCAGTTGCGTTTCGCAGGAATAGTGTCTACGAAAATAATGCTGGGAGGGGTTAAAAAATGAATTTGAATCTAGAAATGATACGAGATCTGAATAGATTACGTGTTCCAAAAGTTTACAAGGAATACTTATTATCGAAATTGATCTGTAATTAAGAGCGGACTATGCATTACCGAACTTGTAAAGAGGGACCACCTTTCCCACCTTCCAGTCGCGTGGTACAGTCGAGCACTAAAAAGATTGCATCAAGATATAAGATAAAATTATAGACGAGTATACTTCTGTATTTTTTTTTACCACTTGAGGTTAATTTCGTCGACGCCACAAGAAGATGAAAGTTTCAACTTCCGTTTAAGGTTCGCAATTTCCACAAAATCAAAGACAATAAAATCCTTTGGGAAAAAAATCCCGATTACACAGATGCGCTACAGTACTAGAAGATGAAACTGGAAATGACCCAGCAAAAGCATTGTTTAACACGTTACAACATTCCTTGCTGCGCGTCACCTGGCCATTCAGAAACAAGCTATGTTGTACCTTTCTTAGTAGGTTTTATGATCTTCCAAAACTGAGAGGGGTTACAAGACAAGATTGATGGGAGCGTATTGTTAAAGAAGACGCGCTTGGTCTTTTTGATAAAGATACAATAAGCAGATAGCGTGTCCCGGTAGGTGGACCATCGAGCGGCATTTTTCGCGATTTTTGCTCGACGGAACAACCTTTTTTCTTGTTCTGTAGTTTTTTAAGAATGGTAATAAACCGGGGGGAACGCTGTTTGCCTGAAATTACACGAAGTAATATATACTCACGAATCAAACACGGGACTTTGTTTTTGAATAGATCCCAGTCATGTTCAACGGAGCGATCAAAGAAGTTAGAAAAAGATCAGGCCGTGGGGAATGGTAGCATCTACACAACATAAGAGGAGAATCATAGTGAAAAAGAGAAAAATACCACTGGGGAATACGAAAAAGCAGAAGGAAAGGTTCCGTCTGGAACTGCGACAGGTCCAGACGGCGTACCAATGAGACTGACAAAAGTTCTAGGCAAAAGAAGCAAATTGAAAGCAAGGCAGGTGATAGAGCAGATACTTATGGGAGGGGAGGTACTCAGTGACTGGAAATTTAGCAGGATGAAATCATTATATAAGGGCAAGGGAGACAAAGACAGTCTCAAATCATACCGACCAATCACAGTAACTTCAGTAAATATACAGCGTAGCTATGCAAATTGTAAAAAGAAGAATGGAAGAATGGACAGAGGGAAAGCAGATTCTGGGAAAGCTTCAAAACGGTTTCAGAAGGGATAAACGACTTGATGATAACTTATTCATAATGCCTCTCTGCAGAGATATAGCAATTGCAAGTCAAAGGTCGTTATGGGTAGCATTTTTGGACATCAAAGGGGCATATGACAATGTGAATCAGGAAAAACTCTGGGACCAACTGAAAGGATATGGGCTAGGGGGAGCCATGGTTAAGTTTCTAGAACGGGTTTACACAGAGAATAAGGTGGTTATAACGTGAGAAGCCGAAACTACAAGACCAGCAGCAATAAAAACAAGATTTAAACAGGGTTCCCCATTGTCTCCCCCGCTCTTTATAATACACCTCAGTGAGATGGAAAAAAGATTAGAGCAGTGCAACCTAGGTTTTGACCAGACTTACATGGAGAAAGGACAAAGTAAATCAAGTACTGCCAGGGTTAATGTATGCAGATGATATTGTACTCGTATCAGAAAGTCGTGAGACAATACAGGAACTGATTAGGATTTGAAACAGGGAAGGGGACAGTAAAAGCCTAAGCTTCAGTAGGGACAGGTCGGGTATAATAGTTTTCAACGGCGAGAAGGGGACACAGTGATAGAACACATAGAAAAGTACAAATATTTGGGATTATGATGAAATGGAAGAAAGTATCTAAAGTAACATGAAGAAGATATTATAATAAAGAAGGGGAAACGAGATTCAGCTATTATGAAACACAGGGCACTCTGGAACTATAATAGATATCAAGTCGTTAGGGGTGTTTGGAAGGGAGTCATGGTACCAGGACTGTCATCTGGGAATGCGGAATTGTGTATGAGGTCAGAAATCAAGGCAGGTTTGAAGATACAGCAAAGGAGTGTGGATAGGTTGGCATTTGGGGCAGATGGGAATGCACCCAATGAGGGAGAGGGGGATATGTGTTGGGCATCTTTCGAGAGTAGAGAAGCGATCAGTAAAGTAAAATTTTAACAAAGACTACCTGAAATTGAGGATACACGGTGGGCAGGGAAAGGTGTACAAGTATGTATATATGAAAAGCCTAAACACTAAGTGGACAAACCGAACCCGCAAGCTGAGATATAAATACATTCAACGAGTCGGGGCCGATCAGAGCATATCAGTAGAAAAGGGAGTAAAGAAAACGAACAGGAAATTGTGGGAACAGACAATGCAGGGGAAATCTTTTAACAATATACAGCTAGGGCACAAAAACAAGAAATAAAGAAAGAACAGTCGTATGATAATTCATTGGGGAGCTCATTGATGTTTGAAGCTAAAACGGGGGTGCTAAGAACGAAAACATATAGAGCTAAATTCCAGGAAATAAACCCTTTTTTGCGACGATGCGACCGCGATTTTAAGGTGCACGGGGCTTCGTCCCACCCTCTTAGGGAGATGACTACGGATTTGGAGGGGGCACTGGGATTTGCAGACATGGATGTACGAATAGATGGGGAAAGAATAGCGATAACTAAAAGGAGAGTGGAAGATTTGTGGAAAAGATCTAGGGAGGGTAAAAATAGACAAAAATAAGCAATGGGAACACTTTAAAGAGGAGGGAGGGTTGTGTTAAAACAAAATTTACCCAAATTTTAAAAAAGAAGGGATGACGAAATGTTAGTGTCGGTGGCACCCATCCATCCATCATCTGGGTTAGCGTATCAGATGTATAGAAAAACACGCCTTTCCGCCCTAAGTTTTGGCGGATTTATTTATTTCAGGTCAGCCCGCAGCGCCAGGCGGGGCAGGCAGGGCAGGCGAGGCGGGCGGGGCAGGCGGGTAAAGAAAAGGCACAAAGAAAGTGAAGATCCTCTCTGCCGTACAGTGCCAATTGAAAGTGCTCCTCTGGGTTAGCGTATCAGATGTATAGAAAAACACGCCTTTCCGCCCTAAGTTTTGGCGGATTTATTTATTTCAGGTCAGCCCGCAGCGCCAGGCGGGGCAGGCAGGGCAGGCGAGGCGGGCGGGGCAGGCGGGTAAAGAAAAGGCACAAAGAAAGTGAAGATCCTCTCTGCCGTACAGTGCCAATTGAAAGTGCTCCTCCTTATTCTTGTCTAACCCCATTCAAGGACTACTGCGTGGTCGTTGAATGCCTGAGGAAGCTGCAAGAGAGGGGGAAAAGGGGGGGGGGGGGAGGGGTCCTTTTTTTATATCGTGCCGGGGGCCACATAAAACTACCCCGCATGCGGGCTGCACATTGCCGACTCCTGCCTTAGTGTAACACACGACAGGTTTTATTTTATAAACTTTCTTTCAATAATGGGGAAAAAGGGAGAATGGGCTTGTTTTGTCTTTTATGATACAGATGGTTATGTTTCCTTGTGTAGGTGATGAAGGTGCATGCCCGAAGAAGATCGGCTGCCTATCAGAACCCACAACAAGCATTCTCTTCAATTGCTGTTTCTGCACCCATGTAACCAGAGATCAGCGTGGAATCCTTACTCATCTGGTTGACCACAGTGATGAAAAACTCAAGTGCCAGCACTGCTCTAAGTTCTTTTGCAAAGAGGAAGAATTGAGATCTCACACCGACATTCACAAGTCAGAAAGAACTTTTGCGTGTCAACTATGCCCAGCAGCATTCCAGAAAAATAGTCCAATGGTCGATCACATTCGAACCCACACTAGTGAAAAACCTTTCAAATGCCAGGAATGCCTGCAAACTCTTTCCCAATGTAGTTGCCTGAGCTCTCATGCACAAGACCAGACGAGCAAAAATCTTTTCAAATGTGAGCTATGTCCCCAGGCCTTTAGTAAGAATGCAAATCTGACTCGCCACATTCGAACGCACTCAGGTGAGAGACCTTACAAATGTGAGCTATGTCCCCAAGCCTTTAGTGAGAATGCAAAGCTGACACGCCACGTTCGAACTCACACAGGCAAGAGACCTTACAAATGTGAGCAATGTCCACAAGCGTATCGTGTGCGTGAGAGCCTGATATGCCACATTCGGAAACACACAGGCGAAAGACCTTACAAATGTGAGCTATGTCCCCAAGCCTTCAGTGGAAATGCAGATCTTACCCGCCACATTCGAATTCACACAGGCGAAAGGCCTTACAAATGCAAGCAGTGTCCCCGAGCCTTTAGTCGGAGCCTGAGCCTGGCCATTCACATTCGAACGCACACAGGCGAGAAACCTTACAAATGCGAGCAATGTACAAAAGCGTATAGTGTGCGTGAGAGCCTCATCCGCCACATTCGAAAACACACAGGTGAGAGACCTTACAAATGTGAGCTATGTCCCCAAGCCTTTAGTCGGAGCCTGAGCCTGGTCATTCACATTCGAACGCACACAGGCGAGAAACCTTACAAATGCGAGCAATGTCCACAAGCGTATTCTGAGCGTGGGAGCCTGACACGCCACATTCGAAAACACACAGGCGAAAGACCTTACAAATGTGAGCTATGTCCCCAAGCCTTTAGTGAGAATGCAAATCTTACCCGCCACATTCGAATTCACACAGGCGAGAGACCTTACAAATGCAAGCAGTGTCCCCAAGCCTTTAGTCAAAGCCCGAGCCTGGCCATTCACATTCGAACGCACACAGGCGAGAAACCTTACAAATGCGAGCAATGTCCACAAGCGTATTGTGGGCGTGAAAACCTGATCCGCCACATTCGAAAACACACAGGTGAGAGACCTTACAAATGTGAGCTATGTCCCCAAGCCTTTAGTGAGAATGCAAAGCTGACACGCCACGTTCGAATTCACTCAGGTGAAAGACCTTACAAATGCGAGCAATGTCCACAAGCGTATTCTGAGCGTGGGAGCCTGACGCGCCACATTCGAAAACACACAGGCGAAAGACCTTACAAATGTGAGCTATGTCCCCAAGCCTTTAGTGAGAATGCAAATCTTACCCGCCACATTCGAACGCACACGGGCGAGAAACCTTACAAATGCGAGCAGTGTCCCCAAGTCTTTAGGAACATCCAGAATCAGACCCGCCACATTCGAATGCACACAGGTGAGAGACCTTACAAATGTGAGTTATGTCCCCAATCCTTTAATGAGAATGCAAAGCTGACCCGCCACGTTCGAATTCACACAGGCGAGAGACCTTACAAATGCAAGCAGTGTCCCCGAGCCTTTAGTCGGAGCCTGAGCCTGGCCATTCACATTCGAACGCACACAGGCGAGAAACCTTACAAATGCGAGCAATGTCCACAAGCGTATTGTGTGCGTGAGAGCCTGATCCGCCACATTCGAAAACACACAGGTGAGAGACCTTACAAATGTGAGCTATGTCCCCAAGCATTTAGCCGTAGAGAAATTCTGACAAAGCATATTCGAACGCACACAGGCGAAGGACCTTACAAATGCAAGCTGTGTCCCCAAGCCTTCAGTGAGAATCCAAAGCTGATCTGCCACATTCGCACACTAAAGGGTGAAGATCTCACAAATGTGAGCAGTGTCCCAAAGCCGTTAGTCGAAGTGTAAAATTGATCTGCCATATTCAAAGGCACAATAGTGAAAGACAAATGCAAGCAACGCCCCAAGCCTTTCGTCTGTGTGGGAGCCTGATGCAACACATTCAAACGCATGAGATTCTAGAAATGTTATGTCCCATGATTTGTCCAGGTCCTCTGGACTAAGCAGAAGTTTTACGAGAAAATGGCCGTGGAACTCGCAAATATCAGCAGTCAAGAGTTTCGTTCTGAGGCTGGTTGACCAAACAAATGCACAGACAAGGACTCGCCTTCGTCGACAGTTTGGACAAGACTTTCTTCACATCACATAGACAATTGTGCGAGTTGGTTCATAAAGAGGACAGGCAGTACTGGTGTTCGTCTGTCCCCCTTACTCTGTTCGTGTCCTGGCACTGTTTGTACTTTCTTTTACAGTGCTGCTTCCTAGCTTCTGGAAGCTGTGTGAGGAGAGAAGGTGGATGTTTTGTAATGGCATTACCTTTAATTAAAACGCAAATGGAAAACAGCCTTCACCAACCGTCTCAGCCTGATAAATCCCGGTGGCCCCTCCCTAGAAAGGAACTAGACCTGCCTGAATACTTTGCATTCAGGGCATTTGTGCAGGTGCCTGAGGATTTTCATGATTAAGGAGGCACCTCAGGCATAAATTTTGTAAAAACGATTTTCATGTGACTTTGTAAGTTTCAATTATATGCGGACCTTTTGCGGTAAAGAACGTACAGTCATTTCTCGATAATATGAACACCTTTCTTCCCCCAAAAATTGTCCAGAGTGTGAGCTATCCATAATAACGAGACAACAAATTTATGTATTTACCCAGTTTGTCCCCGAAATTGGTGTCCATATTGCGGGGTATCCATATTAAATGGAAGCTGAAGAGGTTCTGTATTTGAGGAACAGGATCGAAACTTGAAACACTCCCGAGCACTTTGAAACGGGTGAAATATGGTCCATGATACCCGTGATAATCACACGCTTGTGTTTTAAGTGGATGGCTATATCTGTTCTAACCTAAGGATTATGGCGCCGCTATAAGAGTTGAAAATATTGTAATAATTGGTGTTGTGTGGATATTTATACAGCATGTAGTTGGTCAGCCATTTCAAAGTTGCGATGAGTCACTCACTGTAGATGAGCAATTTAGCCAGTGCAGTACAACCGCTAGCCTGGGGTCTTTAATATGCACCAGGCAGTAGTGATACACGACCGCAGGCCGGTACGATGCTCACCCAGATCGAAACGGGCAGGGGTGGGGATTGAACCATGCAGGATCTCTGGGTTCTGCAGCGCGAGATTTCGCTCCACGTGCTCCGAGCTGGTGTGCGCTATATGTTGCCTCAATGTCCTGTTCAAAATCAATGATGCCACCGTTTGTAGTGCCCGATGCCGACAACACGCGCTCACGGAGAAAATACAAAATGGATGAAAACAAAATGTCGCCATAGCACAGTCAGTACCACAAACGCGTGCAGGGACACGCTATTTCACGCGCTTCTCAACAAAAAAGAAAAACGTGTGGGACAAAATGGCCAGATGTTTCTACCCTAAGCAAAGCGCACATGAAGTCCCTTATAGTGTGCGCGAGCCCTCGGCGCCGTATGCTCGTTCATTGGTAACAGTTGGCGTCGCGACCGCCTGCGCCATCTCTTGTGTCCCGTGCCAAGCGACGCCCTGTTATTTAAAGACCAGTGGCTTCGCTGCCTTTCCATAGAAGTTAAGCCTTTTCTTTACTTCACTTTTTCCTCGGGCGAGTTCGCTTTTTTTTTTTAATTGTCTAGATAAAATGCACTAACTGGGGGCAACACTGTACAAATTCGTAGCGCGATAGGTTAAGAAACCGATTTTCGCGGTCGATTTAAAGAGCCTCGCCGCTATTTGAGACATCCTGTATCGTCACTTGACTCGAACGAGCTTGGTGAATCGTCGCCAAGCTCCGTTTCCATACGCGGGTCAAACAGAATGGGGCTGCACGCGTGCTAAGCATAACTTTTGACATTGTTTCAAGAGGGTTTAGCTGTTGGTTTCGGGTTCGCTGTGCGCTGGCACAGCATCGCGCCTCAGCTCGTAGCTCTCCTCTGTGAAATCATCGCTGCATAAGCGGGATATCGATCTTGACGGGAACCCATCTCCCTACGCACGGCGAAGTTCCATTTTGCTTGTCGCTGCACTTCTCTCGGAGCGCAAGTGCCGCCCGCACACGCACATTGCACTCGCAAAACACATCCACATGACGTCGAACATTGATCGGTATCCAAGCGTGCGAAGGCACAGAGACGCAGCACTTCGGCCGAGAGACCGACGAAGCTTGCTTTCGACGAGTTGTGTCTTCTTCCTGTGGCACTGTGCTTTCATAAAAAAGTTCACATGTACTAGACAATAAGTCTCAACGCTTACATAGGTTCTTAAAAAACTTCTTTGGCGAATGACGACAAAGGAGTAGAAAACGTGCCTTCAGCACGCTGCCACCAGCCTCTGCAACGCTAGAAAAAATGTGATTTCGCTGCATGAAAGATGGCAGTCTGGTGGCCTCACCAGCAGTTGCAGGAGTAAAGTTGCTTTTTGATACTTTTGATCCAACTGTTTTGCCGACAACATGGCCGAAAGAGCAGCTCGGCGCGAGTCAAGTGGTATTCGGGGTTCCAGGTGGTGCCCGCCCTATGGGAGAACACATGGAGATCGACGCAACACAGCTGATTAAAAACTTTCAGCCTTTCCGCTCTGGCGAAGGAAGACCATGCGAAGCTGTACTGTGGTGGGAATGAAGTAATGGCCGGCCGCGCGCTTTTGCTTGAGTGGCGACATCTCAGCCATTTTTCCGCCCAATCATTTTTTATGCATTTTGAAGTGCGCGCAATCCGGTGTCAGTCAGCTCGACCGCGTAGCTTTGGCTAGTGCATACACGCCATTTTACCGCCCAAGTCACGCACAAAGTGCGCGAGAACGTCACGCGCTGGCATATTCAAGGCAACAATGGATGTCTTCACCCCGAAACAGACAAACATGTAGGCACCCTAGAAAGGCTGGACAGCTACCATCATCTATTAGCGATACGGCAACCAGACAACCGGTTGTCTGGTTGCCGCCGTCGCTCATAGATGGCGGTAGCTGTCCAGAGTTTTGTGTCGAGATTTGTTTGCCCACGGACACGATACTGGGGACACTAGCCTTTAACAGCTCCGCTGTAAAAACAAACGCAGAGTTCACACTCTTGGAAACTAGCCTGTCGTGAAGTTGGTTGAGCACTCAATACTTTTCAAATTTTTCACAATATTGGATGTCTGTGAAAAGTTTGAGAAGCAATTTCTAACACAGTAGCGTTTGAGGCAGACGATTCTTTTACGCAGCGGAGATGGACTTTTTGGGTTGGCCGGAGCGGGTCACGTGAACGGTGTGACGTCGCCGCGTCGTCTGCTGCATAATGCCACTCAGGCAATTAAAAAAAGAATACCTTCTTACGTGGCACGCAACTCAGCACAAATCACTGTAAGATGTTCCTTTATTATGCCAAAAACTATTGTCGTTCCCTACATCCCCAAAATATTGAAGAAACCGATTTTCTCACGTTCCCCGTGCATTTGTGTTTGGAGTTCGAACCTTCCGGAGTTCGCATTACTCGCCCAGTTTGCCTAAGGCTCTGGTTTGCCTGACAACCACAGAAGCGTAGTGTGATAACCACTGATCTCTGATAACCGGGGGATGACTATACTTCCGTGCAGGGCCGTACCCAGAAAAAAATTTCGGGGGGGGGGGGGGGGGGGGGGGGGGTTTCGGGGACAACGCCGGCCATTTTGAAAGTGTCTATTGTCTTATTTTCGCCTATGAATCATGTGCATCGGTGGCATATAATGGAGAGTTACAGCAAACCGGCGAACCGGTCCCGGTTTGGTACCCGGTAGCCGACCGGCGCAACTGCGCGTGCGCAGAGGCAGAGATTAAAATCGGCTGGCTGCCAGTGCACCGACCAGGGCCATACCCAGAAAAAAATTTCGGGGGGGGGGGGGGGGGGGGGGGTCAGAACCCCCTATCCCCCCCCCCCCTGGTTACGGCCCTGCTTCCGTCCGCCATTTTGTGGCTCTGACTCATAGGAACTCTATGCGATTGCTCAGTAATAAACAAGGCAAGGAAGTAACGCCATTTTGTGAGATCACGAAATCCGTTGGTTCTAGCGGGCAACAAGCTCCGCCCATGGGCCAAACTCTCTGCGCTACTCCAGAGCCGTATATGGGGAGAGTTTGGCCAGTCTATGATACTGCCGCCGTAACGCCCCCCTCCCGAGTGAGCCAATCAGCTTGCGGTGCAGAGCAAGAGCCGTGCTGAGTTCCCAGCTGAGCAGGGAGGGCCGCCATTTTCACTCATTCGCCTGGCGGAATGCGTGAGATCGACATCAAAATTTCGCTTATTTTCTTTTATTTGGTGGGCTTTGGCAAAAAAAAAAAAATGATATAGTGTTATTCCTCGGTGGCTTAAAAAAGCTAACGAATGAAGTTTCTCCACGTTTTAACGCAAACTTTGATTCAGGCAAAAGGAAATAACCCCGTAGCAGACGACGTGGAGCCTCAACAGTGCGCTGCGCAGATGGCGTTGCGTCAAATAGGCGGTCGTCTCCTTTTTGCTCCCTTCTTTCTCTCTCGCTCCTTCGGCGCTCTCCTCCCTTTCCTTCACTTTTCTCCTCTCCGGCACATTCGTCGCCACACCCACTGGCCAAACTCTCCCAATATAACCTTTCCGAAATTCCGTGCCATCTGGTGGCTGAAATGGCGGTTTAACTTTTGCCATACGAATGGCGGCAATGAACCCGTAGCCTGCAGTATTTTATCGGGCACCGTCACTTTTGCATGTCAACGGCAGACGAGAATAAACTTTTCGCTATACAGGTTTTTCCGGATCGTCTCTTCTAGTGTCGATTCCCACAACGATGCAACCAGTCAGAACGAAGCGCCAACCCAGACAGATGCCTTGATAAAGTTCTATAAAGGCCCGTTCACACGATGCATTTTTCTCGCGCATCTAATGTCGCGAAACGTAGTTTCGCGAAATGGTTGCGCCGTCTGAACGAGTCCGAAAAGGACGCACGCATCTAAAAAAAGTTGCGAGCACACCTCGCTTCTGGAGCGAGCTTTTGCTGAAACTTTGCCGAGTCCTGTCAATCACTCTGAGGGCGCCGCCAATGGCCGCTCAGAAACGCTCTCACGTGGCCTTTGAGGGGGGAGCGAGCTGTTTGAGAAGACCACTTCCCTGCCGGTGTTGTAGCCGAGCCAAATCCGAAAAAAAAACCGAAACCACGAACGATGGATACTGCCGGCGCTTCCGCAAGCACGTCAAGCACCACTGAAGGAAAAGTTAGTAGCATATCGGAAAAAAATCCAGCGATGGAAGAAGGCGTAATTGGTGATGATGATAATTCACGTCTATTTTTGGTTATAATTAAAAAATAAAACCTTGAGACAAGGAAACAAAAAGGGGCGTACACAGTACCGTCTCAAAACCAGCACAGCGTACAGTTCTCATTTACTTCCACAACAGTCTTCCTCTTTGTCAACCTCCGTCCGAATTATGCATATTCAACAGTAAATAAAGTAAATGGCAGTAAATGACAATTCAACAACTAGTAAATGAAAATTTAAGAGTAAATTAAGTAAATGGAAGTAAATGACAGCATGCTGTGCATGGTTTTAAGACGGTGATGTGTATGTTCCTTTTTGTTTCCTTGTCTTAAGGTTTTATTTCTTAATTATGATTGTTCACCAGCTCGCCTGCGTTTTGACTCTTAGAATCTGGCGGGAGATGGAGAACACGACGCTGAATGGCTAAGGGTGATGATGATGATGTTGGCTTTCAACTGAAGCGCCACTTTATGGTCAACACCCAAACTATTTTCGCGAGTCCAAACGTCATCGTTGTTGCACGTGAAGCGGTACGTGTGAACGAGCACATTTCGCGAAACTTGAGTGTCGCGAAACTGTTGCGCGCCTAAAAGATGCATCGTGTGAACAGACCTTTAAGGTCTGTTCACACGATGCATCTTTTAGGCGCAAACACATCGAGGGGCTTTAAGCGCGATCCAAACCAACGCTTCTTTTTGCGCCTGTAGGTCGTGCGGCTGCGGATGTGACGTATTTTCGTGACGTCGCGCCGCTTCTTCGCTCCTTCCGGGCGCGCATAAGAAAGTTGGTTGATTTCAACTTCTTTCTCAACGCGCACAAAAACGCGCGGTGACGTAGAAGGGCGCTCCTGTGTCCCGGCCAATCGGTGGAGGGCAAGCTAGATCCGGCTCCGCGTTTCTCGCCGTCTGGCTGCCCTCTCCTCCCCCCCTTTTATTCTCTTCCAACATGACAACGTGATCTCTCTCTCTCTCTCTCTCTCTCTCGCCGTCTGGCCGGCCAGTCTGTCGCAGTTGCACTTTGCTTGTGCGCTCGTGCCTGCGTGCGCGCGTGCGCGCTCGCCTAAAGTTTCGCCCGTCCAAACCAAAGCGCACGGTTCTGACTCAGAAAGCGCGCCCGGAAACAGCAAAAACGCCACGAAATGCGTCACATCCGCAGCCGCACGACCTACAGGCGCAAAAAGAAGCGTTGGTTTGGATCGCGCTTTACGCCAACGAACGAGCGTACGGCGCCGAGCAGACGATCTTTTCGACTCAAAAGCGGCGCGCGTTCCGCAGGCGGCGACAGTCGCAGAAACAAAAAAGACAGGCGCGGTAACAGCAAGGAACTGCAGTTCCTTGTATGCAAAAGGGCCGGCTCTCGGCGTCGTCTGCTCGTTCGTTGGCGGCAGTTGGTGTCGCGGCCGCTTTCGCCATCTCTTGTTTCCCGTGCGAAACGGCGCCGAGTTGTTTGCAGACCGATGGCGTCGCTGCGGTTCCATAAGAACTAAGCCTTTTTCTTTCTTTACTTTTTCCTCAGGTAAATTCGCTCTTCGCAAATTTTACAAAAAAAAAATGCACCATCGGTGGGCAGCGCTGCACAAAGTTGTAGCGCGATAGGTTAAGAAACCGAATTTTGCGGTCGATTTAAAGAGCCTGGCGTCTCCTTGTTTCACCTTGTAGAAAGCCGCCATTGGTATGGCACACTGATCTCTATTGTAGTAGACTGGATCGCGGATCGGGAGCCCGTCGGTGTCGCCACCGGCGGCCATTGCTTGACACCAGGCAATACACGCAAGTCTATGGGAGAAACGCACAAAAGTAAAAATATTGAAACATGTACGCTGTGCTCGGAGACTAGTATTTTATGGTGTACTGCCATCCTTATGTCGGGTGTCTGGAGATTGAATCGGTACTTGTCAGACGTTCGAACGCCGATTAAAAAAATCTAACCTACCGGAGCACCTACGGCTGAGCTGGCAAGCTTGCTCTCGTAGTGGAGTAAATAAAGGAACTTGACGTCAATAAGACCTTCCTCGAAGAAGCCCAGAACTTGATGAATAACAAATAGCATCTTCGATCAACTCGCACCGGAATCGCCCTGAAACCAGCACAGTGCACAGCGCTCCTCGGTCGTGCAGCGCGATGTCGGTGCAACATCGAGGACAAACCAGACCAACTGCGCCGCGCCGGTGCACTGCGGCGAGCTCCACCTTGCGTCAGTTCGCGTTTTGTTCGTTTATTTTGCGTAGGTCAGCGCACGGTGCTCGTCTGCTGTCAATTTCTTCTATTTTTTTTCCCACAGAAATAAACATCGTGGACGTGACTGTCGATGGGGTCACGAAGGGGGTGACGATTCCACATGTGTATGTTGGCCATCATTATTAGTTCAAGAAAACGAAACACCAGATAATAGCCGTACCTCGCTGTCATCGAAACGCCTCGCGCCGCTTTCCACGAAGTTCGTGCTTTTCGGGCGCTCCTAGCCACCGCAGCAATTGCCAGTAATCGCGGCGATGGTGAGAAGCTCGTCGTCTCGCCGTCAGAAGACCCGAGGAAATCATCTAGTGCAGCGGCGAGGCGTGTTCGTTTTTGCAAGATCGCCATCTCGATAGTCTGCGCGTCTGCTACTCCCGCCATCTTCTCGATCCCCGCTCCTGGCCGCAATGCCTGATGGGACTGCCCCCCGGCGCACCGCCGATTTTCTTGGTGCGCGTTGGGGCAACGAAAAGCCGCACCGGGAAAGTGCGCTTCGTTGATCGAGGACGTACGGTGCGCACCGGTGCACTTGATCGAAGATGAAGGGGCGCACCTCAGTGCCCCGGTGCGCACCGGTGCGGATGATCGAGGATGCTAAAAGAAGTTCCATCTCGACAGCGGCTTTCCGGGAGTGAGCCGATTCCGCGTAGCAAAGCCTTCGAGCTTGTCGTCTGCTAAACCCAACTCAACGTTACTAAAACACTCAGTTGGGAAACTCGCCGTCGAAACCTGGGCCGCTGGCGTCCACCGAGACCGAGCTTAATGCGACAACAGCGCCACACTTTTTCGTTTGTCTGTACTATGGTCACCTCGAGCTTTTTGAAAGCCTGTTTTTTGCATAAAAACAAACGGAAAAGTCTCTTTTTGTATGAAATTTATTGGAGTTTAGTACCAAATGATGGGCGCGTGATGTTTTTATCATCTTTAGTTCGCAAGGTTTTGCGGAACAATTAATATTGTTTTTATAAAACCATGCCTCAGCGGGCCTTTCAGGTAGCGCGTCCCGACCTAGGTGCATTTTAACTTCAGTAGTTCAACGCGGCGCGTCCGCCGGGGAGACGGGGGTTCACCTCTGTCAAAGCCAAAAATAGAAGTCACGTGCGGTTTTTCGAGTGGCCGCTGCGGGAGAAATGGTGGCGTTGTGTTCGTCATTAGCTCGGTGCTCGGAGACAGATTGGGGCCATATTTTTAGGGCTGTCTCTATGGGAGTTTCCCAACTGAGTGTTTTAGTAACGTTGACCCAACTCAACAAAATCGCCACCGACTCCGTGGTAACTCTAGGTAACGCTCGCCTCATTGAGCTGCACTACAGCGGAGTCACTCTCGACCACAAAATATTTATTTATAAGAACTGCGAGGGCTGTCAGCATTAATGTTTATACGCAGGCTATTTGACGGGCTTATCGAAAAGCACCCAAAACGTTTCAGTGCCAACAACAGCTTAGAAACGGGGGAAAACGGCACTTTTTCTCGTTCTCCCCATAGAGTCCCATGCATTGGCTGGTGTCAATCAATGGCCGCCGGTGGCGACACTCGGCCCCCGCTGCCGAGGCTACAGAGGCTCTTTCTAGCCTCTGTACCGAGGCCACGGTCCGCGATCCAGCCTACTACAATAGAGATCAGTGGTATGGCACCAACGTATGGCACATAGGCCATTTTTAAGATGATGATGATAGTGATCAAAGTGGTCAGACTGAATTTCGGAAAGGGTCTATTGCCTCACAGCGTAATTGTTACACTAAAGAGATCCTTCGTGGAAGCTTTATTTTCTGACAGGCATTTTGAAGAGTTCGGTGTGTCTTAAAAACAGGGTCTTCCTTACACCTTAGAGGTAACAGAATAGTGTATTTGTTGCAAAAATCAGCGCTTGTATTCGTGTGTTCTTGGAGCCTTTTTTGCTAGAATAAAGGTCTTGTGAAATTATGACCTGCAGGCCCTTTAACGGGTTTTTAGACATTCAGATGATTAATTATCAATGCGTGCTTTTTAAAGGCAACGCGTGACGCAAAGAACCGCTTATCAGTGCATAGGACTTTTCATTACATAAAAAATTTGCCCATCTTTATAACAATGTCAGTTTTTTTTTTGTGTGTTAAAAAGAAATAAAAATTAGTACCTTTCTGTAGACTATTATGGTTAAATGGCATGTTTTTTATTGTTACAGCAATTTGTATTAATAATAATGCAATTTAGATATTTTAATAGGTTTTTCAAACTCTAACATAATTTGTTGCCTATGATCCAATTTCAAACGCGCGAACAACTATGGCACTCTAAAGTTGGCAAAATTATCATCACTGATGCCAATTGCAGTATTCTTAATTAACAAGCTATAAAATAATAAAAAAATAGTCTAAACATCCTGGTTAGTTCGAGAAATTTACGTAAAATGACATTAACGGTGTAAGCATATGGCAATGTCAAAGTAATGACGTTAGTCTCAGAAAAACTTCCAAACTTGCCGCCAACCCTCCGTAACAAATGCCCCGAAATACGGAAAAACAAATTCCGTTGTCGTTTTAATTACAAAAGTACCCGAGAGCCTTTCTTTTCTTTAATTTTTACGCGCCCGTTTTGCCAATCTCAGCCTTTCCCGCTCGAAGGAGCGCCCACCAGCGTGCACGTCTGCTCACTGCAGCACTTTTCGTTGGCGTCGGAAAACCGGTGAAACAGTAGCATGTTCCACATTGCGCATGCGCAAAGCCCGAAATTGCTGTCTTGGATTGGCGCATGGCAACGACGCGCATGTGCAGCGTGGAGCATGGAACTCTAATGAAAATGCACAGCACTTGCGTTTGCTTCTATACACAATATTAAAACTCCCTAGTAAAGTAGAGCTACATGCCGGCTACAGCACTCAGTCGGGTCAGTGAAGAGTGTTGTTTGCATTCAGAAATGACTGTTCGCAAGCCTTGATTGCGACCAGTTCCGCCGTGCCCGCTGCGCAGAAGAACCGGGGGACCCTCGCTAGAGCACTTCCCTTTTCCGCCGCGGGAGGACGAGCGATAAGCTGGAGGTGAATATAGTGCTCGTCTTGGTGAGGTGACCTGCAAACGTGGAAAAAAGCAGAGGATAGCGGTGGTGCTGTAGTCGACTTCCCCTGAACAATCTCGCTGGTCGGAAACTGCCGGCGTGCAAGCCGGGATAACTTGGCCATGCGGCGAGTAAAGGTTTTTGTGGATCTCTCTCTCTCCGCTATTGGGTTCCACTACGTGAATGAAGAAGGGGACTATGTGTCGCGGTGGTGCGACATAGCTCGTCACTTTGACCTCTCCCCATGTTGCACCTTCCATTTGAGTAAGCTGTGTCCTCATGCACCGCGAGTGTGCTCGCTGCTCGGAGGCCTTCACAGTCACAGTGAGTGTGTTGTTCTTTTTGTCGAGTTTGTACACTGCCAGGTGGACCTTTGGGTTAGATGCCAGGGAATTGAGCGTCTGCACAAGGGTGCAACGAAGGAAATTTCTAGAAATGTCTTCTCTTTCTGTCGGCCTGATAATGACCTTATAGTGGCATTTTCCTGAATTCTCTAAAGTTTGAGGCTTTTATTCTCAGACGTTTGTGTTGTCAGCCAGGTACGCCACACCATTCGAGGCCGGCGAAATTGTTGTCATTGGTGTCAGGGGGTGTGCGCCATCCATTCGGCTTGTAGATCAGTGTTCTTGCTCACGGGACGGGAAGCACTTCCTATTGGCTTCTGTCAAAGTCATTGCGTCCTCGTGTGCTGGCATACAAGGAATGGTTTCATCAGCTGATCGCCGAGTGGAACCATTGGCATCGTCATGGTTTGTGCATAAATGGTGTTATCGTGTTGGCGACAGCAGCTGCGGGCCCTCACGGTCTGCCTTTTTAGGGTTTACACACCATGAGTACTACCCGAGACAAAAGTGAAAAAAATGCAGAAAAAGCTCATATTTGTGTCACTCGACGTCAAGGAGATATGTCGCCAACTGGTGAATATTTCGCATGGATGAGAGGCTTGGTTCCGCTGTGGGAGGCGCGGATGTCGGAGCTGTGAAAGCACATCCTACCACCACTGGTGCGCCACCTCTAGTTTACACGAGGATAAAAGATGAGAGCACGGCAGGAAGTCTGTCCTCCGTGACTTGACACGTAGCCGCCTTGCACACGAGGGTAAAAAAATTAAAACATAGGGACAGGAAGGTTCTGTCCACCGTGACTTGACACGCGGCGGCATTGCACAGAACAATAGAAAAAAATGAAATCACGACAGAAAGTCGGTCCAGTGTGACTTGACACGTAGCGACATTGCACACGAGGATAAAAAATGAAAGCACAGCAGGTAGTCTGTCCACAGTTTGTCCATCGTGCCTTGACTTGTAGTGTGGCAATGAGACTTGGGGTTGGCCACATCCTTCTTCATGTCGATGTTGAAGTTGTGCTCTTTTTTGGCCCTCTTGGCAGGGAGCCCCTTGGAAGGGCGGCAAGCAAGCACTCACTTGTTGCCCCGGGTGATGCCTAGGTAGCGCCAGAAAAGTTATTTCCTTCAATAAAGTTATTTCCTCCTCCTCCTCTTTGCCTCTTTCCCCCGAGCATACACTGCTTTTATGGCAATGACGCAGGCCATTAATTCGGGCTCTCGTTGCACCTTCTTCATCCCCGAGAGGATCTGTCGCAGATTCTGTGCATATGCTGGATTTTCAGCAGCAATGGCATGATGGCGCCAGTGTTCCTCCTGGATCTTGCGCAGGAGCTCGTCTGCTTCCTGGAAGCACAAGTTTATTGTTAAACAAGTCCTAGGTATGTTGAATAGCTACCTGCAAAATTTCTTTTTTTCTGCTGGTTATTTTTATTACGAGGCTTCTTGAAACGGTGAATGCTTTCCTGTAGAACCTGTTACCATGAAATGTTGCCTCCGTAAATCAGATTTATACTTGAAGACGTGGGTTTTCAAGCGTTTATCATATTCTGAAAGTTTATCCCAGATTTGTCCCCCTTACAGCTGAGGAATATATCCTAATATCCCCCGGAGAAATGTCCCACGGCCAAAAACTAACCCACCCTACTTTTAACATAATTTTCTACTTAAAAAAAAAACAAAAAAAAAACTGATAGTTTATATTTTAGTCATTACAGGGCCTTGGGCAATGGTGATTTTGGCAGAAATGGTATTACTTAGCCACTATGGGAGGGGTCCATATCACAAGAGCGAATGACATTTTAGCGAACGGCGACATTTGAGCGAATGGTCGTTTTAGCAAATAACGGGGGCGCGCGTTAACCCATCCGTCGCGCTGCGCTTTACGCCGCTTCGCGGCGACAGTCTGCGGCAACTTATTACAAAAATATGAACTCACTTGGCCCACCCGAAAACGCCGCTTCGCGGCGTCCGACTATTCGCTAAAGTGTCATTCGATGAAATGTGGGCGTTCGCTAAAACGTCATTCGATCAAGTGAGTGCCTCCCCTATGGGAGATAAGCGAACAGTGCTGACAGGGAGCGATAGTTGTCTTTGGTTCATTGCCCCTCATGCAACCACAACTTTCGCAGGTCACAGAATCTAAACCTAACAGTTCTTTCAACTTTTTTTTTTATTGCACACGGCAGGTTATATTTTTCTTTTCACCCGATTTTCTTATGATTTTAGGTGGTTTATATCTCGGGATATTACAAAAGTGCAGATTTTGTAAACAATATTTCTCTAGAGATGTTTTTGCAACACTGGGACCTGGATGCTTCGTGAAACAAGTTACTCTGATGCAAACCTGACGTTGCTGACCGTTCCGAAGCGAGTCGTCGTTTGCAGCCTGCGGCTCGGAGTCCAGAGGAGGGCTGCTGTTTGGCTCTGATGCTTGAGCAACTTCGTCATCCATGGCGGCACTGGTGGATAGATCCATAGCAGCCAAGTCACTCTCTCTGAAGTGTTTACTACACATGCGAGACATTCTCTAACTTCGCTTTCCTATATTTTCAATTCAATGGGACATCCCTTTCTCAGTTTATTTTGTCCGAATCATAATAAAAAAACACACCATATTCGCTGTGGTAGATGTTGTAGTGGGGTAAAGCGCTGGACATCCTATATTCCTCATTTAACTTTTTTTTTTTTTTACTGGGGTTGAGAACAGCATACCACCATCCGAATGCATCGGCACCTCAGCGCCAAAAGTGTTTGTTTGAATGACTACACACGTGTTACAGTTTCAAGCTTTGGTGAAAAGCCCCACTACAAATATCACTCCACCAAATAAACCCAACGCGTGAAACAAGCTTTGCCGCGCATTACCCAAACAGCGCATGAAGCGAGCCGACGAGCCGAGGATGCAAGATCTGCGCGGTCTGTCCCAGTCTGCTGTCCTACCCGCGACGTCACAAACGATCATCATGATAGCTAGAGAAGCGCCTCCTGTAGGTCATGCACGCCGCCAATAGTTACGGTGGCGTCACGCATGTGTGGAATGCTTAGTGAGATTGGTCTATTGGAAGGATTAGTGGGTAGACGCCAGTAGCGTAGCTATGGAGGAGGCTTATGGCGTTTCAGCACCCCCTCCTCCGCACCCCAAGTCATGGACAACACAACCATCCCCCCTCAACACCTTCTAGATAAGAAAGCCTGTGTTCCATTTTCCTTCGTTACTAAAGGCCACCGTAGGCTGCAGATAGGACACGACTGCGGCGTCAGCGTTCACCTCAGTCCTGTCCAATCAGTGAGAACAAGACTCCTAGCCGAACTCTTGACGCCGTAGTCGTGTCCAATTTCTGGCCTTCGGTAAGCTTCTTTAGCAACGCAGGAAAATTCAGCACTTTGGCTCTCTTAGTTAGGGGGTGTTGCCACGCCCGCCCCCACGAAAAAAAATTCATGGCTACGCCACTGGTAGACTTAGAGGCTAGCTGAGTTTGTCTCTACCCGCTGTCTTCTCCCAGACAGCGCGAACAGGAGCGTCGTCAGCTCCTCGCGCAGCGTGTCACGTTCGAACGCCAGAGAGACAAAGGCGGCTGACCTGGCTAGCCCTTGCGTCCATACTCACTGATCATTCCAATCAGAGTTCGTCCCCTCTTTTCTACCCGTAGAACTAAATTTTGTGTGATCAAATGCCAAAGGGCGCGTGCACCTGTTGGAAACAAAGAAACCGTTTTAGACAAGTGGAAAGAAAAAAAGAATTGGCACAAATGTTGCAAAAGCGAGTTGTGATTCGCTCCTATGCAACCCAGAGGTCAAAAGTGTGGTGAAAAGTTCGACAGCCTAACTCCGTTATCTCGAGTTACTGAACGATTCTTCGGTGAAACCTTTTGGAACGCGTGAAATGTTCGACAAGTTCCTGACGTTGCCCGTCCTCACGCGTATATTTTCTGTGACGCCGTTTCGTAATTCATACAAATGGATAGGAATATACGTATTACCTTCTTTTCTCCATTCTGTGCGTTGCAGGGTACCGTTAACGGACGCGCCAAATTAAACCGGACAACGAACTGGCAAAAAGGCGGTCAAGCCAAGTCAAGCCAGATGGGTCAAGCAGCCAACAAAAAGCATCGGTGCATCGCTTGAATTTTCAGGACATTTATAAAGGTCTTAGTACTCTACAAAAAATTTGTATTACAATATTAAAAGAAAGTTCTTATAAGCAACACGTTTGATTATAAATAGTTTGAAATTGACCGATTACAAAAATATTTGGCATTTTTAATCGACAGACTACTAGCGCCACCACGTTTACCTTCTCCAGATATTGGCTGTTGGGAAGTCCTTTCGCCGTTCGGTAGATCGTCAACATGGTGAGTGGCTTTTTCTCTGGTTCTGGAATCTGGGATAATCGACAATTATTGCTAATCAATCCGTTGTCAATCGTTAAAACTATGATTATAAAGTCTGTCTAGAGACTACCCATCTACGTTTGTGGGAGCGTACTTTTTGATTTTTCGGAATAAATGGAAGTGTCACCCGGCTCCTCTGTGCCGACAACCTCGGACCGTATTTGACGTGATCGCTAAAACATGTCCTTGCCTTTTTCTTGAACTACAGACGAAAGGTACCTCCAGTTTCGGAAAACGGAGGAACAAGACCCACACGCTGTGCCGGCGGTGTGGCCGCAGCAGTTACCACATCCAAAAGTCGAAATGTGCCCAGTGCGGTTACCCCAACAGCAAGCTGAGGCACTGTGAGTGAACCCCGTACCACTACCATGTTCGCACCGCATCGGTGTTTAGAAACCGGAATTTTCTGTCGTGTCGTCCTAGAAAGGTGTTTTCGCCGATTTCCGTGCCCGCTGCAAAGGTTCGAAGTGTGTACATGCATGTGCATTTTTGAAAGACAAAAACAAGTTTCATTAGGTTTTACGTTTTAGAGCGTGCGCTCTCGTCACTTGGGTGGCATCAGTTGGTCGAACAACATTTTAGGGATCGATTCGCTCAAATGGCGCTGTTCGCTAAAGCGTCATTCGCTCACGTGTTATGGATCTGTGCTCGCTCCTGCCTTGAGAAAATAAAAAAAAAAAAAAAAGCAACTCTGGGTTAGTGAGGTTCAGTCGACTATTTCTCGTTACAGTTCGAAACGGAAAAATTGGGCATCAGACGCTGGATATTCCGTAAATTTTCTCAGAACTTGGCCAGAGCAGACATGCCCTGAACACGCTCATAACCTCTTGCTTTCAGTACGTTTCTCGCACCACGATAACTCGACATCATAAAGCGCCAAGTGAACTAATCCGCAAACATGCTTCACTGGTGTACGCCCGTTTTGAGCCTATTCCCACAAGAGGCATTTGTCATGATGCAAAACATTTCCTTGTCAGACCCACTGTGTTGACCTAAGGAACCACTGACTTGATTAAATGTTCTGTAGAAGGTAAAAGAGCTTGGGCCAGTGTTGATAGGTGTGTGCTTTCCTCTTATCAGTCAACTGGAGTGTCAAGGCTAAGAGGAGGAAGACCACTGGCACTGGCAGGCTGCGTCACCTCAGGAAGGTCTGGAGGCGTTTCAGGTATGGGCGCATTTGCATTTTATTCTTGTTTCTCTGATAATGGCGATCTTCCCAAAGTGTCGCCACAAACGTGGTAGCATTGAGATATGCACATATCGAGCTTACCTATCACATTGTTTGACCTGTACTAGTTAGGCAAGGCATTCAGAATGCTTTCAAGCCACTGGACTGCCCTGTTTCCATACTTTGTTTACCCCCTAAGGTCATGGCGGTGAGAGCTACACGCCCGCCAGACCAATCAACTGCCTCCGTTTCATCACCTTAGCCTGCTCTCTGTGTGCGTGGTGAAAGATCGACGTTTGGCTAGTGCTAAGAGCACATAGCTTCCACCACTGCCTCAGCTCTGGAGTGAACGGAGTATAGTAAGAAAAGGCTTGGGCAGTGTGAGCCAACAATGTCGTGTTTATATTATTAGGGTGATATAATGAATTACAAGCTTGCTGTTGCTAGCACCACTGGACAAAGGTTTTGTTCTATGTTGGTAAGTGTAAAGACTTTTAATAAGTGCATCCTCACAGTATTGGCGATTTTCATGGCGTGTTTGTGAACCTGCTTTCACAGCTTTGCCTTTTGACTGTCAGGCGCTGTGAACATCTGATTTGCTCGAGAAGGCTGGAGGGCGAACCTGCCGCCACAGCTTTCTGTTGTATTTGCTAGGTGCCGTCGATTTCGCTGGAGTTGCCAATAGCATCACTGTCGCTTTTGATTGTCGTAGATAACCCATGCCAGGTCACCCAGTGCAAGTGACCCTTCAAATCTGACTTCAATATGGCAGAAAACAAAGTGGCATCATTGTCTGGTATAGCAGAAAATTGTGAATTCATATTTAGACGGTTTATGTAAAGAGATTGTATGTCATCATCTTTGCCACAAGCTCGGTTGCATACCAGATAACCCTGGCATGTAACTCATGCCCGAGTCTCACTACAATGACAAACGGACAACTGACACCAACAAGCCTCAAGCCTGTGCAGCAGGGCCCACCAAGGTACCCTTGGCACTCAGTGCTCGTTAAGTCTGTACGAGTGATGCCAAGGCTGCCAAAGGTACCTTTGCGCGCCTGTTGCATGCGCTTGAGGCTTGTCGCTGTCGATAGTTTCGTTTTGGCACTCTAGTGGCACTAGGGCATTCGAGGTGCATGGAACTGTTGTTATAAGTGACTTGTGCTAAGTTGGTGTGGCACTTTCAGGAATGGATTCCGCGAGGGAGGCCTTCAGAAGTCTCAGAAGCACGCAGGAGCTGCTGCGTCCGTGGCTGCCCCCAAATGATCATGTACAAAGATCGTACACCCAATAAAACCTGAGTCCCCACACAACAACTCCCCACTTCCTTCTTAGTGGTACGGTCTCCAGGGGTGAGGCCTGGATGCGTTAGTTTCCATGGTGTTTGACAGAAATGGAATGAATGCATCCTTTCTGGTAGTACATTGAAAATCTTGAATGCTTTTGGACGCTGTCGGAAAGCAACAAATGTGCCTTTGGTTCCTGGATTTTGCCACTTAGTAAAATGGCACAAATTGGGAGGCGTGATCAATAATTTTGTAGCATAAAAAGAGGGCAGCACTGATGCCCGAAGGAGGGGACCTCTTGTCTCCTTATACCAAAAGGTGTCACTCTGTGAACACTGGGAGTTGTGCCACACGAGTTTTTATAACTGCACGGGCACAATTGCGATTTCACCATAAACCAAAGCGAACGTGAATTCTCCGTCAAAATTTCCGAAAACACGGACCTTTGAAATAATTCAGCAGGCTTGTCAAAAAACAGTGAATTTCGCAAAGTTTTAAATGGGGCTCTTGCTTAGGAATGGCAGAACATCGCTGAAAGACTAAGAGCGGTAGCGCGACCTTATCCAGCCCGCCCAACTTCAATGACATTCTTTTTTTTTTTTTTTTTTTTTTGAGGCGCTAGTGCCACTCAAAACACCTTGCAGTGCAGCTCTTGGGCGCCCGTTTCCAGGTTGAGCAGCATTGGTGTAACAAAATTGATGTTCACTCTTTGGTTTGCAGTCTTTGGAGAAATTGCCAATATGCTCATGTATGTGGCCAAACTCGTCTAGCAACGCTCCAAATGTTTGCAGAGCGATGCCCTTTGGTATACTGAAACACGGTCTCTTCCTTCGATTACTGTGCACGCATCACTGCGCTGCCCTCTCTTTTTAAGCTACAAAATCAGTCCGGAGACCTTTTCATCAAGGCTCGTATAACCTGTCTCAACTTCACAGGACACTAAATTCGATTTTGAAATCTTAATTTTTTTTATGTTGCAACTTATGTTCCCTAAGTATTGCAGAAAATCCGAATTGCATTACAATTGCCCTTAAAAATGAAACCATGCATTCTAAACCCCCCTTTTTTTTCTGAAAAGGGGGCATGTTTTTATGCTTAGTCATATTTCTAAGCAGAAAAAAAGCTATGGATGATTGTAACTGTTTTCAGGATGTTTGGAGCAAGGGGGGCATGTTGCATTGTTCGGCTGCACGTCAGTAAGGGAAAAGTTGTGCATGACAGCAATTTCGGATTCTCTAGGATGCTTCGGACATAGGACGCAGAACGTCTCAAAATTGACTTTAGTGGCTCTTAAACATGAACTGGAAAGACAAGCACAGGCAAGAAGCTTCGACTAGTGCTCCCATTGCATGAGTACTCGTGCAGCCGAGGTGCAGTCCAACATGGAGCTCATGCCTGTTGCTTCTACGGTCTACAGTAGGCTCACGATAATTCAAACTCAGATATTTTGTACTTCCGGTTAATTGAAACATTTGAAAATTTTGGTCGTCCCGTAATGTTCTGAATGTGCTCATAAGCCGCTTAATTCAAATGGCGTTTTCGCTTAATTCTAGGGTTGTGCGAATATTCAAAATTTTGAATAGTAGTTCCGAATAATACACTATTCGATATTCGCTTCGAAAAGAACTGCACTATTCGCGTTTTTCAAAGTGTTGATTACGGCGGTTTAGCCCCGTTGAGCGCGCTTCTCACCAAGCACCGGTGCGCTGCGGAGAAGCAAAACCCGCGGAAGTGAGCTCCGCGGGTGTTGCTTCTCCGCATTACATCGGTGCTCGCTAAGAAGCACACTTAACGGTGCACCCGTGCCGACTGTATTTGAAAATGAATGGAAACTTTGTGAATGTGTATATCTACATTGCAGTAAAAGTTTAAGAATTAAACTTTTATGGAAGTTTATGTTAGGCAGAGATGCTTTTACAACCTGTGTTCATCATGCGCGACTCATTCTTTTTTTAACTTTATATTAAAGAAAGAATATTTTATATATCAAGATTTGAAAACTCACTCAATTGGTATAGCTGGCCATCTATATAGAATTCATTTTATGTCAAATCCGTCGTTAACTTGCCATCCCGAGACACCAGACCTTCTGAGATCGCAGTACACAAATATAGATAGACTAAGCTTAGCTTATGAATGAAAAGGTGGAATAACCTTTACAGGTTTAGCTGGGTTTTCGTCTAAGCATTATGCAATGGTAGTGAAAGTCGTGGAAAAACTATTCGATATTCGAATCGAAAATATTCGGCCAAAACCACTATTCGCTTCGGACTCAAAATCGACTATTCGCACACGACTACTTCATACTTTTTTTGTTCTCGCGGCCCCGTTGAGTGCGCTTCTTTCCGAGCACCGGTGCACCGCAGAGAAGCAATACCCGCGGAGCTTGTTTTTGCGAGTGTTGCTTCTCCGCAGTGCACCGGTGCTCGGAAAAAAGTGCACTCAACGGGGCTCAAACGGGCACACAGCGAAAAACAGCGTTCACATTATGTGCTTCAAGACTAGCAATGATGACCAAGACGACATCGAGGATGAGGAACATGTGAACGCTGAGCTGGTGTAATATGCTAGTCTTGACGTGATGACTCATTAGAGGACATAGCACAGGAAGTAATGCCAGCACAGTGCAGCAGTGAGTGAAGATGACGATGAAGAAAGGGATGACCCACTACCAACTGTCACAGCCGCAGAGGCGTTTGAGCACGTCGCTCAGCTCCGGAAGTTTCTTTCTGCAAAGGAAGAGTCTTGTAAAGAACTACTTGCATTGGCTGGTATTGAAAATTGTTTTGAGATCTCATGTGCTGACTAAACATCCCACAATCGACAACTTTTTTTGCCGGGAGAATAAACTTAACGTCACAGTTCTTCCACCAATGTTACGCCTGTACTTGCTTATAATTAGGCCTATATAGAGGACACTGGCAAAAATCTGCTTTGTATGCGTAGCTATCCATGTAACAAATGATAATGTTGTCTAGTATCATATTTAAATGAATTTCTGATAATTCAAACTAAAATCTGCGACCTCCTGGAGCTTCAATTAATGAGAGTCTACTGTACGTTAAAGCAAGACAAAGTATAACGTTAATCTGTCGTCAGAACTGGAATCTCGCATAACTGGACGCAATGGACTACAAAAAGGGGACACCTGAGTCTTGGGAAGTGTTGTGCATGTTCCCTTTTCATTGTCCGTCGTCTACAGTTTAAATTGCGTGTGACCTAAACCGGCTCGCTTTTTTCTTAACTTTGAAATTTGTAGTACTTCCAAGTTTGTTGGGCATGTACCGAGAGGCTTGCAGTTCACATTTGTGCCATGCAAGCTTGACCAGCTTGCAAGCACACTATGGCAAACTTCATGCAAGTTGCGTGAGCCAATCTGCGGAGAACATGTCTTGATCGGGTGGAGAGATGTGCCACGTTTATGATGCCCGGTGCTGTTTTGGCATATGCGCTTCTTGCAGACTGTTAAAGCGTTCACTTTTGAGCGTCTACGGATAGCAAATTGCCACCGTGCACATTTGTCATTAGTAGACCTCTTTTTTATCAAATCTGTGCCATCTAGTAGCACAAATGGCAGTCAAACTTGCCTTGCTAGTGGCAGTGGTGGGAGAGCAAGATGAACTACACCATTAAAACTGACCTGTATAAATTCATACACTGACAAGAGTCGCAGGTTTAGAGCCACCTGCTCTAGCAAGCACTTTGTTTCACATCAGCCACCAGAACCCACCTCAAAGTGAATAAATTTACCCATGCCATTTGCATTCTCCCGCCCGCAGTATAAAAACAAAATTGGCTTTGAGATGGCAGAGCAATTCTGTGCAGCCATAGTTTCTAGGTTAGCATCTGCAGCACTGTTATACAACACGGCACTGCTCCGTTTTCATTGCGCGGCCGATTTCCCCTGGCCGTCGCACGTGCTGCTAACCTCCAAAGACAATATGCGGCAGTTTTTGCCTCAATGACAAGACGACTCTCCCACCAGCAGAAACTACAGAGGACGGCCCCCAATGAAACTAATGACACACCTACAATGCCTCTCAGTTCTTCATATTTATATATATATGCACATATAGTATAATATGTACAAGTATTCTTCCCTTTTCTTGCTTTCATCCGTGATATTCGCTTCTGCCGTACGACGTCTCTCTCGAAATACTGTCGGCATACCTTGTTCACCAACGGAAGCAGAGGGACAAACGCATCTTTCGCTCAACAAAACGACTTTCCTTCTATCCCGGTCAACCGACTAATAAGGCGATTGACGCTAACGTTCAACGACCTGCAACACCCATACGCTGCACAGCGAGTCGCGCAGCAGACGTAATACGGGGCACACAAGTCCAACATTCCCGCCGAAACCACCACGAAAAAGAATTGCACTCTCCAAGGACCCAACCTTCTGCCCTTCTCCACAGGGTGTTTCTGAGCACTATTCGGGCATTCGCCTCAAAGCTTTCACGCTTTTGCTTTTGTGTTCTGCCATCTTTCAGTAGCAGCGTCAAACAGACGGGTTTTGCCGTTTTCCTTTCATGCATAGGAAAAAGCTGATGTCTTTTAAGCTTAATTTTTTTCCCTGAAACCTGCGCTCAAACTTGATAAATGCACCGCCTAAAAAACCTCCCCGAAAAATATCATCGCACTCCGTTCATTGGTTTATTTATACTTTTTCTTTTTTTTTTTATGCCCGAATATTGCTCGGCACCCCGTAGAACAAAGAAACGCTCGAGGAACAGACTGTTTCAACAAAAAACGAAAACTGCGTTTGAGCTTTCTTTCGAAATATACACAACTAAACTAACCATCGCTCGTTCGACCCCTTCTCGAGGCCGAGCTAATAAGTAGACTATGAAAGGTAAAACGACGCAAAAGACTGGCTCCCTCTCTCTTTCTGCCGTGCGCGCGAGACGACGCCAGTGTCGTGCATTGCCGCACTTCGTAGGTTTGTGGTACACGGGGGAGCGAGAAAAAATAGGAGTGTTGCGGAACACGCGGCGCGGGGGCCGCGCGTCTATCCGCGTCGCGCTTGACCCTCTACGTCGAGCCGCAGAGTCGCTCAACGCGCCAGCTGAGTGATGAGGGCGGCGCACATCTCGAAGAACTCCATTGTGTTGTGCACCTGGTTGTAGCTGGTTTCCGCCACACCTGCGAGCGAGAGCAACATGTAAAGACGGACCCTTGCGTGGGCGCTCTACGACCCGACACTTGATCGGCGTTGATGCGGGTCGACTTTGAGTGACCCTTTTATGAGAGTTGACACGAGCTTGACTTTTTCTAGCAACGACCTCAAACTTTGGAAGCTTGCAGTTGCGTTAAGACATGGTCTACACTCCAGAATTCCAATATGACTATTTGCTGCATGAGTTGTTTTCCCCTTCAAGTTTCGTTTTTGATTTTTTTTACTTTTGAAGTTTACAAACCCCGTGCTCAATTTCTGCCAAAATCCGACTAAATGGATTATTCAACGCCACGGGATAATCCTTCACTTGTTTGTTTTCGTTAAGAGGCAGGGCCAAATGGAAGCCTGTAAACCCACCTCTTTTTTTTAGTTTAAAATTTTGGCTAATGTAAGCGAAATCCGTTATCTGTTTCACACTTCTTGAACTTGAGGTGTTCATTCTAAGAAATAGTAAGCCCAAGCGAGAAAACTGTTTCATGGTTCCTTTATAAAAATAAATCTAGCTGCAAAGCACAGACTCCTGTGCCCTTCATAATCTACCTGTGCATCAACTACCCACCTTTTTTTTTTTCCACTAGAAAAGATTAAAATATTTTAAATGGTTCAACAACAAGATATTTTCCTTCCCTCTTAGGTCATGGGGCCTATGGCTGGGTTCTCTACGTAACCTACTGGAAGGCAGTGCGGGGCACACGTGGAACACCAGCGCTCTGCAAGCGTTGGGCTGCGACTCGCAACCTCGCTGATCCAACACGAGTTCCAGCGGAATGCCGAAGCAGCACTCGCGTGCGATCTGCGCCCCACTCCCTCCGGACAGTATAAGAAAACCCAGCACTACGGCCTAAAAATCTAGGTGTTAGGCAGAACACCCTCACGCACTGCAACATTTCACCGCAACAGTGCACGCCCTGCCAGAATCGAGCGGAAAAGTCGACGCCGAGTGTCGTCTGTAAATACATCCGGTGTCTCAATATTTTTCTTTCCCTCCCTCGAGACCAGCGGAGCGGCTTTGCTTACTGGGGTCCTGGGACTGAGCCTCCTCGTTGGTGGGAAGGGATTTGAAGTCGAGAAGGAAACTCTTGTACTCCACTTGGTACAGCTGCAGGCTCATCTTCACCTGAAAGAGCAGACGCCAGACGTCGCACTCTCGCCCACGATGCGACACAACGTCTTTCCGGGAAAAAAGGTCTGCGGTAAGGTTGGCTCACAAAAGGGTCGTACTTAAAAACCCCGGGGACGAGAACACGCAGAAGAGGGCTGTCGTCCTTAAACGGAAAGAATAAACAAGAAAAGGACAAAGCAACGACGAAGACGCATCATTTCTGTTCCCTCGTCTCCAGGGTTTCCCAGCTTTCCCTTCCATAACACACGAGAGAGAGAGAGAAAAAAAAAGACATTACTATAATGAACTGCATTGTAAGAAATTAGTAGTTTGTTGTAATTAAAGATGGCACTCCGCGTCTCCGAATATACTCACCGGCCGAGCATTGCTGGGGTTTTTTCTCCGTACCCGAACGTGAAATGAGTTGACCACTTTCCACTCCTGCAAAAAAAGAAAAAGGGTTCTTAACTCAATGTGACTTAGCGACACACTCATAAGGATTTCTCGCCTTTGGCGTTTATTTCACTCAGATAAATCTTCAAAGTGATAAGACATACTGCAGCTACAATTATTTCCTTAGCGGCATCATCTATTGCACCTCTTCGAGTCTAGTTTATTTACTGCCAACCAAAGTGTACAAGGTTGTCTTACATGAGGTTGGAAATTAGTATGGGAAAACTGCATTAAAACAAAAACTGTAGCTAATTAATAAGTTTCTTTTATATTCGTACAACTTCGAATTTTTCGACTGCATATTGTTAGCATCGAGACATCAAAGAAGTCTTTCTTATTGAAAAATGCAACTGCAATAGAAAGACTTGTTCGGCCAACTCCACCAACAATTAAGAATGCCTGCAACATGTGGACGCATTGAGTAAAAAGGCACCACTCACGAAATCAAGCGCTTTCATGGCCCTGTACACTTCATTCATGATGTCGTGTGGCTTGCTCTGCGATCGAATGCCTGCAACCAGCACACAGATTTAAGTCAGAAGAAAACGCTTGTGTCACAGTCGATTTTCTGTGATCCGCTTCATAACTGAAATATCATGAAGGTGATACAGTGCAGCCCACTTATATTGATACCACATATAACAATGCACCACTTATAACTATCAGTTTCTAGAGTTCCTAGACTGGAAATGTCCAGATAAAATGATAATCATTTATAACGATTGAAATTTGGGGGTTTATCATTATCATTATAAGTGGGTCGCACAGTAGTAGTACAGTCATGGAGACAGGAAATTAGCGCACATGATGCAACTTGTCGTTCATTCTAACGTTAATTAAGGGAGGACAGGGTAGTACGTACCACATGTTTATCTGAATGCTGATAAGGCTTGTGAATGATCCTTTAGAGAGGCTCCCCCCTCAAACCGTGAGGTAGTAACAACAACCAAGACGAATGGCAGCAGCCTCTGCCACCCTGGCTAGGTGGCGCAAGCTGCTGCCCGATTCAAAGGATTCGGCAATGTTTATTTGTCCGCCCACCTAAATCTTTGACGCAATCCAGTTTCTTTCTTCCACAACCGCACACGCCGAAACGCACCTCGGCAAACATCCGGGCAACGCGAAAATCTTCAAAGCTGCACGCACCCAAATTCAAATTTGACGTCCGCAAATTCCACACCGCCTTTATGCGCAACGAGAGAAAGAGAGGAGGCACGCACCCAGATGCCACTTTGCCCTCTTCATCGGGGTTCCCTTGCGGTCCGCGCCGTTCCCTCCGCTCAACATCCGCTGGCGGCTGGCGATTCGCTCAGGGTGAGGCCTCGATGGGCTTTGCTGCACGTCACAAAACGCCCGGGAAGCAACCATCGTGAAAAGGGGTCCACCGTGGGCAACGCGAAAGACGGAACACCCTCTTGTAAATCGTATTAAACCCCTTTCACCTTACAACAAACCTCAGCGGATGCTACGAGCCATCTCGGCCAATCCATGCGTCTATATGCACATCTCTGTACCCGTCGCAGCACCATCTCGGCCAATCATGCATCTACAAGCACGTTGCTGTACCCGTTTAAAGGTCAAGTGACAGTCATCAAATTGGCTTCGATGGCTTGTTGCGTCATTTACAGCTCATCATAAGGTGAGAGTAATAAAGCCACTAAAGATGATACCTTTCAGAGTCGTAAGTCATCTTGGTGCTTAAAATCATTGTTATCTGAAGCTTCATCTGACTTCGCAGAAAATTCTTTTTCATTCTCAAGATATGTTGGAACAGTCTGCGACAGAGTAATACCCTAGTTACACAGGCGCTTTGAACTGTCACTGAGTCTATGACAGCTATCGGCCCCAACTGTGATCAAACTGAACTGAACTGAGATGGTGCTACACGGCTCTCAAGAACCCAGTTGAAGCTAAAATGGAACTAGTTCTTGTGCCACGTGATCAGTCTAATTGTTTTAATGTAATTTACTCGGAGACACACCTTTCATTTATTATAAGTATATTGTACAATATGTTCAATACCTTGTTGCTTTTTAGCGGCGTTTACACGAGTACCAAAGCAGATTCAGGGCTAAGGTGCGCATATTTTAGGCTAGGTGGTGCAAGCTACCGCCCGCTTCGATAGGTGCACCCATTACTATTTGTCCATTCATACAGCTGGTCCCTCTGCCATCTTCGCTCGTTCGGTGGCTTGCCGGCTAGCCGGGAGGGATCGTTTTAGCGGCGGCTCGGACGCCTAAGCCTATTCCTTCCCGAAATGTTTGCTGCTACGATTCTTTCTATACGCCTCCCCCTGCATTCCGCAACAGTAAGTGCCTCGCAAACAGTAGTCGGCGGCAGTGGTCCTGCGAACAGGCGCCATTTTACCTCTGTTGGGGAAGTCCGTTCGGTTAAACTAAGGTAGGGGAGCTCAGTTGAACTCAAATGTCATTAGTGGCTCGATGACACTTGGCGCCGCCGTGTAACTCCAGCCGACTCCGATTCAGTCAACTGTCAGTAAGTCAATGGCAGTTGAGAGTGCCCGTGTAACTAGGGTATAAGACGATATTGGGCGAGTTCCCCGAGAAACTTCTAACCGTAATTATTGCCAGTTGCACCTGCTCTGTACTAAGCACCGAAACGGCAGCACCTACGAGACAATCAAGGAAAACCGACCGGGCAACAAAGTTTGGTTTGACTGGTAGCGCCATCTCACGGAAAAGTTTCGTAACCCCAAGGCACCCCGCAGTCACAATCGCTGGACCCGATCTCGAGCTCGAACATCCCATAGCCCTGCCGCCAAACAGTGATGCAGTGCTCGTGCCCGGTCGTTTGGTAGCATGGCCTTCCCAACGTTGCCCTTTCTGGCTGCCAGCCGAGCCGACTATACCTGTTTTCACCTCAAGAAGAAAGCAAGTTTTGTGCATTGTTCATACGCCGCACGAAGTAGTTCTTACGAGATTGGGTTGTCGAGAGGGAAAGGCGATACTTCTGGCGTTTGGAATGTGTACGTCGTAATAAGATAACATATATCTAACCTACAACTCACATACATATATCTTAATTCTTTACATAATAAGGAAATCAGTAATGCTTCGCGAAGAGCCGGACTTTCTTTCCTACGGTTCTTAAGGTGAAAACAGGTATAGCAGCCGACCGAGGCACATCCTGTTCACTGCCCCGGGACTATGGAGCACAGTAGACACAATCGACACTCGATTATTCCAGTAAATGCAATCAACGCTCGACTCTGAGCGCTCACTGTTCTATGCACATTGTTCTATGCACCCCTTTCTCAAGTCCCGATGATCTGTCACCGGCGAGCTCTACTCACGTCGAGCAGAGCGGCCGTCGGGGGTGGGCTGGACGCGACGTAGAAGTCCTTGATCTCCAGCTTGGCCGTCTCGTCTTCGATGCGCTTGTTGTCCACCACCAGGTTGTAGGCGATGGCCAGCTGGTCGTGGGGGTTGCCACTCAGCAGGGCGCTGTGCAGCTCCTTCTCCTGCACCCCAAACTTCTGCTCCCCCACCACCCCAAGAACAGAGGAAGTCGGCATGTTAGGTTGAACTCGCAACAAGTTTGAACTAAAAATTGCCATTTCCTTACCTTCAAACTTACAAACAGAAACTCTACCCTCACCAAACTCACAAACTTACCAGCTCGCACTTCTTGCAGAACTCATGAACCTACGCATCTCACCTCACTCACCAAACTCGTGAACTCACCAAATTTATGAACTCACCTCACTCGCGAACCCAGCAACTCACGTCTCTCACCAAACTCATGAACTCGCCGAATTCATGTCCCTCACTCACCTTAGGCAACACTCAATCGCGAGCACATGAAATATTGATGCTTCTTACCTCACTCACTCTCACCTTACATCTGAGGGTGAATGTGAGTGAAGCGAGTGAGTGCAGTCACGAAGGAGTTTTGCCAAGGTATGTGGATGACATGTTTGGTTCAAGCAGCTTGAAGAGTAAAGAGCCAAACTTGAAAGATCATGTCAACGTTCCTTACCTCACAGACGACTTTCACGGCGTCCATGTCGATGATCGACGCATCGTTGTCGTTCGGCAACGGGAAGAGGTAGGCTGGGAGGTCTTTCTTAAACCAGTCATGGTTTCTGTTGGACAACAACGTGGGGACAAACGTAAGACGCAAGTTCAGCTAGACAGAGACATTGCAACTAAAGAAAGTTGGCAAAGGGATCTGAGAGCAAGGCTACAATGCGGCAATCCTGCTTTATCCTCGAGTTCCGCAAAACGTTTATGGCATTCGACGAACGCCGTCTATCATTACGCATTATCGGGATTCAAGACTGCCACTGGATATGAACTCACTTGATGTCCTCCATGGTTGCCCGTTTCATTGGGTCCACTTGGAGGGTGTGGATCAACAGGCTCACCACCGATTTGTTCAGGTAGTCCGGGACGGGGAAGATGCCCGCTGCATGTGCGAAGAGACGGATCCAACGAAATTTACAGAAAATGCTTCCACATCTCAGCGAGCATACGCTGTCTTCATACAAAGGTAAAAGAAAAAACAGCCACGAAGCTGCCAAGTGATGAATACTAAGCTTTCAAAGAGTGCAAATGACGCTAGAACTATGCTTCCATCACTACCTGAAGAGCAGGGGTTGTTAAACCCTTTTACAAAGCTTATTTGAGCAGCTCTCAAATGTATTACGAAGCTTAGGGAAATAAAGCTTGCCAAGAAAGATTACTTTCTTAGACGGCGCGTGCCCATGACCACCACCGGGTTTCTTAACATCTCAAAGTGGTATGTTAGTGCTAAGTTGTACTGAGCCTAGATCTTGAAGACGGAACACAGGTTAAGAATATGAAGACTCACACTTGATCTTTCGGAAAAGGGTCGGGACATGTTCGTCGTCAAATGGAAGCTGCAAAACATTGAAGAAACCAACAGTGAAGTGAAGCGGATCAGATTCAGAATGCGAGTGCATAAATGTAGTGCAACACAATGAACAGTAGACAGCCAAACATTTCAGGCATGGCCGTCCACCATGTAAAGTATGTTACGTTGCCTGGGACACATTCCCTTTACGATGATTCAGGTTGAAGTTGTAAACTAAAATTATCCAGGCAATATCAAAACCAGACAGGCACAGATTTATGCGTGAAAGTCTGACTAGAAAACACTTTCACCTTGTACATGTTAGAGGATTTAGATATATTTCCAGCAGCTCTAGGACTTTACTCTTTGCCAATTTCAGACATATGGGCAATTAAAAAGATACAGATAGAACTCTCCTTGTTTGTCATGTTGCAACATTCTTATAGGCTATTTCTTCTATTACAGTGGAACCTCCTTAGAGCAAGAATAATACACTAAAAAATGACTGAACTGTCATTTGAGGCGACGCAACACTAATGTATTTGAAAGAAAATATTTGAGGAAAACTTCTCTGATAGGGAAAACAATAAATAAATAAAAGACAACAATGTAGCAAAAATAAAATATATAGTGTCTTGAGTTCAGAAAAAAGTATAGACTCCAAACCAACAACGGAACTTGTGTGGTGCTCCTGCAAAGGAGCGAGGAATATACTTCAGACTGCTCAGAGATTTTTTAGGTGTTATTAAAGTTTACATTAAAATTGCATGATTATAAGCATGTGGTTCCTGAATCCAAACCAGCCTAAAGGAATATATCAGACGTCGGTTTTCACGCATTAGACTAGGACTCAATGGGGAGGAAAGTACAGTCGTGGACGATACGAAAGAGTCCCGCAAGCGCTTGGCTCCGAAACCTCCGGTGCCATCAGACGGAAAAAAGTAGGGCCATCGTCGAGGCTACTGCGTGCACAAGCGGCATTTCAGTGACTGTTCCAGTTTTTGTCATTACACCCCACATCGTCGGCAAACGATTACTGAGTCAACACCGATTTCAGCACTGTTCTTGAATCGCACTTGCGTGCCTGGTGAAATAAAATGAAAACCGCTCATCCGTCTTTTATCCTGCTAGCTCAATATCAAATGCCCGAGCGCCGGACACTCAACTTGCCGAAGCGGTGGTTTCAGCCGCAGAATTGAACAGCCGCTGAGGACTCGAGAACAACTGAGACTACTTCCGACACAGAGTGCCGCAGGTGTCCTAAACCATGCGCTCGCTTGGGCCTTTTCATATTGTTCACAACTACATTCTCTACTGGAGGGTGATTCACCCAACTCATCCCGGTACACTACCAGAAACAGCGGTGGCAAAAGAGCTCCGAAACGACCCCCCCCCCCCAAATCAAGCAAAACACAAAACTCACGGTTCCGCAGAGCAGCGCATAGAGTATTACACCGCAGCTCCAAATGTCCACTTCAGGACCGGCGTAGAGTCTGGAACGAACGGGGCGATCGAGTTTGTACTAGTGGATAAATGCGTGGATACAAACAACTGAGCACTTTTAATCGGTCAGTGGCTCGTGCCACACAGCCAGTGCTTTCTTCGAAAGTTAATGTCTACTCAATAGACAAAACATTAAGGTGAGAACTTTTAACGGTAATCAGTGATCTGAAAGCCAGAAAGCTTCAAAGTAGCTCCTTGGTTAATTTCTTTTGGTACTTTGAAACAATATTTTTGCTTTGATTAACTAGCACTCCGACCCAATCATTGTAATCACAAATACTAAACAGATGCAAGTTTTTGTCCAGATGCACTAGTGGCATGAAGAAGTAAAAGTGGTGTCTGTTCTAAGGAGTCGGAGCGAAACAACGATCGGTACGTACTTGCCCGAGATGACCTCCGGGGCTGCGTAATTTGGGGACCCGCAGCTCGTCCTCAGGAATTCGCCGTCCATCATCATGTTCGAGAGTCCTGCGGAGGACCACCGTGACTGTTACCGCAACACTCGTGAGCGCGTCGGGACAATGGCGGGACTTCGAGGAACCTGGAAACCCGTCCACAGAACTGGGTACGATCAATTTATGCTTTTCGCAAATTTCCGAATATGCAACAGCAGATAAAGCATTCATAAATATTTACTCGAGGTGAAATCTCCAGAGATACCCAGCGAGCTTTGGTAGGTGCATGCTATATATTTTACGGTAGCTGCAAAAGCCAAGTCGATGATAGCATGTTGATCCGTCTTATTTCTTAATTTTACTTCACCAGGCGGACTGGAACCCAGAGAAATCATACCAGATTTATAGTACAACTAACTGCCTCTTTGCAGCTGCACAGACAGGATTAGCATATACTAGTCTTATTTGCTCTTTGCATAAACCTTTTATTTGCATTATTTATTTTGTATAACATAGCTCTTTCTTTTTTGCTTAACAATGTCCAGGCATTTATTTCTACTTTATTTACTTTTTTGTTTTATGTAACCACACTCTACAAATTCCCCACCCCAAGTGTAAGCGCTGTATGAAGCCTCAAGAAGGAAAAAAAAAAAAGTGACGACGATGATTAGACGTCTTTGTAAGACTTTGTAGGACGGAACACAAAACCCTCGAATGGGCATCTGATTTTGCATAACAGTTTTCGTTTTCAGAAAAGGTTTTGGCATTTATTCCTGTTTTTTACTTCATGTGACCATGTTCTACAAGCATGCCGCCCTCGAGGTACAATAAACGACTACAAGGACAATGAAACATCCTCACGACAAACAGTGCAGGACGATGCAAGGAACACTGCAGGACGATGCAAGGCGCTAATACAAAGTCCCGGACGCTCCATCAACAGATACGGCACAGCCGTTGCGGGAGAGGCCCTCTCTCACCGAAGTCGGCGATCTTGACGTTGAGGTTCTGGTCCAAGAGCAGGTTTTCGGGTTTCAGGTCCCTGTGGACCACCATGTGCCTGTGACAGTACGCCACTCCGGAGATGATCTGCTGGAAGAACCTCCGGGCGTCCGACTCCTTCAGCTGCGTTCCAAAAGAGCCGGGAATTCCACCGCAGTCGTCAGATTTGTCTCTTAGCAGCAATGCTAGGGTGCCTGCAATGCGTCTGCGGCTGGCAGGTTTACCCAGTCCCAAAAAGGAACCCTCTATTTCCGCGCAACGCCGCCAAAAAAGTGTTACGCAGCGACGCCGTGACGACGGCGACACCTGCATCCCCTCATGATTTTTCCCCAAAAGCTTCTAATACCAACCACCAGGATTGCAACGTCTAACAGCGTGACACCTTGGCTTTTGTGACATCATTTGTTGCCACTTAGGGGCTTATTTTGAATTCATGGGCGGAGTAGGACGCTAAACGCATCTGGCACCACCTTTCTTTCGCCTTTTTTGGATGGACGTCTATAGTATGCTGCAGGTTAAGAAGGTAGGGTGAGCAAAAGGAAGGTGCGAGAGGAGGAAGCAGACGCAATGCTGTTGAGAGGAGGGGGTTTCCCCCTCTCCTCGCCAGTGCTGCATCCATTTCCTCCTTTCCCACCTTCCTTTTCCTCGCCCTGCCTTCTTCCGTTGTCACCGACTGTAGTTCACAATGTGGTGTTCCTTATAAGGTGTTCTACGCCATCATTGATTCTACATCCATTACTAAGTCTAATCTCCTCCTGCGTCCCCCAACGACAGAATAGATCCAAAAGCCTTTTTTTACCCTTCACTTCTAGTATGGCCCTCCATTAACACGCATGCAGCTCATGTAGGACAAGTTAGATAATTCCCATGTGGCCTTTTTTGCTAATAATTTTGAGGAGGTAATGGACGTGAATTTGGATGTGGTTTCTTCGAGTTCATTTGTTCCCAGATTCAGTTTTTCTCGGTGTCGGACAAAAAATCTGAGTTTATTGAGACATATGTTGAAGACAAGCATCGGATCATTTGATTTTTGAGTACAGTGTTGTGATAAAAAATTTTGTGAAAGAGACAAATACCAGATATTTTTCAGCGATATGCAAGACTGGGTAGTGATCAAGTATTTTTCCTTAATGTCACGCTATCGGTACAATTATAATTAGCCAAAATAAAAAGTGTGGATCTGTTCTGAATTAATTCGAGAAACTCAGTAAGGTAGGAGGTACCGGGATCCCAGATGGAGGCTGCATACTCAAGCTTTGACCTCACTAATGTTTTATAAAGAAATAGTTCTAATGATGATGGGACCATAGAAGAAAATAGAAGGAGTCCATAAAAGAAGATTGGTGGAAATTATCTAGAAAAAATTGAATGATGCACAACTAACTAGCGTAGCTGGAGACAGGCGGGACAGAGGAAAATCGGGACTTCCTCCCGCATGGCTCTCGCCCAAAGTCTCAACTGTCTCCCAGTGGTTCCGGTGCAGGGTAACGCCGATAAGGTTTGACCAGAGGAAAATTGGCGACTCCCTTGCCGGGGTGTAAGAGGCGGGGGGGGGGGGGGTGATGTTTTTAGTTGTTTTTTTGCCCGATCCCCCAAATGTCAACCTGCTGATATCCCACACTGCCTGGTGACAGTTAGGGGGAGAAAATTGGTCTTAGAAGGGCAGGAGAAATCATGTTTGCCTTTTCAAACTTAGGCTAGGTAGCGCAAGCTACCACCCGTAACAAAGGTATAGCCATTAACATCCATCCATCCATGGAGAAATAATACGACCGTGGTGAAGATCGGCTCACAGCAACGGGTTTTACACTCACCTTCCCATGCTTGACGATGTAATCAAAGAGTTCACCACCGCAGACATACTCCATGATCATGAAAATGTCGGTGGGCGTGCTGATGACTTGGTACCTGAAGCGAGCAAGACGTCGGATGTAGTCGGACAACTCGTAGGAGTTCTGGAATTGTATCTGGTTTCCTGGTAAGGACTATTTCAGATGCTGGAGTCGTTTCTAAAAGAGCCTTAGCTATGACTCTGGTTTGTGCAGCAAAACATAAACTGAAACCGTTAACTGGTTTTGATGTGCCTTCTGGCGGTTTTCTGGGCATTGTACACGTATGAAAGTAATGTGTTTATAGTTTTTTATTTTTTTATAGTGCACTGAATACTTATTAATGGCATTAATATTGATTATTGCTACACTCTTTATAGGCATTGAGTTGCTTTTCATTAATCTCCATTATTGTTTTTTTGTGTTATTACTATGCAAGATGCTTAATTCCAGTCCTGTAACCGTGCTGACAATCGGAAACTGTCAAAGCTCATTGTCACAAAAGAAGGCATCTTTTGACTCAGTGATAGAGAAAAATATGAGGACTTGACTCAGCGATAGAAAAAAGTATGCAGACAATGAATCATAAAGGCACCACCACAGCATGTACATTCCAAGTCCGTCTGTATGAAATTATTGTTTTAAATTCAGTTTTTTTCCTAGAGCCATAAACAAATGGAACATGCTACCGAATGCCACTGTTTCATCAGCGTCACTAAGTTCATTTCTTAGAACTATTGAAACGACTGTATGTGTTCCTCTGATTCTTCCCGATCTTTGAGTGATGTACATTTAGATGTATACTTTTTTGTTTCTTGTTCTGTATTACATTATATTGTATTTGTTGTTACGGGAAAATCCTCATTTTTTACCAGCGACCTGTATGTGTTCAATATGTATTTTTACTTCACCCTGTAAGTGCCCTGATGGGCTGACAGTATTAATAAATGAAATGAAATGAGGACAAACATGCTATTCTTTGTGAGAAAACAATTTGGAAGCATTACTTTCATACCACATCATCTACTATAATAAATATTATAATATAGAAATGGTATTCCCATCTGTTAGAACATACTATGGTACAGGGCTGATTACAATAGTATCTTAGAGATACTTTTAGGCATCTGTATCTCCGTATTAAAATACATTTCAAAAACATATATTGTACCTTAGTAGTGAAATACATTTACGATGTATCGCGATACTTGCCAGGCTTGAGTATCTAGTTACATTTGTTGTCCTTTTTAAGATAAATTTAAAAGATAAGAACATCTGCTTGGTGCAAGTTGCTTTGCAATTTATAATACAAATCTCAGTCACCAACATCTTAAAAAAAAACTGGTTTAAAGAAGGTTACTTGCAAGAATAACAAAATCAGCTCCTCTCAAAAGCCCTCCACTCTTTCCAATTTAGCAGAGAGAATGCTCTAAAGGAGTTTAGTGGAGAAAAGTATGGCCCTGTTGTCTAATCTATGGGTGACACAGAAGAAAATAATATGACACTTTGGTATGCGCCCTCGCGGTAAAACAGGGTTCATTTCGGGCAGACACCTTTCCTTTTGTCAAGCATGGCACGCAGTCTTTACCATTCTGTAACTATGTGGTTCAACGGGGGGTGACACGTTTTTTATTAGCTGCATTAGTAATAAATGAAGAGTTTGAGGTAAGGGGAACAGCATAAAATGGCACAGAGAAAGGAGCACAAGGATAAACTAGCATCTGAAGTTGCCACGAGCTACACCCTCCCCACTTAGCACCGTTTGGAAACTAATGTATTTCTATAAGTATCTGCACCAGTATTCCGAAATAGTCTTTCGCCACTTTTGCAGAAGTATCTCCGGGATATCCCATTGCACTAAAGACAAATGTGTCTCAGTATCTGTATTTTGGACCTTAAAACACATGTATCTCAGTATGTGTATTCCCTAATACTTTTTGGAGTATCTCTGCCATGCCCTGCTATGGTATATGACAAGCAGATACGAGCAAGCACAACAAAGTTTCGGCAATTTCATCATCAACTGCAATTGGAGCCAAATCGAACTGACCGCGGTGTGCACAGATGACATAGAACATGCAGATCTGTGCATGCGCTGTACATGATGGGTTTCAGACACGAAAACGACATGTAGCTCACAGTTTGATGATATGAGGGTGCCGGAAGAGCTTGAGGTTTTGTATTTCACGGCGGATCTTGCCCACGACATCGAGATTCTTTATCTTCTGCCTGTTCAATATCTTCACTGCAACCTTGTGGCCCGTCAACTGGTGGCAGGCGGCTGAAAAATAATTTGTTTTGTTCTCTTACAAACTGGTATTTGCGCTACACACGGGTAAGGTCGAGCAACACGTCATTCGAAGCACACACACCGGCGTTTCAAGGCTCCAGCAAAATAGAAACATATTGTAAACAACATTAGAAGCACTCGTTTATTACATCGAGCTAGCGTCGCGTAACGACACTGGCTCTAAAAGCCTCACACAACTCCTCAAACTTGTCCGAATCCCTCGGAAAGAATACGAGGGAAAATTTCCACGGGAAAAATACGCTGCGCAATTTCAGAGCTCGCAATACAGGAAAAGTAAGTAGCAAGTCGGAGAACATCGCGCCGACTACGCTTCTAAAACAGGGCGCAAAACAAAAGACGACGGCTCAACGGTCGAAGAGACACTTTAGTTCTTCACGCTGCCAGAGTACGCAAATATAATACAGTAGCCGCAGTTCAGGAAACGTCTGTTTCAACGTCAAGAGCCTACACGCATGACTGCTCCTCGGTACTGCGAAGTAACGCTCAAGGAGCAAGTTATTAGGGGCTCGTGCAAGGCGCATTTTAAGACACCGTGCGTGCCAGAAGACAGACTTACTCTTCACTTTTCCAAACGTGCCGACGCCGAGGGTTTCTCCTAGAATATAATGCCCTATTTTAACTAAAGGTTGCCCTTGGGCTCCTTGAGGTTGGTTCTTGTCCGCCATCTTTGATTATTGCCGATTCCCTTCTCTCTCATGCTCCTCACCCACTGCTGCAACACATGTTTTCGACCATTTCGTATGATCGATTTTTGAACGGCGTCAACTGAACACGCGAACAAAACTGCGTATTATCTTAAAAGGACGGGTAGACCGTCATACTCGGTAATATTTGCGGTCTACAAGCCGCGTTGGTGATCGCGGTATTTAAAAGCAGATGTTTTTTGCTATGGTTTTTTGCTTCTTGTTTACGTTTTCATTAGACGGTGCTGCCATCTGCCACCTTGTTTTAGGACTAAAAAGCACTAAAAGGCTTCCATCCTTCCATCTTGCTCATGTGTCACACTGCGATGTTTATCTGACGTTTGAGGCCTGTTTTGGCGTCCGCAGATGCGAGTTTTTGAGACGTTTTGAATGACTATTTACCGCAAATGTCCCGGTACGACCCCAAAGAGAGGTTTAGGTATCTGAGGGAACTGGTGACGGAATTTCAGGACACCAAGTCAGCGGGTAAGTCAGTGGTGGTAATGCCCCCTCCGGAGTGCTGCTGGGTTTTGTTTTGACCATTTTCACAGACTGCGTACGCATTCTCTGATCAATTTGCGATTGACCAATTCAACCGCGTGCGCGGACATTTCAGAGGCAAAAGAGCAAGTTCTAGCCAATCTCGCCAACTTCGCCTACGATCCGGTGAACTACGAACATTTCAAACGACTGAACATCGTGAACCTTTTCATAGGTAAGCCCACACAAGCGCACATTTGAATTCTGTGATTAAACTTACCGATTAAATTCGCAGATCAGCTTGACAGTAGTAGCGATGCTTTGAAAGAGTACGCCATCGGCGGTATCTGCAATCTGGCTTCAGGTAAACAATTCTATCACAGAATCAAAACCAGGACCCGAATCGCTGGAGTTCATGTGCCGTTTTTATTTTATTTATGTATTTTCCAGATCAGTCATTTCGCGCTGAAGTTGTCAAGCCCGAACACATTGCAAAGGTGGTTGACTGCTTATCAAACTCGCAAGAGGAAACTGTGCTTTCGACCATTACTACACTGGTATACCTTGGATTGTCTGGTTGCAAATCAGGTAAATCAACCATTTTTGGGGGCTACCTGTGAACGCGAACCATTCTGGAGGCAAGGGAAACAAGAAAGTGCGATTAGCTCAAAATTGTTACCCAAAATGATCACCGAGGCAGAATTTTTCAGTTGTTTTGAAAGAAGCTTCTGTAATGTGTGTATCGCAATGCGATTTTTCCCTCTGAATTTCTAAATTCAGTGAAGTCTCAAATTGACCGAGACTACTTTGGGAGGCTATGAATCGTGTTCTCAAGGAACAATGGTCTTGTTGTTTCTTTAAGCAGCAGTGTTACCAGTGATGCTACCACCAAATTATCTCATTTAAAACCCTCTATTTTTTTCTCACAATTTTTTTTTTTTTTTTTTTTTATAAATAAGAGTTAGTGGTTGTGTTTCAAAATTTACTCGATCTCGCTCTAGTGTAAAGGTTTATACCTTGGCATTCAAAAGCCTACCTGCGTCCAGCACCGCTCCGTCTTGTCACAGACATGATCCACCGGAGTAACTCGGATGCATTCGAGTAAGATTTGGAACGCAGCCAGTGTATGATCACTGCAACTGTAGGCAGGCTGCAGACAGCAACCTTTCCCAATGTCTTGGTGTTGCAATGGCTTTTGCACAAGACTGCTGCAACCACTACGTTATCTCGTCATCATTGTTAATAACATTATTTTTGTATCTTTAAATTGTGTTGCAAATACTAACTGATCTCCAAAAAACAATTAGCACCGGAAACGATTCATAGAAAACCAAAACAAGGTGAAACGCCGTCATCATCCCCGCTACAGGAGTCGCATAAAATATTGCGTTTGCGATTGGCTGCTGCCGCTTCATACGTCTCACAATCGTTCCTTGGTTTCTGTCTGGACGTATCCCAGCAGTTCGTGTCAGAGCGCGGGCATCTAGGGAACATCTCGTCAACAACCCTGAAATTGCAGGGAATATGCGGAGAGCGAGTCGTCTGCTTCTTGCCCAGGACTTGTGGTTATGTCAGAAGACACCGAGCTCCGATTGAAAGGATAGCAGGTAGACCTCAATGCTAGGGTCTGCCCACTATTTTTTTTCAGTCCGCCAATAAGAACTCAACGCTCTGACATCATCGTGTGCAAGCAACAAACGGACCTGTGCTCCGCATTGCACCGTCTGAAGTGGGTCTTAAGGATTAGGAAAGAAGGGCCACTGAAAAGAAAAAAAAAGTGATATTTTTTAAACAGTTTGGTTGGGACGCGCTTGTCAAAAAATTAATTTTATGCAAACAAAAAAACCTTTTTAGAACAATATTGGCGGTGTGAGATTTATTTCAAATTCTACGTGCAAAGTCCATGACATCGCAGAATGGTCATACACTCTCTCCACCTCACGAGATGGTCATAATCTCTCCACCTCAACGTAATGGCCAAGCCGGTCCACCTCTCCTCCACACACCAGAAATGCAGAGAAAACGAGTGGAAAGGAGGTGACTACCGACTAAATCACGTCTCACGCCGTCAATACTGCTCTAAAAAAAGTTTTTGCGTAAAATTTACTTTTTGACAGACGTGTCCCAACCAGACTGTTAAAAAGTTGTTTTGTTGTTTTCAGTGGCTCTTTGAGGGGGACATTTGCCATTGGACGTTATTTTTTAATGTTTACAATAACTGAATTAAATTTTTACATTTTATAGGGCTTGATTTTTTTTTATATATCTGGTGTTAGTTTAGGTGTAGCTTGTTTTTAAATGCTAAATGCAGTGCACATGCCAAAAAAATTTAAATAAGTGTGTTCTTGTGCACACGTGAGGCATGGCAACACGCTTATAAGTGCCTCGTAAAATAAGCTAATTTGTTCGTTTTAAACCACCGAGTGCAATGAACAACAAAAATAATGTTTGCGAGGCCTCTTTTGTCGGCTTGAACACCTGAGACTGGGAACAAAAAGTGTTCCCAATTTCAAGTGTGCAAGATGTTGAAAGTTCACCAGCTCATCTGCATCTTCTGTTATTTCTTCTACCTCTTGTGTTTAAAAAAAATATTGGAAGTCGCAAAACATCATTTTCAAAGGGCAAACAAATGTTTCTTTAAGTTTTCATAAATATAGAAGTATATATTCTAACCAAACCTCAATAATTGCATTAAACATAACTTAAAGCATATGCATGCTTAATTTGGTTGTGAAACATCCCTGTGTACAAACTGTTAGGGCACCCCGAAAGTACAAAAAGAGAAAAATGCGTTAGAATATTACCATAAATGAGTAGCAACACTCTTTATGGCGGGAAAAAAGAATTTGTTAATAACTTTTCCTGAATACTCTTTATGGTGGGAAAAAAAAAAATTTGTTAATAACTTTTCCTGAAAGATTAAAGTTGCAAAACAATGCTACGAAAAAGAGAAGGCTAGGCTTACTCCTCAAGATAAACGGTGGGTGACGCCTCAATTTTAACGACCTCGCACACGCAAATGGTCCAAATTTAGGCGTCTTTGGGTCGCTGGGAATCGTTCAAATTCATATTTGACTAATTACGATATCACATTCTGCCCTTATATTTTCATACATGAAATATGAACAAGCTATATTAACAAATCATCATTTTTTTTTTTCAAAATATTGCCGCTTTTCAACTTGCTTCTCCCCTTTAAAGGGAGACGTATAACCTTTGTCTTTCTGCGAAGATAATCTTCTTAGTGCTCCCCCTCTCCTAAGCTGTGAGGGGAGCCAAGTTGGGGCAAGGTAAAAACTGGAGAGGATATAGGAAAGGAGGAGGCACCCAAAAAGTGTATGTCGGCCTTTATTGTGGACACCATCCCCCTAGAAAGACATTAGTTTCAGGTTAGATTTATTTATTAACATTTATGGAAGCTTTGTACCTCTTCGACGGAGCTCTACATGTGCCAAAATCATTGCTCATCACAATATTTTTTATTTTTTTTTCCACTTTTTTGAGAGACACACTTAATCTCGGCTCTATCCTTTTGGGGACGCTGAAATCACTCGTTTTGAAGCGCAGCTCCGAACGTTGTTGTCTCAGGAACAGCCCTGAGGGTGATCTAAACTGTGTCTAAAAGAATGGCACCTTCTTGTTGCGCAGACATCGCGACTCCTTCCGTGATCGACTGCATGTTGAGGTTTTCCGAGTCCACGAACCAGAGACTGAGCAACCTGGCAAAGCTGTTCCTCGAAGACATCTGCAGCCCCGAGCAGATTAGTGCAACCAGGACGGTGGCGGCCTGTTCGTCGTCATCATCTTCGTCGTGATCCCAGACGCGAGATTGTATAGACTCGAGAACGTGGCCAGACACGGTTTCGTAAAAACGCCGCAGCGTGGAAGGCTCAGACGTTGCGTAAGTCAGATTTATTCGCTGGCCGCCATGCGCTCGATGGGAAATAAAGCTTTATGGTGACTGTACCTTGGCTTGGGAAACAACTGATTCGTCCATCCCTGGAAGAAGAAAAAAAAAATGTTTGGTCAACTTTAAAGGGATACTGCAACGAAATTCTAGCTCGTATTTTATTGTCTAAATGTCAACCACGTTTTGGTTACACCCCAAAGGGACCAATTTTTTGCTTAAAAAAACAAAAAAACATTCACTGATTATATAAATTTGAACACTGTTACGTCACTATGCACATAAAAGCTGCGCAGCTCCGCAGAAGTATGGCGGCAAGCTGCATGCACGCGAGCCCCATTAAATCGGATTTCCCTTCCCCCCCGGCCTATTCAGCTCTTGCCGGGAGCGGGTAAGGGCAACCAAAAACGGCCAGGTTGTAACGCGTCGAAGACGCCAAGTCGCGCGGCTCGTAACCACACCAGCCTTGCCCGTGCTGACATCTGCGACATCGGTTGGTCCACTCCCGCGATGCAGTGCGCTGTTCGACAGCTGATCTTTGAGCGCTCACTGAAATCGGTTCTTTGGAACGAAAAACAGCCATCCGTTCAAAATGTAAGCGTGCGATTGTTATTAGTAGTTTCAGTTGATCGTGTCTAACTTATTTCCGAACGTGAAAGGTACATGTTAAATTTCAATTCAGTATCCCTTTAAGAGGCAGAAATGCGGCACACCCTTCCTCACATCACATGGACTGTTCGAATTCTGGGGAATAGCCCAAAGCCGCGGTCACACTGCCCGCACATCGTACAAAAGACTGTCTGCGGACACTGTCTGAGGTGTTTCTCTCGCCCGTATGATGGTCCTGTCACATTGGTCATACAAATCTGTCTGCAGGCATGTTTGATACATGTGTACGTATGAAGCCAACATGCTTCGAACGGGCTTGAGGCTCGTACGCAGATGATTCCGTCTCGTCTGCAGCAAACGCCATGTCTTTTGTTCGATGTGCGACTGCTGCTTGGGGTGTTCAGCGTTGGGGGTTTTCCTGAACTTGCCTTGCAGTAAAGTATACCACATATTCACTCTCCTCAATTAACTTTTTCTCAAGGTTAAGCCACCCCTGTCGAGTGGGACAAGACCAAGGTGCATTATGAAATAAGCTCGCAGCATTACTAGTGAACACGAGCTCGGCATCTACACTGCGATGCACTTACACGTAGCTGACGCGACGATTTAGTGCCTCGCTTGCCGACGCGCACTTGGTCAGGTGTCTACTCCAATTCATTTTAAAACCTTGCCTACCTGAGATGACGTCGCAGACGGCTTCATTCCCACTCCAACTCCCATCCAAGCCGCAAGTCCTCGTGTCATTTCCTCGTAATTGGAACCCGTCGTCGCAGGCGTAACGGGTCACCGCTCCCAACCACAACCCTTCCGGATCCGCGCTCCCATTATCCACGCCCGTCGGCAGTCGGCAGATCGCCGGAGCGCACTCGAACCCTCCGTTCTCTTCCCACGTTCCATCCGCCCGACACATCCGCGTGGCTACTCCCTTCCCGGAGTAGCCTTCGTCGCAGGAGTAACTCGCGTTGTGTCCAAGGGTAAAACCAGTGTAGTCTACGTGGGAGTGCTCAGGCGACGCTTGCAGGGGAGGGCACCTCTTAGGGCGGCACGAGGGTGCTCTGCCTTCCCACGTTGCACCTCTCCCGCAGAGACGGGTCGGGGCACCGACCAATCGGAAGCCAGGGTTGCAGGAGTACCTCGCGGTGCCCCCGACTGCGAGCGTGTCGTGGGTTACTCTTCCGTTGGCGAGGCTCGGCGGAATGCATTCTTCGGCCGGGCATGCGCCGGTGTTGGTTGCGTTGCAGATGGCGAAGGGTTCGCAGGTGGGGACGAGGCCACCCCACGTTCCGGTGGGGAGGCAGGTGCGGTGCGGGTTGCCCTGGAGCCTGTGACCCGTGTTGCAGTGGTAGTGAACGATGCTTGTTACACTGCAAAGATAACAAGGAAATAACTTTTGTCATTAAAACGGTAAAGGATAATGAATTCCTTTGCTGTGGCTTGCCATTTAGTCTCGAACTACTGCTGGTTGGGAAACATCATAATGTAACAGTAATAAAAAATGATAATATTAATAATAATAATGATTTTATTTAACATAAAACTGCATATAGAAATGAGGTGACCCACAAAAGCAAAAATGCTTGCGTGCGTGTTGTTCATTATTTCAATTTTATTGCATCGGGGTTTAGGTTGTGGCGGAAGTAGTGCATGGAGTCCTCTAGCCACAAGGCATTGTGTAGTTGGTGTACATTTGGAGAATGGAGCACTGCATCTAAAGCACCATTCTCTTTATTCCAAAAGTTTTGTTTCCGTTGCAAGAAGCTGAAGTGTGCAGGCAGGTTGGTTAGGTAACATCATAATCTGAACCTCAAGACATGGAGGAAATAAAACAACGGAGGGGATGACAGGAAATCTCAGTTTTGTTTGTGTGTTGGCAAATTTATTTTCAGCTCAATTCGCCGAATCTTTACCCACAGACAAAAGCTTTCGAGTTTCGCACAAACAGAGAGCCAACAGTAGATGGTCATTGCAGTATCTCGTTACTGAGATACTGCAATATCAGTGCTGCATCAGCAGTACTGTCGGCGCTGAGACAGTACTGTGATGTACGTGTGAACAGGCCTTACAACCAACTCTAGCCTCCTTCGCTTACTTGAAATCCGTGCCAGACACGACGCCGTTCAAGGGTGGATCTGGAGGCCCACACTCGGACAAGATGCACTTCGTCCCTCCTAGCCACGTTCCGTCAAGCCGGCAGGTCCACCTCTCGTCCCCCTCGATCCGATGCCGCGAATCGCAGACAATCCGTGCCGTGATGCCGGTCGCGTCGTCCTGAACCAACCTCCCGTTGGCGGGCCCGCCGGTCAGGCTGCAGTTCATCGGCACGCAGGTTGGAGCGTGTCCACTCCACGTTCCATTGCCGTAGCAACGGAGGACCTTCGGTCCGAGGAGGCGATGTCCGCGATTGCACGTGAAGAGGGCGACGGGCGGCGAAGAGTGGATTGTTCCGTGCTCGAGCGTCTCAGACATGGAGCAAGGTGTTGGGACACAGGTCGGAGCAACGTCGGACCACGTGCCGTTGGCAGTGCAGGCCCGCTGCTCTGGTCCGTGCAGCTTGAACCAGTGGTCGCACTTGTATTGGACACTGGAGCCGTACCTGTTCGAAACGAGATACGTAGCGATGGAAAAAATGGCGAATTCAATACTTGCTTTCACCGCAGAAATCGTACCAAAAGAAGTTTGGTTCATTGCGGAGCTTTGCTAATTTCATTCTAATAGTAATTTTCTGTGCTTTTGAGATCGGTTAGCGGTAGGTTACTACCGCACTACATGCCAAAAAATCTTGGTATTTGATGGAAGACAAGGCGTTGTATGCGAGTTGTGTACGTGTGCATTGAGATAGCATTCGAGATATTGTGGCATCTTCTGGGTGTGCGAGGGCTTTCTGTTCCCAGGTTTATAACAGTGTATTGCCAGGAACAAAGGTGGTACGGTATAACATTGAGAACGCACCAAGTGCTGCCGTAGAGAATTTCTGCGTGGGCAACCGGCTCCGGCTTGGAACAAGAGACAAGGTTGCACTGGAGGGGGTCAGCAGTCCACGTTCCATTAGCAGAGCAGGTTCTCGTCCCGGTGCCCACGAGGGTGAACCCCGTGCGACAGCGGTAGTTCACGATGCCCAGGTATGACGTGCCATTTTCTACGACCGCTTCACCATCTTCCAACTTCGAGACAGAAACATGAGTGTTTATCATTTTTTGGCAAAGTTGCCATCCCACATTGAGGCTTTTTGTTCAGGCTAGTGGAAACACTGACTAATACCCGTGCCACACGGGCAACTCGAATTACGACGAATGACGTTCGTGTGATCGACGAATCGGCTCGCGATCTGTCGCACGTGGAACAACCCACGCTCGGAGTGTCGCGCGCTGATTGGCCGATCGTTCAAATGTCATTCGTTGTAAATGGCATTCGAGTTGTCCGTGTGGCACGGGTATAAGAGAGTTTGCTCGGTCAAACCTACAAAACGTTTAGTGTAAAATATAGTCTTAGTACCTGACAACAACAAATTAAAGCTTCTCGTTTATGTCTGTATTCACGATAAACTCCTCCTCAAAAAAGAAAGGCGTGAATTGTGAAAACTTGAGTAATGGAAGCCTGCCACATTTTGACCAATTAGTGTCTCCTTTATGATAAATGTTTTGGTGAGCCCCTGTATCAAAAGGATAAAATAATTTTATTTTTTTTAGACAATTTGTTTTTGCAATAAAGTCCAGTGGAAAAGCTCACGTCTTTTGACAGCCAACCTTAGATTTCTAGGCTGTCATTTTCCAGCCGGTTAACATCTTTGTGGCTGTGTCTATTAAATCCTCAAAGAAACATGTTGCTTCTTTGCATATTTTTATATTGACAAAAGGAAAGACCCTTTTTTTTGCTTTAAAATTGTTCCCACTGCGAGTTCCTCATTCGAGAGCGTCTCTGCAAACCTCCGCTTACCGCCGGTGGTGATCCGCAGTCCACTGGGACGCATCTCGGATCCCCTGGGCTCCACCGACCCTCCCTGGTACACGTCTGGGTCTTGGCTCCTGTCAGAATGTATCCTTCCTCACAGGCATACTTGAGCACGCTCCCTACGTAGCCCACGGATACGGATGCCACTGCACGGGCCACTTCCGTCGGCTTCGGACACTTCCTCGGAACGCAGAGCAGCGGATCAAGCGGCATCCATAAAGCGCCCTCCCCGCAGAATCGTCTTGAGGGTCCGTGCAGCTCGTAGCCTGGTGAACAGGTGATGTCCACGTGACCTCCGACGGTCCAGTTGGCGCCGGTGATTCTGCGATGAAATCGGGGAAAACTGGTTAACTGCCGTTTGACTCTTAGTTAAATTGCCATTTTTGTTTTATTCGAGCTGTTACGAACAGCTGTTACCGCGACGGTTAAATGCACTGCTAGAGAGTGGTCTCCTGTTTACGTATTTGCCACAACATAAAGAGGCCATGCTAACGACTAAAGTGGTATAGTGTCGGCATGGACAGAAAGACTTGTTCTGTAAGCCAGTAATAAGAAAAATATACCGGATGGTTTCATCTGGATTTGAACCAGTGTGTCACTTGAGATCTATGACATGGATTTGCATGAAAAACTATGTGACAGCTTGTTCACTGAGATAAATAGTAAATTTCTTGAAAAGAAAACGAGATAAAATGTCTAAAAAAAGAGATAAAAAGTGAAAAAAAAAAAAACGAAGTTTTACACGCTGAATGTGGTAAATTCTTGATTTAGATATTGCTTCGGGCATTGCTGCTCTTTACAAGACAACAACTACACTCAAAGGGCTAGTTCTTTATTTATGCGTAGCGGGGGCTGTTCAAAGGAATGTTTTCTAAATTCATTAATTGTTAAACAAGTGCAAAATGTAAGTCATCTAAAGTCTAGCATAACTCGATCATAATTAAGCTCTGATAAAAACTGTACCGTCCGTTAATGACTGGGAGCGGAGGTGGACACTTGTCGGGGACGCAGGATGGCTCCTTCCCGCTCCAGACTCCATCATACCTGCAGTTCCTCAAGCTTGCACCCTGCAATTAGTGCAATTAGATTTTCGGCGCAAGCTACGGTCCATACGTCTGATGCTGCCTTGTTCAGGTTACTTTAAAGCAGGAAGTTTTCTTTTCCGGTTTCCATTAGTTTGCTCGGTTCTCGCTTATTCCATACTCTGTCAACCGAAACGGCATTTGTCTAAATCAGTGGTTCTGAAGCATGGATGTGTTGGGGACCCCTTAGGGAGCCGCCATATCCGTGCGTGAGAGAGTTGGTTGAGGGGGGGGGGGGGGGAGGACTCCCATTTTTACCTCAAGGAAAAGGCAAGCTTTGCACATGGTTCATTCGCGGTGCGAAGCAGTTCTTACGAGATTTAATTGTCAAAGAAAAAAGTGATGCGTTTTGCGTTTCGAATGTGTATGTCTTGATAAGAGAACACATATCTAATCTAAAATTCACCTACATATATCTTAATTATCCACATAAAGGGAGGAATTAGTGATGCTCTGCGAGAAGCAAGACTTTTTTTTGCTACGGTTCTTCAGATGAAAACGGATATAAATTCAGTGTGAAAAGGGCATCCTTTACTGTTATAGAGAGGAGAAGGGAAAAGTGTCAAGTAAGAGGATGAATGGATCAATAGCAAGTAACGGCTGCACTTTTTATAATGGGTGGTAGCTCATGCCACCTAGCCAAAATCAACAAAAAAGTCAATTTCTGTTTTTTTTTTCATGAAAGGGGGGGGGGGGGGGGGTTTGAGGGTCTACGTGAGAGCTTCGCCGATCCCAAAATTGGCTTAGCAGACCTGATCTAAATGAGTGCGGTGTAAAATGAGACACTCTAATGCACTCTTAGTTCTGCCCGACCGATTCACAAAGTTTGTCATTCGAGCTGCTTGGCGAGGGAGGCGAAACCGTTCCAATAACCGGAGCATGGCACACTCAGAAGTACAGTTTTTATGGATAAACTGCACCTTATTTAAAATTTGTGTGGAAAAGATCCAGTACCAGGAGCGTGTAACCGTGGTAGCAGCTGTAGTCGGCAACTGCTTGGTAGCTGTGGTTAGCGGCTGCTACTTGGCCGTGCACCGGGTTTGGCAGTTTGGGGCAGTGCACCGGAATGCAGTGGACCTGCGGTGTGGACCAGCTGCCGTCGGACAAGCACGTTACCGTGGGCTCCCCAAGCAGCGTGTAGCCTAGGTCACAGCGGCACCTGTAATTTAACCGACGCCATCGCCGATTATTCCAGCAGCACGAGCTATATTTACGACGTTCGCTCTCACTTCCGTGTCTCTTTGTAAACACACGACGTTAAAGGGCCGCATGCCAGCTAATGCAGCTGCCACTAGAAACAGACGCTTAGCTTGCAAAGACAGCCGCTAGTAAGTTATGCGAGGGAATGTGCCATGCCGAATGAAGTAGAAATTCGAGACGGACATACATTACCTCGAGCAGATATGTTCCTTTAGGCAGCGACAGCCAATGCTATGGTTTGGGCAGAGGTCCCTTTTCTTCATACTAACATGACACAACATGGCACAACATTGATGTTGTGCCCAGATAGCTTCCCAGTGAGCAACACCACCAGGCTTCAGACGTTTTAAGTGCCACCATTTTCGTTTTAGCAATGACCTTTGTATGCGCTGTTGCGAATTCTGGTCTCGTTGCACTCTTCTACAAGGTGTACATTTTTTCTCCTCAAAGTTAATGCCACTTTGATCTATAGTCCGTTGCAGGTTAAGAATAGCGGGACATGCTCCTTTTGCAAAGCACTCCACTCCTTACACTTTAGCAGAGTGAACGATGGAGAGGAGAGAACCATTAATCATGACAAGCAGAGAGGTTTATGGGAGAGGCTTGTCTGATCATGCACCCTAAAAAAACGACGAAGACAGAAGTAGTTGCGACGAACCTCGCGGTGTTTCCGAAGACGTACGCTCGTCGTTGCGCTTCACACACCCCGTTTGCAAAGCGGGGCGGAGCTTGGCACGACACTCGTCTGCACGTCGGAACAGCGCCGGCCCAAACGTCACTCTCGGAACACGGTACGACTTCTTCCCCCACGAGCTCGAACCCCTGGTTGCAGGAGTAGCGGACGTTCGCTCGCCGCACGTCGGGGTTCTTCACCACGGTCACGTCGCCGTGAGGAACGGTGGGTGGCTCGGAGCAGTTGGCCGGTTGGCAGACGACCTCTGGCACGCTCCACGTTCCGTCGTCCGTGCATGTCACTTCCGGAGCGAACTTGTGGCCGGAGTTGCAGACGATGTTCAGTTTGGCTCCCGGTCTGAGGGGACTGCTGGCGGGCACAATCCGTCCGTTTGTGACGTTTGGGAGGAGTTCGCAGAGCGTTTCTGAAGACAAAGAGGTTGAAAACATCACGAGTCGGAAGCGAAATGCATTTGTGTCCAAGGCTATATACACGCCTGAACAAATTTAGAGTGTCGCCGTTAAAATAGACTCATTGCCCAACACTCGCTCTTGCGCTAGCAGTGTGGACTAAATGGTAAAGTTGCTGAGCTTGCCATTATCTTATTCAGAAGTTGCAAGCAATTTTCCAAAGTTTCTATGGAAAAATAGCAGTCGACGAGGCCTACGAGTTCATAAAGATGGATGGTGTCGGCCACCGGAAACGGGTCCCATTTTTTCATTGAAAGTTTGAAAAAGTCACCGTTAACTCTTGAATAAGACAATGGTTACTTCTGAAACTTGGGCATCTCGTCCAGACCGGTCGTGCTGCATTTGGACGAAGCCTGGGTGTTTGGAAATGCATAGTTTATTATTGCAATGAAAAAACACGGTGCACGTTTTTTTTTTTCGAAAACACATTGTACATTTTTTAAATAGACACAGGATGTGGCTTGTTACAGCGCTAGCCTACACTTCACAATTCAATTCTTTCTGTCAGTTTTTAGTTGATGTTGCATTAGTATCTTTTGAGATTGTGGTGGTCCATGTGGTAGACCAAGGCACATACACATTTATAGACCACCACCAACGAGAGCTTGTAAGCGGCTTTAGGAAGAAACATTGTCTATTTCGTGCTCGTACAAAAGAAAGCATATGAACGTCGCCCCCAACAAATATCCAACTCGAAACTTGCCGACTCACCTTCGCATTGTGGATCATGGCTCGTCCACCGGCCATTTTCCTGACAAATTCTCTGCGTGGGTCCGACGAGGTGGAAACCCTCGTTGCACACATACGTTACCCTGCCGTTGTAGTGAAACAGCGAACCTCTGATATTTCCGTTGACTGGGTCCGGCGGTATCCCGCAAAAAACACCTGAAAATTCGAGCAACGTGGAGACAGTAAATATCAACTCATTAGCAGGGATCTACTGTAGATTACGCTGTACACCTTAATGTGCATCTGATACATCAAATGAGGGTTCCACCGCACAGACCGACAAGTTTGGGTCATTATTAGGGAGTTTTAGAATAGCGCACGCTAAAGCTTTGCGCACGCAAAGAATAGCGTCGTCGCCACTGCGCATGCTCCGAACGCAAACCAGGTTTTGCGCTTTGCGTGCGCAATTTTAGCGCGCGCTATTTCTCGGAAATAGCGTGCGTACGCAAAGAGTCTTTGCGCTTCTCCAAGGAGGATTCGTGATGAGAAGTTGGCTAAAGCCAAGACGAGCACAGTTAAAAAAAATGGCGGCTTCCAGGATTATGTTGGCGGCTGTTTTGGCGGCGTCGTGAGTTCGACGTCGGCGGCATCCTCGCGACTGCAATTTTCAATACGGGACGACATTGTACTCGGTTTGGCAGCGATCACCGGCAACTTGATGCTTGCGACGCGCGAACATTTTACGGCGAACGAACGATGTGCGAAGGTCAGTACACGAGACCTCTCTTGCCGAGGCGACGCAAGCGGACACGACCGGTCAACCGCTCGCGTCGCGTTCTCATGTTTAAACAAATTAAAATGCTACTCTGGACCAAAAAACTTGTTTTTTTTCTAAAGTTACACCATTTCGTGTGTGAAATAAAAATTTTTACTGTATCTTGGTGGCGTCGCAAACGCGAGAGGCTTGGGCTTTTGCGTCGCGGCGGAGAAACGCTATTCTAAAACTCTCCTGCGTCGCGTGCGCTAATACAAACGCTAAATTTAGCGCTAGCGTGCGCTAAAATTGCGTACGTTATTCTAAAACTCCCTATTATATCCCTTAACGTTATGACTATATTTGACAGTGTTTGCGCACTGTCCTCAACGGTAGTTCACCGTCGAGTGATCTACAATTGTGCAATGTCGACTTGCTCCAATCACTTTTTAACAAAATTCAAGGCAGAGACCTCGGGTTTGCTTTAATTGCAACTCCGCTCAATTTCTGAAATTTTGAGATAGTGGATGATATAAACGTGAAAAGTACTTCAAAACAACCCTAGACCGTTTGTCTCATTAAAAGCAAAATATTTTTCGTGCGATCTTGTTATTTACCATAATTGCAAACCGAAACTGAAACTTCGACACAGCCGGGCAACATTGTACCCTCAACGTCAGTTGCATACGCACCCACGTGGAATACAAAGGGTCACGTGATCTACTAGCGGTAACCCAAGAAAGACGCGGATGAGGGGGGAAGGGCGAGGAGGGAGGAGGGAGGGCGGGCCTAGCTGCGGCGGCGAACAGGCAACGCAAGCAGCAACGAAGCAGGCTATGTAGGCTGCAACCCAGGCGGCTAGTCGGTTGGCACCGGTTGGCAGGTGTGTCAGCGAAACTCATCCGGTCATCTCGTACAACTCTCTCTCCCTCTTTTTGTTTCTCTTGTTCTCATTCATTTTTTTTTTTTGTCCATCTCGCCCACTGATCTTTATTGTAGTAGGCTCGCCTCTTTGCTTACTCAAACGTGGAGCGCGTCCGTAGCGCCGCCCGGTAAGCTCTCCCTTGAAAAGAAAATATTAAGAAAAAAACTGCGTATGCAACAGACGTCAGCCACAACGGAAATGCAACGTTGGCTGCGCCGCACGTCGCCCGCTAAATTAGCGGATTTTGGCGTCTCAGTTTTTGTCGGCCGGTTTAGTGATCTTTTAGGCGTTATTACGTTATAATATTTGATATTCGGTCCTTCTAGATGATACTAAAGAGAGTCGCAGGGTTTGGTAACAACCGAGAATGAAGCGGAGTTTCCCTTTAACATTATTTTGTTTCTTGTGTTTGTAATCTTTCTTTTGCTGGGCATCGTAAAACTCTTTTTTTGCTTTAGCCATACAAACTTATGTTTCTACTGCGAGACAATTGAGCTCGTTATTTAAAAAAGGGACCTCTTTCCCTTGTACGAGAACTACAGGCCATATGTGTTGGGTGCACTATGGCCTATGTTGCTGCTATGCGAGAAAACTCCAAATTCATTCATTCGAAAAATTCACCAGGCCGACAAGGGAGGTGACGCCATGCAGTGCAACTCCCCTATAGCAAAGACTGACATGTGAAGGATATGTGCATAGTGGAGCCAATTTTAAGTACACTCCTAATACTAATATACCATAAGTATTCAGGATACTGGTACCTAGCAATGACCATTCCTAATGAAACTGGCTTTACTGTGGAAAGGTTCTACTGTGTGCCTACAGAATGTGTACAGAAAACTTTAAGGGGAATTTTATTTTCTTTGAAGCTGCTCACCAACGCAAATCGGGATGGGATGTGACCATTCGCCAGATGCCCGACATTCCCGTGCGTCGGCCCTCTGCAACACAAATCCTCGGTCGCACGTGTAAGTGGCCACTGCACCCACGATGGTGCTCCTGAAACTGACTTCGCCGTACGTTGGAGCAGGCGGTGTCGGGCAACCTGAAACATGAACATATAAAAACAAATGTAGCAGTAGCAGGTGTAAAATAAATCTATCTTTCTATGGCTCAATGCTTGAGCAAGCCACTTCAGGTGAGGAAGTGTGTTGGTGGTAGATTTTTTCTCTGTTAACATTTCAAAAGACTCTTTCATGGAAAAATATTGGTTTGGTTATTTAGTGATCAAAAACTCTGATCTCCCGCATGATTTCTTAACCCGTCATCCAGACATTCTTTTGCAAGGGGTAATTGAATCAGTTTAATAGAATGTGCCAGCTTCCAACTGATGAAGCGTTACTGATGTTGTGCTGTCAGGCAGGTGATACTTCCCAAGGATATTTTCTTTGAAAATGTTACAGTAACTATTACATCGAGAAAGCACTTATGTAGAACACGTACGACTAACCACTCTAATGTTAAAGATAGCTCAGCAACAGACCGACAAATACATTGCTTTACCACGGCAGAAAGCCGAGGCGTTTCGTAAGACATTCCCACGAAGGTTTTCCAAGAAGTCCGTCCAAGCCACAACGTCTCCGTGATAGAAGCTGCAGCGATTTAGGAGAGACGTTATCTCGCTGGCGTTGAGGACCTTGCTCCAAATGTTGACTTGGGTCAGCTCTCCGGAGAAAGACTCGGACACGGAAAAGTCTCCGCCGCGGACATCTTGTTCCTGGCCAAGCACAAGTGTCCCGTCGGCTGGAGGTTGAAACGAGAAACAAGTGCTATGCACTGAATTTGTGATGCATGCAATACACCACCTTAAAAACTTTAATACGCACAATGTTTCTGTGTGCCATTCGGGCGTAAAAACAAATTAATATAAATAAGCTAATGAACAGAGTGCATTGAAACATTTCACAGAGGCATCTAGGTAGTGTATTTATCATAGTATTCAAAATTCATCAGTGCGGGTTTCAACAAAAAAATGTATGCCTAAAAAAGTTTTTTTTTTTTTTTTCGTTTTTTCTTATGCGTTAGGACGATAAAAATAATTTGGTTTACACTGCTACTTATAGATGGCACCACACACGCACAAATCTGCTGATGGGTGCTCATTTCAAAGAAGCCTTTTTTTTTTCCGTGTTTTGCCATTCCTGAGCTGCAGTGTCAAGCAAACGCTTTTTACCGTTAACTTTCCCTCCTTATACGTGAGAAGAAAAAAAAACTGCAATTTTTAGGCTTCGATTTTTTTTTCCTAAAACTTGCACTTGTGAAGTTTTGAGTAAAGACAAGTTCAGTTGCACTTAGTTTATTGGTTTATTTATACGATTTATTTCACACCCAAATGGCAGGTGGAGACTGCCATTTGGGCGCGAAACATCTCATCGTTCGTAAACAATGAGATGTTTCCCCGCGACCTTTCGCACCTGGGATTTCAAAGCCGTCCGCCAGTCCCATGCCTTGCTCGGCGAGTCTCCCGTCTTTAAGAACGCCCCAGTTGCCTCCTGCCGAAGACCAGGTGAAGCAGACGTGGTGCCAGTAGCCATCGTTGGCCGTGACGTCGGTCACCACTCTTCTGCCGTTCACGTACAGCACGAACCTAGGCAGCAACCGGAATGAATTCTAAACCGATCGAGCATCCCGCAAAAGTTTGACGGAACAGCAGAAAGGCATGAAGAGAGCATGAGAATTTAAGTTAGGAGTAATTTAACTGCAAAAGCCCAGAATTGAAGCTGTCCTAAGGAAAACCCAACTTTTGCCGGAAGAAATCTGGGTTTGGAGCTTTAATCTTAGTTGACCCCAAATAGCCACCGGAGAACTGTTTGTGAGGCTACTTCTTTCTTCTTTTATCCAACTTCCTTTTATTATCGATGCCGCCATGTATTTCAAGTATTTGAGTCATGCACATATTCCCTGTAGGTTGGGGAATACCCCGACTTCTTTAACATAAAACCCCGACAAACACCAATGTTTTGACGATAGTAATCCCTGGAGAAGGGGAACAAGAGGGACCAAGGACAAACATAAACCTCCAAACACAGCTAAGTGACTGGTGCGCGACCGAAAAAATCTGCCTGGTCCGGGTATCGAACTTGGGACCTCTCCATTTCCAGTGGAGCGCTCTACCAACTGAGCTAACCAGGGGTTAGACGTCAGTAGAGCAATCAGGTTTCATCAGCTGCCACCAGTCTAACACTACGAAGGGTGAAACTTGCAGTTTTTAAGGTTATGATTATAATGCAATTAAATGTAAAAGTGCAAGCGAGCTGGACAAGAACATTCTTCTCCAGCTCGCTTGCACAATTTCATTATAATCATAACCATTGTTTTGTCCGACACGCAATATTGACACCAGAAAACACCAAAACTGGAGGGAAAGAACAAGTTTTGAAAAAAGAACATCCCCAAATTAAAAAAAACATATATGTATTCCCCAAAAACACAGAACCAGTGATAATTGACACGAGGGTTAATAACTACTGTGGTCAGTCAGTGGCATTAATCTAAAAATTTGATCAAAATAATGTGCCAGACATTTTGAGAAAAAAGAGTCACTTAATATGGTAGAAGCAAGGGAACAAACATTGTACACACGGGTGCCACTTTAAACCTTGGCGGTAATGATAACTGTACCCGCTGTAGTCCGTGAACATGAGCGTGTTGTCAACATCGTCGGTGGCATAAGAGAGCGGCGTTCCATAGTTGAACTGGTCGGTGGTCTTGAGCCACATGCAGGCAGTTAGCTCAGTCAACCTTTGCCTCAGACCCAGAATGACCGCAGTGTCGAGGGTGCTGGTTCCCGAAAAGTACACCTTGAAATCTGGGTTTGCCTCTGAAATGAAAATGCGGAGTGTTCAGCTGATAAACAGTTGCAACAGGCAAAACTCCTTGCCATTCCGTGTCTCAAGAACTCGCAGCAGTTTTTTACATTTTATCGCCTGCAACTTGCATGTTTAAAGCGACAGCGACAGAGTATTTGTGCTCGCCGAGGTTTTTATTTGACCATGACCTATAAGAGCCTGACTACACAAAACACAATTTGCGGCTCGAAATTCGTTTCTTCTGCAAACAGCCAGTCAAGAATTGGCCGGTTTCAGTCACGCTCGCTTTCTTTTCCATGGTCACGTGGAGTTCAAACTATGTGTACGAGATATGTTCAAAGTCGTGGATCATCAGAGGCACACATTCAATATTAAATGTAGAGAAGAATATGAAACCCATTTTTATGGCCTCCAAAAACTGCAAATATGTCGGTTGAAAAAAAAAATGTTGCACTGAATACAGGAAGTACATGTACACGTCATTCTCAATATAGCGAAGTACTGCGGGCTCGACGCGGTGTCAGCGCACAGCGGATTAACGTGGCGACGGACATGGGGACACTACTTCGGAACTGCTGTTCGTGGTACCGGCCAATCGATCTTCAAGCACAGAACATTGAGCAGAAAGAATATATGCGAAACAATCGCATGACAAACGGTGCACGCTAATTCGTCATCGTCGTCGTCTGCTTCACGTGCCAGAGAAGCGGAGAAAAAAAAAATGTGGTCGGGTGTAGCTACGTAGCTTCAGGCCTTGAGCTTTCGTGCTCGTATTTCGGTTTCGAGCAGTCTAGTTTTTTTGGCTTTATTAAAAATATGTGTTACACTGTAGCAAAATATTTATTAAGTGGTCTCCGGACACCATATAAAATTGCCTGGCAAAACATTTAAAAAAAACAGTTTTGGGGGTATCAGTGTCCTTTAAAGCGACCAGGAAAGAATGCTGGATTCAAATCTTACTAAATGCAGTGCTTAATGGGACACAAAAACTGGCACATGAAGGCATGGATCCAGTAACGGAGTATGTGTATGCGTCGCCGTTCAACTTGCATTCGATAAAGATCAATCTGCTAGAGAATATGTCGTACGCGATAATTGCCAAACCCTAACAATGTCCAGAGCACCGCACATGCTCTGAATAGTGCTAACACAAGCAAGTGGCTGCCATCAAAATTGACTACATGAGCCGACAAAAGAACAGCTGACAGCCTGTTCAGACCACGAGTTGGCTAGCTTAACATTGCTCGATTTCCTCTGGCATTTTTTGTAACAAACAGCATGTGTAACTAAAATGAACACATAATATATATTATAAGCATCAATGATTATGTCTAGCGGTATTCAGCAAAATCTAGAAAATGTGTTTCGTGGTCCCTTTACGCTGAGACATAAAAATTATCCTTTTATATGCAAAAAAAGAAAGAAAAGATCTTCGTAGATTTAGGAAAATGAGGCAATCGGTTATGCTTTATAGTGCCTTGAGGACTTACCTGTTTCGCAAAGACGACCCGTAAAACCCGGTAGACAGACACAGCGAAAACTGCCCGGCAAATTAGTGCAAGTCGATCCGTTGCCGCAGGACAGGGACGCGCACTCGTCAATGTCTTCTTCGCACAACTTGCCTCGGTACCCAGGTTGGCAAAGACACCTAGCGTGGGAGGCGAAGTCAACTTGTCACTCCACTTGGTACAACATTCATCTATTGCCACCAGTGCAACCCAATCAAAACAGCTTCACTGGTAAAAGATGACAAGTATAGTGCTGAACATTAAACTATCAAAGTGTTTTCATGCGTAGATATAACAATTTACATATATAGAACATGGTTGGTCTAATGGATCATTCTAACTGGGATTTTGTTTTTCATATTGCAAAATACTATTCGCGACTCCAACTAACTATAGGTGGCGCCACTCATTTTCCAAGATGGCGAGTTTAGTGAGGGTCAGAGATGCGTGCCGCTGTTGAGCCTGTCTAGTGTGCTGGATTCACTGAGCGACACAAATTATTTCTGGCAATACGTGGAAGCTAGGGTGTTATGAGCGAAGGTCACCTCTTTATCTTGAAAACAAAAATGGTGTTTAGCGTAATACTTACTCCAGGAGGCACGTTTTAATTCTGGAGCGAAACCGAAACTAACCACTATTTTGGATTCAATTTCTCGATATAGGTCTTAACTTCGGCTTCTTTCATAACTCAAGATGTGTGTCACGTCGTAATTATTTAGTTAGACAAGTTGTTCGCGGAAACTTTATTTTGTGACATCCATGTTCGATCCAGGCTGATATTTGTGGTTGTTGTAGTTGTTGAAAAAATCAGTGTTGATATTTGTGCGTTCTCGCTGCCTTTTCTCGCTCAAATACTTATCATGGGAAATAATGAACTGCGGGCCTTTTAAGGGGTTTTGGGGTGTTTAGATGATCAATTGGCTTAACATTATTCCCAGCACAAGAATAAGAGAATAATTCCAATTTTCACAATATGTCCACAAAACGTATAAATTGATAAACGCTGTTCTCACTGCAACAACCCAGACGGAATCCGAGTCAGACAGCTGAAGTGTGCATGTGTTTTTATAGCAATGCGTGACGCATAGGACTTTATATTACATACAGTGTTTGACTGTTTGTCTATCTTGATAACGATGCCAGAGTTTTTCATATGCTAAAAAGAACAAAAATATACCTTTCTGGAAAGACTATTATGCTTAAATTACGTAATTTCGTGATATTGGTGTTAATTGGGGCATGCATTGCCGCGATTTGTATCAATAATAATAATATTAAGAGTCAGATATTTTAATACCTAATTTTTTAAGCTCTAATGTAATTTGTTGCTTATGATCTAATTTCAAACGTGCGAACAAATATGACAATCAAAAGTGTGGTAATTATCATCACTGGTGCGAATTGCAGCATTTTTAATTACCAAGTAATAAAATAAAAATTGTCTAAAATCAATTAAAGCATTCTAGCTAATGTGAGAAATCCATGTAAAAATACACTAATTGTGGGTAAAGTATATTTTGCTATCAAAGTCGCGACTGTTGACAATCGGCAAAACATCGAAAATCGCCCAAATGTACCAAATGTAAAAAAAAAGAATAAAAATATTTAAAAAAACAAAAAAACTTTTGTTTTAATTATTAATCTTTTTGTAACATTTAGTTAGTTTCATTTTTACGCTCCGTCGTTTTGCCAATCTCGGCCTTTCCAGTTGGAAGGAACGCCTACCTGCTTGCACGTCTGCTCACTGCAGCACTTTTCGTTGGCGTTGGAAGCCGGTGAAACAGTCGTGAGTTTTAGTATTGCGTATACTAGCGAGCGCAAGCTGTGTGTTTGCGTTAGCTTTGCGTGTTCCACACTGCGCTTGCGCGAAGCCTGAAATTGCGGTCTTGGATGGCACATGGCGATGAGGCGCACGCACAACGTGGGGCACGCAACTCTCACGCAAACACACACCGCTTGCGTTTGCTTCTATGCGCAATACTAAAACTCTCCAGTAAGGTACAATCCCATACCGGCTGCAGCACTACGTTGGGACAGTGAAGAGCGTTGTTTGCATTCGGAAATGACATTTGGCGAGCCACGATCGCGAGCGGTTCCGCCGTGCCCGCTGAGCAGGAGAATCGGGGGACCCTCACTAGAGCGCTTCCCGTTTGCGCCGCGGGAGGGCGAGCGTCGAGCTGGAGACGCGAATAGTTTGTCGTGCGCACGGATACAAGATCTGGCACATACCGGAACTGCGATCCATGGCTCACGCAGAGTGCACCGTTCAAGCAGGGCATCTGCTGGCACATGTTCACTTCGGTCTCGCACCAGCGGCCCTCAAAAGACGGCGGACATGTACAATTGAGGCTTCCTGGCAAGTCTGTACACGTGCCTCCATTCATGCACGGAGTGCTGAGACACTCATCAAGGTCCACCTCACATTGCGTTCCTGAAAAGCAGTGATGAACCAGATCAAGAAAAATCTTTTGAGTCTGGAAAGCGTGAGACTCGGGCGAGAACCGTGGTTGCTATAGTACTCCGTTTCAAGAGCTATAGGAGTCGAGGAAATGACGTGTAGTTTCAGGAAGTGTTTCTTGCAGCCATACGGGTAGAACATATTCTGCCTTTGAGAGAATATGTTATAAGAGTGTTTTATTCTGAAACATTTCATGGGGACCAAAACAGCTCACTGAACAGACACTTGAGTAGACAGTCATGTTGGTTAAGCTAGCCAACCCAAATGAAACACATCTCCTCGCAACGTCCAAAGAATGTCCTAGAGAGATTTGAATCATCCCCAGGGCATTGGTAAAGCGTGACCAGAGACACCAGAGAGACGTTTGAGATGTTTATGGTGGTCCACTGTTTATAGTGGTCCACTTTCTTTTGCTTTGCGCATTGCTGCTTGCTCTTTTACATAGTTTTCTAAAAACATTTCACATACTTCATACGTCGCAGATTAGGCACCTATAAATGCCTACTTCTCTCGTTTAACCGTGCTAGAGGTAGACACGAAAAGCTGGGAGCACCAATGAAAATCTGCGACTGTAGTTTGATCAGCAAAGCAAACAGTCATATGCAGAATGGCATTTTATGATGAACGGAGCGGACGGTCACTGTCACATCTTATTGATCCTCTCCCACGTCTTTCTTGCAACCACATGAAGAATGCACAGACCGAGGCAACAAAGCATGGTATGGGATGACTCATCACATGTTGACACACGACGGATGCAAATGTGTGTAGCTGGTCGACGGCGCAAGTCCTGGGCAAGTGGCCAACTTCAGTGGCTTGTGCTATGCGACGGCATACTTTGCTTCCAACGGTCAAGAAATCTGAGTTAGTTTCTGTTAGAATCCAATTGAGCATTCGAAACAACCTATTAACAAGCTCGTGGAACCGAACGGCGCAAGTGCACATACCCTCGAAGCCGTCTTTGCAGCTGCACTTGAAGCTGCCGAATGTGTTGTAGCACGTGCCGTTGTGGTGGCACGGCGCCAGGTCGCACTCGTTTATGTCCTCCTGGCAGTCCTTCCCCCTGGTTCCGTTGGGACAGGCGCAGCTGTAGCCTCCCAGAAAGCTCGTGCAGTCGGCCCCAAAAAGGCAGGGGCGATGGCGGCAGTGGTCGACCCTGTGCCTGCAGAAGGGGCCTGGACGAACGAGAGAGAGACAGAGAGAGATTTGGGAGTAAGCCGAGATAGAGTTAAAAGAAGCACGCTCAAAGCTGGAAGAGGACTTAAAAGGCTCAACTTCATACTGGAATTTTGTAGTACAGTACCATAATCTATACTAATACTAACGACTGTTAGTATTAGTAGTATGTAGATACTAACTTAATATGTAAAAACATAATACACAAAACATGTTTGAACGTCGGCAGTTCTATGGTCTTAATTAAACGCGTCATGATAAAGCTTCTTAGTAGCTACTTACGTATATATAAATTTCATTCATTGTTCGTATGTGACATTAATTTTACATATATCGTCATATGGACCAGGCAGCTTTTGTTTGTGCCTTACATGCCCCTATATGGCATTCCCTTGAGCAGAACCTTAACAGAAATGACACAAGAGATGCTGAATGCACAGATCAAGAATACGCACGAAATACAGTCGAATCTCATTAATTCATACTCGAGGGGGACCAATAATTTGTTTGAATTACCCGGAGTTTTCTCCCATAGAGACGCATAGCATGGGACCTGCATGTTAGTTTGAATTATCTGCAAGTTTGATTTAACGAGATTCGACTGTAGTACCTTACTGTACTCTAAAATACAGTGGAAGTGTCCACTTTGTTCAAGAGCACACTATACTAACATTTCCGAAACTTGGAAATTATGAAAATTATATGTTAAGCACCCGATTTGACCGAACAAGCGCCCATGTCTACGTTCAACCAATTTTCATTTAAAGTGGGACGAGTGCTTCTCTGGTATTTTATGGCAAGTCTCGAATTAAAGTACTTTTCTTTGCATCTCAGTTGCGCTGATAAGTGTGATACCTGTGTAATCTGGAGGGCAGATGCAGATAAAACCGGAAGCTAGGAGTTGGCATCTTCCACCATTGAAACAGGGCTCAGAGAAGCAAGGGCTGATTTCCAGAGTTTCACTCAAGGCCTCGCTGACATTTGCACTGGTGTCAGCTGAAAGAAAGAAAACACTGAAGCTTCCTCTTCAGATATACTCTACAAGGTGATTAAGTTCAATGAGCTATTGATTTAATATACTGTGTATTTATATTGCCCAAAAGAAAGGTACTTGTGCCTTGTGCGTTCTGTCAGGGCGACTGGTGGTCGCACCATGTTTCAACTTTTTTATAATAAATGCCTCGATGGCGGCTAGATTAGATTTTTAGTTATGCGACAAAAAGTTTGGCAGGGCACTTGGCCACATCAAAATACCATAATGTTCTGTATTTTTAATTTATGATGTTGCAACTTCTAAGACATTTTCGAGAGAAAATTGCTGTAAAATGGTGGGCAGGTAAAAAAATATTTTTGGCAAATTTTCTACAAGTTAAGAATGGCTTAAGTTAAGAAAGTGACCGTAATGTGATTGACGTTGACATGTTTCTAGTATATGACTGCAAACCAGTGAAGATTGGTACTAGTATCTAATAATTAGGGTTTTTAGTATATTTCTTACGTGATTACAATGAAACTGAGGTCTTTGACAGTGTTTCTAGTTCGGTTACACTGCAACAGGAGGCGGTAATGGTGCTTCTAGTTACTCTAGAAGTTCTGAAGTTTGTGCTTACCACACGCAGATCCTAGTTTTGTATCATGCCTAAAAGACTCACCGCTGCAGTTAAGAACACTCAGAGGAACGGATGGAGAGATCTCGTGCTGTAGTGGACACCTGTGGCAGGCCTTTTGACCCATTTTGAGTTGGTAGAACCCCCTCGGGCACTTGTGACAGGGCACCACTCCAGATTTAGACACAAAACCAGGCGGACACAGCGCTGGAAGGTTTGACAAAATGAACAGAATTTTTCTAGCTATGATACTTTAAGTTTATACTAAGCATGTGGAAATATCCAAAAAATTTTGAATATCGGTGTATTCAACTGAGTCCTCCAGATCAGATGGTAGCATTGGAGAGTTTTCAATATACTTTTCATGAGGTATTTTTCACTATTGTAGAAGTTTGTTAGTGATGAAATTAGGCTGTGGCACCACAGTTTGATTTCTAGATTCCCAGAAAATACAGAAGTGCTCTCTTACTTTTTGTGAAGTTCACTGAATTATTTTGAAAACAACAAACATATCTAGAAGTATATCAGTACTTATGGGAATGGAGTGTCATTGAGGCTGTTGATGTTTTACTCATACTGAAGCCTTCCTTGATGTGTTTGTTTTTTTTAGATTTAGTGATAGAATTAATGTTGCACACGATTTAAATGTTCAACAGTTGCAAAGTTAGTACTTAAAAATGCCAACATCACCTCTGCAATCGCTTTCGTTCACTGAACCCCGTCTCCTTGCTCTGGTGTTGTTGGGACAGGCGATACAACCTGTCGTGCCGTAGCCCGGCTGGAAGTACGCCTTGCGGCAGGTCTCGCAAGGCTCCAACCCCGTCACCGAGTGTGATCCGGGTGGGCAAAGAGCTGTAACGATTTGAAACTCGCTACACATCCCTTCCCAATGTAACAGAGCATCACACACACATATATATGATTAATGTGTCACTGCTGTCACAAGCAAGCTTGCGATGTGCCCTCAAAATTCCAAACTAAGGTTATAGAAAATTTTTCTCTTAAAATTGCACTCTTCATCTGAGAATTAATCCTGTCTTCTCCTAGTTAATATGAAGCAATTACCTTTGCACTCGGAAACATTCTACTTCTAAATATGCGTGCTACAAGCAGAGCAAATATGAAGCAATTACCTTTGCACTCGGAAACATTCTTGGATTGTACAGTCACAGTTGATCTGTGATCGGGGCATGCGACGCATGCTTCACTGCCTTGTTCGGATTGATAAGTGCCCCGTGGACAGGGAAGGCATTTCGGGTCTTCATTTTTTGATGTTTTGGAAATGTTGTAGAATGTTCCCCTTGGACACTTGACTGCAGGAAGGGTAATGGTCGCTTTCAAACATATCACATATAGACTCTAGTAACTATGCAAATATAATCAGTTTATTAAAATTTTAATACATTAAAATATTTTGTTTTTGAGCAATTTAAATATTTTTAAATTTTACAACATATAAAAATATTTTATAAAAAAAAACATACAAAAAAAAAATTTCGAAATTTAACTGATGTCAAAATTTAAAGATTTTAAAGTATGTCAGAATTCTTTAATAGATGCGCGTAAATAGATGCAGCACTGTTTACAACTTCAAGATCCGTCTTCTTGTTTTAGAAATGTAGGAATAGTGGATTTTGGGGTCGAATCAAACACAAATAAAATACTCGTGACATACTAATAAATCTCAACCTAATATAGAATCCAGGAACACTGAAAGAATAAGTCACAGATAAGATGAGAGATGACATACACTCTCTTTTAACTAGCAACAGTGTAACGGTACGCTCATCAGTCTACATTCAATAGAATTTGTATCAAGTAAAATCTTCTAAAAAAATGTACTCCATTCCGCATCATGTTTAAAATAGTTTTGAAAGATGCTGCATTTGTCACTTACTGCATTCTGTCCCTGTTGGTACGCTTCCAACCTTGCAGGAAAGCTTGTAGACTTCTTCGAAGACCTCGAGCGACTTTGCAGTGACGTTTTCTTGTTGTACCATTAGATCGAGTTCCTTTTTGACAATGGCATCTCGGAGCTTGGCAAAGAAATTCTTCATGGAAAGCAGGAGCTCGTTCTCTTGCACTGGTCTCACACTAGTGGAACCTAGCCTTCCACGGACCAGAGAATTGGATGTTATGCAGTTGGAGCAGCATTTCACGAGCATACTAAAACTGTCGAACGTCCACTTGCACATCACTTCTATGTTCCTATAGACCCTTTTCATGTTTGAAAACACAAGCCATCTCTGTCATGTCAATGTAGAAATTCCGGGTAGGACAATGTTTCACAGAAACAAAAAAGTTGTTGATTTGATTCGGTCCTCATGCTGCACTTTTTAATGTATAAGAGGGGATCGGTTATCTTACGGGAGTATTTAAAATCTAAAACAAATTTTTCGCTAACTGGTTCTTTAGCTGACAACCTGAAGAAATGGTCATTAAATATTTCACGAACGTAGCAAGAAGCGGTGCTGTGGCGAAGGTTGTTTGTCCCATCATTTGACTGTAAGTTCGCGGGGATGCGAAATGCACCGGTGCCTCCCGTCAGTGCTTCTAAAAAAAGGGGTCTAGTCACTGACAGTGTAAGACGGGCATCTCATTATTGCTCGGCAGCCAATGAGGTTGCGGCATTCATCGACGAGAATACCAAAGAACGAATCGCGAAGCAGGAACATAATGAATTACACCCTGCGTAGCTGTCGGGGGCTACGGTCAAAATCATGGAATCTAACTTCGCCCCAATTCAATATGTTTTCGTGTTTTCGCTCATCTCGCGGAGGTTTCCGGAACAGACTTTGTATTTCGCAAAAGTCCACTCGCAGAGCTCGGTAAAAGCCGGTTCAGAAACTGCGACGACAAGATGGAAAGTATACAGCCTAAACGGAAAATAATGGGTCGCTCGGAAGCTACGTCTTCGAGAATGCGTAGGTGAACTAGACTTTTTTGCAACTACCGAAGTATGTGCTCGTCGTGACTCAATCTCCACACACACACCTGTAATGTCAAAGGAGACCTCGATGTCGTCCGCTCCCTTTGAGCGTCGCTTTCGGTGCAGCTCGGAGCTTTTGGCGTCGTTCGGCTCGGCCTGCGCCGTCGGACACTCGATGTGCAAGTCACCGACAGAACAGTCCACTCCGTCGGGACACCTAGCTGCCTGGGAAAGGTTGGGTGGGCGGAAACGTTTAGACGAGCAAGTTTATGGAAACGTCAAATCGCTGGAGGATCACCTGCATCGAGAGCCGCCGCAGCAGGTGCTCCCGGAGCTCTTTCTGCGTGAGCCGGTCGCCGCAGGAAATCCCAAGCGCCGAGTAGAAAAGCCGGGCCTTCACGGTAGCCGACGACGGAGGGGCAGACTCTGGTCAGGGTTAAAAAATATGGATGTTGATGGCATTCGCGACTGTTTTCGGCGACCACGACGACGGCAATCGCAGCCCCAGCATATGTTTTACTCATACTTACAATTTTCGAATATCCGAATACCTCTTATGACGATGATAATGAAGATGACTGTGCGACTTTTCCCCTTGAAACGAACGAGCCCGAAAAAAGACGAGAGAAGGCACCGGCGCCAACTGTCGGGTAGCCGTGGGACCCTTGGCAATCCCGTATATTTTCTGTTTTTTTCACGCATCGTCCTTTCTTTCTTGGCTCGAAAAACCTTTGTCAATGAAGAACGACCATTTCTCGTAAATGTATGTACATTTGATCTTGCAAGTAGCGCAAAACCAACGCCAGGCGGCGTTGCGCAAAACCATGGCTATAATGAAATCCAGTTCCAGGATCACCGTATAGGTGGCGTCGGCATGCTCTCACACTTTAAGAGGTTTTAAGGCGCGGGGTCCTAAGCGGTTGAAAGTGTGTGAACAGGCCTTTACAGTAGTGTATTCCATTCTGCCAAAACATTCTGCCTTTTGGCAGTACTTTTCAAGTACTTTTCAGGCAGTATTTTCATTGATTTACTTTATTTTGGGCCAGTTGAATAGTTACGTGTTTCCATATGTGTCTACCACTTAGGTACTCGCAAATAGCAACCAAGTTACGTTCCAGTCACTTTTAAAATATCTTGCGACGTATAGGGGCGCCGCAATTTATGACCGACGGTTCCGTTCCCAAAGTAAAAAATATATTGGCAGAGTTAGGTCTTTATTTCAGCAGCGTGCTTACGGTAGTTGCAACATGTAGCACCGGTGAGGAGGCAAAGCCAATGTGAATTTTTGTATTTATGAAGATAATTTTAGGGAACTAATTAAACGAGGTTACTTGAAAGAGTAACATTTCACACTTACTGAAATTTCATACTATTTTAAAACGTATATCTTCCGGCAGTCTCTGAACTCGCTACAGTAACTTAAAACTACTTTTAATTAGTACTTTCACAGTGCTGCCAACTACTGTGGAATGGCCACTTGGCTCTGGCTCCTCCCTACCCTCCATACCAACACCACTTATTCTGCCGAGCTTGTGCTCAATCATTCGGGCTACTTCCGGCCGACTACTCAATCACGTGAGACTCTAAAGTGACCACTTTGTGCTGCACGGAGTGTGGCTTTTAACTCACCAGAGCAATCCGGAAACGAATGGATGCTGTGCGGTCTCCAGCTGCCATCAAAGGCACACGAGAATTCCGAGGGAACATGGGGCTGTAGGCCGTAACCCTGCAGGCACGTGATGCGACAGGCAATTCCCGAACTCGTTTTACGACAGTCCACGTCTCCGTTTGCAGGTGCAACGGGTATGATGCATCTGTGGTCTGAAAACGGTCGGGTGGACAGAGTGGCATCATTAGCGTACTTCCATAGTCTAAAGTTAATGATTCCATAGTTGTTTATAGCTCTGTCCCAGCTGCAGTAGAGGACACTTTTGAGAAGAACAAATTGCATAGTTCCTAAGTTTAGTTCCATAGTTTCTGTTCTGACTACACTATGAGGCATTGGGGGAGAAACAAATTACACTTTTATTGCTGCGTAAATTGTCTACATACGAGTTGCAGAAAGCTCAGACTGGAGAGAATTTCGGGTTGCGAAGTTACTTAAATAAAAAGTTACGAGCACTTTTTTTTAATATTTACTTCGAAGAAGCGGTAAATACCACACGGCATGCTGCAAACAAAAAACTGGAGGTTTTTTGCCGTTGTCTCGCAACGCTGATTTGGCACTTTTTTTTTTAATCGTGAGAGAAACTTTACAAACTGGCCACTGTATGTTGGGGCTAACTATGGTGTGACCTATACATTCTACGGTGCTCACAATTTCATTTATACCTTCGGAGCGTGAAGCATGCAGTAACAAAACTAATTCTGAAATTACTGTCTCGTTAAAATTAGAGCAAAGACAAGGAAGGAAGAAGGTAGTGACAGGATAAAGCACTAAATTACAGCTGGCATTTATTACTAAGTAAGAGAAAGACGAAGTAGTACTGACTGCTAAAGGAGGAAGGCACACAAATAAAAAGACACGAAAAATGTTCAGTAAAAGGGTGGGGGGAGAGAGAAATACCGATAAAAAAAGAAGAAGGAGAAGAAGGTATCTAAGCTCGATCACTGGGTTACACATTCGAGTCGGCCACACCCACACCATCCGAAATGACAGCGACATCCAAGACACTGGGACAACTGCGGTTCATGTTCGGAATGGCAAACACTTTTCCCGGTGACTATGCCGCAGTTTATTACTTTCTGTTATCGGGTTCGCAACCAACATGCCGCTCGACTCAGGTCTCAGGGACATGGATCGAGGTAGTGCCGTTCTTTCTCCAATAGGACCACTGATGGAGCACTGATGCATACGCCTCCTTTTTTTCATAATCGTGCACCTCATAGATTTCCCTACTTCTTTTTTCCTTGGAACGCTTTAAGACTTTAGTGCAGTTGAACAATGGGGTGCATTGGCAGTCCCAAAAGTGCAACGCTAGATGTCCCGCAGGTGAAGCCTCCAGCACGAGGTCATACTTTCTCAATCTGGCATTGATGCCATGACCCTACTGCCCCATGTAGGCCTTTCCATATGAAAATGGTATTTTATAGACCATTCCACTGAAGCAGCTGTCCACATACTTGTGCTGATGCATTCAACATTCTCTTCTTTTTTGTTGTTTCTTTTCGGGTGCCAATAGTGCTACCTGCACATCGTACTTTAAGACTACCGTAGAATACCACGCATCCGCCCATTCTACATTAACCGCCCATATCCAAATTTCTAAGATATGAAAAAATATGCACAGTACATTTATATGTAAAATTGATGACCGGACAAGCGCCCATCCCCCATTTTTCCGCGATTATCTCTCAATTTTGAGTGGGTGCTTGCCCGGTATTTTATGGTACTCTCTTGAGATTATGCATGTAGGGCACGATGGCAGGACGCCGTCTCTTTTTCTTCTGTTCTATGTAACGTGAGCAGCCGTTCAGCAAAAGTCAAATAGGATTGAATCGTGAAAACCTGAACACTTTAGTCATTGTGTGTCGTGCGTCTTCCTCCTCTAACAGTCAGTACCTCTTCTCTGTCTTTGTTTCACTTACTAATAAATGCCAGTTGTAAGTTAGCGCTCTATCCTGTCTCTACGTTCTTTCTCCCTGCCTTTGCGCTACTTTTAACTAGGTGTATAGCCAACAAGCCCACCAGATAATTTTGTTCTTGCAGTCTTTGTTGCTCGCAATAAAACCTCGCCTCACCTCTCACGACAACTCTCAGGATGCAGCTGGCATTGTTTCCAGAGGCATCGCTGGCCACGTATGTGACGAGTGTTTCACCGACAGGAAAGGTGGTCCCCTGCTTGTGGGACTGCCACACAACTGGGTCGATTCCAGAGTTGTCCGAGAAAATTGGTTCGTCCCAGGTCACGACCGCCAAAGGGCTTCCATTGGAAAAGGCGTCCGGAGGCGAAGTGCAGCTGTCGACCATTGGTGGCTCCCTGTCTGCAAGACCGTGCCATTTGCAAGATGAAAGAAGATTAAGATATGAAAAAAAAAAGAAAATGATTAGGTGATGAGTTTGGCTACTTCAATGTGGCAATTGAAGATGTCGACATGATTTTCTGCGTTGTCTAGCAAAATGCTTCGGCAGCCAGAGTAGCAACGGAATGTAGGAACCAAGAACAACGAAAGCTTTTGTCAAACTCCTCGTATCTGAACATACCGTAACATGACGAGCATCCGCCCATTCCACATTAAAGGGATACTACAACGAAATTTCGGCGCTCATTTTTTGGTCTATATGTGTTCAAAGGAACAGCATCATATCGAACATACCAATATCTTGTTAAAAAAGTCACGAAAAGGAATTTTAAAACAAATTAAACGATTAGCAAAGAGCACCTGGTGGATGTCGCTAACGCCTCGCTTGTAATGCCCGTCTAGCAACATTGACAGCTAGTGACGGAGGTTGTCTCGCCTCCGGCCACGACGAGAGAAGAGAGGCAGGAGGAACTCCCCTCTTCTTGAGAATGCCGTTTGTGTGTCGCAGAAGTCGCTATTGTCCCCCCACAAGATTATAGAGGATTAACCCGTCACTCAATATTCGTACAAAAGCAGCCGCTTCGGTGGCTGGAACGACTAGGCCATCCTCTCGACGTCAGCCTCGCCATAGCTTTGCTCGTCTTGAGACGAACTACGTCACGATTGCGTTGGATGTCACGTGGTCTCCGCTGGGCCTTCTCCGAGCGCTTGCCAGAGTGAGCCGTTTGTAACGAAAAATACAGCTACCAGGCTCAAAATACAAACGTGCGATTGTCATTTACGGATATTGTGGATCATATTCAACCTATTTTTGAACACGACGGGAATATTTCAAATTTCGTTGAAGTATCCCTTTAAGCGCCCACTCCTCATTTTTGTAACATTCGTAACATACACAAAACACATATCTTTACATATCAAAGACCTAAGAAGCTCCCATCCCCCAGATATACAGTCAAACCCGTTTAAAACGAACAGCAGAAAACGCTACGATCAGTTCGATATAGCAAGTAGTTAGATATAGCAAAAACCATTTACAACGAACTTCCATGATGCATTCGTTGTAAGGCGAGAACTTCTCTTCCTTTCTCATCTCTTTGCTTCCGCCTTGTAACAACGCGCTAAATATTTTTCTTTTTTTCTTGCATGCATACAGTTTTTGTTTTTTTGGCTAATCTCCCTTTCTGAATCAGCTTCACTCCGTGGGCAACCGCTTTAGGATGAAAAGTTTTTGTTTCTGTGCGTTCGTGCACAGTGTTTGTTTAGCTTTCTGCCCTTCTGAATAGCTTCTCTTCGCTCAATTTTGTCCGTGGCTTGAGCTTTTAGAATTTTCTTTCTTTCCTACTTTTTTTTGGGGGGGAAGGGACAGGCTAGACGACGATTGTTTGGGCGTTCTTGGAAGCCTTCTCGGGGGAAAACGTTTGATATAGCCAATGTGTTATTCGTTATGGAAAGTACTTTTTACGTGCATTTTTACTCATGTTTCCCTGAGTTCGATACTGAGAATAATTCGCTGCACATGGGTTCGTCCTAAACGGGTTTCGCTGTATGTTGATTATCTCCAAATTTTGAGCAGTTGCTTGCTCGGAATTATATGATAAATGTAAATCTAAGCCTGCAGCTTCTATGAACCATTAAATAATTCCGGATTGAGCCACTACAGTTTTTGCGCATTTAGAAAAGAAACTCCAGGGATGACTTGCTAGAAACTGTGTCTTAGCTAAGACTGTGTGAAAGAAAGACTGCCAATACTGGGGTGCACGAGCACTTGAGATTCAACTTATGTGCCACCCTGCTCTTGCACTAACTTTGGCAGGGCTTTCTTTCTCAGCCTTATCTAAAATGCTGTTTCTAGCGAGCCACTCCCAGACCTTTTATGTGCATGTGCAGGTAGGGGATGCCAACATACCTCTCACAAATTTTGCTGTAGTCCAATCATACTCTCCAACAAACTGACAGATAATTTCATAACTTAATCCGACCCTCTGAAAGTCAGTGTTCAGCAAAGATGAACAGCCCAAGCATTACAGTATAGACCACTTACAACGTAACCGCTTATAGTGCAGGACCGGATATAACGCAGCTTTTCAAACCACCGGTTCGTCTCCCATAGAACTCCATGTAATTCCATACCGCTTAAAATGCAGGCGCGCGAAGGGAAATACTGGTTATAGTGCGGTTTCTGGAGCAGCCCACCGACCGCGCCGACTGACCCGCGCTGCCCGCGCAGCGAGCACGCTTCCCTGTGCGACACTAGATAATGGCTCAAGCCGCAAGCGGCACTCGCAGGGCAAGCAGGTTGCTCGAAGAAGCGGGGAGAAGCGAAGAGAGAGGCTTCAGTTGCCATAGCGACAGAGGGACGCACGCACGTGTCGTTCACGTGCCTGCTGTGCGTCCCTCCCGTCCCTCCGCTGCATTGGAAACAACCGCAACGATAAACCAATCGCAGGTCGAGGAGAAGTGTTCGCGCGCGTTGCATGCCGGTCGCAAGCCGGCTGCTTCTATCCGCAAACATGGTGTCGGTTGTGATTGTCGACACAGACGGCGTGGTGGACGCTCATTGTTCCCCGTAAAAGCGCTATCCTTGACTGTGAATTTTCGTTGTGTGTCGCTATGATAATCCAGCACGTACTAGAAGGAAAGATCTACCTATTCGTGCGGCGATGTCGGCGGCACTCTCAAGACGGCAGAAACGCCCGTGTCGTCATGTTTCTTTACTTCGACTACAGTGGTGCTTTCTAAGCATTTGTGTTTTCGAACATGGCCCGGATTTCTTATTTGGAGCATTTCAAGCCTGTGCTCAAGTTTAAGGTATTAGTGGTGCGTACCGTATAAAGGATGCGAATTTTCACGCGTTTTCATCGCCGGAGAAAAGTGATTGGGGTTAGCAATCCTGAACGCTCGCAACGTCCGTCCGCAACCCGCAACGCCGTTAAAAGGCTGTGCCAGGCAAAAGTCGCTCATTTCTTTCAAAATGTGTGACACACTTGAGAGAGAAATGTACTAGTCTGGTGAAGCAAAGACTTTCCTCAAACTAAGCTTTATTTTTCATCTAACATAAAATAAATTGTTTTACAAAGCTAAGTTGTCTCATGGCATGTATTTTGGCCTGAAAAATTGGTGTTTTGGTTATAGCGCGATACCGCTTATAGTGCGGATTTTCGCGACTCCCACGACATACGTTATATGCGGTCTACACTGTAATCAGATCCAGTCATTCACCTCTGACCACGACGGAGAAGTTGCAAAACGCCTTGTTTCCTGCCGCATCCTGAGCCCAGTACGTTATGTCGCTTGTTCCGATGGGGAACAGCTGGGGCGGCATGACAGCAGGCACCACGCTGAGCATCAGGGACTCCCCACTGTTGTCTGAGGCCTCGAGCAGTTCCCAGTCCACAAGTGCTTCCGCGTACCCAGGTTCGGAGTCCACCTCCATGTCCTCTGGACAATTCCTTATGGTCGGAGGCTCCAGATCTGCCAGAGCGTAAGGGACAAATGTCCTCTTTTGGAACTGAAAATACTAGATATTCATTCAATTCACAGTTAGCAGATCTTAAAGATCTCACAGTGAGAGGGCAGAACGTCGTACCAAAAGGACAATGCGATCAGTAGGCCTAATACAGTGGAATTTGGTTAGTTCAAACTCGTGGATAATTCAAACTAACATGCAGGTCCCGTCCTATGTGTCTCTAAGAAGGAAACTCCCGGTAATTCAAACTTTGCATTACCCAAAGTTTTGTGCACATAAACAAAACTATACGCTTTAGAGCTGTTAGTTTCTACGTTAGCTTTCTTCACAAATAAAGGTCCGGCGAAGTCAACGCCCATAATGTCAAATGGCTTTGTAATATTATATGCTCCGCAGGTAGAGGTCTGAATGGAACAGGCGTAGGCTTTGTACGGAACCTGAAACATAGGAGGCACTTTCTGAGAGTCTTCTTTGTCAACTGTCGAGCTTTAGGGATCTAAAATCACTGTCGTAGAGTGGCCATTGTGCTGAGTACTGCTTCATGGACAACTTGGTAATGAATATCCATAACAATAAGTTATGTCAGATGATGGTTGTTTGGCAGTAAGATTGGATGTTTCATAGAGGAAGGGGCATGGCACTGTACTTTGACAGTTCGTCGTTTCTTCATTCTCTTTTCTGGGTTTGTCAGGAGCAGAACCTCTTTGTTTTCTGTTAATCTATTTTTTCACTGAAGTTGAAAAAGCCATCTCAAACAATCATTATTTTGTTTGTAGTGAAGAGGCAGGCATCTCATGAGTGGAAAAAAAAACTTACCCAATTCGTTGGGAATCACATAACGAGTTATGCTTCAGGATTGCATAGCTGCAGCAACGACACAGCTGTGTTGTCACTGTTACTTTTTTGCGGTGCAGGTATGCAACAGGAGAAGCATGCTTCATGGGGCAACACACTCAAAATTTTTGACTTCGAGTCTTGAGATCAGTTGAAACTTCTTTGACACTACTCCCCAATTCAAAGATAGAATCGGTTGTCATTACAATATTAAATGCCTGCACGCTTTTAACGTTTCGACACACCTGTTAGTCCTGTTTTGCTCAATATGAAGAGTGCCATTTTATTGTGACAATATCTCAACTGTCCGCATGACAACTACTTGTTCTTACCATGATCTGTTTTGCGCTACTCAAGTACTGTATGTACTGTTATTAATGGGAATGCATTTTTCACAATCTTACTAGCACATTTCCCTGCAAAATTAGGGGACCCATGGTTTGTCTTAAGAACTTGACACCACTCTTTACATACCGGGTTTTTCCATGTGATCCTTTCACTGGGCTAAGTAAGCATTTTAGTGAGGCAACCAGGAAACCTTATTCTACCGCTATGTGAAACAACATTAGCACTCACCCATGCACATTATTGCAGTGTCATTGCCACTCCACAGCCCAGGATGCACACATTCCCTTGAAGCTTGGTGAGGGGATGCAAATCCATCATTGCACCGGAGGTGGCAAGTCTCTCCAAATGCCGACTTTGTTTCACTGCAGTGAGCGGGGCTAAAGATCCCATTTGCTGGTGCCAGGAGGGGGGGACAGCTCACGGCTAGAAGAATCGATGCACGTCAGAGTGGAAAAGGCACTTATCATTGAAGCGAAAATGTGTTAGTTTCCGACACTCATACCTATTTATGCCAGCGTCACTAGACGACGAACAATGCTCGTAGTAATGTTGACATTGCTAGGAAGCGAAATAGAAAGACTTCTTCACGAAAACCAGGTTTGAGAAGACTCCCAACTCTTCTGAAGGCTCAGAAGAGTTGGGAGAAACGCAGAAAGGCCGGAACTCATACCTGAAGGCCTGTAGCCATGTAAACCAACTCCAGTAGACTCAATAATTCTAAGTCCAGGAAGCCACAAATTTTGTTTGAGTGATCAGAAGTTTAATTTAGCAAAAATTTATCTAAATATGATGCAAGGTAAAATTATGATTCGTTATGTGGATAGCTACACCCTAGTAGCACGAGATGTTGCAGGAACGTTACTGCAACGTGGCGAATGTTGTGCAACGTTATGCAACGTGTAACAATGTAACGACAATATTACTAAAACCATATTGCAAAAACATTATTTCGAAACATCAACACAATGTTACACAAGTGAGATGCAACGTTACACTACTTTTACGTATGTTACTGAAATGTTGCTGCAGAAATGTTACGGCAATATAATCCAGAAACAAAGAGCCTATGTTTCAAAGGTAACATTAAGGAGATGCATCTGTGATAACTTATAAAATGTTACAAAAACATCCCGCCACTTGAGAGGACAACACGCCTTTCTGTCTGCAGAAACATATCTCGCCTGTATTTATTTCATAAGATCCACCACCACAATTACATCCCCCTTTGTCACACCTCCACCTATTGTCAGTCATTCCCGCCTATGTCATCACTAGGCAAGAATCATCCCCCCTACTTATCGCTGGCATAGCTGATTGCACCGAATTTAAAGATGCAGTGTGATAATGAATTCGGGGTCTTGTTAACAATATTTTGATTTAGTTTTTAATGTGTTTGTTTGCAATTAGATATTTCTGTCCACTCCACTCTGTAATGTCTCAATGCCCTAAGGAAATAAACCGCTACAATATTTCTTCTTCCGCACCCGGCGTGAAGCCCACAAGGGTTAATTTTGGCTCGAAAAAAGTGTTTTTCTTATACAGTCCCCACTCGGTGTATAGTCCACAGGGGCAAATTCAAACTGAATATCTGTTTCCTTAGACGGTCCACATTATGGGGAGAGGTCCTTTTGAGCCCGCTTGTCGTGGTGAATCACAGAGCTCATGAGGATTAAGCTTGACAAACAAAGATTGCCTGGAGGGACTTAAGCTAACAGCCTGTCAACCCCAAGACATCAAAGGCCTGGACGACACACTGACAGTATGACTTGTTTCTCACTTCAGCAAAGCAAAACATATTGTAAATATTGTATTGTAAAATATCTAGAACGAAAGACACAAAATGTATTGTATCCTCTGCACCTGCAGATAGTCTGCAGAGTGAAATATTAACTTTTAGGCATGTATAGTCTGCAGACTATGGTCTGGGAACTATTGTACTTTTTGTGTGTAAAGGGCTCCATTGAATGGATGTAGCAGTTTGGTTTTACTGAAGTAATTTCTGAATTAACTAATGAATATTTAATTAAAATGGACGGAGCATGGCCTCCCAGTAATCAGAAATAGTAAACGGAATGCACAGTCTCCCCAATTGCCACTTCAGTTTTGGTGGAGCTACACCTGCATGCAGCATGAGCAAGCTCAAAAGCTTTCGAATGGCCCCAGTGAGCAAGCGCCCACGAAGCAGGATGCATGCACCACGTGCCCTTTCGCTCACTCATGTCCAAAGGGCCGTCTCACGCTGCAAAGCTGCGGTCTAGTGGCTGTAGCCTTCGCTGCACCTTATTTAAGGGTCAATGCAGTGTATAGTTCTGCAGGAATATTTGTCACCATTGTTTTTGTTTCTGTAATTGTAACTGCGATTGTAATTTATTTGCACACGGATTTGACGTGTATGCGACGACGTGCAAAGCTAGACAAGAAGGTGATAACCCTTATGCATATGCGCCTACTAGCAGGCCGCCCCCTACAGTGCAGGAGACAGGAGGAAGGGGACTCAGTAGGGTAAAACAAAACAAGCACACACAGCAACAAGAAAAATAATGGTGCAAGTCACTGGTCGTCACGAGCTCAAAGCCAGTTGGCGAGAGAAGAGGTAGCAGTGGCGGGTGGTCCTCCCACGGAGAGGCTCAGGCTGCCCAGTTCTTTTGCTTGTCCGCACTGCGGAGTACAACGAGATCCCGGAAAGCGGTCCATCGAGCATCCGGCACAGTGCGCGCATCCGTGAGGCCCGTCGCCTCTCGTGGGGGGTCGCCGACCAAGGGCACCCACACCAGGCGTGCATCGTACGAGCCGTCCGCTGTGCCACAGATGATCCGTGTCGCACGGCGCTGCACACTTTCGAGCCGTTCCCAGAGGTGCTGCTGGGGCGGGGACCAGGTCGCCGAGCAATACTCCAGTCCAAAATGGGAAGTACGAGGGCCGTGTAGAGCGCTCGTAGAGCTTCCGTTCAACAGTTTCGTCACCCGCGATATGAACTCACACATCTGAAGCGCCTATCAAAGAGTATGCACAGATGTAGCACTCGTAAACCATAGTTTTTAAACTTCTGATGATGAAAAGCTTGTACGCGGATCACTTCGTCTGCTCTCAATCGGTGTCATCGGAAAAACGCTTGGAAAAACGCTTAGGAAGAACGGGAAAACACGGCTGCCATTTTGAGTACGCTGCCTGGATGGATAGATAAATACCCTTTGTAACGAGTAGTAACGAGCGGTAGCTTGCGTCACCTAGCGACGTCGACCAATGTTCACCAACACAACCAAACTTTATTATCGACTAAAGTGCTAAAGTGATTAAAAACAATTTTATAATTAAAAAAATTATACGTGTTATTTGGTACTATATACAATAAAATTATTTATTTTGTTCATTAATAAAATGATCGAAAGCGGGGCCATTCTGGACTCTATCGGGCTCTAGGCCTTTCGTCTCTAGCCATAGCCAGAAGTAGCACTTCTCTTTCGTTTGCGCAGCCGTTAGTGTTCCCGCGCAAGGCCGAGGCTTTTGAAAGCGCTATCGTTCAATCGCCGTTCTCCCTGCAAATAACACAAAACAAGGTACGTGGTATTTTGTTACTTGTTATTGTGTAGAATGGAGCGCGTTAAGCGTTCGCTGTCGGAGTTGTCCGATCGCCAGAAAAGAAGAATCGCGCAAAACGCTCAGAAGGAACTAGAAAGGTACCGCAAAGAAGATCCCGTGGACTCCAGCACCGATGAAGACGTTTGCGCTCCTCCGGTGACGACAGAAGGTGAGGCAACCGAAAGCTTGATTGAGGTCAGAAGTCAACAAGGCTCCGAAGTTACTTCAAACGAAGACGATGACGTTTCCCTGATAGATCCTGTGGACTCTAGCACAGATGAAGATGTTTGCGCTCTTCCGGTGGCGGCAGAAGCCGAGGCAACAGAAAGTTTGATTGAAGTCCAAAGTCAACGAGGCTCCGAATTTACTTCCGAAGGAGACGATGATATTTCCTTGAATGACCCAGACTACCAGTTGTACTGCACTGGCTAAATATCTCATCCATAGCGTAGACGTATGCGCATCATTTGAATTGCTGATCAACATCACGCTGTCTAAATATCCACAACCCATTTTTTTTTTTTTTTTTTTTTGCAAGCTTTTAAGATTTGAGCATACAGAATGTTTTTTTCTTATTTTTTTACAAAATCTTTTAAAAATAAGAGCTGATAGCTACGTGAATGCCGCTTCACTGTATGTTTCTGGGGCTCGGCGTACATTAGGTGAGGAGATAAATGTCAAAGTATGTTCACTAATTAACAAAAACTGATAATTAACTTTTTATTTGATGGCTTAATTGGCCATGTTGCAATTGCAGTTTTAAAGGAAGCAATCAATAAAGCCCATCCCAATGGAGGTAATTTGCGAAAAGACAATGAGCTTTGTCATGCTCGTCGTTAAAATTATGCCGTTCTTCGCTTGATTCAAAACGCGCACCTGATTATGCTTGGTAGAAGAGTGACATAGCCACTTCTGTCCATCTGTCACAATCTCAGAAGAGTGACGCCGGCGCGTCTATGAAAGGCACGTTGTAGAGATAGTGACGATGAACCAGAAACAAATCCCCCACTATTCTACGAATCCTAACCAGGCGCGGTTTTCAGCACGCGGTTTTTAATCAAGCGAAGAAAGGCAAAATTTCAACAATAAATATCTTAATGGTTTTTTTTTTTTTTTTGCCAACTGTATAAATTGGGTTAGCCTTTACTAATGGCTCCCTTTAAAACTGCAATTGCAACGTGGCCCATTAAACCGTTTATGAAAAAGTTAATTAACAGAATTTTGTTAGCCAACATACTGTGACATTTATCCCTTCATAGAATGCCCTCCAAGCCCCACAAACATACACTGAAGGCGAATCCACGTAGCTATCAGCTTTTTTTTTTTTTTTTTTTTTTGCAATTTTGTAAAGAATTAAAGAAACACCCTGTATAGCTTTACTCTTTAATATGCTTTTTGCAGGAGGGCACTGCTTTTGCCTAGAGGTGACTTTGTAGAAAGAGGCAAGCACTTTTTTTACTCTTATTATGTTTATAGTCAGCTTCTTTCACTCTGAATTTCCCTTTTATAACTACTTTCCAAACATTGAGTAACCTTTGATGTGGAAATTATGTTCCTTAATATGTCAGTTTGTTTCGCTGACTTTGACTGCACTTTAGAAACAGTACTGAGAAAAGTGAGTGTTTATCTCGTTAATGTCATTACCAAGCAACATGAAGCCTGCCATGTGCACAGCTTTTTTTAGGTTAGGGGGTGGGGACCCATGTAATTTATTGATCACAATAATTATGACGTTTATGTTATTGACAGAGGACAAGCAGGACATTTGCCTGTCTCATTGAGGTTTCCGAAAATAAGTTTTTGACTTCTGGGAGTAATCTACAGCTAATAATGACACTTGGTGTAGAGAAAGGGTGACACTGCGCTCAAGATGGCGATAAGGGACTGTGTGCCCTCTAGTTTTATGTAACTGTTCCTCTTCCTTCTCTGTTCATTAATATGGCATATGTTTGTTTTATGATAACTATGAGCAGCAACAGATATGGTAACATCAGTGGCAGGTTACTCTAGTGGTTTTTTTTATTGAACTTATTTACCACTATTTTCACAATCTAATATCTGTGTATATAGAACTAAGCGAGTAGCTGTCACACCTATTCCTGGTAAACGTCGATACTGCCTATGAATAGGATGTAAACATTTTTGTTATAATTTTCGTCTGTGTAATTACTTTTTTTTTCCTCTTGCAGTTGCCCTACGGATGCAAGAATGATCCGTTTGTAACACACCTTTGCTTATATATCTAGTCAATTTTATTTAACTCAAAGTTACTTTCAAACTACATGTTTCTTCTGCTAACTTAAGCTTGGTTGTTACCACTCATTATACTTTTTGAGAAGTTGAGTATGTTTCTTAGTGAATCTGCAAATGTTTCCGCAGTATATGTCTGGTCCTGTCGCTGCAACCTTTTTCGTGATGTTTTCTCACAGTTTATTTTAATCAAGTTGGCTGAGCTTACAGCTTCTACTGAGTGCAATGTAAAACTTGGAAGATTTATGAAAATAAACCCTATCTCAACAAATCTTTTGGATTCCTCTAAGCGTCCTACTTTATGGTCAGTGACAGGTGCCTCTTAGAGGGCCACTAAAAAAGTTAGAACAAGGTAGAATGACATGGATAGGACACCCATGTCATAAAATGCATTTTCCTTGAAAAAAAAAAATAAAGTATAACTATTTAGGGTGCAAGACTCATTTTGGCAAGACTGATTTTACATGGTTGCCTGAAAAGTGGTTGCTATTTCAAGGAGATAGCTTTCTTTTTGTAACTTCCTATTGGCTGGAAGGAAGTGATGGAGACGGATGTGCATACTTTTCCCAGCAACCCCTGCTTCCTTCTCTGCTTGCCACGAGCAGATGCGAGAGAGAAAAGTAGAGTGGAGGACTGCTTTAAATTGTGTCACAAAGTGAAAATATTGCTGAAATTATAGTGTCTGGGGGGGGGGGGGGGGGGGGATGCATCTTGTGATATGCATGTTCTATTAGTCAGTCTTCTGCTGTAGAGAGTACATAATCCACTCCAAAATAATTCAAAATCTTGCAGTTGGAGAAAAAATTGTAGAAGTTATCATGCAAATCAATTGCCCAATGGTTGGGGATACTGGTAATCCATGAAACCTTTTACTTTTGTGGGTTGTGAAAGTTTAATATAAAAGAAATGAAAATCAACACTAATTAATTTCGAAATATTGAGTCTGAATAGTTACAGTGCTGTCTCCACTATGCTCCGTTTCACTTTAAGTTAAAGCAAAGTGAACGGTATGGGCCATCCCAGCTGATCCAGCGCCGGAAGAGTATCACATGACTTTCCAGTTGTGTGGAACGGGAGGCAGAGTTCAAAGTCGCATCAGACTTGACGCTAAATTGACTGGGATGGCTCGTAGTGTATGCTGCGCTTCAACTGAAGGTGAAATGGAGTATAGCTGCTAAATTTGGCTTTGGAGTTCCGTGAGGCATATATATTACAGGCTACATTTCTGGTAACCGACATGTTGTCAACAAGTGCTGTGCTCAACAGTTACTAAGGTGTCAACTTGGGTATTAAGGCAACTTGGGACAAACATTTTATCTTCAATATACCCATTCATTAGCTAAATGTGTCTAGCCTTTGTTGGTTATAAGTGCTAATTATTTTGGGAATTAAAATCAATGTTTGTCCTTTAAGATCATCAGAAGTTCTTTATTTCTCTGCCACGTAAGAAAGATTTTTTCTTTCCCTCACAAAGTTTACTTCACAATTAGGCTAAATGTCTTTTTTAGTGACTTCTCTGCTCAGAAAATTCTTGTGCAAAAACATTGGAGTGACAAACATCTGAAAGTTAAACATTTTGATTGGCTAAAAAAAGTTTTAAAAAAGTGGAGCTTTTTATAAAAGCTATTACCTCGAAATAAAACTGGGATAGATCGACATGATTGAAAGCAGATTACAGAAAAGAGTATTCACGTTTTCTCAAGTGAAGTGAATAACTTCTTAGAGCGGTTCAGCAGCAGTGCTATTTGATGAACGACTTTCACACAGGCGAAGGTGGGGTGAAATCGCCGAGAGAGCTAGTCTGCGACTAATTTGCCCGAGACGAGGAAAGATAGAAACGAAGCTAGCACACTGCGGCTATGTATATGTGCTTGTCCGTTTTTAGCTGTCCTTGTTGTGGGTAAATTGATTTTTTTATAATGTAGCTCATGTAGAAAAGTAGTGGTCAATTGGCAATATATTGGGTGTCTCAAATAGTGGCCAATCTCTTTAAATCGACCACAAAATTCGGTTTCTTAACCTGTCGCGCTAGGATTTCGTGCACCGTTGCCCACAGGTGGTGTATTTTTTTCTATAAAAATTGCAAAGAGCGAACTAACTGAGGAAAAAATAAAGAAAGAAAAAGGCTTAACTGCTATGGAAATGCAGCGAAGCCAACGGTCTTCAAAAATAGGGCGCCCTATTGTTTGAAGACTGGTGCCTTCGCTGAATTTCCAAAGGAGTTAACCCTTTTTCTTTCTTTACTTTTTCCTCAGGTAAGTTCGCTCTTTGCAATTTTTATAATAAAAAAAAATGCACCGCCTGTGGGCAACGCTGCAAAAACTCCTAGCGCAATAGGTTAAGAAACCAAATTTCGCGGTTGATTTAAAGAGCCTGGCTGCTACTTGAGACACCAAGTTAATGTTACACGAATGTTGAGGACAAAACATACCACAAATGTTTGCTGTGTGGTCATTGGAAATATATAAACAATGTTAATAAATTATGTTCCACTAATGTTGAGGGCATAACATAGCACAAATGTTGAGGGCATAACATAGCACAAATGTTGAGGGCAAAACATAGCACAAATGTTGAGGGCATAACATAGCACAAATGTTGAGGGCATAACATAGCACAAATGTTTACTGTGATGTTACGGGAATGTTTTCAGATAACGTTCCAGCGACATGACATTTTGCGGACATTAGCCACGTATACACAACGTTGGCGGACCACATTCCAGTAACATTGTGGCAACATTCGGTGCTACTAGGGCACATACAAAGCCGACATTTGACGATTTCCGACAACAAAGGCCTACTATTCATACGCAGATATGCCACGCATGAAACATTGGTAAAATGTATGAGATAGGATTATTCATTCCTAAAAAAATGTTGTCTATCATGGACTGTTTAGGCAGGATATAACACTTCAAAACAAAATTAAGTTTGTTCATTCAGCAAAAAAAGTCTATTGTGGACAATCACTCCCGTTGAACGCGCTTCTTACCGAGTACCGGTGCACCATGGAGAAGCAACACCCGCGGAAGAAAGCTCCGAGGGTATTGCTTCTCCACAGTGCACCGGTACTCAGTAAGAAGTGTGCTCAATGGGGCCGCGAAAACAAAAAGTATAACATGAAACTGCCGTTTGAATTAATTGGCTTAATACATTAAAAACAGCGGAACAACCAAAATTTTTAACTTTGCTTGAATTAACCAGAAGTATGAAATACCCGACTTTCAATTATCGCAAGCATACTGTCAATGGTTCTCTCACTATATCTCTTGTGACGTATACCTCTTCACCTGATGCTGCTAGGCAAGAGAGTGATTGCACCGATTTATTTGTTTTTGTTCACTCACTCTCATATGCTATACTGATTTTCCACATAGCAATGTCACATTGCTATTGTAATTTGCATAAGAATAAAACTGCAAAGGGTCATAAAAGGAAGCAACTCACGCCTGCACAGAGTCGGAAGTCCATCCCACAGGGCGATGGAGAGGCAGCTGCGCTTGCGGGAGCCAATCAGGACGTATCCCCTCTGGCACTCGAATTCGCAGACGGTCTCAAAGTCAAACGCCTCCGTGGAACATTTTATGGAGCCGTGAAAGGGTGTTCCAAGGGTCTGGCACTTCTTTTCTGCACAATGTTTTACACAAAAACTGGTGGTTTTGCTTTCTTGGATGAAATGTGCTGGTCTCTAGGTGATTCAGAAACTTACTGGAACTCAAAATCATTGGGGAATTTAAGAGGGGCGACCTCCTTTCCCCTTTGAGACCCCAAGGTCAAATTTTTTTTTTTTACTGAAAATGGGGCATATATTTGTTTTTTTTTCTTTTGCAGAAAGACCCTCATTCTTTGTGAAATGGCAATCCCCTCTGCCTATGATGTCACATCCGTCAGAAACATTAAATTTGTTTGTGTTGTGACATCTCTTTGCAAAGCACCTGACCCCCCCTCCGTCAATCCCCCTTCCGAAGCCTGACCCAAAAATCCGCCCCTGCTCAAAATAGTTGGCAATCTAAAAATTCCCAGGGTCTCTTATGATATCCCTGAGAAGGTGAAAGCCCAATTGCCTATGCATTAAAGACACACATGATTTACTCGCTGAGTCATCCCTCTTAATGTACTGAGTCATATCCTTCTTAATGTGCTGAGTCATCTTTCCCAATGTGCTGAGTCATCATCTTAATTTGCTTAGTCATCCACTGAGTGGTCACGTAAATGTTTTGGTACCTTTGGTGTCTTGCCCTTGTATTTTCGCATGAGCAGCATTTTCTTGTTATTTCACGTTTAGAAGTTCTGTAATTCAGAACAATTAACTGCAAAAGCCCATTTTGGTGTAATATTTCATTGTACTTGATCTGGTAGCTTAGATTCATATTGCAATTACATGGCACGATGCAGTGTTTGAGCTCTGCTGTGAACACCATGCTTTACATAGGTATGCATGCACAATGCTAGCCTTCTGAGCGCCTATGTCCTCTGCTTAACCGCTATTTTTTCAATGTTGTTCTACATGAAGCAGAGTAAAGGCTACAAGCATTAGGTCAAAGCTTGGAATGCACTGATTCAGCATGCTAAGTGCATTCGGTCAAAGGCTAAGATCTTGAACTCCCAGCCTTCCCCATGTTTCGCAGCAGTAGATGCCCAGTATTTCTCTGGCGTGAACATAGAATAACTTATGGCCCTTTGATGAAAACCATCAATTAACAAAAGCATGTGTCCACATTTTGAAGACAAATGGCGCTGTCTAAATCATAAGGATAATCCAGTAAAGTACTTGGTGCATATTTAGGTTCAAATAATATAGCACAAATGAGATAACAGTGATGTGATTGGCCTAAGCCGTTCTGGAGCACCTTTCGGAGCAGACAAAACAGTGTTTTGGAGCAGCAAAATTGGCCTTTGGAGCAGCCAAAACATTGTTTTAGAGCAGCCAAATCGGTGTTTTGGAGCAGCAAAAGATGGCTTTTGGAGCAGATATTCTTAGAAAAATATAAATATTTCTTTTAAGTGCTGGACAGGTGAAGGGCACTTTGCTCGCCGCAATAAACAAATTATGGTCAAGTTAGACCAGCTCGGAGTCTTTCAACATGTTAACTGAAATGCCAATGACATGACACATTTTGCAAAGCTTCAGTTAAATGATAAACATATGTACGTACCCGCTATCAATAAATAAGAGCCAAACTGCACATATTAAAATTTATTTGAAAATGACCAGCTTAGCAGAAAATATCACAGCATTAGGTTTTACTAGTTATATAATATAATAGAGCGAAGCAGTCTCCAACTGATCAAACACCTAACTACTGCAGTGCAAAGCGGAACTGTACACAAGAAAAAGTTGCATTACGATTAGCGGGTGCTTTTCGTTTCGCTTTTCGAAACTTTCTGCAAGGCTGCTGCAAGCCTCGCTTTGCCTTCGACAAGTAATGAATGTCCAATTTCAATGTCTCCAAAGAGACATTGAGACATCCCGCTGCAGGCGTTGCCAAGCAATTCCGTAAAACCGCTTGCCAACATTTTACTGTTCCCGACGTGCCAGATTTTCGTTAAAATAAGCAAACGTAAAGCAATGGATTGCAAGCGACCCGGCTGGTGCCTCTCTCGTGCAATAATATTCGCATGCACGTGAGGGCAACTTCGGCAACTTGCAGTTGCATGTGCTTCGTCGCGCGAGCGGAGACGGCTGTTCAATCGAAACCGAAACCATGCCTCTCCGCTCCCCGCCAACTGGTTCCCAAAACTGTATGCAAAATGTAACTGTCCAGCAGCGCGTGCTTGCCAGGCCTGCAGACGAGATACAAGCTAAATACACCGAGAAAAAAAAAAAGAGCCTGAGCGCGTCGATGCAAGACATGGCGAGCCAGGGTCAAAAAGTTGAAGCGCTTTGTGCAACGACTGAACTTGAGACAAACAAACGCGTTGTGCGGGTTCAGCGTGCAGACATTGCCTTCTTTGCTTTAGCTCACTTCTCGTCACCAACTTTCTTTTGCGGCAGATTTTTTTACGTACTCGGGTCCCTCTCGAAAGAAAGCCCACCGAGAGAAACCTAGGTAATCAATACTTCGACACAGCAGTCTGAGTTAAAGAAGGATTTTTGTAGTAGCGTAATTTAAACAATAACAGGAATGTTGATGACCTTGCGGAGGTCCTTACGTTTCAGTTTAAAAAGCGCCATATCCGCAGCGACGTGGGCAAGGCAACACCCGACGTCATGCAACCACGGTGACTGGTAGGCAGGGACCAAATATAGTTTTCCGACAACCACTGCTTTGAGTCTATATCACATGAGCGAATGACGTTTTAGCGGAGAGCAATAATTGAGCGAATCGACGTTTTAGAGAAAAACAAAAACGCGCGTTAATCCCCCATCCCCCCCCCCCCCCCCCCCCCCCCCCCTCCCTTTCCGCCGCCGCCGCGCGCTGCGCTTACGACGCTTTGCGCCGACGGCCTGCGGCGGCTCATTGCAAAAATGTGAACCCACTTGGCCCACCCCAAAACGCCGCTTTGCGGCGTCCGACAATTCGCTAAAGTGTCGTTCGATGAAACGTAAGCATTCGCTAAAACGTCATTTGATCAAGTGAGTGCCTCCCTACGCCATGGCTGCTCCCGGCACGCTAGCGCGCTAGCGTCGATGCGTCCGCACACGCTTGCATCAGCGCTTGCATCTATCGTTGTAAAAATTTTAAAGACGCGAGACGAGACCCACGAGACGACTAGGGCGCAAAACGAGAAACGGCGAGAAAAACCATGCAAGACCGGATGGACGATTGATGCAAAGTACTTTGTGTCGGGCGGCCGCTTGCGCCAGCTAGCTCAGACATGCTCAATTACGGTATTCAGTTTAGTTTCGGTTTTGAAAGGCGACCGAAATTCGTCCTTTGGCGCAGCCTTGGCGCAGATTACCCATTTTTCGGCAAAATGTAGCAGGATGTATCAGGGTTAGCCCCTTGGCGCAGTTTGGCGCTATTGGCGCAGCAATCACATCACTGAGATAAGGACAGGAGAGTGGCACTTGTCTTGTCTACTCTCTTGTCCTTGTGTCATTTCCCCATATTACTTGTAAAGAAAATGTGGTAATTTAAAAGCGCTTACTTTCGCAGACAGGGTCGCTGCCTGACCAACTCCCACTCTGCTGGCAGACGCGAATGCTGTTGCCGATGAGGCGGTAGCCAGGGTTGCAGCGGAAACCACAGGCGGCGTTGAACACGACTCCACAGTCCGAGTTCACCAGGTAGCCATTGGTGGGTGGGCGGAGCTTCTGGCAGTGAACAACTGAAGCCGGAGATTGAGCATTGTTCTATACTTTGAGGAGTGGGTAATTATCTTTCGGTCTATCACTGAAATTCATTCACTTCTTCAATGGGAGTCTTAGGGATGAATAAGCCTATTCGAGGCATTATTTATGAAAACTTTATATGGCAGCAAATAAGAGTAACCGTGATAATGAAATAAAAGTATACTGAAATCTATTTATTTTTTCCTGAATATGGAATTTTGGCACACTTCACAATATTTTGGAAGACCTGCAAGAATCTAAACTTTTGTCTTCCTGTTTACTTTGATGATGCAGACGAGTGAGGTATAAATCCATCAAATGAAAGCTTAAATCTAAAATGGTACAAACTGCAGCAAAATATTTGAGCTTATCTTTACAATATTTGTCTTCCTATATTGAATCCTACAACAGTTCTCTTCGAAAATTTACAGCTGTTCTTTTAGATTTGCTTCTGCTTGTCAAAAAAGCTCTATCATCCCCCATGGCATTTCCAGGAAGGAGACTTTCAGCATCTCCCCCCTCCCTCCCCGAAACCCAACCCAGCCGACCATATCACATGCGTTTCAACCTCCCCCTCCACACCACAAGTCATAAGTCATGGATATCCCAACCACCTCACCCACCCACCCACCTCCCCCCCCCCCCCCCCCCCCCCCCCCCCCACCCCCTTAAAAAACTTTCTGGCTATGCCACTGATTGCACCAACCTAACAAGCCTGCCCACATAACCCAATGATCAGAAGCCCATGCCTGGATGAAATTTGCTGTGGAGCTTCTTATCCCTTTTACAACCGACGAAATCACTTTTCGTTGTTTTATGTGACAGCTGCAAAAACTGATAGGTGAAGTAGATGTACTACTTCTGCCAGTGTAATGTGAAGTAGGGCTATTAGCTTGAGTTTGCATGTATAAATGGGCGAGCTCAGTAATCAAGTGCATTGTGGTAGAAGGAAGCACAAGGGACATCCGAGCTCACCCCTGCAGCTGTGACCTTCGGCACTGTACCCCCGTCTGCAGTGGCACTGCATCACGCTTGTGCTTCCTGGTGGAGAGTTCTGGTGTGCGTGGGGACACGGCAGGCAGATTCCCTTGTCCCCACTGGAGACACTGGGCTGATAAGTTCCCTGGGGACATGCTGCACCCACAGTACTAAAATAGTAAGGTGGGCTAGTTGGTTCAACATATTAATATATAAAGCGCAAGAAACACGAGGGCATGAAGAGAGAAAACGCTTGTCTTCTTTATGTCCTCGCCTGTCTCTTGCGATTAATATGTTTAGTATGGCTAGCACATGTAATAAATCACTAACACAGTTACTAGAAGTCAGATATTACACACAGCTAAAATCGTAGGCCATGGAAACTTACGGTGGCACTCTCCACGCATGCCCGAACCGTAGTGCCCCTTGGGGCAGAGGCACGAGTACTGGCCAGAGTAGATGCCGCAGGTGCACTGGGCCCCCAAGTGGCAGCATTCAGACCCTTCCTTGCAGAGTCCGTCGCAATCCGAAGAATTGAGGTTCTGGTGCGGGCCAACGTGCATGTCTGCAAGGGATCAAACACGAATGCAAAGGGACCGTTGGCACTTGATGGGGAAAGAGGGATGAATTGGGGAGACGATTTGGGAAAGGAGGACGAACGGAGAAGGCATCAGCGCTAGCCTTTAGGTTCGTTAAGTGCGCTTTCCCGCAGTGCGGTCGTGCACTGCAGAAAAAGGTGGCTTTGTGTTGTTGGAAACTTTATTTTCGAAATGTTAGATATGGTGCGTCAGCTCTTTTCCGTTGATATAAGATGTAGACGGTGGGAACGACAGGGCGTCTTTGTTTTTAATGCCCTACCTCCAGCACGTACTCGTTGCCCTCGGCTGTGCTTTAGCTGCGCGTGCACGCACAAAGGTCACGAGACCATTATCGAAGGAGCTCGCGAATGAGGCTGGAAAACTGAAACACCTCTTTGGCGCTGTCATCCTGCCGGTGGCGTCGGGCGCGCACGCGCAGCTAGTGCATGGCGGAAGGCAACGCGAGTGAGGGCAGGAGACGCCTTGTCCTTTTCATCCTGTCAGTGCAGCAATTTCTGTCAGCGAGACAGTGACTGTAGATGGCGAACCTTCATGTAGCGCCCTCCTGGCGAGGGCCTCGAACTCCTCGAAGCTGTTGAGGATGTAGCAATGCTCGTCGGCCGGCAGCGACGCCATGTCTCGGAGTTCGCGCACGTTGCCGTTCCTCACGCCGAACGTGTACACGAGGGCGCCGGCGTCGCGGAGTTCCTGCGCCGCAGGCCGGGGGTCCCCGCCGTTCGAGTAGCCGTCAGTCACCAGGAACACCACCTTGACCGCGTCTTCGCGTGCCGACTTTAGGATGTCCTGGGAAAGAACGTTCTCTTTTGGTCAGGTGGTGAAGCTGACAATGCGGTGGGAGCTATACACACTCGCTGGACCAATCAACCACCCCCTTTCATCACCTGATCCTGCTTTTGAAAGGGACGCATGATCACGGGAACAGACGCATGTCTGGTCTCGTTGGACTATTGCTTGGATAGTCCGCGCACGTCGTGCATCGACACGAACATATTCTACATGGTGCACCTCGACAAATGTATGTTTTCTTAGCTCACAAAGAAGCTTGTATTATACATAAATCATCACTAACAAATACTTTCATTGGCGAAATCCGTCACATCTCGTCATAATGACGCGTAGACAGTCCGCACAGCCTAAAATTTCAACTTCTAAACTGTGAAGTCCGAGGTCTGATTCATTTTTGTTGTGACTCGTTTATTTTGAGGTGGCTGGAAAGGGTGGTGCACCCTTACATACGCTTTGGCTGGGCTTATATGAATATTTATTGAAAATTCAAAATAGTTTACCAACTTAGAAATTGCGCATTCCAATGTTTGCAACCTAGAACACTATTTGAAATACTAGTGTACAAAACAAATAGTGAAAGCGTTTGAAAGAATAGGGGAAGCTTTCGGCGCCTAATTCGAATTTGTTTAGACAGCGGTCGTGGAATAATTTGGAATAAAGTCCCTTGATACTTCTTTTACAAGTAACGACAACCAATACAAATGACAAAGCTCATCCCGCTGCAACAAGATGGCGGCATTCAGTTCAAACCTCCTGCCACCCCTGCTGTGCGCCGCCATTCGGCTCCTAAAACCTGCACCGTCACGCAGTCGGCGCTTTAAAGAATGTCGCTACTTGTAGGAAGCTCTTACCTACGGACTTTAATTTGGAATCGAGTTTCCGTATGGGGAGTATTCACTGGCGGCCATAGCTGTGTGTGCGACTGCTGAGCACGTGCCGGCGGCGAGCTTCCACAGTTATTTTGTAACGTGCATTCCGCACCATCAGGAATGCAGCCTATATCAATGGGAGTTCGTTCCGGGCGTGCGCTTTAAACATCGCCCTCAAATAGGGCGTCCAGTGAATAGCCCCTATAGGGGGTATTCACTGACGGCCATAGCTGTGTGCGCGGTTGCTGAACGCGTGCTGATGGCGAGCTTCCACAGTTCTTTTGCAACGTGCATCCCGCACCATCAAGTGTGTCGGTCTCTGCAGCCTTGTGAGCTCGTCCTGAGCATGCGCTCTGAACAGCACCCACAAATATGGCGTCCATTGAATACTCCCTATAGGCACCCTACGGGAGCCATTAGGGAGTTTTCGTAGATCGTTTCCGCTGTCCCGCAACGGCCCTCCGCAACCAGCTAACGCTAGCCGGAACTCTACAGTCAAGGCCATCGGCGCGCCGGCGCACTAGCGGCTGCTTGGTTGCGGAGGGCTTTGCAGAAGGGGAAACGCGGTCTACGAAAACTCCCTGGAGTTGCGCGTCTGTTCTCCACGTGCCGCCGCGCCGCTATTTGCATGGTTCCGATCACGTGAGGAAGCTGACTCGAATGCCGTGCACGAAAGTAGACGTTGCACGCGCCCCGGCGTACGTTCCCCTGCTTGTGTGTGTGTGTCTGTGCGCGCGTGCGTGTGTGTGTGTGTGTGCGTTGTAAACTGGAGATTGGGGGGGGGGGGGGGGGGGGGGGGGAGATAGAGAGAGAAAAGGAGGGCCAATTGTGTACGCGCGCAAGGCGCATTTGTCACTGTCTCCCCCTGCTTTTGAGCGCGGCGCCGCGATTCAACGAATTCAGTCACGTGAGGAGCAGTCTCAAAATGCCTTGCGGGAAAGCCTAGTAACTGTATATGCTACTCTGCATTCTGCAAGCACTCTAATTTGGAATCCACCGCTCCCCCTGTTGCTCTTACTTTGTGACGTTTGATTTTTCCACTTCCACTATCCCAAGAACCAAAGGCGCGAAAAAGAAGTTTGTGTTCCGCCAGGATTCGATACAGCCACTTCATCAAAATGTCTCAATTTCTCCTCCCAACGTTGAGTCCACACTTCCGAGGGGTGACCTTTCATACCCTAAAACAAAAACCCAAACTTGTCCTTTTTTTTTTTTTTTTACATACGGTAAAATTAATATGCCCCGATTTACTTCCGCGCCGATGGACACCGAAAGCACGTAGAGTGTTACTTACTACAGGAGTGACACTGGAAATTTCTCAACGAAAATCGCTTTTTTAGGGTCGGTTTGACATACGAACCCACCCTGGTGCCCCCAGTATTTAGGAAGGCGTATACAAAATCAGATAAATATTGAAAAGAAGTGTGTTAGTTATCAAATCAACCGGAGGCTTGTTTTTAGCCCGGTTATTTCCCCGTGCGTAAACTGATAAAGCATACGAGGCTGGCAATGCAAAAACAGGAATGCAAAGATTTTGTCGCACATCCAGCTTTGCTCCTGCTGCAGGAGTGGTAACTTCCTTAGCTCGCAGCACCGCGCTTCCAAATCTTTCCAAAACGTACTGATTTAGTGCAGGTGTGAGCCGGGGGACTTCTGGGTGTCAATCCCCCCCCCCCCCCCCTCCCCCCAATTTAGCCGACCCTCTGACGCAGCACCCATGTCCAAACAATTTTCGTGTGACGCTTTCCCGTTTCAGGAAATTGCTAGGAACCATAACAAACACATAAACACATTCTGCTACCCCCCCCCCCCCCAAAAAAAAAAAAATAAATAAATAAATAAATAAAAAAAATAATAATAATTTTGGCGAACATTTTTTTTTTTTTCATCCGTCAATTTTTTTCTACAAATATTCAGCGAAAATTGCAAATCTCGTTGTGACAAAAACGAAAAAAAAATATTCATAAAAACGGAACACTTACCTGCGCTTCGAGCACAGCACCGAGCGTGAAGGTTCCCCCACCGGCGTACTTGACATGCGCCAGCTGCTGGTTCAGCAGGAGACACTTGTGGTAGGTGTCCGTCGGCCTGGTTATGTGGTCCACCTCTCGGAGCACCCTCTTCTTGGAGCTAAAGGTCACCAGGGCCACCCGGGTCGCATCCAGCGACACCGTGAAGTCCGCCAGCAATTTCCTCACGAACCGAAGCTCGTTCAGGAAGTTCCCGGCGCCCACGGACGCCGAACTGTCCACCAGGAACACGAGTTCCGCCCTGGTGGTGTTCCTCAACCTCGCCACGTGCCGCTTCAGCACGGTTCCCAGCCGGTCCATGCGCTCGCTGTCTTCCGTAGCCTCTGGAAACGTCTTCACCGGCTGGGCATCGGCTACATCCACCGGTACCAGGAGCAGGAACAAGAAGGCGCAGAGGAGCCTCAGCGCTTCCATCGCGTTGTCGAGAGAGCTCGATGCCTTCTTGAGACTGGTGCCACAAGAGCGCGACAGTACCTTGTTGAGACTTGTGCCAGAAGTGCACGCCGATGCCTTCTTGAGACTGGTACCACTGCAGAAGAGCACGTCGGTGCCTCGTTGGGATGGGGTGCCAGAAGCGCCGACTGCAAGACTGCATCCACCACTTTCGTCGGCGGTTGCCGCCGGCAGTCTGGAGATTGTTATTCCTCGTCAGCGCAAGGCACCCCTGGTCAGTCTGGCGCCTGGCGGAGCCAGTTCTTGCGGCCCCGTGGGATGCACCCTTGGCGACAGGGCGCCGGCCGCCACCGGCGCGTCTTGACGGCAAATTGCTGACAGACGGCAGTCCCCTTCCGAGTCTTTCGTGTTTGCCCTGTTTCCTGTATGTTTTGCTTTTCTCGAGAGATATGGGTGCGCCTGTGTTTTCGATAGCGAGTTTTTGAGGCTCCCTTTCTCCTCTGTTTGTTTGTTTTGTTAGTGTTTTTGCTTGTGCGTGCTGGCTTCGCGTCGGGTGTGGGGGAGGCGAGAATCCCGGACAGACATCGGACCGACGGGGTCGAGACCGTCGAGATTGTTTATGTCGCCGACTCGCCGGCGGTGTGAAAACTGTGTCAGTGAGTCAGTCGGGAATTGGGTTTCCATGGCCTTGCGGCTCCTTCCGTCCCACGCTGCGGTACGCTTCCTTCGCTTTGGTTGACGTACTTGAGGTGCAGTTTTGGGGAGCTTTCACTGATACCGGCCCGTTAAACAGATTTTTCTTTCTTTCTTTTTTTTTTTCGTGCAAAACTATTTTTATGTGCCTGCCAGATGGTGTAATGTATATTTACCTTAGTATATAAGTTTTTGGTTTTTTTTTTTTTTTTCTCTCTTAAGTTTCACATTAGTTTAAAAAGGCCGTGAAAGTTACACTTATGCGGTTTGTGCAGGTGAGTTATACGGCCAGGAAGATATAGTTTAGGGAGCTAATCGTAACGATCAGTCATCTAATTATTGAAAATTCGTTAATTAACTTATCAATAATGAAAATAGACATATGGTTCTTAAAAACTTGCTCAGCGACATCGAAAAACACTGAATCAGTCATTTTAAGAAAGCCTTTGAGCGCGTAAGAGGCGTAGTAGTGCACTAAAGTTATCACTTGTGGAGCAGGTACAAGGCTAGCGGTTCCGGAACGCGATAATAATCTAATCATCCGCGTTCCGCAACCGCTAGCCTTATACCTGCTCCAGGAGTGGTAACCCTAGCAGCACAGATGTCCTATACACATCCACAGGACATCCCTGGAACGTCGGGACATACTGAGGATATCCGGAGGACCATGTGTGCTGCTTGGAAACTTTGGTGCGCCTCCGAGTTTCCCACGAGCTTCAAGTCGTCCTAAAAAGAGTTGATTTAGTGGTTTTCGATGACGCTCAGTAAGTTTCTAATTGGAACTTTGTCTATTTTCACTAATTAAAAAGTTAATTAACGGATTTTAATTAATTAGCTGACTTATCGCAAAGATTACCTACCCACCCATAATGTCCATATATATATATATATATTTGTTTTTTTAAAGAAGGTTCGGATTTTGTGTCGGCCGGCGCGAGGTTAACAAGGGACGCCTGCTGGACGGCAACAGCACGCCCGGGAGCCGTCACAATAATTATGGCAATCGCATAGAGGGGCCATGGGTGCAGGTATTTATGGCGACTATCGATAGTTTTGCACTACTAGACCGAACACAGTTGCCGCATCGCCACATCGCCTCCCCTTCTCCTCTCTTCGACCAAACTCCCGTCTTCGTCATCACTGAAAGCTGAACCAAAGTTGGGATGGTAAATGCTTGGGCTAGCTAATGTCCCATTTGGAAAAAAAAAAATAAAAAAAATAAAATAAAGCGAGAAAAAGAAGAGGGAGCGACGCAAACTACTAGTGTCGCAAGACTATCGACAGTAAACTGTAGACAGTACTATCGATATGTTTACGATAATCGGCTATCGATAGCTTCCCGATAGTCGATAAACAATAATTTTCCGATAGTTGACTCTCGATAGTACTATCTTTAGCTTTTCGACAGTCGACTATGGATAGTACTATCGATAGCTTTCCGACAGTCGACTATCGATAGTATTATCGATAGTTTTTCGATAGTCGACTATCGATAGTATTATCGATAGTTTTTCGATAGTATTATCGATAGTTTTTCGATAGTTAACAATCGATAGTCTTTTTACTATCTATAGTCAAATTTTTGGCGACTATCGATAGTACTATATCGATAGTTTTGCACCAGTACCAGAGACGCCAGAACGTCGCCCCAGGGACCACTGCTTTCACCGATGAGTGGCGGGGCCGTGTGCGTGGACAGTCCGCGAGACGGTAACGGGCCTATGGGGCTCAATCACCAGACAGTGAACTCCTGGCGGTCGACCTCGTAACGAAAGCCAACACGCAGCTCTCATAAAGCAATCATGGGAAAAATCGAAACTGTGCCCGCTCCGAAAGGCGAGGGGCTTCAGCGGGAGGAACGCGAGGACGCCAGCTGGCAAAATAAGGACTGCTGCAACGCTGCAGACAGACCTGAACTGGCTGTGGTGGAGGTCGATGAGCGGCCCCATCCGCTGCGAAGATCCCTTCCTCCGAGTCCTCGATTCATCTCTAAGCACTACGTAACCGATGTCTTAGAGCACTCGGGGGATGCGATGGGGCAATTGTTTCTTGACTGCAACAATAATCATTTTCTGTTGATTTCTAAAGTGATCGGACTCAGATTTTATTTATTTTATTTTTACTCTCAGAAGCACATGGGCAATAAGCGTGCGCTCTTCACATTGGGCCTATTTTGATTTCTCTCAGCATATGGAATTTGGGTTGTTTTGGGTCAATCCTGGGCAAACATTTGTTCCCCAAACTTATTTTAAAGGAATTGTTCCAATCGCCACGGTGCGCTGAGCCGAAGGTATTAAAAAATAAAAATGAACACCATTAATTATCTGTAAAAATAAGCGACCAGCGTTTAGTCAAACACCTAAGCACGTGAAAAGAAGATATCGCATTCCAAATCGTCTGCTTCCTGAAATCCCTTCTGTTTTCTTTTCCACTACAGACTTTTCGGGGCCCACCTCGTCCTTCCTTCTTTCCTCCTCTCCCTCTTTCTTTCCTCCTCCTCGAGTGTGGTGCGACGCCAGATGAACCTGAACCCGGGGGCGGTACTCCTACCGCCGCTCCACGTCCCACCCCCATTTTCTGTACCTCGGTCAATCTCCGAAAAGGCCGACCGTGGAGCGACCCAGCCGCTACCCACCCAACCAGACGGTTTTTGCCGTTTTCCTCGCTGTGCATACTGTAGCGCACTCGATTGCAACTAAACGCAAGCCCGGCTTTAAAACATTCTTCTGCACAACGAGCGCTCAAGCCAAGAAGCTACGTTTTTTCGAGCCTGAAGGGCGGCAAAATCAACGAACCATCATTGCACGATCTGACGTGGAAACACTCGATACGCATAAATCGCTCGAAAACCTGTTTGCCACTGCTTTTCTCGGACGTGCTCAAACATACTCGAACATTCTGGCGATTCCGGCCAAGCGCGCGCGACCTGCCCCACCTGACGTTCGACTTGCGAGATACCACTACGGTTTGTAATTATACTGCTGCAGTCGTACACCTACATTTTAAAACAACGTAATAAGTGTTTGACACCTTTAACCATATTTATCGGTGGTCAGGCTAAACAAAATCAAATAAAATGGAAAACAAAAATTTAACGCTGAAGTAATCTAACTAGATAAAAGATGGCAGCACCAGTTGGGGCGTGACGCTTGTGACGTCATGAAACGTCACGACGTCACGTTCGGAGTTTCTCGACGTTTCTCGAAGGTTCTTCCCCGCATATACGTACGCTAGTTGAGGGGGTCACCGATCAGAAAACGCCGATTTTCGACTGAGTGCACTGTGGATACTGCGACGTACAAAGACCCAGCATTTCCAGCAGAGGTTAACGGACAACGTAGCCCACCGAGGTAAGCTGGAACCTCCAGATTTATTTGTTTGCAAGTTGTCGTATCGTCGTCTCGCGAAGTGAATTTCCTCTGCTTTTGAACGGTCGAAACGTACGGTGTGGTAACAGATTTCAACATGCGCTATCCTCACCTTTCCTGAGTTTTATCATATGGATTTATCATCACTGCACCTCACTGAACTAAGTGACTCAAATTTGATCCCGACCCTACCTTCCGACTGCCTTTGAAAATTTGAAATAACGGTCCTCTAGAGATCCCGCCATTTCCGTCGATTTTTTTTTATCTATTTTTTTCATTTCATTGTTTTTCGATTATGTTATCCGTGATCTAATTTTTGTATGTGTTCCTGTAACTTCTGAGGATTCTCGTCCTGCCTGTATTTGAAGTTTGCAAATTACAAATCTCCGCTGCCTGTCGCAGCCAGTTTTATCGTTGCTTTTTTTTTTTTTTTTTGGAATAGAATGATTGGGTCTTTAAATGAGCAATAATAGTGTCAGGTGTTTAGATAACGATCCTTCACAAAGTACTTCATACAGCAGAGGTAGAGCTTGGCGAGTTACGATAGCGATGCTTTGCCCGTCAGTCGCCATATGTCCTTGAGATCACCCGTTTCGCGTGACTCGTCTGCCGAAGTGTAGCGACACGATATAACCGTGTGTATGTATATTCCGCTACCCCTAACGTTCTTTCTTTTTGTCGGTCACTTAGTTTTATCTAAAGGAAAGGAGTCTCGCGTTGCCCCTACCCTGCTGCCACGCGATATGTGCCGTAATCACCTCCGCGTGTCAGGAAGTTGCCGTTGTACCGAAAACTAGTTTCACGTTCCTTGATAACAGGTGACGTGGTGAATGGCTGCTTTAAGCGAATAACTTAATTGCGGCCGGCCCACACGAGGAACGTAGCTTTACGGTACATAACCCGCACTGGCATCCTCTTTTGCCTGCTGTTTCACTAAATTTTCGGTCCAGATTTCGGCTGCCTGTGTCTAACGGTTGCATCTCTTACTGCTGGGTGGCAGAGACTCCCCTGGAGTTCCAGATTGTCAGGCACTGTTCTCATTTTCGCTTTCCTTTCACCTTAGCTACCCTACAATATTTTGCGTGTTTATGAAGCCTTGGGTTTAGGTCAAGATTGTAACCATAGGCATTGCGTCGTTGCAGATCACAGACATGGGAAAGGATTACTACAAAATCCTGGGTGTTGCAAGGACTGCCAATGAGGAGGACATCAAGAAGGCCTACCGGAAGCTTGCACTCCGCTACCACCCCGACAAGAACAAGAGCCCAGAGGCGGAGGAAAAGTTCAAGGAAGTAGCCGAGGCCTATGAAGTCCTAAGCGACAAGAAGAAGCGAGACGTCTACGACAAGTTTGGTGAAGAGGGGCTCAAGGGCAACGCTGGAGGAGGCGCCAACCCTGGGGGTCCAGGAGGCCAGTCCTACACATACACCTTCCATGGTGACCCGAGGGCCACCTTTGCGCAGTTCTTCGGCACAGACAACCCCTTCGAGAACTTCTTCCAGGGGTTCGGAGGCGGCCCCGGCGGCGGCATCAACATGTTCTTCGGCGGCGAGGACGACATGGAACTTGACGGCGATCCCTTTGGCGCGCAGATGGGTGGTGGAAGGCCCGGCGTGAATCCCTTCCGGTCCCAGAGTTTCACCGCTGGGAGCCGAGGGCCCAGCGTCGGAAAGCCGCACGGGCGTCAGGACCCCGCGATAGAGCACGACCTGCATGTGACGCTCGAGGAGGTTCTCCGGGGCTGTGTCAAGAAGATGAAGATCAGCCGCAAGGTGCTGGGGCCGGATGGCCGGACACCACGGCGGGAGGAGAAGGTGCTGACGATCAACGTGAAGCCCGGTTGGAAGGCGGGCACGAAGATCACTTTCCAGCGGGAAGGGGACCAACTGCCGGGCAGCATCCCGGCAGACATCGTCTTCATCATCAGGGACAAGCCGCATCCACTGTTCAAGAGGGAAGGCGCGGATCTGCGCTACGTGGCCAAAATCTCGCTCAGAGACGTAAGTTCCCCTGCTTTGTCACTCCCTCTTTGTACTGGCACTGTTGGAGGATGAGAAGAGTGGGACAAACCCCTCCAGAAAGCTGTCTGCTTGTCATGGCTTTCTTTTCTTCACTTCCTGTCTAGTGTTCGCTCTGCTAAAGTTTGCCTGCAGCAGACTTAGTAGTAGTGACAATCTTTGTGTATCAGATAGCTGCTGCTGCTCATGGGCAGCTAGATCTCAAAATGTACACATTTGAAAAATTTAGCCATTCTGATAAAGATTGTCATCATGACATGAATGTCCAATTGCCTGCCATTCTCTATTATTTGCAGGTGAATGTTCAAATTTAGGTGCATTCCAGAGTAACTCGCCCGCGTTCATGACCTTTTAGATTTGCAAACTGTGACCATTTAGACTTTGCGTTAAAGTTAGGTGTACATGTGTAAGAATGTTGCCAGTGACAGCATTTTAATTCTGTCTGTTTCGCAGCCTATTGTGTTATGCTAACTCGTTTGTGGGATTGAGATTTCTAAATTATTCTTTTCTTGCTTCCTGTTTACAGGCTTTGTGCGGAGTGAAGGTTGACATTCCCACGTTGGCAGCCAAGAAGGTGTCTCTGTCATTTACGGAGGTGCTGACGCCCACAACAGTGAAGCGACTGCAGGGTTACGGCCTGCCCCAGCCTAAGGATCCTTCCAAGAAGGGAGATCTCATCATCAGCTTTGACATCCAGTTCCCTGACAACCTTACAGAAAGTGCCAAGGAAATTCTTAGGGACACGCTGGCACATTGAACCGAACCCTGAAGAGGTCCAAACGTGACTGCATTTTCAAGTTGGGTACAGTCTCGGACAGGCCGAGAAACGAACAAGGGTCGGCGTTTGCAGCAAGTTTGTGCAAGGTGTCGCCACACAAGAGCTCTTGGCACTATCTCCCTAAAGACTGTTGCTCAAGAGTGGCTTCTGCTTCTGTTAGATGTTGTCTAGGACTGCCTTTGTTGTGAGATCACCTGCACCTGCCGACAGTTTGGTCTGGTCCAAGGCCGTTTAGTACCAGAAGGTACTGCACTGTCTTGGGTGAGGAACAAAGTGTGCCCATCTCTGTATATAATGTACATATTAAACTGTGCTTTTAGCAAGTTGAGGCGAGATCTGAGCAGATGGAAGGAGGCTACATGAGGATCAATGTGCCTGAGTGTCCTCTGCAAAGGGATCACACCTGTTGTAAATAAATACATTTTTGCTAAGCGAGCTTCGTAAAATTTTGTGACTGTGTCCCTCATTATGCGCTACAAATTTTGTGTGATTTTCTTCAATTTTAGCGTAGAAAATAATTGTGGAAGCAGAAATTGGGCTAGCCATGTTATACATTCAAGCGAGCCTAAGCATTTCTGTTCCCCGAGCACTGGCAGCATGAGCCTGTTTGGGCCACCGACGTCAGGAAGGGAAGATGTTCTGAGTCAGCCTGTGCGCTGGGTACGCAAATAGATCCTCCCAAGTGCTCTGCCAAAGCTCGCAGGCACCTATTGGGATGGCGCGCACGCGGCAATACCGTACGGAGTGTCCGGTAGCTGTGGGACAACTGCCTGTTGAATGCTATCTAGCAAACGCCGACCCAGGTGGCGTCGGGCCCTGGTTGCTGCTTTTTGTGTGGTCCATCGCGTCCGCACGTCAGCGGGACCCCATTGCGGTGTGTGTTGCAACCGCGGTTTCTGGGTGACTGCTGCCCGAGTTCCCGCTTGGTGTAAGCGTAAGTCGTCTGTCAGGCACCGAAGCCCGCTGGCAAGCCGACAGCAGTGAAGCGAGGGATGGGTCAAAAAAGACCGAGACGTCCGAAGCTGCTATTCGCAGCTTTTGGGCCAAGGGTTCCCCACTCCCCCGCGGCCCTCTTCTTTTGGAAACAACGCGGTTCTGGGTTATCACCCGCCTGGTCTCGGCGACCTTTCAGGTTTCATCGCTCCAAATTGCTCAGCGGGCATTGATATTTATTTATTTATTTATTTATTTTTTTTTTTTTTTACGAGTGACAAAGGCTATGTTTATAAACTCCTAAATGACACTTCACCTTCACCCCCCCAGCATAAACTTGTATTTACGATTTCGCAGAATTCGAGATATATGTGAACCCTAGCTGCTCAAAAAAGTTCTCTTTTTTACACGGGTGACAAAGGTTCGGTTTATAAACGACTAAATGACCCCTACCCCACACGTCCTGACGGCAAGGCAGCGTTGTCTGCCTCAAGGAGACCATGACTCGTTCATGACCACCTTAATTGTTATTCGAAGAGGTTTTCAATTTATTTGGCGAGGGTGTCCCAAAGTAGCCGAAGTTCAAGGTTTAAGCAGTATCTGAAACACAAAAATAGATGACATCGGCAGCCATAAACCATCGGCGTTCATCACACCCACCCACCTTCCATTACCTTCTCGCGTGACGTGCGCTAGAGAGCGTCAATCTTCATTTTCTTTTTTTTGACGTTTTTGCCAGACTTGCTGGGGCCTGAATTTCGTGCGTCTCTCTTCTGCAACCGCGGGAAAGCCTACGATGTTATTTTGGGGCCAACACCGAGCCGGCGATTGCAGCTCCGCTTCCTTGGCAGAAAATAGGCTGGCGTGCGGGTTATTTAGCTTCTGAATCACGGCGTGGAACGGTACAATATATACTCTTCTGCCCGGACTGGGACACAATTACACAGGAATTAGCAATAAATAGTAGATCACTTTTTTTTTTTTTAGACTTTGCCTTCTGTCATTTTGTTCCTCTCTCTCACGATAATCTGTTTTCCACCCATCTCGGGTGGTTTAAAATGGTAAATCTACACCAGTTAGCCTACGCCATCACAGTTTCAGCACAAATAGTATTTCACAATCAAGTAAACGCCTAACAAAAGTACTTCGAAGTTCGCCCCAGGATGGTGGCCGGAGTTTTGCGGTGGCATGGTGGAATTCCCCATGTATAATTAATTGATGCAGCTTGCGCGGTCCAAATTTGTAACGCATCGACAATTATAAGCAAGAGTATTGGAAACTAAATAGCACTACAGAATGCATAACTGATATTCGAAAATTAGTTGCGAGGCTCGTGGAAGCTGAGCTGAATACAAGATCGCGACCTTCAAATGACCTGTAAAAAAACGTATTTTCTCGTGTTTTTTTTTAACTCCTACCAGGATTGCGTAACGCCACCATTTTTTTTTTTTTTTTAAGGTTTTATAGACCAACGTCTTATCAGAGCGGGCACTTGATTTGAATGCGTTACAAACTTAGCTTCATTCCAAATGCGCGCCTCGGAAATTTTCCCGGAAGCCGTGCCGCCTACACAGGCGTGGTGCGATGTACCCACGAATGCGACTGCCCTTGCGGTTACAGCACTCGCTCCCACTCGTGACCCCATCGAACCTTTTCTTTCATTTGTCATCCTCTGCTTCACCTTTCGTGGGTCGCCCACGGCCGTCTATTTTTAATTGCCACGTAGGAGAAATGTCACATCCCATGTAGTCAAGGCCGCAATGAAGACGCAAGAGGCGTCAAGGAAACTAGCTTCGTTTTTCCTTGTTGCCATTCAGTTAATTCTTTAATTTTCGTACCCATAATAGTGAACTGCAGCCAACAAACAAACTGCTAACACCTTAAAAAGAAAAAAAAAAAATCTGTTTAGGGTGTTTTACGGTATAGTCCAACTACTGCCACATTGCTCGGTGCTGAGAATTCATTTGTTTTTATTGAAAAGACATGCTACATTTGGTAACTGTTTTATAGAAATTTTGTTTCTACCTCTAGTGTTCTGATAATTCTTTATATATACTGTATATGATGAAATACAAATTATGTAACAAGTGAAGAGTACTGCCTCGTACATTTTAAGGCGACTGCTATCTGTGCGCACCTAAAGGCATACATTTTATAGAGATGTTTGGCACCCTCACCACGCAGATGTTGTGCTGCCATAGCCGGGCTAGACAGTGGCATACCTTGTGGCCTTTGCTTTCAATTTAGAAGCAAAGGGAGTTTTTCTACCGTGTGGGGGCGTAACAATGCTACTCCTCAGACTACCGACTGAATCACCTTGAACAACTGCTTCGACCTCCGTGATTGAAACTGTGTGCCAATGTACTCATATAAATCAACTGTAGTGCACCGATTAAAATACTTTTGGCTTACGATATGTAGATGCTTGTTTGTGAAAACTGTTTTTGAGAGGACAAAGAAGTTTACTGCTTAAGTCCCTGCAGGCGGGCGGCCTAAGGGTTGTAGCTCTAACTACTCTGGAAATTCATTCAATTCAACCCAGAGGCCAACAGTGTGAAATTAGGCTTGTCTTGCTAGAAAGCTGTAGGAGGGGGCGAGAGCTGCGGTGGCAAAAAGAAACTAGCCCGCCTGTCCAGGTCGTAAGAAAACGCGCTTTTTCATTCAAGCCCGGCTGTGGTTCTACAATAGGCCACCTTGTTTTTCTACCCTTGCTCACCCATTCCCCATTATGTGCAATGCTCCTCAGTTCAGCTGCGTTCACCATGACATGATGCCCATCTGTATGCCGCAGGCTCATGGCAATGCACTCTGAACCAGAAAAATAAAGAACAAAAATTACTTTATTCCTACAGGTTCTTTGAGGGGTCAACATCTTCATGGCAGGTAGCGTTCCCCAGGAGTAGCCCTGCAAAGTTTACTTAAATTGGTCAGTGGCACATAATCATGACACAAAGTCACCTTGAACTGTAAGTTATGTCTATGCTGTAGAGGAATAGCCAGGCAAGCATGGTACAAATGCTGACCTAGAGTCTTTAACATGCGTAGTGCAATGGGGAATACATCAATGTACGCTGGTGCCAGGGTTGGGCAGTACCGCAATATAAATGTATCGCAATAGTATTTTAGAAATGAATTTTGTATTTATATTTCTGTATCGCAATACAATTTTTGAACTATTTTGTGTTTCAGTATTGAAATACATTTTCGGGTGTTTTTAAAGTTGGGGTAGCTACTACTCATACTAGTACTACTACTAATACTACTAGTGCTCCAATGCTGTCAAAGCTATTTTCTACAAGCATGGCCAAATCAGACACAAGACGAAGCCACATAAGCTCTCGCTGCAGTGCAGGGCTGTAGGCACTGCAAAAGCTACGCTATCCTTGACAACATAGCCCAAGAAAGCCTATTTTTCAGTTTCGTCAACGTCATGCATTGTTTGGTTCTGCCAGAAATTAAATAGTCATAACAGGACGGCCCATATTCTGTCTAATGATCCTTAATCTTAGCCGAAGCAAAGCAATCTTCAGATACCAGTTACTTGGCGCTCACTTAATCTGTGTGACGTTTTGGCTTGCAAGGTTTCACTGTGCCCACTACCGTGATCCACAATTGACAGCCCTCATCCTCTGGCTGAAGGAGTATGTTGGGAGTGTAGTCTCACCCCTTGCTCTGGTCTCCGATACGCTTGAGCTGGCTGGTGCTGTCAGCAATGAGCTTGGGCGGAGCAACCTCCCTACGGCCGTCCCGTGCAAAGTAGTAGTTGTCCGACAACTTGTGTGCCGGTCCGGGCGGCAGGCTCGGAGGTGGGGGGGACCTTTATGGGATCGGTTGAGAGAGTTTAGGCTGGGTCAAAACGCCTGCCGAAGCTACGGCATCCGCTACAAGTACAGAAATAACACATTGCGACAAGACAAACCATCCTGTTTTCATGGATTTCTTTCATAATAATAACAATAGCTTTTATCCTCACATTCCCCTAAGCTGATGCTCGCCAGACCAATTAGCCGCCTCCCTTCCATCACATGACTGCTCTCTGAGAACGTGATCGCGTGGTGGGGATAACCTTTACGCCGAGCCACATGCGGGCTAGCAGGTACACATCTGTTGCATAAACCAACACAACTAGGTCAATCAAATAAAAACATAAAAAAACCAAGTATCGACATTGTCTGAGAAAAGGTGATAACTCCCCCCCCCCCCCCCCCCCCCCCCCCTTCCCCCTTCCCCATTCCCCCTTACCCCCGATAACTGACTGTTTCGCTGTGTCTTATCAAACTCTAACTGCTCACTGCGTAATCAATTTCTTAAATGTACCTCCGAGATTTCTCTTACAGCTTTTCTTTATTGTTTCTATTGGGTTACTTGTTTTATTTGAGCGAATGGTACCAGCTATCTTGAGAAAATTGCGATCGCCGTACCTAGTCGTCACTTGGTCGGGAAACCTCAGGTTGTTCTTCCATTGCCTCTGTAAAAAGAAATAATAGAAAAATAATCCAATGCAATCATTTCTGGTAAACGTGGTTGAATATCTTGTTGGGATAAAGTGTTTGGATGCCACGGAATGAACCGAAAGACGTTCACCATTGCCCCATCGCATAGAAAACTCTACGCTACACTCACGCGTAATACAAATAAGCACAGGTCAGCAATGAGCCGAAGTATCAAATGAAATAGCTCACGCCAAGCAAGAATTCCCGGACAAGACGCAACGCCGGAGAAATATCTCTGTTTAGAGACATCACTACGTTCGTTATTTTCGTCCCTTATTTGACCCTTTCTTGGATTGCTTTGATTCTTGAAGACCGGAACTGGATACAATTGGCTTATTACGTATCTTATGTTATAATAAAAACATATGTTGCATTTGTTCTATCTATTTAATTTTTTTAATTAAAACTAATAATAATATAAAATTTATTTGATATACTATACTTTACACATAATTAAAACAATTTATGTAATCTAAAGTAAAATATTCAATAAGTTGCTAGTGAAACTCATAGAGCCAGTATTTTAATACTTCTTCGAATCAGAAGGTGTTTAGCGCGTTTAGCGGGACCACTGAGCGGGACTTAACGCTCACGCCTTTATTTTAGTAAAACAAACAAAAATAGAACACTTTGACTTTTTAATGTTTTAAAAATTTAGCATAAATTGCTTTTTAATTTAAACCAAACTAAATGTAAAGAAATTGTTAAATATAGAGGGACCTCTAGTGGTAGAAGCCGTCAAAGAATTGTCTGCGTTTGAGACTATCTTTCCTTTGCTTACTAGCCGCCGCGATGGAGAAAGTCAAATTGGCACGTGTAAGTACGAATACGGTCTCTTTCGCGATAAGTCATCATAATGAACCATTGACGTAGAGTTTGACATTAGTATAACCTTAGGGGACCTGCATTGGTTACTTTATTAATTTATTAAGTGGTTAGTTTGTCGGATCTTTGCAAGTTTGCTGTTAGGCTTAGCTGCCCTTCTTCCAAAGCATGTTCAGCTTGCGGGTAGGCCAGCTACGGCCGACCATGCGCTAAAGTGTTTTCGATGAAAAGTCGGCGTTCGCTAGAAGTCGTTCGATGAACCGAGTGCCACCCATAACTTTCTGCGTTTTGCTGATATTTCACAGGTCACGAAGGTCCTCGGCCGTACTGGTTCCCAGGGACAGTGTACACAGGTAAGAGAAACGCGCAAGCATGTTTTGCGGCTCTGAACGGTGATGCCTTTTTATGCTTATATTTTTGTTTCTTGTGCCTAAGGTTCGAGTTGAGTTCTTGGACGAGACGAACCGTTCGATCATCCGGAACGTGAAGGGACCAGTCCGCGAAGGTGACATCCTCACCCTGCTCGAGTCCGAGAGGGAAGCCAGAAGATTAAGATGATGTAAGTGTCGTGCGGCTGGCCACGAGAGCTGCTGGGTATCTGATGGAAAGTATTTCACTTTGGAGCTTCACCATAAATGTCGTCGTGGGCTTTTAGGTCAGCTGGAAACCTTTGAAGTTATATCATGTTGGTTTTTGCTGCTGTTGTTCTGCTGTAGTTTCCCCAAGAGTTCAAATTTGGTGAAATCGAATCTCCCCGATAAGAAAACAAGGCAATGTCTAATCTTCTGGCAGCCGGGAAAGTAATTTCCCTATATTCTACCGGAATTCGCCTCCCATTGGCTGTCTGAAATCATGTGACAACTCTTAGTAGAATACTGAGTTGCTCATTTGCCCAGCATTTCGTGGAAACTCGTTTCATGAACAACTTTTCATGCATACAAGTTGCATGGAGACACGTTTCGTTGACACTAACGTTTCATTGACACTCGTACGAATTGCAAGCACTAGGGACATTTTGTCTCACAAGTATCAGTGGGGCGCGTGTTAACTTACCCAGCCCGCCCGTTCACGCCGCTTCGCGACAATGGTTTGCGTCGGCTCATTACAAAATGCTAACCCACTTGTACGACGCTTTGTGGCGATGATCTGGGGTGGCTCATCACAGAAAAAAAGCTAATCTGAGCTTTCTATGGGACAATGGGAGGTGACTGTCTGCAGAATTTTTGGCAGTTATTATCTTGCCTGCCGGGAGAATAGACACCACCAAAAGTTAAGTTGGTTTCTCCACTGTCACTTCAAGAATTTTGGGATTTGCTGCTGAGGGTACTCGTGTGCGAGCTTGAACTTCCGATAATTCCCGCCTTTTCTGACAGATGCTCTGTGCAGGTTTGTCACTCACGGTTCCTTTAGTATCTTCCTATAGACATTTTCCACAGGGGCGCCGCCATCTTGAATTGTCGTCACTTCCAGTATGGGCGACGACAAAATAATAAAACGTTTCAACCTGTAACTAGCAAAAAAATAGAGGGGAGCCAAAACGAAAATGGGTGACGGTTACGCTGTTCTCCTAAATGCATTCTATTGGCGTGGCGACGGCGAAACAATGTTTTCGCCCATACTGGAAGTGACGACAATTCAAGATGGCGGCGCCCCTGTGGAAAAGGTCTATAGTCGCTGACAAACGGAACGGCAGGGTGGGGCTTCAGTTGTCCTACTTCTGGTGCAAGTAAACTATCTTAGCTCCGGTGTCTGATGCATTTTGAGCGTTGAACCCTACCTGGAACACGCCCAGCCCGCTTTCGGCCAATGGTGCCTCCTCGTTTGTCTCCTATACTTCCCAACAATGGCCAAACTCTCTACATATACGGCTCTGGTTGCATGCAGGGCAGGCGAAGAGAGAAGAGACAAGATCTAGAAAGGTGGGACTGGAGAGGAGGGCGAGAGGAGAAAGGGAGAGCACTAGGAACGTTGGAGAGGTGAAGTTTCTCTCCTTTGCACCCTTCCTAATGCTTGCCCTTTCTCCCCTTGCCTGACATTGCCTTTACCTGAACTGCATGCAACTAGTGACATGGAGTATAGCGATTGCCGCACCACTCTGCACTTCCGGGTCGTCTGCTAGCGAAAGACAGTTCTAGAAACCGCGAAACTGTTCGCCAGTGACAAAAAGCATATTTCGCTAGCACTGTGTGCCAGCAAAAATAACTTGTATAAGTATTTTTAGGGTCATCTTTTTGATTAAGAAGTTTTAGTGGATTATTCCCATGACTTCGATAGCAATACCCAACACCTCGCTGACGCTTTTAAGCATTAACATATTGTTATCAGAGGTCTCAAAACAATTAACCAAGACTGCCTATTATTTACTTCGCACAAGCTTTGGGAGAGCAAAGGACCACCGATGCGCACAGGCAAGAAGTTTGTGCGGTGCAAGCGTGGGTGATGCCCTTCATCATGGAAAACAGCGCAAAAGAAAACCAAAAACAAGGACGTAGAAGAATCTTACGGGACGTCCTCATTGTTTTTTTTGTTTTTTTTTTCGTGCTTTTTTTCCATGATGAATTCTCACCAACTTGCCCAAATATCTATTCTTCTAAACCATGCCCTTTGCTCTTTGGTGCTGTAAAAGCAACATGACACAACATAAAGTTCAGTTTTGCTTTTGGTGATGCGATAACAAGTCTACTACTTTGCAGCTCGAACGCATCTGTCTTTCAATAATCGGGTGAGACACGTCAGAATGTCTAGAGTCCTGATGGACAAACGGCGACGCATAGTTAATCTGCCTGCAAGAGTATTCGCAGAAGGATATTGCAGATATGACAGGGCGGCCATTACGACTGGGTTACTTATATAGCTCATAGCCAGAGTCAAAACTGCTTCTATAGACCTTTCTGAAAAATCCCAGGAGGCCTCTCGGTGACCCCTTCTCACCCTGCACCGTGTTGGATTGGGATAGTCTGGTGTATGCTTCGGGCCACTTCATATTAAAATAAGAGTCAAAATGCAAGTAAGCTGGTGAACAATCATAATTAAAGGGGCGGTGCAACAATTTGCAGACTTTGGCTAATTAATTGCGGGAATTGATCCCGGCCACATATAAAACGAAGGACCGAAAACTATTCTTTCCTGTTTGCCCTAGTTTTTATTAAAAAAAATAAAAGAAATGGGTATCTCTGGCACCCCTCAACTCAACATTGAAGCGGCACCAGCTTCGCCTGTGACGTCATTCGGAGTGGCGTTGGTTTCCGGTTGGGTTCTTCTGGCTTCCGTTTCCCCAGCGCTCGCCGCTCTCCCGCCGATTCCCGACCAACATGGCGGCATGGGCGGACGGCCTGAGCGACGTCGAGCGCAAGATGCTTGCGACGCAGCGGGAAGTTGAAGTTGAGGTCGAGACACCAGGAACAATAACGATACCACAATACTACGGACCACGACCAACACACTCCGTCGAGCGAGGGAAAGACAAAACGTCCGGGTTGCTCGTGTAGGCGCCTCGGACGGATGACGGCGACGGCAGGTTTTGTTGACTTGCGGTAGATGGCGCCACAAATAATTCATACCCTTTTAGCGACAATATTAGCAGGCGTGGAACTCATGAAATGTACTTGGGAGCAGCCACGGGAGCAGCTGAAACAGCTGTTTTGGAGCAGGTTGGGAGCAGCTAAAACTACATTCTGGAGCAGGCTAGGAGCAGCTCAGATCAGTTTGCATTGCACTTCAGCTTGTATCTTATACAAACACGAACGCAACTTCAATTGTGCTTAGCAGCAGAGATGAACATGAGCGGTTAGGGACCTAGGTAGAGGGGATAACAGTGTGATATATGCGAAAACTTGAATCTTTGTGAGCCTTAATGAGAATCAAACAGCAAGTACTCTATGTTTCTGAAGATAGCGTCCTTGATATTTTCTGAGTGGCCTTCAGACGCTCAAGATGCAAACCAGCTCTGCTTATCGCACAACCCACACGTGCTCGACATAGTAATTATATGTGCGAACCACGTGACGTGCGTAAACAACGGACGTGCAGTTGCACGGAGGAACAGGGCAACAAATTTCGAGTTCATCCTATTGTGCAACTCGATATCGAAGCAGAAGACTACGATTAACGAAGTTATCAAATTTGAAGCGATAGGCAGGAGCAAGGTTAAAGGGTAACTGCAAAGAAAAAAAAGTTTTTTTTTAAACAGCCTAATTGGGACAAGCATGTCACAAAACAAATGTTCCGCGAAAAAAAAATCTTTTTTTTATCAATATTTACGGCACAGGACGTAATTTAGTAGAGTCAGAATTTCTCCACATTTGAAACTCCCGCTCTTTCGACCCCCGCGGAAGAGGAGTACGCCCCGCCCCTCACTCTCCTTGCGTTGCGGAGTTGAACGACGCAGCGTCTCGACTTCCGGCAAGATCTGGCAACCACGCCAGGCCGTGGTATTTTTTTGGTTTGACGCGGTTTGCGAGCACATGTAGCGAAGACGTGACCGGAGAAGTGCCCCTGTGATGTTCCCGGAAGATGGAAAGTATCGTTCGTAATCGTCGTGCGCGCTTTGAAAGCGAAGGGAGCCACAGAATCCACGAGTGCGCAACCACGAGCCAAGGTTCACGACAGCGCTGCGTTGGTTTCGGCGATCTCGTTCCGTTTGGTGCAACACGGCGATGCGACAGAGCTGAAACGTTTGTGGTTTGTGTAATGCGGTGCTAACAGGGACCGCAAATTGGTTGTTGTGGGGTTGACGTTCAACCAGTTAAGTCCCGTCGTCGTCAGCTGATCCAGTCAAACTGGTCCGGGAGGACGCTGGGAGCGTTCTTAAAAGTAAATCTGCCTCGTTCTGTTTCAAAATGTGGAAGTTTCCCGACGCATTCCGTGAGTAAAAAGCTGCGGCCGTTTTCAAAAAAATTACTACGTTTTAATTGAACTATGAACTCCGCATTGTTGTCCTAAATCTGCCGTTTTTATGCTTCGTGTTGGACTGCGTTTGCACAGCGACGTGTTGCATCGTGCGGTGTGAATAAATTTGGGCACGATTTCGCACCTGCCTACGGATGCATGAACTGAGACCATTTTTATGTAGTGAACATAGTGCTTTATTATTTTCTGTCTAGTCGCGGACGTTAGGTGCACACGGGGCGAATCTCGACGGCCTCCAGAGCGATATGACGAGAACGTAACTGGACACGTTTGTCGCTACGCGAACGCCCGATTGCCTCCACCCAAATAGCATTCCTTTCGGGGCGACATGGCTGCTGGAGGGCTCCCTGTCGGGATCACGCATCTGACATCTCCGAAAAGTCAGCATTTGCACGCACAAACAAGCAAAAAAAAAAAAAAAAAAAAGCACGCTAAGCAAGCAAAGAGGAAAACGAAAGAACCGCGCTATGAAAGCCAAAACGCCGCGTCGCTTCAAGTCTCACTCAAGCACCTGGGTCAGCACGAAACGACGAAACACTGATCACTTCGGCGAAACGATTAGTCGAGGTAGGCGAGACAGGCGGGAGCAGTCTTCGGCGGCCATGAAAGAATGGCGAAGCTTTTGTTTGTATGAATCCAAACGGAAGTGCCCGTCTTGTAAACCTTTTGTAAAGAATAATAACTCTCATCACATGGGTTATTCTTTAAACGTAAAAATATGCCGCTCAAAAGGAAATTGCAACGAATAACAAAGGTTTAACAACCAAGATCTAAGCTGTCAATCAAACTCTTAGCCAATGAGATCCTTTTGGGATTGACGTCACATAATCACAACTTTGTGGCGCGCGATTTAAAACGGTCGAAATAGCCGCAAACTAAAATGAGTCTCACGCAATAAATATTGCTGTAAAAAATGTTTTTTCTCGCGGAAAAATTGTTTTTTGACATGCTTGTCCCAATTAGGCTATTTAAAAAAAAACTTTTTTTTCTTTGCAGTTACCCTTTAAAGTACGCCGAGCAGATAAGTAGAGTTGCTGACCGGCAAGGTTTCGGATCGGACCGCGTTTCAGTTCTATCAAATCACGATTTATCTTGGAAGAATGCGGTTCCAACTCCTAACGATGAAGCACTAAAAGGAATATTTTGCTCATTTGCTTTCGACTGGATGACGTCCGGATCCCGGGCCGCAGAGCCTCATGCAATCTGACGCTTAACGACTCGACCTCACCTCGGCCTACTTGCCCTACCGCTTATGGTTGAAGAGTAACAATCCAGTCGCAGGTGGTGTAGCGCTTAGAATCCGAGTTTTTTCGCGCGCTTCCGACTCGGGATAGACAAGGGGAATAAACAGAACAACGGATTGCAAGGCCGACCAGGCTAAACGCCCTCATTGTTGACAATCGAGTCGATAAAAACCGAAACCAAGACAAAATAAAACTTTTTTTTTGGGCGGACGTTTTGCGATTTGGCGCATAATGGCGCGAGGTATTGGCTTTGGCGCAGTTTCTGCAACATGGCGCAGGATGGCGCAGACACATCCGTCTGGCGCAAAATGGCGCAAATGGCGCAGCCGTTCCACCCCTGTATTAGGCTTTTGAAGCGTTTCTGTATGCCTAGACAAGATTTTTTAAACTTAACCTTAAATCAAGCTTACAATTGCCTAACGCTATCACTTACAAAAACCACTCCGAATGATGTCACACTACAGGTTCCATTTGCGGCCACCATGTGGCCGCAGGTTGGGAAAAAAAGTGTTTTTTATTTTACGATTACGCAGCGAAATAGAGGTATTTTGGGGGTATGGTGGCACTTTTTCTCTTACTTATGCCGAAGTAAACAATATCAAAAATACAAGCTGCACATTCGTTCAGTGTTAAAATCATTGCATCGCCCCTTTAAAAGCCTTGAGACAAGAAAACGAATAGGACATCAAGATGCGAACATGAACAATAGGACATAGAGGTGCGGCAACCACTTGCGAGATGGCCTTTGTGTACGAGATGGGATGGGTACTTGTGGGTTCTCGTACGTGGATCAAACTGGCCGCTGCATGAATAACCGAATATTGGAGCACAAAAAAAGCGTTAATTCTGCCAGTTCTGAAATTGTAAAACACCCGAGTGAATGTGGAAATTGTTACCCCCAGATTGGAAGCAGACGACTGTGCTTGGCAAAGAAAAAGATATTTAAAGGGGTCATGAAACGCTTTTCCAACTTTTTTCCTGTTTAGCTTTCCTCCTCAACTCATAAATCGCGCATTCCACCAAACAGTTCAAGAAGACGAAAAGAAGGGAGGCTCCTCTCGCTCGGAATCTGGATTGTGTACCCGGACAGAGCCATTGTCCCCCTAGAAGATTAGCCCGTCGCTGAAAATTCAGACAACAGTTGGTTTCCCAACCCGTTTACCCCGAAGCTGACATTGCTGTGGAAGCTACATGCTCGTTGAGCCAGCCACATTTGCCACGTGAGTGTGGCAAATGTGGCTGCAGAGAATGAGGTCAGGTGATGAAGGGGAGGCGGCTGATTGGTCCAGCAACCGCGTAGCTTCCACCACAATGTCAGCTTAGGGGTGAAGGGAATTAGTGAGGTCCGATCTCGTGTGACGTCAGTTTGGACCCGATGACGCGTTTTTGGGACCTCGGATGTATCACAGTGAAAAGGCAGAGAGCTTACGAAGGGGAGGAGGTACAAAATAGTCCGCTGTGTTTTTAAATTTTCGCACTGAAAGCCACGCTTCTGACTTTCTACCTTTTTTCTTTTGGCCCACTGAACGATGTGCTATTAGTAAAATCCCAATCTAAAATTATTTATCCCAACCCAAGAATCGTTTCATGGGCCCTTTAAGAGGATGATTAAGGAGACAATTAATACCACGAGTGCTGAAAATTGTATTAGCATGCCCTCTTTCACTTTGGATAAGTACACTAAAGCGTTTGTCTGTTTAGTCCCAAGCAGGTTGCAAATCGTGTATTTTCTGAAGGTTTTTCTCTTGCAAGCATTTGACATTTGAGCTATTTGAGTACCTTTAGACCTGTGTTCGATGTTCATGGTATCTCGGTGTTCTGTGTGTGCCTGCCAATTTTATTGTTTCACTGGAAGACAAAAGGAAGACGACTTTCGGTGCTCGAGGCTTCCTTAGTGTAGTGAGTGTGCCTGCTGTTGAATGTGTATAATTTAGGTGGAAGATGACAAAGAAGACTTGTAGAAGTAAAGGACATTGTGTGCTGTGCTGGTTCTGAGACGGTGGTGTGTGTCCTATTTGTTTCCTAGTCTCGAGGTTTTTAATTTCTAATTACCACTTTGTATGTCATAGAAGCAATGCGATCCCCTCTCTGCAAGTTGAGAACAGTGTCTTTTTCTGGACTGGTCAATTGGCAAGCATGCTAAATCTTTTCATAGCCATAGGTCTAACTAGAACATGCGAAGGAATGATTGTCCACAATATGAAAGCGTGGCTCATACGAATGGGAAATTTTTTTTACAACGATCGGACTCTTCACGGAAGGATCCGTTTTGTTTTGTGGAAGCTCTCCCATTGTGGGACAGAAAAGTTGCCTTAAAATTAAATACGTCGACTTCTGTGCTGTGGCTTGCTTGTGCCGAGGTGTAACTCCATATTCGATTGCTCTTTGCAGATTGCTACGCTGTACTGCGGATTGGACTGCTTGAATAATGGCCTGCAGCCAATAAACAAGTTTCAGCTGTATTCTTTGATTGTGTCTCGTGAATGGAACAGTGTGATCAGGCAGTAATTTGTAGACATTTATTGAACTTGAGAAGAAAGAAAAAATCTGTACAATACACCACCTCTCAACCCAAAGACAAAAACATTTCGCAAGGTGTATACACTTTGTGTAAAACTCTACCATAGTGTCCCCATTTTACCACTTATTCAACAAAACTATGGATGTTCCTGCATCATAAATAATTAGTAAGCACAATACCCCTAAAATATCACTTGTTAGAACATTGCTCTTGGACTAGAACAGAAATTAAATACCTGCGCGACAACAGCCCGGAAAAAATAGAAAATAGTTGCATTGCCACCTCAGCTGCGTCTCATTTCAACCAAGTACCTTTGAAGCATCTCGTCATGTACATTGCTACAATTATGGCACTACAACTTGATCATGTATGCTACACCTCACTGGTTATCGTTTTGTTGATGTAAGCTTCCCATACTGCAAGAAATGATAATGTATTGGAATGTGTGGAACTTTAATTTTGGGAAAGCCTACGGCAAGCTAGGCTCGAATGAAATGCACCAATCTGCCTCGTCCCTTTTGGGGACAAATTCTATAGTCCAGGGGTGGCCAAGCTGCGGCTCGCGAGCCGCATGCTAAAATGTGGCTCGCGGCTCCATCCCCCAACTCCCCACCTCCCTCCAGGCCCCACGAACACTTCCCCAAAAGGGAAATGGAGCGCGTTTTAAATCGAAAGACAGGTTGCGATCTGGTAGTCTTGTGCTACTCCAATGTTACGTACAGTTGGACTGCTTTTGACTTGGATATATTGAAAGTAGTACGAATTTCGTTTGTTGCTCTAAACAAAACATTCCCCCCCCCCCCCCCCCCCTTCCCGACTCTGAAGTTTCGTGGCTCTGTTTGCGGCTCTTACGCCAGGTCAGCCTAGCCACCCCTGCTATAGTCTTTGAACAAGGCCAAGATATGAGCTGTGCCTTAGTATGTGGCACCTCATTGTAGAAACGACCAGCATACAAGCAGTAAGTGGCCTCAAAGCTGATACAACGGAATTCACATCCAGCTATTGGCAAGTACATCGAAGCAAGGAATGCTCGGCTTAGTGGTGCCCGAATAATGAAAAATTCCGGTTCCCTAATGGCCGGTGGTAACTAAACACTGCTAAGCCCGATCCCTTGTGCCCTTTCCACATTGGGGAACAACTGCAAAATAAGGCAGTACTCTGGGTGATATAGTAATTAATGCTGTAACCCCCAAAGAAAAGAGATGCATGAGAAATGTGGGGCATCAAAAGTGGCGGCAATGCACAACGGATTGCGATAATGGACGTGGCAAAAAAGTTGTTACAAAGTCTGAAAACAATCTCGCATCCAAAACACCTTTCTTGCCGCCCAGCAGCAACTGAAAAGAACAATGCTAAAAAAAATGTGCAAGCACATGACACAAACGTTTAACAAAGTGGCCCTGCTGAAGCATGCACAGTTTGTTGTGCCTTGCCTTCTATTACCTGTTACTCCTCCATAACGTGCGCAGTTGCAATACTGGAACGTTCCTGCTCGGTTGCTGTCTCCAACTGAGGTATTTTCGAGCCATCGTTACCATGACTGCTGTACTTCGAGCTGCGAGCTACTGCAAAAGCTTGTGTAGCTTGCCCTCAAACTCTCGTAAAACTATAAACAAAATTGGTAACTGGGACATTCACACCTGTTCCGTAACGCGGCATTTGCACAATATCGGCGGCAAGTATTTCATTTGGAAAATTCGAAAACAAGTAATGTGCTTCACAAACAGTTGAAACCAGAGTTAATAAGACAAGTTGTTCACGTTGTGAATGGAGTCTTCTGTATTGGTTTATAACAAGCTCACTGCCTTTAGTGGTGCATTTATTATGTGTACAACTCAAGGCTGTGCAATGTTGAATCACCATTAAGAGCAGCAAGCTTATATTTGGGGTAGGAAAACTGAGGCTACTTCCCTCGCCACATCAAATCTTGCTGAATGTAAAAGGTGCAATTAAGAGCACCCCCATTTACATGGAATAAATAGGACCAAATTGCCAGAAGGTGGCAAAATGCCTCCGGCTTCAGGCTGCTTTGAAATTCTGCAATTTCGGACTAGTGTAGACCTTTTGCTAAACGAATAAAACGCCAAGAAGTGGGCAGGGTTTGTAGATTCGTCGCACATGCTCATCTGTTCGGTAGGCAGGATTCGGAGCACAAAATATAATTGAAATAAGGCAATGACAAATGCCCATCCAAAGTGCCAGTTCTAAATTATTGCTTTAAAAAATCATTGCCGCAGATGCCAGCATGCGTAGCCAGGCACACTCTTCTGCGTTCCGATCGTGTAGCACAAGGTCTATCGCTGAAGGATGAACATTAAGCATAGGAGACCAACCGACAATATTGGTCGGTCTCCTACGCTCAACATTTTTGCATTGGGAAGCTTTACACCAATGAGAAGCCCGTACGGTTAACAGCAATGCAAGCGGAGAGCCAAGGACTCTCCGCTCGCATTGCCACTATGGCGTTGTTACCGCTTCGGCCCAATTACCATTGTACAAGCTCGTATTGCCAAGCCCCGTTATTCGGCTTTGCAACTGATCCCCGACGAGGCATCGTTCCCGCCGAGCTTCCGCCGACCGACCGTTGGTTGGTGAAGTGCATTCCGCAGCCAAACATAATCGACGAAATACAAGTGTGCGAAAAGATTCCATGAAGCGACGCTGAGCCGACGACTCAACTCCATCGCGAGCATTCCAGGCAAGCTGCCAAAATGAGCAAGAGCTGCGCTAACAGCAGCACGGCGGTAGCTGTGTGTGGATCGTGTAGGGGCTCTAACAATCACTTGGGCACCAAACCTCGCGACTGAGGGTAGCGCTCCTCCGCGGCCGCGGCTCCCTCGACTTCGTCGGAACTCCTTCCGTCGTGGTGTGGGCGGCCGGATTTGGACCTGGGCGAGAAAGACCGCAGAAAGCAATGTAGCATAACCTCGAAGGCTGCTCGAATGATACCAGTCGTGCTAACCTCGGAATGCGAGTTCACATTTTTACTAGGCTACGCCGTGAGACATTGCAGTAAGGAAGTGTCCTGGCAGAACGTTGGCTGCTGGACCGATCATTTCCTTTTAGGTACTGTAAACCGCTTTGTTTTCGCGCATTTAATATCTTGCAAATTTTACGAGGGGTGGGTCTTGGGAATATTTCGGCGGCACAAAATTTCGTGTTTGGAGCAATGTGCCACGCATTGGTTGTTACCATAAGGCGATATGTTTATGCGATCGAGCTTTTGCGATAGATGTTTGTCAAGTGGCGGAAATTGGGTCCTTCTGGAAATTGGGTCTTTTACAGTATATGATGCTTTACGAGCGATCGTGAAATGACTTCACTGTTTGAGACATGAGGCTACCGCTCAAGACGCTTTCCAAAAGCTCTCGTGACTAAACTAATGTCCACGTGAGTTATTTTAAAAATGTTCCATAAGTGCCACATTTAACTCGAACAACATCCAAGCTTGTCTGCTGTTGTCTTCATTCCATTCGGCATTTCTGCGTGAACTTTGAAAGGAGATTCTGCAGTATGCTTGCAAACCCGGTGGGACTAGTAGCAGAGCCAGTGCTACAGGTGCGAACTAACACCTGTAGCACTAGTGTTAGTTCACACCAGTGCTACAAGTGACTATTTGGAATTCTTAACAAAGTCTGGGGCAGTAAAAAAGTCTTCAAAATGGCCTCACCGGGTGCGATGGCTTCTCTCTCTCCGACTGGCCTTGGCGCTCTGGTCCAGTTGGAAGATGCTTGGGTTGCAAGACGGAACAAATAAAACGCCGTCACGATTGAAAGAGGCAGGATACCACACACTTACCATGCCACATCTAAAGCAACTAGTAGATTTGATATGGTTTACACATTCTTTAAATGAACTGCAGTAGGTACGCCTAGATGTGAGGGATACTTTTTCATTTGATGAATGTTAGATCCACTTTCAGTCGATGGGAGGAAGACAGACGCGCAAGAAATTACCGGTTCCTTCCCTTGTTCTTTAAATGACCTGTGACAATAGCCGAGACACCGCACGTTGCTGCACACAGTTACAATGGCACGTTTAAATTTGGCGGAAAGATTGTAACATGACATCGTGCGACATGAAGTCACGTGACACTGTGACGTCGCAATGTAAAGGCAGCGATCCCTTGCAAACTTTAGTGAATAAATTTTGCGGCCGAATTTATCCGGTCACGACATACACAAAAATACGCACGTGGGATTGGCTGCCAAACTTTGTCAATCACGGGTATTGCCATAAAAACAACTCGAAAAAAAATGCGAAGTCGCTGGCACCATCTTCAATTGTGATGAATGCAGAAAGTGTGACTATTTTGTCACCTTGCATCAATGTCCAGGTCCTCCTCCTCCTCCTGGAGGGCATCATCTAGGACAGCTTTCAAGAGAGGCGATACTGCAGGGGCATTGTAGTCCCTGGTCGTGCGTACTGGCATGTCCAGCTCCACTCGTAGAATGTCCTCATCCTGCGCTTTCAGACATTGGCATACGTGGGTGGGAACGACATGCTGTTTCATCAAGAAAACTCCACCGTTGCTTAAAGAAAAACTTCTTTAGGAACACTTTTTAGTGAAAAGCAGGTTGGAGAATGAAAATCAAGATGATTTAAATTAAACTTTGCATTTACAGCAATTATTTCTTCCACACAGTTTAGAACCAAAGATCCTGGGTTCAATCTCCACCCCTGCCCGTTTCGATCTGGATGAGCATCGTACAGGTGTGTGATCGTGTATCGCTACTGCGTGGTACACGATAAAGACCCCAGGCTAGCGGTTGTAGTGCTGCACTGGCTAAATTGCTAATCTACAGCTGAGAGACAAGTTGCTCGTTGAGGCAGACTAAGTTCAGGCCGTATAAACACACCCACAACCCAATTTCTTTTTCCACTTTGTTTTCAGTGATCGGACGGTTTGATCAATCAATCATGTTAACCCCGCAGGGGCACCGGAGTGAGTAGGTAGTTATTTGGTGAGTAGTGCCACCACAAACCCTGAGCCATGTGGGTTTTACCCACCCACGCCTGGCTATGCGTGGCGTGCCCGCGGAAAAGGGCATCCCGGTGGTTGAGCCAAGCCCGGGGTAGGTTTGGGACCCCTGGCCAAGGCAATACCCCACTTGGGCCACCCCTTTACGTAAAAGGGTTTCCTGCTAAGGCCCGGCCAAGATGATTCAGTCATTTGCCTCTTCTACCCTCTACCTTTTTTCCCTTCCGTCTTCACCTTTTTCTCCCTTCTATGCTTTCCTCCATTTTTCACCTTTTTGGGTGGCAAGGGCCGACCTTGGATAGAAATAGGTCCTGTCCCTGCAACCAGACTTGGGCATCATGCCCTGGGAAGCACTGGTAGCATACTGTTGTCAGAAAAGCCCTTTTTGTCATGGCACAGTACTACGTGGCCCCGTGTTTTTCACCGTGGTGGGCAGTACACCGAGGCACTGTACCTCCTTCCATTTATTATGGGTCCCAAACTAAACAAAACCTCTGACCAAGCCCTCAGAAGGGCACACACCAAAGTCCATGACCGTCCACAAAGTCTCTTGAAATTTCCAGTGTCTTGTCTTACACTCTGATAAAAAAAAAAACACTTGCAAAGCTTTCCCCATTTCTAGTTTCAAGAGTACCTGAAGGTGAGGTTGGCAGAAACTTCCATGCGAGAAAGATGGCGTAAGGCGACCTTCTGGTTGAGATAAACACAAAATAACAAAGTGAGGCTCTCCTGGCCATGAATTCCGTTTCGGATTACAAGGTTAGTGTGACACCTCGCCGCAAGCTGAACAGAGAGCTATCTCCGGTGGTGACTTGCTCGAAATATTTGAGGCAGAGCTCAATGGAAACTGCATTTTGCAGGACTACCAAAATGCCGCTGTGTTCTTTATGCTGTTTCATTCTGAAGTGGGCCTTACCAAATGCTGTTATTTATCCCGGCCAATTCAGTGTTAGGGTACATTTTCTGCAGTGCTCAAGTAGCTCCGATGAAAGTAGCCTTACCACTGTCCCGATCATGGTGAGACTGAGTGTAGTAGTGTATGACCTCGTGTAATGCAAAAGCAAGTTGGACATTTATTCAAATGGCATAAGGTCTGTCTGCCTTTGATGTATGGCAACACTGGCTCAATGCTGTAGACGAGAAATTTAGCCAGTGCAGTATGAGTGTTAGCCTGCGATTTCTTTACAAGCACAACGAACGACTAACAATACACAATTGTACGGTGGTACAATTGTCCAGTTCAAAATCATCCAGTTCGAAACAAGGAAAGTAAAAAGCTGTGCTCAATTATTTCATTCAGATATAACTTCAAAATGCTTCTTACAAGCTTACCTATTGCAAAAAGGTAAGCTCTATAGTTGTTGCTATAGTTGTCACCTTTATATATGTTTTATCCATTTGAGATACAGTCAATAGAATAAATTAAAACTAAATTAGGTAAAGCAGCAAAAAGGAAGCTTGGGAATAACCTTAACAACTTTGGCTAGATTGTTTTAAGAAGTCATACTTATCATTCACACATTGGTCTTTGTTATTATGAGGTTCTAGATACAAAATGTCATTAATTTTCATAATTTAATAACAATGTTTTTTTGTTTTTTTTAATCTGTATTAAAGGGGCGGTGCAACGATTTTATGATTAAAACAATTTGCATCTCGTCATTTTTACGTTGTTTATCGTGTCCCGGAGGATAGAGAAAGCACTTCCTTCATTAAAAATGTCGCGATTCCGCTGCATAATCGCAAAGCAAAAGTCGAGCTTTTTCCCCCACCTGCAGCCCCAAGTGGCAGCCGGAGGAACTACGACGGAAAGATTACGTGACCTCGCTCGGCTCTAAGTTGCAGCATAGCGCCCGCTAATGTCAGCAGAGAGAGGGAGGGGAAGCGTCCTCCGAGATAGCACACGGGAAGCTACACAGCACTCCGAGTGACGTCACTGGGAGTGCGACCAGGTGTGACCCTGAAGACTGGGAGTGAGTTGAGGGGTGCCCGAAATGCCAATGTTTATCTTTTTTTTTACGCAACAACTAGGACACGCAGGCGAAATCGGTTTTCTGTTCTTTACTTCAGAAGTGTCAGGGGGCAACTTCCAGAAATCTTTGACCGAAGTCCGAAAATCGTTGCACCGCCCCTTTAAGAATTTTGTTTCATTACAACTTCTAAAACTTTAATGAAACGTCAATTTGTGTGCTCAAGACTATCCTAAAATTATTTTAGTAGAGTGTACTAACTCTACTAAAATTATTTTAGTAGAGTGGTTTATATTTTATTTCATACCTAAAATGTCCATTCACAACAGTCCATACTGTCCTTTGTTGATCAACATCTTGTTGCCATGCCTAGTGCGTCTATGTGCAACTAAACAGCTAGTTCTGTGTTTGAGGGAATAAAACCTGCTGTTGCACAGAAGTTTGAAGGCAAATCATTCACATATTTTTAGTTGGGTAGGCCAACACACAAATCTTAACATATATACTATTTGCAGTGGTATGAATAAAAATGAAATGTGTGCTTGTGCTCCAAAAGCACTTTTTGTTGCTCCATAAACATAGACGTCTGGCTACTGCAAAAGGTGCTACAAAATGACTGGTCAATCGCACCACTGTACCAGTGAAATCACTGAGAAAGGTTTTTTTATAGATATGCCATTGTATAGACCGACACGCTGTTTACAAACAAGCCCGCGTTTGCCCACACCAGGTGTGGGCACTGCGCTTGCGCAGAAACCGAATTCGCGTGAAGGGAAGCGTCTGCACATGCGCCGTGCCGCCGACAGCGCCACCGCAGCTGCGTGACGTCAGGGCCGCGTGTTGGTCTATAGAAAAACTGTCTCTAAAAAATCTGAACAGCAAGCAAATAAAATATCAGAAGGAGCTGAACCCCGAATTTCGGACTAGGTCGCAGCTTTAGATCTTTAGATTTATAGTCAAACACCACGAGTGGGACAACTGAGTGATAATCTGGAATTTCTGAAGGATCACCCACCCTCAGCCTAGTTGATGAGCCGGCAGACGACCTTGCGTATTCGGTGGTAGGATATCTGCTGCCAAATGGCAGCCTCTTGAGTGGTTCGGCGCCGCTGAAGAAATCGAAACAAGACCACGGAGATGTAAGAACAGTGCTTCTTAATTTTGTTTACAACTTTTATTTGTTGCTAAGGTTGCTAGAGGTTCAGCAAGTGTTCTTGGACACATGCCTTGTGTTACCATTAGATCACAAGAGAAATTAAAATTTCCTAGAGTATTAACATTGCAAAAAATTACTTGAAAAAAAAAATCTACTGAAATATCACTTGGAGGAGCACTCAGCCTGCACTAAAGTGCTTGATTTGTGCCAGCATTAACTACATGTGCAAACGTGGATGGGATAAAAATACATACCCAGGCACCTCGGAGAGTGGAAGGAGCGCCCACTGGTCTTCATCTTCGTCATAGACAACCCTTGAGAGAATCTTGACCTTATCCTCTGGAGGAATGAAGTTCTCGATGATCAAGTATCTAAGGAATGCCGGCACATAATCGTCAATAAAACATCCTCATTCCAAGGTCTGAATGAATCCTCTTGGAGGACTCCAAGGTATCTTGAACCAGACACAGAAGCAAAAAGCCACACTAAATATTGCTTTGCACCTAATCCCGTCCAAAGGGTCTTGCTACTGGAGCAAACTTTTCTCGAGGTCAATTTCGGGCGACCATTGCAAATTCCAAGTCAATAGTAACATATCCAATGCAGAAAACAATATTTTCCTTTAATACATTTATAATAGTTTAAATCTTACTAACTCCTATATCTCAACACGGTCTCAGCAATGTGAGGAACTAGCAGGTGACAAAATGCTTGCTTTCAAAAGCCACAAGTGTTCCAGTGCAACTCACATAAGAGACAAATGCACATAATCCTAGAAATGTGTAGTATTCTGCAGAGGTATCAAAAAGCAGGAATGTGCATTCTGCATATCTGTGGACTGACTGCTTACTTGAGCTTCAGTTCCCTCGTAAGCTCGTTCTGCGTCTGCTCCAGCTCCCGGCGCTCCTTGGAGTGTTCTTCCTGGAGGTCTTGAATTTCCGTCTTCACAGATTGCAACTTGGCAAACAACTTTGCGCAGACAGAAGGGAACAATATCGCGTCAGTCAATGGCATCGTAAGACGCCAATGTGGAGCATGTGAGCGAGGAATGTTTCAGTTTTCACACATGCTCCATGTTAGTGGAACAAACATTTCAGCCATCCTCCCTATAAAGATGCCAGGTTTCTCTGAAACCACGTTTCAGAGAATTGGATCACACAGATCACTTACTTCTGCATTTTTTTTTTTTTTGGGTAAATTGATTTTAGCACATTCTGGCCCTGCATCTATTTCTCCAAAATTACCTTCGAAGCTTAGAACCTCATACCGAATTGTAGGTAATTTTGCTCATAATTACTGTACCAATGCAATGTCATAAACTTTACCAGCTTAGAAATAACGGAGAACTTGTAGCCAAGCTAGTGAACCTTCATAATCTTAAAAACTCAAGACTTGTTTGTGTTGAGATCCATGTAAGCATGTGTGCTGTTCCCTTTTCTTTTTCCAAGTCTCGAGGTTCAGGATATTGAAAGTTTACCAGCTTATACTCACGGACAACTTTTCTTGGCATTCCCAAAAAGAAGAGGAGGGTGCACTCGCAGCTTTAATCGGCGCTCAAAACGGGAGAGGGCATGCATGCTCGTGCTTTTGACTACAATGCCAAGAAACGTTGTCTCCAAGTAGAGTTTGTTTCACCGCAGATTGTCTAAAATGTTTACTATAGACACTTTTACTGTTTACAAACACAAACTGCTGGTTACGTCGCAAGCGACTTCAGGTCTCTGCAAGCCTGTCGAGCTTGCTTATGTCACCAGTGCTAGAAGTCATTAATGCTACAAGGACAACAAAGTTTGAGATTTAACGAGGGCCTTTGGCTGTACGTTTTAATGTCTTGAAGGAGACAAGTTGGATTACAAGAATATTCCGAAAGTGTGAACAGATCTCGTACTTCTTGGTTCTTTTGGTGTTCAGCTGGAGGATTGGTGGTTATCGTATCATTGATGTTTCAAGCAGCGGTGTTAAGGCGGGCTTTGCTCATTCCTTTTATGAACCAAAAGTCTGCTGAGACGTCAAAGACCGTAGCATTGCCTGGTGGACTTTGCAAAGAAAACGGTCTATACCATCCTCACTGCCCAATATAGTGCATTTCTTGGAAGGTGTGTGCCCTATGCTCTACTTCAAAAAAATGACTCAAAGGCGTCTTTTACCTTTCTGAGTTTCTTGGTCTTAATCTCGACTTCTTGCTGTAGAGATGTGTAGGTTTCCTTGATTTCGGATGTCCCTTCTTCCTGCGTTTCCAGCTTCTGCTGCATCTCTCGCTCTCGTCGCTGTGGGAGATTCTCTCATTACAGGACTGCTTACAACATCGGTGCTTTCTGACACGAAGCAGCAATTAACGCGGGCTTTTTCTCCAATAGTAACACAGAAAAGTCCGCATACTATTTTTATTAATTTATTTTCTCCAAACTAGTAAGTTTTCAAACGCTAGGGCATGGTTTGTATCATCGTTGAAAGAAAACCCGAGACTGGGACAAATAAAATAACGGACAGCATGCGCTGTCCGTTATTTTATTTGCCCCAGTCTCAGGTTTTCTTTCAATGACGTTTCCTTACCAACTCGCCTGCGTACCTTCCCTCCTTGCAACAGTTTTGTACTGTCACACCAGCAATAAAGTGCATCAGTCAAAAAACAATTTCCGAGAGCTGCAAGTACTAAACAAATTAGCACGATGACACAACCAATGAACTAATACACTTCGAAACTTGCACGAGAAATTACCATATCCTAACAAAAACGATATGTTCTTTATCACTCCAACTGCGAGGGGTCACACTCGTCACTCCCATGAGAGCACATGACAGTTGTTGCTGAAAGTGTCATAGGAAGGAAAGAACACGGAGAATGGAATGTTATGACCGCTCCTTCCAAAGGAGACAGTCCAGTTCCAACGTTTTAGCAACAGTCTAGATATCTTCGCAGCAATCCTGATTGCAAAATTTTTGATAATATTTATCTTATCTAACATCTACGTATGATACTCCAAACGGTGTTAGACCCTTAATAAAATTCAGGGCCATCGGTCAGTTCGAAAAGCAGTTTCATATTTGACGAACTAACGGAACTGTATTTCATTGGGCACCATCACTTCCGCACGTCAATAACTGATGAGAGTCGGTTCCTCAATTAACTCATAATTCGGTGTGAAAATAAGAACTGACCAGTACAAAGCGGCAACCCATAAGTGCCTCGATTAAACTTATGCCATCAAAAGGCGTTAGAACCAAACTTGAGCAGCGGGTAATAATGTCGTCATACTCTAGAAGACTCCTGCTGTCTAAACAACTAGAAACTAAAACTTTTATTTTTTTTGGTCACACACTGATTGGATTGGATTCTTTGGCTTCTTCTTGGTAAGAGGTGATCACAGAACTTTGGATTCAGGATCTAGCCAGTTGGCTCCTTCGCCACTTCCGTCTTATTTTGATTGAACTGGATTTCACAGCACTTTGGATTCCAGATCTAGCCAGTTGACTCGTCTGACTGAGGTAATGATGGTGATCAAAGTTGCCAGACTGAATTTCGAAAAGGGTCTAGTATTGGTATGTTACAACCTGGAGGCGGTGCACGGCGACACACTGGCCTCTGTCCGAAGGATGGGGCGCACCTTCTGCTCGGCGATCTCCTGCCTGCGCTGCTCCAGGGCCCTCTGCTGCTCGTTGGTGTGGTCCACAATATTCTTGCCCCCTGAAAGCAGCTTGCTCTCCATGGCCCTCACCTTGAGGGACAGCTTGTCCGCAGCCTCCTGCTCCCTCTGCAGTTGCTCCTGGCGCTTCTGCACCTCCCCCAACAGCTTAGCCTTCTCCTGGGCACGCACGGGCAACCATCGAGAGCTGCCTCACACTCCTCTGACTGGTTACGACCGTATGCCTTAAAACCTCTTAACTCTTTCCTGACCGTGCCCATAGGCCGTTGATCACCAGTGATCAATGGTTTCCAAGTGCCGTCAAAAAAATAAATTCAGTGCGGACAATATGTTCTACAATTATGTGGATAGCTGAAGAACTGTAGTTTTGGTTTCAACGTAGGTTTGAGCTTGATCACAAGCTGGTGTGCTGTCAAAAATAGTCCTGGGTACGGTACTTGAACTTGTCTTACATGGCTAACTGCTTGCATCAGTCTTCGTAACCAAGATGGCATTTTTTTACAGAATTCAACTGTATCGTGGCATATTTTTTAGACGTCAAAAGCTCTGGGGACACTTTAAATGACTCTAAATGCATCCCGTAACAGATGGTTGTCGCCAAGCGTCACTATAATTTCCGATGCTGTCCTGAATCGGCGTGCATGTTTTATGTAACCAACAAGGCGGACAAAAATGCTAAATATGAAGGGACTGCAACCAAGGCTATGACAAAACCAAGATAGAACACAGAGAAAGCATTCTGCTGGGGATGTGAAGTACACTATCTGTGTTCCACAAATATAAGCATTCCTTCGTTGAAAAGCACACAAGTTACGGAGGCTAACGCGCCGACGAATAAAAAATAGACAACGTCAGTTACACTACACTAACTTTGAGAAGTTATACTTGTGGGTGTGGGGCACATTTTGCATATTTGGATTTTTTTTTTGTCTTTTAATTTGACATAACTGTAGAAGTCTCGGTGTTTATACGCCTTCTGCATCTACATTGTAGTATTTTTAAAAAAATACTTTTTAAAATATTTTGAGATTATACCAACATCTGTTTATTTTCAAAAAACAATTAATTAGACACAGTTTGATATGTCATATTTCTGTATACGCCAATTAGTTCGGAAAACAAAAGCTGGTGCCTGGATCCTTTCAAAATTGCTGGTTTTACCGCGGTCAAGAGATTGTAAGGGATTAATTAGGACACGCCAAAAATAAAAGATATACTGCTAGGACCCACTGTATGTTCCCATATTTTTCCAAACTTTGTTTGGAAAATTGCACGATAGCTTCATCGATAAATTGGTCTATAAACAAGACGCTTGGATCCAATCAGTTCGGGAAGGCCTGGTGTGTTTCCTGGTTCGTGGCGCAATTCGCCGAACGCGCGGTGTCCCCTTGCACAGACTCGCAGACTTGGCGCTTCAGCTTCCTCATTTACCTTCCACGTTTCGAGCCTGCGGTTTCGAGACAATGACGTCTAGAGACATCGCTCGCTTCGTCCGAGTCTTCGACCCTGATCGCAGCACCAATGAGAGTGATAGTTTTCTGTAGATGTTGGAAGCTGGTCATTTTGGCTTCGACCCACTGGCGACCGGTTGCAGGGTGGACAGCAAAGGGCAGGGGGTGAGAGTGAAAGCAGCATTCGATAAGCCGAGTAGTGTAAGAGTGCGTGGTCGTATTGTGGTGAGGCGAGCTAGTAGGGCGAGCAGAGAGGGGTGCCTAGAATGAGAGAGTGTTCACCGACAGATTATGATTGCACGGTTTATGGGCACCGTGACTGGATGGATTGGTCGGTTGCTAATGGCTGTACCCTTTTTAATGGGTGGTAGCTCGCGCCACCTAGCCTAAAAACCAAAAGTAAGACTTTTTTTTCTCCTCGCCAATTTCCTTACCCTCTGTCCCTCTGTAACTATCACCAGGCGGTATGGGATAGTGCCAGGATTACTTTTGGGGGATTAGGCTCCTCCTTCCCAGCGAGGGAGTTGCCAATTTTCCTCTGGCTAAACCTCATCGGCACCACCCCAATACCGTGCCCACTAGGAGACAGTGTTGAGACTTTAGGCCGGAGTTATGTGAAAATGAGTGCGCATGGTGTTACTAACTTGGGCGGTGTTGCCTGGTCGCAAGATGGAAATGACCAACATTTGTAACTTGATTATTGCAATTACTGGCACTCTAAGCATAGCAATACTCGGTGTGTATATACTATGTAGCCAGTGAGCATTCCATTTCCAAGAATAATCTACCCTTAAATTTTCGTGTCCTAACCCCTTTAAAATTTCTTACCATGAGAAAACACTGGCGCCATCTGTCCGGCAGCTGTAGAACACTTCAGGTTTTTGCATATCTCTTCTTTTCTTTTTCGTGCACTATTCTGTTTTTGTTGGCTCGAAAATCTTTTGACACTGATATAGACGCTTTGCAGCAGCTGTGCATGGACGCCGCCATAACTGACCTTCAGTTTTTGTTTCCTCTTATTCCGTTTATTTCACTTCATCATTACCATAGCAGGCCAGGTTATTGCCACATTAGATTCAACTGTGTCCTTTTCTAAAGCATCGGCCTTCGTACAGGATCGTCAACTACTGTTTCATTTGCTCGGCATCTCGGTAAGACAAGAGAAGGTCAGCAATGGCGGCTGTAATTTGGCGCGTGTGTAAAGCGTCTATAGACGACCACTTTTGATGAATAGTATGTATATTTTATCCCACAAATACTGCAAGACCTTCATTCTAGTGAGATGCAGTTCTAGGGCCACCTTAGAGATGGTGCCAGCGTGCTGATCTGTTCTCTCATCACAAAAGATCGCACCCCAACAACTAGGCAGTAAGCAAACGCAGGTGTGTGAACGGGCCTTAAAACTGATCACCCTTTCATGTTTGAGAAAAAAACAACATCACGCGTACCTCTGCGATAAGGCTATGGTCGTTCATGATGGCCGCCCTTTCCTCTTCGAGCGTGTGTGCGAGAGAAGCAGATGACAGCTCTTCGTCGAACTCGTCCTCATTGCTGTCCTCAGTACCCGGTGACGACATTTCCTTCGAAGGGCGTTTTTTCTTTTTCTTTGTGTCTCTGGCAGCCAGCTGTGCCTTTAGCCTGCACAAAGGGATGCAACACGTTTAAACATCTCCACCTTCTAAATAACAATTAAAAAAAAAAAAAAATCGGAACAAAAATTTACGGCGTTTATTTTGCCGCAAAAGTAAATTATGCGTGGTCAAGCGTTCAGTCTCCACCCAAATATTGTGGCAGTGGTCCGGAATAGATACCAAAGTTTGAGAGCTTGGTGCTGCATAAAAAGTTAGAAGCAATTTTTTTTCAATTTTTTATGGGAAATGCTGGGTGTGGAGCCCACGAATACGTGGAGATGAATGAAGTCGACTGTTGGGAATGGGCCCCATTTTCTCGTTGGAAGTTTCAGAAAATCACTTATAACTTTTGAATAAGATAACGAATAAGATAAGTTCTGAAACTTTAACATCTGGTCCAAACCGCTAGCACGACATTTGGGCCGAGACTAAGCATTCAACCAAACATAAATTAATTTTAAAAAAAAGGGGGGGGGGGGGGGCCTTTATGCTGTACCATGTAACTTCTATCCATCCAAACTCGGCTGCTGCTACTCATGATGCCTGACTGTCAGTTGGTTGCAACTTTTACCTAAAACTGCAGCAATCAAAACTATAATATTACGGTGGAATATATTATCACTCCATACAGTACGAAAGGTCAAAGTTGAAGGTGTCACTTAGCCTCTTGGTAAAGCATCAAGAGGCATGTTGCAGCTAAGCCAATGCCATATTGTGATGTCACTGTCATTCTGCGACTCTTCAGACATTGAAATGCGCATGCACCCAGTACACTGCTAACATTTCAACCACAGTGGGCATTTTTATTATATTAATAATAATAATGATAATAATGATAATAGCAGCAAGAAACTCTTGTCAAAGTTCCCAAAAACAATCACAATGGTCTTTAGATTGGTGCACCTTCACAAGAACACTTTAAGAAACAAAAACATACATGATAACACTCAAGACACTAATACAAAACACAAAAATGAAAATGAGTAAAAAGCCAATTAGTAACATTCGGCAGAACACAGAGAGCAATACACAGATGTCGAGATCTGGGGTGGCGACACCGTTATAAGGTGACTGGATCCGAGAAAGGGGTGAAATGTTGCATGACGAACGAATATAAAAAAAGGTTAAATGTCTGGTAGTGCAAAAACTGCCGTGAAAATTAAATTCACAGAGGAGCTGAGTCAAGTCAATAGCACTATTTGTGGCCTTAGGTAGAAAAACTAAGTCACAAACCTGAGAATACTTTTCTAGTCGATATTTCTAGTAGTATGACACACACAACGAGCAGTCCTTGCCTCAATGATTTTTTCACAATGTCGGCTACCTTTCTCAGTGGCGTACTAAGCGAGTTGGGGAGTGCACCGACCTAGATATCTCTTGCTGGAACTCCCTGAGTAATGCATCCTTGGGATCCTCATTAACACGGGGCTTGTTCTTGATGTTCTTGGCTCGATTGGCGTACCGGAGCGTCGTCAGTGTCTCTTCGTAATTGTAGCTTGCAGGACCAATGTTGGCGATCATGATGGTTTTTGCATTGCCTCCAAGGGAGTCTGAAATGTTTCAAATTTCGGAGGGGCGGAGGGGGGGGGGGGGGGGGAGGAGAACTCTGGTCTTAGAGATTTGCTTCTAGTTTGTTGACTAAACCTAATGAAACAGCACAAACTTAATTAGTTCTTTGGGCTGATATAAAATATCTGGTTTCACTCTAAATCAGTACTCAAGATAATTAGAAATTGCCCACTGTTACCGGTGGGATGATAAAAAAAAAAGAACTGCTCAACAAAAAGTTACTTTTAACATATGGCCAGATACTACAATGTATATGGAATCCAAATTCCGGATTGGACCACTGATTTTGCGATGGATTGAAGCTCAGTGTTCATTTTGTTTCTACTAAGGAATAAAATATGAAGAAATTAAAAATATTTACTATGCCAATATTGAAAAACAAATTTGCTACTCACCTTGAACGGTTTGCACATTTAGCTACATGTTGCAAAACAAGTAGCAGTTCTATCTGCTTTAAATGCCGAGATAATCCTCTTTCAAATTTGCAGAGCCAAACACTTGTGCTTCGAGAAAGTGTAGTTTTAGCGTCAACTTCGATATGAAATCGGCACGCATAGACATTACAAGTTAATATTCGAGCTCGAATATTGACTCGCAAATTAAGAACTCTGGCAGGTCAAGATAAAAATAGCTCTAGGTTTCAGAACTGCCATTTTCAAGAGGTTCTTTGGCATCAAAGGCCCCCGTCCCTCATTAAGGAATTGAATGTTTAAGGCCTGTTCATGCACTTGCGTCTGCTTACGACCAAGTTCTTCTGATCTTTCACGACGAGAGAACATGCTGGCACCATCTATAAGGTTTCCCCGGAACTGCATTTCACTAGAGCGAAGGTTTTGCAGTACTTGTGAGATAGAGTGTACATACTACGTATCTATGAGAAATGATTGTTTATAACATTGTCAGAACCTTTTCGAACCAATAAAAAAATAATGATGCACAAAAGAAGCAGAGAAGATACGGAAATCCCAAGTGTTCTACTGCCACCCCGATAGACGCTGCCATTGTGTTCTCTCGTTGTAAAAGAACCAAAGAAGTCTTAAGGCACTTGGTCGTAAGCAGTCGCAAGTTGTGAATCAGCCTTTACTCCGGAAACAAAAGAGAATGTCACTGTCATCACTGTACAAATAACTGATGCTCTGATCTCGGCATGGACTTGCATTACCTTGGAGTAGCCTCGTGAGCTTTGAATCCCGGTACGGCACGTGAGAGCTTTTTCCATCCACCAGCGCCGAGATCACATTCCCCAGCGCAGAGAGCGACAGGTTGATCTTGATGGCCTCTTTCTGTCTGTCACCCTGGACAAAAATTGCGAGTGATTGGCATAAATCAGTGCACCAAGTAAACCAGAACCAGAAATTGATTAACGGTGGCCAATAAACTGAAGGCCTCAGAAAAATAACAAAAAACGAAACATCCTGCAGTGTGGAGCTTTATATACCTACTTTCACAGTTCAATCAATATGTGACTCCCACCTATGAGCGCAACCTTTCTTGGACGCTGTTTCGTTCAAAGCAAAGCAACCTTAAAAATACTCACTGGAATTTCACACATTAATTAATGAACAAGCGAAGTGGTTATCAAAATAACAGCAATGCTATGTCCAGTTCTATCTTTCATAGCAATTTCCATCAAGAATGCTGCATTAAGATTTAAATTTCTTGTTTAAGAATGACTGCAAGCCGCAAGACCCGCCAAATTACCGGGACATTACGAGGGTGCTAGCTTTCACTTGTTGTGGGAACTTACAGACGTCCCGGTTTTCACTTGGCGCTCGCTGCCAGCCAAGTCCACCAGGTTCAGTTTACCCACTCGTATGTGGTGCTTGCCATCTGGTCCGAGCTGCACGAGGAGAATCGTGACACTCAACAAAACAACTTGGCAGGAAAACAAAATTAAAGGTCAGTAATGTACTCCATTTCTCTTCAAAAATGCCTCAAGGATCAAAAGCCGAGCTTGATCCACATTTTTCACGGTGATACATATGACAACGACCAGATAATATTCCAGGTTGTCCCATTCATGCACTTTCTCTTAATAATCTCCGACGTGCTTAAAAATCTGGGAAATTTCATGACTGTATAAAGTTGACTGCGGTTGGATGCAAACAAAGTAAAAAATGAATAGCCTTATTAAGTCTTCATGCTAGAATTTGACATACGACACATTTAATAGTTCTTCAAGTGAGAGCATATGTCATTATAAACGAGTCAATAAAAGAAAGTGCACTGACCAACTGGCTTTTGTAATCATTTAAACTATACTAGCAGTAAATATGAAAACTCTGCCTCTTGTTGTCTTTCGTGCAGCTTTTCTAACAATTACAAATTAAGGCTCTACATTACTTGACTGACCAAGTATAAACATGAAAAATATAGATTTATAAAGTAAGGTTAAATTCGTCATAACAATGGTTGTCAAATTCATCATGCTTTCCCTCCAGTAAGAGTTTTCTCAAGGAAGAACGGTTGAACAAAATTCATGAACTTACGTCGCTGTGTTCCACAGTGATGATAAAGATGGCATGCGACCTTGAACTGTGCACATTCATGTTTGTAGCCCTGCACGAAACATCCATTGACAACTTAAGTAGAATCAAATGAGTTTTCCAAGGCAAGCATTCAATTGCCAATTTTTAGGGTACTGGCATAATTTCACAATATCCAAATTGCATGACCTTTAAACATGGCAACTTCTGCCAGTTTTATAGCTATGTATGAACCCAGATCCTTGTTCTAAATATTTCTCGATGATAAAAAGGTTAAGGATCATTGATCAACACATTCATTATTTGCTCAATTAACCAATCAGTCAATCACAATCAATCAGCAGATCAGACAAGGTCACTCACCCTACAGATCTGTTTTGGTTTCCCACAGTCATTACATGCTCTATCTCCTTGATGCTCTTGCACACAAATGATGATAAGTCCTGGGAATGAGTACAGATTACAGTGTAGACCGCATATATTGTATGCCGCGGGAGTCGCGAAAATCCGCACTATAAGCGGTACCGCGCTATAACCAAAACATCAATTCTTCAGGCCAAAATACATGCCATGAGAGAGCTTACCTTTGTAAAAGAATTTGTTTTATGTTAGATGAAAAATAAAGCTTAGTCTGAGGAAAGCTTTTATTTCACCAGACTAGTACACTTCTCTCTCAAGTGTGTCACACATTTTGAAAGAAATGAGCGACTTTTGCCTGGCGCAGCCTTTTAACGGCGTCTTGGGTTGCGGACAGACGTTGCAGGCGTTGAGGATTGCTAACTTTAATCACTTTTCTCCGGCGATGAAAACGCGTGAAAATTTGCATCCTTTATACGGTATGTGCCAGTAATACCTTCAACTTAAGCACAGGCATAAAATGCTCCAAATAAAAAATCTGGGCGATGCTCGAAAACACAAATGCTTAGAAAGCACCACTGTAGTCGAAGTAAACAAACACGACGACACGGGCATTTCTGCCGTCTTGAGAGTGCCGCCACGACATCGCCGCACGAGTAGGTGGATCTTCCCTTCTAGTGCGTGTTGGGTTATCATAGCAACACACAACGAAAATTCACAGTCAAGGATAGCGCTTTTACGCAGAACGATGAGCTTCCACCACGCCGTCTACGTCGACGATCACAACCGACGCCATGTTTGCAGATAGAAGAAGCCGGCCCGCGAATGGCATGCAACGCGCGTGAATAGTTCTCCTCGACCTGCGATTGGTTTGTCGGTGCTGTTGTTTCCAACGCAGCAAAGGGACGCACCAGGACGCACGCATGTGAACGACACGTGCGTGCGTCCCTCCGTCGCTATGGCAACTGAAGCCTCTCTCTTCGCTTGTCCCCGCTTCTTCGAGCAACCTCCTTGTTCCGCGATTGCCGTTATCTAGTGTCGCACAGGGAAGCGTGCTCGCTTCGCCGGTCGGTCGGCGCGGTCGGCGGGCTGTTCCAGAAACCGCACTATAACCGGTATTTCCCTTCGCGCGCCTGCGTTTTAAACGGTATGTAATTACATGGAGTTCTATGGGAGGCGAACCGTTGGTTTAAAAAAGCCGCATTATACCCGGTCCTGCACTATAAATGGTTACGTTGTAAGTGGTCTATACTGTATGTGGATTACCATAAGGAGACATTTTATAGGTATGCACAGTATAATGCTTGTTGCTTGTTTTTGTCTTACTCACCGCTGCAAACACAGATGGCTCAGCGATTAGACATTCTGCACAACTTGTGCAATCTTTTTTTTTTTTCTTGAAGTTTGGTTTGATGGACATAGGAACAAATTAACTAGAGACGTGAGTGGACAAAGCTAACTTGACATATGTTTTGTTCCTGAGCCAAGTAAGGCAGTAAAATGATAAAAAAGATTCAATGAAACCTTACACATAGCTTGCAATTAATGGTGTCTTAACTTACGAGTTCTGTTTCATAACTTGAAAATCTTTGTCACTTTTAAAAACTCGTTTTAAAAACAACTTAGTTTTTCTTTCTTGGAGTTGTTTTGCATGTGGTCACTGCTTTCTGGGAGTTGCATCTCAATGCAAAGATTCACCGCCAATAATGTCTACTGGCTGTTGAGGACTCGCATAACACGAAAAAAATTAAAAACATAGATCTCATATTTACTATGCACTTCGATATAAGTATACACTAGACATAGAATGGCAAGCATAGAAAAGCAGAAAGCAGATGATCCAATACGAGCTTCAAACAGGCAGGGGACACCCACCTTAACGTAAACACCAGTGTCCGGACGCTCTTTCAACTCTAGCCGTTTCGTTTGATCCTTTGCAATTAGGTCCTTAATTTCTTCCTGTATCATTCAAATAAAAAAATAAAAAAATGTTTGGTCAGTTGTTATGCAGCCTGTTCATGCACTCTCCAAGACAAAATTAACTGATTTCCCCAGAACTGTACCTGATATATCTCTAGGTACGACGCCCTCACAAGGTACTGCTGGTTCTGCGATCTGGCAATGTGACTGAAGATGTGCTCAAACGAATTCGGAATGACTCCCCTGTTCTCGGGGTCGTTGAATATGCCTAAGAGGGAGAAATGGCAACACACCAATAACAGTCATGGTGGTAAAAAAGTACACTTCCTGAAGGCACAGCGTAGCAATCCGAGTGATGGCCGAAGCCACCTGCAAGTTAAGAAAAGTGAGACAAGTTCCTCCCGCAAAGCCTTTCACTCTTTCCACTTTAGCAGAGCAAATGCTGGAGAGGACGTGAGAGAGAGGCAAGTCCACTTGCCTCCTCTCCAGTGTTTGCTCCGCTAAAGCGGAAAGAACGAAGAAGGGCTTTGTGGGAGAAACCTTTTCTTAACCTGAACAAAATACAGAAGTGAAGGAATCACAAGCCGAGTGTCGATAATGTCTGCAAGAACACGTGGACCCACAGGGTACCGAAACATCTAAACTTATACTCAGCTTTGCCACGTGCTGCTACCATAGATGTAATATTGGGTGCGTTAAGTCCGTGATTCGGAGCACGAGAGTTTGATGCTCCGTTCATTATACGGACAAGAGCGCCGCCGGAAACTGACATTCGAGCACGCTCTTCGTTCGCCGAGCATTTCTCGGAGCGCGAGTGGCTTCTTTGCGCTCCGTGACGTCACGTCCACAAATAAGAGCGCTGCACTGTTGTTGAGACCGTCAAGACGAAAGGCGTAGCTGGACCACTGCTTCTTTTCGGTTGATTAGTTTTTAATGCAGCAGGTAAAAACAATTTAATTTAAAAGCCAAGACATCAATTAGCGTTCCGGAAAAGGTTTGCTCGTGCATCCCGCTTGAAATTAATTCATTTATCGAACGGTAGCACGGCGATAGCATAGCGACAGAATAGTTGTAGAGATTAGGACATTCAGTCTGGTGCCTTTTTTAGAATGCTTAGCCCAACGAATGAAAATACTTTGATTGGAAGGCCAAAACATCAGTTAGCATTGTGGAAAAGGTTTCTTCATGCATCTCGCCTGAAAACGAATTGATGTGCTATCTATTGAACGGTGGTGTGCCGGTATCGGCGTAGCACATCGACGAGTTCCGTCTTGTGCCGCAAGGCGGCACAGAATGTCTGACAAGTTTGACAACTTCCTGCATCAATAAGCGGGTTCAAGAATGTTGTCTTTCATTTAAATCTGAACAGCATGCATGGTCAATAAACAGATTGGTCAAGGTAACTTTCAAAATACTTGCTTGAAGTGATCTTCAAACCTTTCAGAAATATAAAAACATTGGTAGAAGCTTCCTCATGTCACCGTCTTTTTTTTAATTTACACTCTGCCACTCCACAAAGGCCCTAATTAAATTATCTTGGAAAAAAAAATTCGGCTTCTGCCATCCGTATCACGAGATGCCAGGTTTGTCATAATTATGTGGTCGGAAGTGGCTCATGCGACTCGTCGACAGTTTCAGTGCGTCGCGCTGCTGTACGCTACGCACCGTTTAAATGCTGCAGTCGGAGCGTGACACTCGGAGCGTCGGAGTAGCAGTAAAGCAGTGCGGACCTAATGTGCCCATTGAAAATTAACTGCTTATCACTCTTTTGGCAAAGGCTTGTGCATGTCCTAGCTAGGCTCTCAAAAGAGCACTATTTTTTGGCTAATGCTATGGAACTTGGAAAAAATGAAGAAGCATCTAAGCTTCCCAGGGAAAGCATCGTGGGGTTCATACCTTCCATAGTATAAGTTTTCCCAGTGCCAGTTTGTCCATATGCAAATATGGTTCCATTGAAGCCCAGCAGCACGGAGTCGACTAATGGCCTGAAGGTTTCGTCGTAAAGATCCATCTGTTTCGAACTTAAAAAAAAACAAAAAGAGAGTTATAATGAAGCACTGAGACAAGCAATGTCGAACAAAAGAAAGAAAGAACTCACTTCCAGTCGTACACGGCATCGAAAGTGTACTGCTTCAAGGCTTCCACGTCGCTACTTTTGGGGTTGCGGATTGTGACGACACCACTTTCAGGACACAGTCCCACAATTCTGGAACGGGAAAGTTTAAAGTCGTCTGTAATAGCTCACTCGTGCAGCAATGGCAAAAGAAAGGTGGGAGTGGCTTTCGCTTTTTTTCTTTTTACCTTTCGTAACCATCGCCAATCTCTCGTTCGCTCATGGGGCGACACCTCACCACCACTTTGACAGATTCCGATTTAGCCGATCGAGCCTGCAAGAAAACGACGTAATACAGTGCCAATCTGTTACCTATCAAGCACATCAAACAAAGTCAGACTAGCCTGCATGCGATCTGAATTTCAAAGTTATATTACGAAGATGGGGATATAGACGCACGTCAAAGCCCTTTGAGGCTAAACTCGAAGCTGCTCTGATTTAGAACGGACATCATGATCTTACCATGTCAGCTGCAGCCTTGACCATATTTCGAAGGTTTCAGAAGCTTTTTATTTTTTATTGCCAATGGAGGAAAAGGGGCGTCGTGGAAGGGACGATATCTGAAAACAACGAGGAAAAACAGATATGCCGTGAAGTTTGAAGTTTCTAACAAGTTGGAGGTAGCCCAACTTTGCAGTGGCGTGAATACTATGTATAGTTCTTAGCGATTTTTCTATCTTTAATCAATCACGAATAAAACCAAGTATAGCCTCTTTTGACAAGTGTCGACGATTCGTGGAGCACTCGTAACATTAACGGATGATCCTTGGAATTGGGATCAACACCGTGAGGCTACGAGTCCTGGCGCGGCTCCGATTCCCATAGCTCTTCTTGAACTTTCAAAAACGCATATGTGCTCCCAATGTACACTCCTCTTTTATTTAGTGTCAGTCTCGTTAGAGTCAGCAGCCGATATTACGTCCGCTACGCTCGTTCCAAACCCTGATGATCCATTGGTAAACCCCACGCTACGTCAGAGCTAGGTTTGATCAGCAGAGAAGCTGCCCGAGCGAAAGCATCAACGACCTCAGAAAAATCGCGAGACAGCTGGAGTGAAAAGTGATGTAGTTACCTTTACGGAAGCTGTAACATCGCGTAAATATATCACGGCCACGGGTCGCTTTCAGACGATCCGTGGCGAACTGGAAAATAGGCTCGGCCTGGGGGCCTAGGTTGACGGCTCCGAAGGCTCAGTAACCCGTGGCAACGAGAGGCTTGGCTTGGCCGCATGGCTGGCTTGGCTATAGATCTGGAGTGGATGTTGACTGCTCTTGGGGCTCTTGGACACGATCCGGGAACGTACCGGAACGGAACCCCGTAATTTCACGTGGCGGTTACCGGTTCATTGGAAATGGCTTGGCGCAATAAAATGTGAGTCGCGCCTTCTTGCGGGTGCGAAGCCAAGTCAATTAAAAACTGCAGCGACGACTTGGAGACAGCTTGGAGACAGGCGGCGGGCTAGCAGACAGCGCCTGCTAGGCCTGCTAGCCCGCCGCCACGGCCGCCACTTGGCGGCGGGCTAGCAGGCGCACCTGCGTAAGCATAGAGTTATTATAATGTACGCTAGAGGTTCAACTGGCGCTAGTGTGCTGTTGCAAATTGAAGCAGACAGCAAGCAGTCCGAAATTGACTTCCGCTAATGTATTTCTATGGAAAAAATCGAGTGCATTTCCTCTCTGCGCTCGATTATAAGAGCAGATATCACAAATAATTCGTACCTACTAGGCACATTGGAACATTTCCCAGACACGCAGATGAAATAATTGGTCAGTTACGGCGTTTTTATTTTAAAATCGTGGCACGAAAAACGGTGCTAAAACCGCTTCGTACATGTATTTATGTGCACTGTCGGGCACTGTTAGCGCGAACACGGCGTCAGCGCTTTCCAGCATCGAACGAAAAATATCTGGAAAACCAAGATGACAGCAAAAACTACGCGATCAGTAACTCCCTGTGCTTGCAGACGATCAAAATAAATTGAAAGTCACGTAATATAGTCCGATTTGCAATAAATCAGTACTGCTTTATTCTGCTCATGAATATATGCGAAGATGCTTGTTCTGTGTTCAAATCATCACACGCACGCTCAAAATCTTTGCAAATAGGGAGAAGCCAGAGAACAGGTGCGTGATAAAAACTGCCCAGCATAGGAAACAATAAGGAAGCACACCTTTTGTAGCCCACGCACTTTATTATTTACGTTTCGAACGTTTTTTTTTTTTTTTTTAACCACTTGTAAAGATGCACGACGGGGTCATTTTCATATAGTGAGAGGACAGGCATATTAGAAATATATAAGCACCAACGGGATGCTGGCGAACTTTGAGCACACTCTACATTCCTTTCGATTGTTATTTTGCTTAGAATCGTCGCTCGTTTCTACATACCTGCCATGGAACAGAGGTTTGGGCCTGAAATATAGCGAAGTTTAACATCGTTCAGTGGTAAAGGAAAAATGCTGTAACTAAAGCAATTACACTTTCACAATATTAATAAAGGTACATACTATCCGGTACAACCGAAATAATAAAAGTTATTAATGTTATATTCCGGCGACGAGACAAAATTCACGCGCGTTTTCCCATAGGAATACACAGGGAGACTGGAAAAGTAGACTGCATGCTGTCTGCTTCAATTTGCAACCGGAAGTCCCATAGACACTAGCGCCAGCTGAGCCTCTAGCGTTTATTGTAATAACTCTATGTGCGTAAGGGTCTCAACCTTTCTGCTTAGCCTTGCACGCTGCCGAGTGGGTATCGCAATCTGTGCAAATAAAAATTATTATTATTATTATTATTACACTTCTACACCTCCTTTTTTATTTTTTTTATTTTTACCTTACCATAGATTGCAAAAGACGCTACGAGCCACCGAGGGTGTCACGTGTCCTTCCGGCTGGGCGGAGAGACGTGTGGTGCGCGCAGTCACGAGACAAGCTATGCGCAGCGCAAGTTCGTTTGCTTCTTTTTCTTCGGTTGTGTTGACGTTAGAACACCGAGCTCTGATTGATTCTGCATGAAGGATAGTGGATAGGCTTCGAGGCAGCTTGCTTTGAGGACTACCCACTATCCTTCCAATCAGAGCCAATCGGAGCTCGGCGTTCTGACGTCACCACAACCCCTGCAAAAGAAGCAGACGAGCTTGCGCTCGGCATAAACTATGAATTAGGGTGCGTTCATGTCCCGCTTCTCAAAGCGGACATGGAGGCACTCTACTGTGGATTGGCTCGTGTAGGTCGTGGTGTCCATCGCAGTGAAACGGAATAGATCTGCCGATGCCGAACTTTAGGCACCTATGTCCAGGGCGCCAGTCACACGTCGCCCAGTGCCCTGGACGCTGCTCGAAGAATTTAGTTTTTGTGTGTGCACACTTCACGTGAGCTCTAAAAAGACGACCAGCCCATGTCCCCCTGTACTCCCTCATTTGGAGTCTTTCCATGAGCTCCCGGTGCCAATCTGCGTACGCTTCTTTGTCGATTGAACCTGTGATTTCATGCACAGTGCCGCATGATCAAACGATAGTCCTGGTACCATCACTCCTTTCCATATAACTCTGATCACTTCATATCTATTCTAGTTCTATAGCGCCTTGAGCTTCATGATCGATTAGTTTATTTTCCCCTTTCTAAGTATATTGTCCTCATGTTTCTCCAGATATTTTGTTCCCTCATTGGGCCGGACTCCCAAATATTTGTATTTTCCTTCATGATCTATTACAAAGTCTTGTTTCCCTCAGGGGTTCCTTCTTACACCATTACTCCAGACTCGTCACTACTAAAACTCGTGCCCAAGGTGTCCCCTTCCTCTCCATATATTCCAGCGAGTTCCTGTTAATGTACCCTCGTTATCTGCCATGAGTACTATGTCGTCCGCATACACCAGTCCTGGTATTACCTGGATTGCATTTCTCCATCCTTCCATATCACTCACATCAAAACCTAACTTGCTCTATTCTAATTTCTTTTCCATTTCACTGAGATATATAAAAAAAATAGTAGGGGTGACAGCATGGACTGTCCTGCCTGAGCCCTCTTTTTTATTGCTCTGGATTGTGTAATTTCTGCTTTCCATTTTATTGCCCGTGTACACCTGCTGAAGAAACCTAACTAAACTTCTATCTAAATTATACTCCTTCAGCTAACCCCAGGATTTTTCCTGGCTCACATTATCGTACGCCCCCTTGGTGTCCAAATAAGTTAACCACAAAGCAGCTTGGTTCCTCATTGCTATTTCTATACATTGAGTGGTGACGAAAAAGTTGTCTTCCAGTTTTCTATCTCTTCGGAATACATTTTGGAGCTCACCGAGTATTTGCGTATCTTCTGCCCATTCCTCCGTTCTCCGCTTTACTACCTGCATAGCTAATCCACCGTTATCGGTCGACGGGCGATATGACTTAATGTTGTCTTTCTCTCTACCTTTCTATACTAGACTCATTTTATTTAGTTTCCAATCATTGGGTACCTCTCCTCCCATAATTACTTGATTGATCACATGCCGTAACTTTAATTTGCTTGTATTTCCTAGTGTCTTTATGACTTCCATGGGTGAGTCGTCTGGGCCTGTCGATTTACCTGCTGGAACCTAATTACTTTCCGCCTTGTTCCATTCTTTTGTCGTTGTCTCTATTGTTAGACAATTCTGCTCCTCCTCTAAACTGCTGCTGTCAATGCTATCCACTGTCATCCACTGCTCAAGCTGGGAGAAAGCCACTTCGATTGTCTGCCTAATATACTCCTGTGCCTCCCCCCTTTCCTCTTCTCCCCTCCTGCAAGTGTTGGGAATCCTCTGTCTTTCTACCCTGCGCTTTAATTTGCTCCCAAAACTTTTTTTTCGGCATTCCTATCTTTTTAGTTATTTCCATTATCCATTGCACTTCTGCACTCTCAATTTTGGCCTGTATTAAAGCTGATGCCTCTTTTTTCCGCTCTTGGAAGTTCTCCCATATTGATGCTACTTCAGCTGGCAAGGCTCCCCCTTTCTTTGCCCGCCTATGCTGCCTGGATGCCTCTTGGCGCCGCAGTATGGCTGCTTTGACCTTCTATCTCCCTCCAGCTTTTTGGTTTGTGTCTTCGTTTTTGCTTTCCTCTTTGTTTAATTTGATGCTTCTCTAATTCTCTTTTAAAGATTCCGATTAGATCCTTATACGTGTATTCCCTTTCTGGTTGTTTCGATATTATGTTCGCAATAATTTTTGTACTTGAGCTTCACTTAGTTCCGGCTTACCCCCTCGTTCCTGAGCTTGTTGTTCTGGTTCGGATGCGCCAAATTTAATCATAATTATTCTGTGGTCAATCCGTAAGATTTTTGTACCTTCCTCATTTATTTCCATACTTAACCCGTCATACAGTTTGTGGGACATGAGGCAGTAGTCCATTGTTGAGTTTGAGTTATTTTGTTTCCAAGTTATTTTCCCGTCGCATTTTATTTGTTAATTACCGAACACCAGGTTCAGGGCATCACAGAAATCTTCTAACAATTTTCAGGTTGTATCTGTGAACCCTTCAAACTCTTGTAAGTGGGCATTCATGTCTCATATGATAATTATTTCGTGATTAATGAAAATTTCTCTGATGTCCCTCGATATACGCGTAAAGTTTTCTGTATTTTCCTCCCTTGAGTCATTTCCTGTTTTCAAATATAAGCAAACCCCAGAAAAGTGTTCAGACCTGTTACCCTCCGGTTACATCCCATCCAGGAGTATATAGCCTAGTTCCCTGGTATGTACGGTGGTTGCGCGTCATCTCTAATAGCGAGTTCGTTTCACGGCACTCGTGCCCACGCGTGTCCACTCGCAGCGTGGAACGGGTTCGTTTCGGCCGGCGCTCCACGAGTGGTTGCACTCTCCGAGTTCGTTTCAGCGCTGACACCTAGGGATGTCGCAAACCACCCTAGGTTCGATTTCGAAAGGTTTCGATATTTGCGAAGCGAACTGAGGTTCGATTTCGAAAAATTTCGATATTTTCATACCGACCGAGGTTCGATTTCGAAAAATTCGCAACTTTTGTCCACAGCGGAGTTTCGAATTCGAAAAGTTCGAAGCTTTCACGGTTTCTAAAATTTCGAATTCGAGTATTTCGAATATTTTTTTACTTCAGGTTCGATAAATTCGAAGATTTCGAAATTCTTTGTGAAAAAAATTCGAAAACTTCGAACGCTTCGAATTTTTATAGACATGAAGTTCGAACAATTCGAAGA